GGCACCGGTGCTTAAATAATTTATTTATTTTTCTCTTCTATACATTTGAATGTGTTAGGTACAAGTTCTTTCCAAAACAGCCATGGATCCGTAGAAAACACAAGAACAACTGGAAATGAGAATTAAAATGTATATTGATATATGAACGGCTCAGTTCCCTTTTCCAGTGTTCATCCAATTTATCCAAGGTCTGGTGGTAACACCAACTGAAAACAAGCACCAAAGTACAGCCACTGATCGGAACCCTAGATCTGACCCCAAAACCTCACTCCGAGTTGACTCACCAACACATGCACAGTCAACTCGGTGATAACTCACCCTCTCCACTCAGCACAAACCCAGTATTCTGCAAACTCAACACCAAAACCCTCACAGCAGAGGATTAAGGTCAGAAATGGACAGGTTTGAATAAAAGGTGAATCATACCTATCTCTCTCTCTCACCACAGTATATATACACACAGTTTCAACGGTCCTCAGCATTAATTGTGCTGTGACGGCAAGGACACCCATTGTCCGGCAAGACCTGCGACGGTGTTGCCGGAAAACGACAAGGGGTGACGAAGTACTGTAGAGAGAGAGGGGGACAGGAGAGGAGAGAGGGAACGGCGCAGCAGTGGAAATGCTGCTAGGGTTGAGTTGGTAAGAGGAAAGGGGAAAAAGGGAGGGCTCAGATTGAAGCCCTAGATTAAACGGTTCAGATCAAAGTTGACTGGATCAGTGGGCTTAAGTACTGTTGGGCCCAATTTCACAAGTTGGGCTGTGAATAAAATAAGTCATTGGCCCAGATCACAACAGATCATATTATTGGGCTCAATACTTAACAATTCTCCACCTGAGACCAATAAAAGGATTAGTATGAAACACACTTAATGGAATGGGATCATCATTGCCGTAACTGTGAATCTTGAACACTAATCACATAGATTGTAGTAGAAGATTCACACAGTATTTTTTCCACACAGGAGGTAATCACCAAGATAAAACCAACAATTAACATCACAAAGAAGTTAAGACAAAACGAATAAAACAAGCAATCACACAGAAAGCATCAACAGACTTGCACAAAGCAAGCAGACAAACACATGTCTGATTTCAATCAGTTTTTGAGACAATGTTCAAGATTCTCAAACATGATCTCAATTTTTCCACAGGCAGGCACTTAGTGCCCATGTCAGCAGGGTTGAATTCAGAAGGAATTTTCTCCAGGTCTATCACACCTTTTTTCACCACTTTCCGGATGAAGTGGTATTTGATCTCAATGTGTTTTGTTCTGTCATGAAAGACAGGGTTCTTGCACAATTGTATACCTGATTGGCTGTCAGAAAAAACAACAACTTTACCTTTCAAGAACCCAATTTCTGAGAGCAGCCCTTTCAACCAGAGAGATTCTTTTATAGCCTCTGTGGCTGCAATGTATTCAGCCTCTGTGGTAGAAAGGGCTACAATGTTCTGAAGTTGAGATTTCCAGCAAATACAAGAACCACACAAAGTAAACACATAAGATGTGGTGGACTTCCTATTATCTCTGTTATTAGCATAATTAGAATCCACATAACCACATAATTCAATTCATTTTTCACACCTAGAAAATTCAATCCCTGTTCTAGCAGATCCTCTTAGATATCTCATTAGCCATTTCACAGCCTCCCAATGAGGCATGCCAGGATTGGCCATATATCTACTCAAACAGCTAACAGCATATGCAATGTCAGGCCTAGTACTTACCATTAAATACATTATAGAGCCAATTGCATTTGCATAAGGAACAGATTTCATATCACAGATTTCAGGTTCAGTCTTTGGGGACTGTTCCTTACTTAGCAAGAAATGAGCAGCAAGAGGCACAGACACAGACTTGGCATTTTTCATGGCAAATTTATCTAAAATCTTTTCAACATAGGCAGATTGGTTCAGAAACAAAGAACAATCTTTCCTATTCCTGATTATGTCCATTCCCAGAATTCTCTTAGAGTCACCAAGAAATTTCATGTCAAAGTTTTCACTTAAGCATTTATTAACATGATCAATAGCCTTTAAACAGGGACTAGCAATAAGCATATCATCAACATAGATCAATAGGAACACAGGTGATTGACAGTCATCTTTGAAATACAAGCAAGGATCAAATTCACTTCTTTTAAATTTCAAAGAGAGCATGCATGAGTCAAATTTTTTGTTCCACTGCCTAGGAGACTGTTTAAGGCCATACAGAGATTTCTTCAACAAACAAACATAATCAGGTTTATCAGGATCAACAAATCCTTCGGGTTGAGACATGAAAATTTGCTTATCAAGATCACCATGTAAGAAAGCAGTTTTAACATTCATTTGCTTAAGTTCCCAATCAAAATGAGCAACTAAGGCAAGCAAAATTCTGACAGTGGTGAATTTAACAACAGGAGCAAAGATTTCAGTATAGTCTATACCCTCTCTTTGAGTAAAACCTTTAGCTACAAGCCTAGCTTTATATCTAACAGAATCAGATTCATGCTTAATTCTAAACAGCCATTTACATTCAATCAAAGAGCACTTAGCAGGTTTTGGGACAAGAGTCCAAGTATGATTGACATGCAGAGAGTTAATTTCCTCTTTCATAGCAGATAACCACATAGCAGATTCAGGAGATTTTAAAGCATCTTTGTAGCACTTAGGTTCATTTCCATCTAAAGAATCAAACACATTGAAAACAAAAGATGCAAGCTGAAAATTATCAAGATGATGAGGTTTCCTAATTTCTCTTCTAGGTCTGTCCCTAGCAAGCTGATAATCATGCAAATCATCAATTTCAGGCAAATCAGACTCAACATTTTGATCAAACACATTTTCAGGTACAGAAGATGAATCATCATCATCAACAATATCAATTTCCTCACTCTCAAGAGGAGATTTCTCCACCTCAATAGGAGCAGAGGGGGGAACAATAAATGAAGGCACAGGCAAACAATGATATTCATTTTCATTGAAAACAACATTTCTACTAATGATTGTTTTAAAACCATGTTCATTCTTTAGCCAACATCTATATCCCTTTACCCCTTCAGGATATCCAATAAAAACACATTTTAAGGATCTAGGTTCTAATTTATCAGATTTATGGTGAACAAAAGCAGTACAACCAAAAACTCTCAAATTAGACAAATCAGCTGGTTTCCCAGTCCACATAGTTTCAGGCAAATTTCCAGACAAAGGCACAGAAGGAGATCTGTTAATCACATAAGCAGCTGTTAAGACAGCTTCACCCCAAAACACTTTAGGCAAACCAGATGCATGCAACATGGATCTAACCCTATCCAATAAGGTTCTATTCATTCTTTCAGCTATGCCATTCTGTTGAGGGGTATATGCAACAGTCCTATGTCTTCTAATGCCAAATTCAGCACACAAAGAATCAAATTCATGATTACAAAATTCAGTGCCATTATCAGTTCTAAGAGTCCTAAGTTTCTTGTTTGTTTGATTTTCAATAAAGGTTTTCCAGGATTTGAACTTATCAAAAACATCAGACTTTTGCACAAGTAAGAAAACAAACACTTTTCTTGAAAAATCATCAACAACAGACAAGAAATACTTGTTTCCACCAGGTGTGGAGACAGGTGCAGGACCCCAAACATCTGCATGAACATATTCAAGGATCTCTGTGCACTTAGATGTATTAGGGACAGAGGATTTAGGGAATTTCACTTTAGACTGTTTACCCATAACACAAGAATCACACAAGGGCATATCAACAACAATGTCATCACTCAGATAGTTGTTTTTATGCAAAATTCCTAGTCCTTTACTACTGATGTGGCCTAATCTTCTATGCCAAAGATCAGTCATGTCATGCTGGACCGAATTAACATGTGAAACAGATAATGCAGATGCAACATACATATTATGCATTCTAACAGCCTTAAAAGAAAGCAAACCATCATGCATAATGTTCATGACCCCATCACCCCAAGTGCCCTTATACCCAGAATCCTCCAAGACAGCACAAGACATCAGATTGCTACTCAGTTTAGGAACATGTCTCACATTTTTCAATTTAAGCACATAACCAGATTGAAATTTCAGACAAACAGTTCCTATACCTAGCACATGTCTTTTACTACTATCAGCCATAGACACAGAGCCATTTTTTAATTCAACATAGGAGGTGAACATGCTTCTATGGGGTGTCATATGATTAGAGCAGGCAGAATCCATTAACCAGTCATTATCAGTCAAAGATGCAGACACAGAGTTCACAAAGTCAAGATACTCATCAGTAATCATAAACACATCACCCATGTTCTCAGCAACTTGATTAGCCTGTTCATTATTAGACTTAGAGTCTTTCTTAGGTTCAGAACACCTATTTGCATAGTGACCAGACTTACCACAGTTGTAACACTTCCTATGTTTGAGCTTATTCTTACTCCCTACTTTACCCTTATCAGATTTTTGAAAATTTTGGTTACTGGAGGAAGAAGCCTTATTTGAAAACTTGTTTTTAGGCTTGTTTTTCACAAAGTTAACATCACCCAAAGACTTGCTGTTTTTGGTGGTTTTCAAATCAAGTTCCTTACTCTTTAAACCATTTATCACAGTGTCTAGAGTCACTTTGTCTCTGCCATACTTGATGGCAGATTTGACATCACTGTAAGAGTCTGGAATAGCATTTAGAAGAACAATGGGGGTATATTCATCAATATTTTTGTCCCCAGTCAATTTAATATCTTGCACAAGTTTTGTAAAAACATCAAGATTTTCATCTATATCTTTGTGCAAGTCAAGTTTAAATCTAAAAAACTTTTCCAGTAAAAACATTTTTGAGGGTAAAGAGGTTTCAGTATAGAGCTCTTCTAACTTATCCCACAGTTCCTTAGCAGTATCAAGTTTACCTATCTTTCTAATCACAGAGTCAGATAGGTTCAGAATAATCAGGGAGTAAGCAAGTTCATCAAGATCATCTTTCATTTCCTTAGTGGTTTTATCATCATATGTTTGAGTGATGGCCTTAAAACATTTCTGTTGAACTAAAACACCTTTCATTTTCTGTTTCCATATAGCAAAATCACCCTTGCCATCAAAGGAAGCAACAGGATAGGAATTCATTTTCACACAGAGAGAAAAAGAACAATATAAACTAAAGAGGCACACAAGCACACAAGCTGCACACAGACAGCAACAGAAAATAAAGCACGCAAGCTGCACACAGACAGCAACAGAAAAGAAAGCACACAAGCTGCACACAGACAGCAACAGAAATGAAAACACACAAGCTGCACACAGACAGCAACAGAAATGAAAACACACAAGAGATGATCCCAGGTGGCCCAACAGGGAGCCAAGTGTTGCAGAAGGCAACTAAGTAACCAGTCACAGACTGAGCTTTCTCAGGCTACTCCCCTTCCCCAGATTCCTGCGACACTAAGCGGTCCGGACAAGGGAAGTTTGGAGTGGCGAATAGCCTGAGTTGGCCCAGAAATCACACAGAGAACCGGTTGTAAGCTGAGCTATCTCAGACTGCCCCCCTTCCCCAGATTCCTGCGACACTAAGCGGTCCGGACAAGGGAAGTTTGGTGTGGCAGGCAACCTGAGTTGGCCCAGATCACAGAGAACAGCGGAAGCAAGTTCTGACCACACAAGGTCAGCCACAGGTTTTCCAGGATTTTACCCAGAAGCAGAGTGAGTGAGTCACAGTAGTGTAATCCGTAGCACGAGTCTGCAAAGAACAGGTGTCCAACTGATGCTCTGATACCACTGTTAGGTACAAGTTCTTTCCAAAACAGCCATGGATCCGTAGAAAACACAAGAACAACTGGAAATGAGAATTAAAATGTATATTGATATATGAACGGCTCAGTTCCCTTTTCCAGTGTTCATCCAATTTATCCAAGGTCTGGTGGTAACACCAACTGAAAACAAGCACCAAAGTACAGCCACTGATCGGAACCCTAGATCTGACCCCAAAACCTCACTCCGAGTTGACTCACCAACACATGCACAGTCAACTCGGTGATAACTCACCCTCTCCACTCAGCACAAACCCAGTATTCTGCAAACTCAACACCAAAACCCTCACAGCAGAGGATTAAGGTCAGAAATGGACAGGTTTGAATAAAAGGTGAATCATACCTATCTCTCTCTCTCACCACAGTATATATACACACAGTTTCAACGGTCCTCAGCATTAATTGTGCTGTGACGGCAAGGACACCCATTGTCCGGCAAGACCTGCGACGGTGTTGCCGGAAAACGACAAGGGGTGACGAAGTACTGTAGAGAGAGAGGGGGACAGGAGAGGAGAGAGGGAACGGCGCAGCAGTGGAAATGCTGCTAGGGTTGAGTTGGTAAGAGGAAAGGGGAAAAAGGGAGGGCTCAGATTGAAGCCCTAGATTAAACGGTTCAGATCAAAGTTGACTGGATCAGTGGGCTTAAGTACTGTTGGGCCCAATTTCACAAGTTGGGCTGTGAATAAAATAAGTCATTGGCCCAGATCACAACAGATCATATTATTGGGCTCAATACTTAACAGAATGATTAATTTAGTTATTACTATTCAGATACCAATTTATTTTTACTCAATATTCGTGTGAAACGCAACGTAATAAAACGAGATAAAATCATAAAATTTCTCCAGCTATATTGAGTTCTACTTGCTTAAAGTGGATGTACAATTATTAATATTGTTGCAATAGAAAATGACAAATAACTAGTGTTTGGTTGATGGAATAGTTAGGCGGAATTAAAACCAGACGTATTATTAACTATTCATAAACTAACTCTCACCAATTTGGCAGCTGCTTATTTAATTAACCACAAAATACTAATATCTGTTCCACTTTAAATAGATTTTAATCACCTAACTATGCATGTGAACTCAATTAATTAATAATACACATCCAAAATAAAACTGTTTATGAAAAATGAGAACCCATTCAAGAAACATGTGAACGGTCACTCTTTTATACATTTGTTTTGCATATTTCTATATTATAATAATTGATTAATTATTTCCACGACTCTTTATCTTCAACATCGATAAAATATTAGAAGAATAAATCATAAGTTATTAATGTGTAATTAGGAAAACAATTAACATATATCTCGAATTCCATGCCAAATAATTAATTAAAGTCTAGGGTTTTCTAAAGCAGAAACCAAGGAGTTACATGTGTACATATATATAATCAAAAAAATATGTACTTTGTATATTAATGCAATTATGATTTTGAGAAGAAAAATCCAACTTGGAGCTTTTGTTATCTTCGTGCATGCACTTGTATTATCTGTTCTTGGTAACAAATTCCATGGCTGCCAAACAAAATCTTCACAAGGGTACTACATTTGCAACGGAATATTCCGGGGATCTTGCAGCACTTACGCCGTTCTTCGCGCCAATTCCGATACCTACTCATCACTCTCAAATCTCAGCTCTTTATTAAACATCAGCCCTTCTGTTATAGCACAAGCCAACGGCGGCTTCTCTTTGGCGGGCCCCACGGCCGTTGTCTTCTCCATCGGACAGCCTATTTTGATCCCGATTAACTGCAACTGCAACGCGAATAACAACGGAGGCTTTTTCGAAGCGCAAGTGACGAGAACCACCGTTGAAGGCGAAAGCTTTGACGGTATTGCTCGGTCTTTTGAGGGTTTAACAACCTGCCAAGGCATTCATCGGAGAAACCCTAGTATTTCTTCGGCGAAGAATCTTAATGGAGGAATCGGCCTTTCGATTCCGCTGAAGTGCGCCTGCCCGTTATCATCGATTTCATCAGATGAATTCAACAAGAATTTGGTGTCTTATCCAGTTAAACAAGGTGACACACTTGCTCAATTGGCTTTGCAATTCAATGTAACTACTCAAGCTATTGTTTCTGCGAATAATCTACACTCGAAAGGAGGGTTTAACCTAATTAATAATGCAACTCTTCTCATTCCTGTACAAGGCAAACCAAATATTATCGGCTTCTTCTCGCCCAAACCTCAACCTCAGAACCCTAGTTTCAGACAACCACCACCCACAATCCAACCTCAAATTTCCCACAAAAAGAAAACTCATAAAAAGAATTTTGGTGTAGTACTAGCTTTTATCGTAATCGTTCTTCTGATTATTAGCACATCGATATTTTCGGCGATTGTTTATTTCTGCATCAAGTATTGGAAGAAAAAGAGGCATGATTCAATCAAGAAAGAAAATTGGGATCAACTGAAAGGATTGAGTTTAAGTGTAAGAACTTCAACCGATAAGAAACTCGAAGATCCGAATATGTTAATCGGAAATTTTTCGTACGAGGATTTACAAATGGCAACCGATAATTTCGGTTCCAGTAACCTAATAGAGGGTTCAGTTTTTCACGGCCGTCTCAACGGGAAAAACATGGCAATAAAACGAACCCCGTCACATTTCGTTTCGAGAATTGATTTTCGCCTCTTCAATGAAATGATTCATCAGAACATAATTAGGGTTTTGGGAACATGCGTGCTGGACGGTCCTGATTCATTCGTGGTTTTCGAGTACGCGGAAAACGGGTCGTTGAAGGATTGGATCCATGGTGGATTGGCTATCAAGAGTCAATTCATTTCTTCATGCAATTGCTTCTTGAAATTTAAACAAAGGCTGAAAATATGTCTTAACGTGGCAACTGCATTGTATTACATGCACTTTGTAACCAAACCGAGCTACGTTCATCGAAACATAAGGAGTCGAAACATATTCCTCGACGAAAACTTCAACGCGAAACTCGGGAATTTCGGTATGGCGAATTGTGTCGAACATGTGTACGAGGATCAAGAACTATGCAACAAGGGTTACTTAGCACCCGAGTACGTAGGTGAAGGAATAATATCACCGAGTATCGATGTATTTGCTTATGGGGTGGTTTTGTTAGAGGTTCTGTCTGGAAAACCGGCGGTGAGGCGGGGTGAGGGTAGTTTGGTAATTAAGTTGTGTGATGAGATAAAGCGTGTTTTGAAATCGGAAGAGGAATTGAAAGCGTGGTTTGATAATGCGTTTTTGGGGGAGGAATATTCGTTTGAGAGGGGTGTGGTTGTGGCGAAATTGGCGGTAGCTTGCGTGGAAGATGAGCCGTCTTTGAGACCTGATGCTGGAGAAATCGTTGACCAGATGCTGAGATTGGTTGAAGAATTGCCGGAAGATGACCGTTTCAGTTTTTTTAAATAAAATATTTAATTATTTTCCACACGGAAATATTAAGTCGTGTTTGTTGAATATGTGTAGGTAAAAAAAAAAGCTCAAAGAAGCGCGTTTCATTCTCATTCTCTCCCTTTTTATTTTATTAAAATAGTGGAAACAAATTATTTTATCTTTGTTCCTCAACTTTGTAGTCAAATCCCACGATCAATTATATTAAATTTATTACGTCATGCTGACGTAGTTTAACTCGGTCACATATGTGACCTGTGAGACAACGTAGTGAAAAAAACGTTTCGGCAAACATAATGTGATTATTATTATAAAAAAATTGGATCCAATAGGACAAAGATTTTGAAACATTCTCATAAAATCAACTAATATTTCATATATACGAAAAAAATTCAAATTTATGCACCAAAAAAATATACATGTAAGTATCTGCAACAATGGAATAGTAAGTCGGTTATAATTAGGGTTTTGGTTGAAGTCAGAATAAAAGTTTCTAAGGAAAATTATGTAGAAGTTTCTATATATTTTTAGTGTTTACATTGCATTGGACATTCGTGCTTTTTATTTAATAATATCATAAAACAATATATAATTGAAAATAGTAAAACATTAGGAATAAAGCAAAAAAAATAAAAAAATCTAAAATAAATTAAATAAATAAAAAAAAAACTAATAAGCACTAATATAAAACACATCGATAGATACATGAGAAAATAAAGAATGTCTAACGTACCAAGCTACCGCTCTACTACACATTACAACTGATCGACAATCAATAATAGAATGAATGAATAGTTGAAAATTTACATGCAAATTAAAAACACAATGTATATATATATATATATATATATAATATCATGCCATCATCTCCTTAAACTCATCGAAATTGAGTACACCGTCACCGTTGAGATCGAATCTCGCAATCATACCCGTACACTCATCAACGTCCCTCCGCTCTCCTAATCTACTCAACATTCTTTTCAAGCTCTTTGGTGTAATGCACCCGCTTCCCTCCATTTCGTACATTTTGAACGCTTCCTTTAAATCGCTCGCCTTCTCTTCGTCCCCCGCTCCTTCTACGATTCTCACGAAATCCTCCAATCCCAGCAGCCCGTCTCCGTCTCCGTCCATCAGCACCACCGCCGCAGCCGCCTCCTCCTCCGTCATCTCGCCGCCTACTGACCCCACGCACCTCCGCAGCTCCACCGGGCATATCTTCCCGTCTCCGTTCGAGTCGAACCGGTTGAAAATACGCTCGTAATTGTTCTCCATTGTAGAATGATTAAAACGGAATTATATATATATATATATATTTTTTTATTATTAAAACGATTAATTGTTCGTTAATTTTTCTACTGAAGCGGAGATTGATTGAAGGAGGACGGCATATACATATATATAGACATACATTATATACATACATACACATGGGCTTACGTAGTTAGAAAAAAAAAACGCGGATTAAGGTTTTGTTCGAGTTTTTGACCAAACATCATTTATTTATTAAAGAATCCACCTGGAAAGCACCTGGTGTTGAAATATTATTAGGGTTGAAACTTTCTGGAAAAAACCGAGAAATTGCATCTTGACCCTTAACGGAGCCCAATAAATTTATTTACTCCAAAAGGCTAAAGATGAATTCAATGAAGCCCAAAACCAACCAAGCCCACGGAGGAAAATTCAAAATACTTTTTACACTTTGATTTTCTACAAATTATACTTTTGACCCCTAATGTTTGGTCTAATTTCACTTTCAACGCCAGAGACCGGCAGGAAAAAAATTTCAGAAAAAAATTAGTTTTCTAAAAAACAAGATTTTTTTCAAAAAATTATGAATATGGTGGTTAATGTGATATATTTGTTCAAAATCGGGGTCAATGTGCAATATTGATAAAGTTAGAGTATAAATGTATAATTGATAGAATTGATGAAAATTAGTGCATTGTGAAAAGTATTTTACACAAAAGACATGAGAATCGGCCCATTTGCACTTAGAGTGTTTTTTATCTGGACTTATACGGATTTTAAATCCCTTGTTATGAGGCTGTTTGTTATTTATCCATTAATTATATTCAAGTATCACTATCCACATAAATAACAACACACGTATATCACGACCAAGTCTTTGATAATAATAAGTTGATTCAACACGAGGATACAATGTTTTTTTTTTTTTTTTTTTTTTTGAGTAAAAGGATATAATGTTATATATCTTAAAATGAATAGATAAATAAATATATTATTTATTTTTTGAACTCATAAGAAATCAGAAAGTTAATGTACATACATATATCGGTATCAGCCCAATTAATATTTGGCCAATTACTAATAATAATATAAATTTGTGAAGTAAAAGCAGAAGCGCATAATATAATTCACAGAGTACAGATAAGCATGTGAAAGTAAAGTACCAAATTACCATATAAAAAGAAAAATAAAATCATTTTCATTTCCTTTTTAATTTTGATGATTCTCCTTTTCTCTTTCTTCTTGGGTGCTCATTTTCATCTCTATGCTGCTACTGCGTAGCAGTAGATTCACAGGTTTTGAAACTCTATTTGCGCAAACGAATTTTCTCTATAAGTTATGGAGACTGTAATTTAAATATAGAAATAGTACAATGTTAGCATTTCAGTAAAAAAAAAAAAGAGAAACCCTTGGTTCTTTTTGAAGGAATTATAGCATCTTTTTGCTGCAAAAGGATACTTGTTTATCGCGATGTCTGCCAAATCCAAGTAAGTGGAGTGGTATTTGTGTGGGTCGATCTAATTTTGTTGCTATTTAAATTTTGATATTTCTAAAATTGATTCATGATCGAGGTATGTTTATTTTCGTTATTGGGTATTTTTGCTAATTTGGGGTTTATCTCTGTTTTTTTACTCAAATATTCTGGCTACCTGGTTTTCGGGCTGCAATTCTGTCATAGTTTCCTTGTTTGTTTCAATGGTGAAATTTCATGGAAAGATTCTCTGTATTTGGCTTGAAAAAACCATATTCTGTCAATTGCATGGCTGTTAGAATTGATGTATTTGTTGATCTTGCATTGTCTGCTTTAGTTAAGAAAAATGGTGTTCATAGAATTAAGGTTTTCTCTTCTTATATAGGTCTGCTTTATCTGGAAAACCTAGCACTAAAGCATCACCAGCAACTCCCCAAGCCGGCAAACCGAGCAGGGGAGTGGTTAAACCTGTTGCTACTTCAACTTCTTCCCCGCAAAATGGCGGCCTTTCGGTTGATCGTTCGTCAAAGCCCGTTGCCTTAAAGACTACAATTAATCGGTTATCTCCCAAGATCAGCACCCCGCCTGATGTAAGTTTAAGCAAATTTAATTTCATATATATTCTTTTGTACTCTATGATTGCATTTTGAAATGAGTGGTGGTCGAAAATTGCAAAAATGTTGGATCTAGAAATATCTTGTGTAGATAAAAATCATTGTAGTAGGCGGATTTAGCAACCATGTATTGAAATGAGCGATGGTCGAGAATTGCAAAAATGTTGGATCAAGAAAAATCGTGGAGATAAAATAGTTGTAATAAGCTGTTGTTAATGATTATTTTTCTATTTTGTCTCAGAAAAAAACCACTTCTACATTGAAGCCTTCAGAACTTCAAGCTGAATTAAATCTAGCTCAAGAAGATCTAAAGAAGGCCAACGATAAGTTGGTTTTGGTCGAGAAAGAAAAAGCAGAAGCTCTTGATGAAGTGAAAGAAGCCCAGAGATTATCCGATGAAGCAAACGAGAACCTGAGAAAAGCTCTGGCGGCTCAAAAGCTAGCAGAAGAAAATTCCGAGATTGAAAAGTTTCGAGCAGTTGAGATAGAGCAAGCAGGCGTGGAAGCAGCTCAGAAGAAAGAAGAAGAATGGCGGAAAGATCTAGAAGCTGTGAGAAACGAGCACACAGTAGATGTGTCTGCTCTTCTATCCGCCACACTCGAACTTCAGAAGCTGAAGCAGGAACTAGCAATGACTTGCGATGCAAAAAACCAGGCATTGTCACATGCTGACGAGGCAACAAAATTAGCCGAGATTCATGTGGATAAGGTTAAAGCCCTAGCTTCTGAAATGGCCCACCTTAAATCTGTTCTTGATTCCAGGATCGAAATGGAGGCCATTGAGAATAATAAATTAGTGTCGGATTTAAAATCGGAGATAGATACTCTGAGAGAAGAACTTCAGAAGGTGAAAATTCTCGAGGAGAAATTGGCTGAAAAAGAGGCGAATTTAGAGCAACTTAGTGTCGATGTGGAAGCTGCAAAAATTGCGGAATTTTATGCTTGTAAATTAGTGGAGGAGTTTCATGGAAGAGTTGAGGAGTTAAAATCTCAGGCTGAAGAAGCAAATAGGTTGGAAAAATCTGCATCAGAATCTCTCGAATCAGTCATGCAACAATTGGGAAAAAGTAAAGAATTGTTACGTGATGCAGAATTTGAGATTTTGTCGCTTAAAGAAAATGTCAGCTTATTGGAAATTTCGAATGGTAAACAGAAACGGGATCTAGAGGAATCAGTACGTTGCTTTGAATTAGCGAAGGAAGAAGCTTCTCAAATGGCGAAGAAGGTTGAATTTCTCGAGTCGGAGATTGAAAATGTGGGAGAAGAGAAAACAAAGGCATTGGCCAATGAGAAGCTTGCAACTGCTGGTGCACGAACTCTGTTGGACGAGAAGAACAAGCTTGTAAACGAGTTGGAGATTTCGAGGGAAGAAGAAGAAAAGAGCAAGAAGGCGTTGGAAAGTTTAGCATCGGCCTTACACGAAGTCTCTACAGAAGCAAGAGATGCAAAAGAGAAGCTTATTTCTATCCAATTGGAGCGTGAGAATTACGAAACGCAAATAGAAGATCTGAGGCTGGTTTTGAAGGCAACAACCGAGAAGTACGAAAGCATGTTGGACGATGCAAAACAAGATATTGACGCTCTTACTAATTCAATCCAACATTCGAATCAAGATTATGATAACTTGAAGGCTGAGTTCGACCAGAAAGAGCTCCATTTGATGGACGCTGTGAAAAAATCCGAAGAAGAGAAATCAGGTCTGGAAACCGAAATAAGCCGACTTATTGATTTACTACAAGCTACGGAAGAAAAGGCTTGTGCAATTAAAGAGGAGGGAGATAACTGGAAAAAATCATTCAAGGAAGCTGATTCGGAGGTCATTCACTTAAAGGAAGTTCTTGATGAAGTAAAATCCGAGAGCATGAGATTAAAGGAGGATTCGATTGACAGAGAAAATGAATTGAAGAAAATTATACTCGAGAATGAGGAGCTAAGGAAAAGAGAAACGGATTCTTCGATAAAGGTTGAGGTGTTGACAAAGCAGCTTGAAGAAGCTTTAGCCAAGAAGAAAGGAGAGGAGAATCTTGATCTGACAGATAGTGAAAAAGAGTACGATGTGCTTCCAAAGTGGACGAGTTTTATGAAGGAGAAGCCCTCTGAATTTAGAGTGAAGAATTCAAACGGGAAATTAAAAGAAAAGGGCAGTGGAAATTCTGCAGAAGTATTAGATCTTGAAATGTGGGAGAGCTGCAAGATTGACGAAAAGGACTTGTCGATTGAGGATGAAGTGGAATCGAAAACTACAGAAGGTAGTGCTGATCTTGAAAATGGCGGCACATCGCCTTCAAAGTCGTCTAGTGAGAAGAAGAAGAAGCCTCTGCTTCAAAAATTCGGAAGCCTATTGAAGAAGAAGAGCACTACCAATCAGAAGTAATTAATAAGGCTATCTATCTTTCTTCTTCTGTTGCTTGCTCAAAAACTCGGAATGTTTTTCGTATTTAGCCTCTGATAGATGTTCAAGGTTTTTTTTTTTTTAATTTATTATTTTAATCAACTTTTTTTTCTCTGCAATTATATATGTGCATCGGGTAAATTCGTTTTTGTTGGGTCATATACTTACATAGTCAACGTCATCGCGTGGCGTGCTTTCTGATCCAATAACAAGTTATACAATCATCAGAGAGTATTACTAATGGGTGATGGTTGTTGCTCTCCACTCCCATATTCAACCATAAGCTTTGTTTACTTTGTCATTGTTATTTTATTATTATTATTACATGTATATTATAATGAGTAAAATACCTTGTCAATGGCGTCTGTCTGTTGACATTCTTCCTTGACATTATAATTAGCTGCTCTTGTAGTTCACGCATGAATTCCTGTATTACAAAACGTGTTTGAAATTTCAGTGAAAAATTGGGTCTTTCTTGTTCTAATTTGGTTATCGAGTGGGAGGCAGAGACGGGATATATCTAGAGGAATCGGTGCCGAAGAAGAAGGAAGCTATTCATTCAAATAATGCCGAAGAAAAAGAAGGTTAGCGTTTTTGTTCCCGTTCTTGAAACTGTGAAAGAAGAGAAAACCATGAACTATGAGAATAGTAGCCCTGCAGCTGCTAGCATACAGACTCTAATGGAAGAGAAGGATAAGCTCGTAAAGGAGTTGCGGATTTCGAGGGCCGAAGAAGAAAAGAGCAAGAAGGCGTTGGAAAGTTTAGCATCAGCCTCGAAAGTAGCCTCTTCAGAAGCAAGGGATGCGAAAGAGAAGCTTATTTCTTTCCAATTGGAGCATCAGAAATACGAAACGAAGATAGAATGTATGAAGCAGGTTTATATCGCAACAACCGACAAGTACGAAAGCATGATCCGTGATTCGAAAAAAGAAAAAAGCCGAGTTGTTGATTTGTTACGCCTGGCCACTTCAGAAGCGAGCGATGCGAGAGAGAAGCTTATGTCTTGTCAATTGGAGCGTGGCAACTACGAGACGCAAATAGAATATATGGACCGGGTTTTGAAGGCGACAACCGACAAGTACGAACGCATGATCGACGATCCAAAACAAGAAATAAGCCGACTTGTTGGTTTATTACAAGTTGCAGAAGAAAAGATATTGGCAGCTATGGAGAAAGGAGAAAACTGGAGAAGGTCCTTCAAGAAAGCTGATGCCGATGCGATTAACTTACAGAAACTCCTCGATAAAGCGAAATTCGAGAGCGCAAGATTAAAAGAGGATTCGATGGACAGAGAAAATGAACTGCAGAAAATTAAACTAGAGAATGAGGAGCTGAGAAAACTAGGAACCGATTATATGATAAAAGTTCAAGCGTTGACAAAGCAGCTCGAAGAAGGTTCTGCCAAGAACAAGGGAGTCGAGAATCTTGATCCGACAGTTGGTGAAAAAAAGAAGCCTTTGCTTGGAAAGTTTGGAAGCTTACTGAAGAAGAAGAGCACTGCCAATCAGACGTAATTGATGAGTTTTTGCTTGCTCATAACTTAAAAAGTGCTTTTTTTAAGTTGTTTTTGTCCATCTCTCAGTGTATATCTACACTATTTTTCTGCAGTGATGTATCGTTGCTTTTAACTAAACAAAGAATTGAATATTGAATTGTTCTTTAATTGTATTACTAATTCAATTTAAATATCTTATACATTTTTTTTATTAATAGAAAAAATACTCAAAGTCGATGAGTATTAAATATTAATAGACCTGTTCCTGCTATTGTTTCTGCTTGACAATATTACAGAATTGTTCAAAAAATCAAAATATCGGGGTCAAATTTGAATGAGTGCTGAAATGAAAGGATCAAAACCGAATTAGCATATCTGCGCGACAATGTTACAGAATTGTTCAAAAATCAAAATATAAGGGTCCAATTTGAAGGAATGTTAAAATGTAAGGGTTAAAATTGAATTGGCAAAAAAAGAAAAAGGAATTTCAATTATCTCTTTTCCCTGCAATTTCCTGCAGAAAGACTCTTGAGTCTTGAGCATTAAGATTCAAAAATCTTTACTACCGCTGCTGCATATTTGTTGGTAGGGTTTCACATTTTTTAATCAAATCAACTGAAAATTTCAGCAAAAGCTAAAAAATGATGTGGGTGAAGATATTATGCGGTTTGATTTTTTACCGATTCGTGAGGCGATTCTTCTACGAAGACGACGCCGACCTCGATCTCGATTCCTCCCACTGCGATTCCCTTTTGGCCGTCGCCAAAAGGTTTTTTTTTTTTTTTTAATCCATCCATTTTTACTAAATCAATTGATCTTCAATTCAAATTATCAATTCATTTAGGTTGGAAAAGGTATACAAAGGATGCAAGGTTTACGTGGGCCTCCAAATTCCAGACCCCGATTCTGCTTCTCGTCAGAATATTGACCTTGTTCTCGTTACTGATCAGTATATTTTCTTCTCTCATTTTGTTAATTCACTATGTTTTCTTCTTATATGTATGTATATGTATATATATACAACGGTGAAAATGTGAGGTTATCATTTGTTTCGCCATATGCATTTTTTCTGAAGGGAGGCAGTGGTGATTTCGGTGAAGAATGTATCGGGGTTTGTGTCAGTCGACAAGGATGATAATTGGGTATGCACCGATGCAAACAGCCGTAAAACAGAGCGTTTTCCGAACCCTGTAAGTTAGCTACTTCAGGACATTAAAAATGTCTAAGAATTCATTCTACTGCATAAAATATTAGGATGATGTGCTTTTAGTTAGCACTAGTTTTCGATTCATTACGTGCTGAAAACTCTCTCTGTTTGGCGAACTTATTCTCACTTTCACCTATTACTTCCCTTTCCATGGTAATAAATTTGTAGGAAAATGTAGAATGCACTAAGTTTCTGCTATTCAGGTATCTGAAACTAAACGGTTAGTTCCCATACTTGAAGAATATCTCGAACAAAGGGGAGTTGCTCTTCCACAAGGATATTTGTCTTATAAAGTCATCTGTCCTAACCCAAGTACTAGGTATGTTTTCTTCTGTTGCTATGTATTGTTGAGTCTCTGTTTCTTTTACGATTCTTCTCTTCTTCCTGCAGTTCCGTTCGTTCAGAATTTTTCCCATCTGAGGTCATTACTTACGATAAGTTGGCACAATTAAAACCCGAGCAAAGAAGTTTGTATTCTAAATGGATCAAAGGTGCACTTATTTCTCGAAATAAGAAAACGCAGGAGTCGTTTTATGAGAAGCTTAACTCTGTTCTCAGCACTGCCCCAATTTCGGATAGGTCTGTTACAATGTTTTTTTCCCCCTTTTTTGTGATTATGTCGCCTCTACTACTGTCATACATTTAAATTTACGATAAAGCTGGCTAATATAATATATAATGCAGGTTAGAGATTAAAGGCAACAAGTTTATTCTAGGAGAATTTGTTGAATTCAAAGGGAAACAAGACGACCTTCAGGCATTGAGAAAAATCAAGAGATCAAAAGTTAGTCGTTTCACAGTTCAGAAGATAAGCATGTTTGGTTTTGGTAATTCTATCTTCTCTCACAGTATCTATTTTGACATGCCCTGGAGTAATTTGCCGTTTTTTGGTAATATTAAGCGACTTTTTTTTTTTTTTCTTTTGGGTACGTTGGTTGCAGTTCATCCTACTGTCCAAGTTGTGTATGCTCGACGTGATTATCGTGTTGAGGGACCTTCCTGGTCATCACAGACGGAAGAAATTAGTGTTCGATCGAGCACAGAGGTTGTTTTTCAACCACAAAATTCTACAAGATCACGCAAGTACAAGCTTTCTTCCGTTGTCTCCATTTTACTCAGTGCCTAAATGTATAGGTATAGCAGTACCCAAAGGCAGCAGCAGTAGTTTTCGTGGAATGTTGCAGTTCTACGCTAACGTCTCTGTTATATATATAGATCTGTAAGTATATTCTGTATTCTAAAATTTTGTAACAGACGAATATAAATTGGCCTAAAAGATTATCCTTACCGATACATCATACATGTTTCAACACCTGCCCATTTATTGTTTTGGTTCTCGATTTCGAGAATAATCCAGTTCATTCACTGAGCTCGTCATGGAAATAATATTTTGGCTCATTTCTTGCATCCAAGTTGCAACCTTAAACTCTTACAGAGAAATGATTTAATTATTTGTACACTTGCACAGAGTTTTTAAATAATCAAAATACATCCCATTTAGGATGGCGCCAACTGTTAATAAAATGTGGCTGAGTTCATTGAATGGAATAATCAATCCCATGTAATCAGTTACACTTTACACTTTTTCTTTTCTTCCTCTTTTTTTGGCTACCCTAGGTTCAATGAATTATTAAGAGCATAATCTATCTCTATAGACTATACATACATACATATATATCTATATGTATCTATATGCAATATATATAAATAATCACACGTCATCAGCTGATGCTTCTTCTTCTTGCAGCCCACTCTCATATTCAACCATAAGCTTGTTTAGTTTCTCATTACTAATCCTCTGCTGGTGGTACACTCTGTTTTCCTCCAACCTGCAACATTTAATTATTATTAAATATATAACATATAATTAATACGATAAATATTTGCGATACAACTACTAATAACAACTTACGTGTGAGGTGGAGAAGACAAAGGCGACGACGGTAAGAGCATATTCGCTAGGGTATCGGCATCTTCGTTGCAGTTTATAATTCTATTAAAACAAAGGTATCTCCCGTAAGAAGACGAATCCTCAAACACACAAATGTGGGCATCGACCAAGAATTCGATATCCACCGTAACGAAAACGCCGTCTTTAAACATTTCGGCAGCACCCAACAAATACGGATCCTTAATGCTCAAATTCGGACACATCAAAAGCCCTCCGTTTATCGAAACCATATTCACTCCTCTGTCCATCGCCAGGGCCCACGCGGTCTTCTCCGCTATCGTCTTTGACAGGCCGTGCCACAACTTGAATTTTTTACAGAAATTAACGTCGCTCCAGTTTTTTTCGTCGAGATGAGGCGGTAGGGTGGTGGTGGTGGTGTTGTGGTGGTGTTGGCCCCTCCAGATGACAGCTGTGGCGGAAGAAGTGAAGACAACCTTGTCAATGGTGTCTGTTTGTGCACACGCTTCTAGTACATTATGAGCTGCTCTTACTTCCATTTCACCCATGTATTCCTGTATTAATAAATCGTGTTTTCTTTAATTAGATGCAAAACCCGATTTAAAGACAATATCACATGCTGCATTCAGACATGTTTACAGCTCAACTTGTCGGATAAATATTAATTTAACTTTCTAGATTCTCTCTGTTTTTTCTTTTTTTGTTTTTTTTTTTAAATTCAGCGAATTTAGTTAATGATTTTTGTCTTCTCTGAATTTGGTTTACCGGAAAGTGACGTCACTACTTATTACAGACAACATAAATCAAGAAAGCAATCAATTTTAGAAAAATTAGGCACCGCCGGAAAAGTTGGTAATGATTGTAGTATTAAAATTCATTTATGAGATATAACTGCAACGAAATTCAAAAGGCTAAAAAATTAGGCCCCTATTATTATTATTATTATTTTTTTTAATTGAAATGGTTTTTTGGTAATAAAAAAGAACTTACATCGTAGGTGGGGTTGTCGGAAGGAAGCTCGAAAGAGTAGAACAAAGCACAACAGCCCTTAAGAGCGTCCATAATACTGTGATAATCCAATGGGTCTGAATTGAATACTCTCAATTTCTTGTTCTCAATTGACTGCCTCTTGTAACACTGCAATTCCTCTGTAAAATTCATAATTTTAAATTTTAACAACATATTATTGCAATCAAATTTTGCAAGAATCTAATAAAACAAATGGTCAACTGGTTTGAACGTGGGGAGGGTATATGTGTAAATATGGCTAAATTAGAAAGAAAGGGATGCCCATTTCATCATTGTAAACAAGTCGTGCACAAGTCTACGAATTTAAAATCTTAAAAGAAAAAAAAAAAAGTCTACGAAATTATTTAAAAAAAAAAGGGTTTGATTTTGATTAGATTTTCGAAAAAGGTGAATTAAAAGGAAAGGGGGTTTTAGAAATTACCACGGTCGTGGACGGCGGCGTGGACGGTGTAGCCTCTCTGCAAGAGGCGGCGGACGAGGGCGGAGCCTAACTGGCCGGAGGCGTCCATCACACAGACTGTTTTGGAAGAGTTCCACATAAAAGCTGGTGCCATTTTCACACACTGAACACACAGTGGAATGGGTAGAGATATATTAGATGTATGTATGAGAGGAGGATCAGCTGACTAATATGTTTATGGAGGTGGGTGTCTTTTTGTTGTATTTATAGAGAGAGAAAGAGAGTGATGAGAGAGAAGAAGAGGAAAAGCATTGAAAGAGTGTGTGGCTAGCAACTTGGCATATGGTTGGGAAGGAAGTAGTTAGCCTAGCCAGAGGAGGAACAACAAGAAATTTACTAATTCATTTTTTTTTTTTTTGTTTTTTAAATAGAAAATATAAAGAGTTGAGCATGAAATCCAAAACGTTAACGTTTGATTAAATTAAGATAATACGAAAAATTATAGGTACATAAATGCATACACACCGGGGGGTGGGGGTGGGGGTGGGGGTGGGTGTGGGGGGTGGGGAAAGTGTGTTGTGGCTTGTGGTGGTAGATGTCCAACAACAGAGCACAGCTGCCACACAACATTATGCTAAAAGTTTGGTAGGAAAGAAGGAAAGGGTGCTTTCTCAAACTAATTGTCTTTTGGGACCAAAATGTATATTTATTTTATTATTACTATTTATTATTATTAATATTGATAAATAGCCACCTAACTTCTTGGAATTTTTCATTTCCATCAATTTTTTGCTTCTAATTGTTCGAATCAAGTCCTACAACAATTACATCCATCAAACAACAATTCTTCACCTTCTTTTTTTTTTTTTTTTTTTTTTTTTGCACTTTTAATTTGTATTATTGAATAACTTCGACTTGTTAAAATAAAAATAAAAGTTCACCTCAAATTAATTAAAGACAATCTCTGAAAAACACACACTTAAAAAGGTGGTTAGTAGAAGCAAATTGTGGGCCTATATGGAGTTACTTTATGGGCTGTGGTCCTTGCTGCACCATATAATCCATAACCTTATTAAAAACCTCATAACAACAACAATACCATTTATTTTAATACTATCTTTATTTTTCCTTTTCGTATTCAATTTTGTTACGAACGTTCCTTTGTCGCCATAATTATATATATATATATAAAAATACATTTATTTGTTGTAGTAATAAATTATAATAGCTGTAGTTGAGAAGGCAAAACATCCAAGCCCACAAACTTCCCCAACACCCATCGTTAATCATGCTCCATTTCTCACATGGGTCCGGATCCGGGTCATTCTCATGATTTCACAACAGGCTGTTTGAGCCTGGATATCAGATATGGGCCCATAAGCAATAAATGGATCAAAATCACGACCCGGCAAATGAAACGACGTACCACTTGGATGAAAGGAACCCGGCAAATGAAACGACGTACCACCTTATAATCCACCTTTCAACTGTCGACAACAGCAACGAACATAATATTTTTTTTTTCTGCCCGAGTACCTTTATTTAAAAATAAATAAATAAAACCTAACTAAACACCAAACAACTCAACTGGCACCAAGTCCATAATCTCAGTTATACAACAATAATATAATTTCAAAGACAAATTAATCCCTCACCATTACAATGTGTGATCAAATCACCAAAGGCCTTCAAAATTGCAGATGTTAAAAGAAACCTTAACTTGTAAAAAAAGATGATAATAAATGAATTTACTACTAGTACTATGCATGTGTCGATACAGCAGAAGCACTTACGTAAGCCACCTTGGCTTTCTTCTGTTTTCTATCTTGGGATTTTCGAGATTTCCTCTTCTTCACCGGGATATCTTCCGATTCCATGTCATCATCCCCTGTATTTGGAGCTGCATCGTTCAACTTCTTTTTTTCGCCTTTGTCAACAGTTGACTTTTTCTCCTTTTCAGGTTCTATAACAGACATACGTGTCAATGTGTAGTCCAATAGAAACGTGCTTCTTTCCAACCTATCTATTCTAGTAAAATGCCTCTGTGAATATGGAATAAGTCCTTCAATTACTTCTCCAATGTTTTTCATCTGTCAACGGAAAAAAATCAAAATCAAAATCTTATAACGATTAGAAGAAGGAAAAGAGAAGAATGCCAGCAAAGCCAACGCGCAAATACCTCGACAATCTCTGTAGGAGAGAAGATGCTAACTAAACGATACAGCACAAACTGTGCTATATGACACAGTTTTGGTTTTGTATTCCATTCTCTGATGTATTCCAAAAGTATAACGAGCTGTTCTTTGTCAAGAGGAGAAAGAGCCTTTTCGATATGAACATTGGCATCTTCCTTCCTGTAATGAGTTCAAGCTAAGATTTAAAAAAATATATATATACTTACAGAGATATGAAGCAACATAATGAGATAGAAATAAAAATGTCACCTGCTGAGGTCACTAAATAACTGGAAAAGTTTGTGAGGTCTACGAAGTTCAAACGCAAGTTGAATAGCTCTTGCATAGTCAGCATCTACTACGGCATTTTCTAGTTCCTGCCCTCTCAAAACGTCTTCCTCCTGCAACAATAGTAAATTTTTATATACTAAAAACTAAAACAAATGTGACAAATCAATTCATATGTGCATGCATATGTAGTATGTTGCACCGTGTATATTTGTACATGTGCATGCATGTTTCAACACAAACGGTAGAGTGTCTCGCAGTGACTAACCACAATATTTTGTGTTGCACAAAGTTTTATTGGTCATAAAATAATAAGAAATTTAAGTTGGTATTTTGATGACTCACTTCTTTCCGAAAGGCTTCCTCTTTCTCCTCAGCCGTAGAGTCATGCCACAAATTAATAACTCCATCACCGCTGCCTGTTGCAAGCATTTCTGTCTGTTTCCCGATTGCCAATCCCCATATCTGCAAAATTTACAGCGTAAGGAAAGGAAAATGCCCTTCTCTAAGACTAAAAAGAAACTAATGTTTAATGATGAATATATGAAGAATACTTTGAATGCACTAGAATGTTGAGTTCGGTACGTAAAAATCAGTTCGATAATGGTTTGACATATAGGCAAAAAAAATGAGTTTTTCTAACAGCTCAATCTATCACGAGGGAAAGACAAAAAAATCATGTCTCAGACAAGAAGCCTTTCAAGATGCAGTTGTTTTGTCACTAGAAAAGCTCCGCACCTTGTCTTCATGTTCATCATAAGTGGCCACGCATTCGTTGGTTTTGACAGTCCACAGCTTCACCAAGCCATCAGCGCCTAATAATTGATTCAAATCTACTTAGAACCAAAGGTAAAATACATTAAAGCAGTGAGAACAGGTTTGAAATTAAAAGGATAAATTACCACAAGAAACAAATTGAGCCCCTCGTGTAATGTATGAAGCTCGAATGACACTCGATGTATGTCCTTCAAATGTTTTTAGACACGAACCATCGGAGATAGCCCATAGTTTTATAGTCTTATCAGTAGAGGCTGTTAATACACATTGGTCAACCGGAGAAAACTCCACAGACCAAATTCCCTTTTTATGTCCTTTCAGTACAACCACAGGAACCAGATCCGGGAGCCTCCATATACATGCTGTGCGATCCTGCATATTAGGAGAAAGGTAAAATATAGATTGTCACCATAGTTTTCTCCCTTTATGTCACTTTCCCAGTTTGTTCAGCAATTCACTAATCGCAAGTGTCAAGTTGGAAATGGCAACTCACTCGTACAACTTACTAACCTCTGAACCACTGCAAACAAGGGTATCGTTGGGTGCAATCGCTAATGAGTTTATATCTTTGTCATGGGCCGCCACTCCTGCTTTTACTTTCAATTCGGAAACTTCCCCACCATCGTCTGAGATTCCATCAAAGCTCCATACCTTCAGCATACGATCACTAACCAAGACAAAAAAGAAGAAAAAAAAAAAAGGGAACTCTCAGGGACAGATGAGAAAAGAAGTGCATAGCTAGCAGTCCAAGTTTACAACAATACTGGGGAACTTCTTCCTCTGTCAGATCTTCATAGAAATTATATACAAACTGATTACAAAAGAAGACTCCAATGCAATTACCTACTACCACTAACAAAAAAGTTGCTTTTTTTCCGCGAGAAAGCAACTGCCCCAACAGCCCCCATGTGACCTTTGCCAATTCCAATACAGTGCCCGCTTTGGCCTTCCCACAGCCTAACCTGTGAAGATAATAATATCAGAACTAAACATGCAATCTTTAATAAGAACAGAGTGCAAGTAATAGGTCCTCCCTGAAGATGAAATCATCAGTGAGAACTATCTACACCAATAAAAGAGAGCATCAATGACAAAGTGTACAACTCACGCTGTTGTCTTTGCTTCCTGTAGCAATAAGTACTCTTCCAGAACTTGGCGCGTAGGTATCAATGCATAGAACTTTATCAGTATGGCCACTCAATACATAGGAACATGACATTGTAACCAGATCATATACTCGTACCTACAAATCATGAAAGGTAAAACAAAGATCAAAGATAAAGAACTAAACACCACAATTAACATCATAATTGACATCTAATCGCACAGAAAAGAAGCCAGTAATGATGTCCCAGTCAATTGATTTTTTTTCCTTGATTATAGCTTTAGGTACTATCACAACAAAAAAGTTGTAATGGACAGACTGGTCAGAATTTATTCAGATTGAGTTCACATGAATCTTGACAGCATTCAATAAGATTCTGACAATTTGAAACAGCTTACTTGTTCAACCCTTGTTGCAACTGCCAGAAGTTGTTCTTTTTCGTCCAAAAACTTCATGTCTACAATCTCTTCATTGTATCCAATCAGTCTCTTTTTTAGCATCAAGTTCAGACTGTCATCGGCATGTTTATCCAAATCATAAACAAGAAACTGTTGGTCAGCTGTAGCACAGAGCAATCCTTGACCCAATGGCAGCATCATAGCAGAGGTAAAGCCCCTTTTAACCTCATCATTGTCCGATTTGACACTCACATCTGAAGATTTCTGCTCAAAGAGGAGCATAGCCCTGTTGCAGAGAGATTATAAAAGTTGATAAGAGCTAACTAAAACGTAACCACCCATTAGGATTTTTTCTTTCAAAAGATCCACAGTCAAAGCGATACATTATCTAAATTCACAACACTGCAACTCCAAATGAGTTTACACATAAAACAAACAAGAATCCTGAGGTTCACGCAGAAACCAATGATGTCACTTCATGAAAATTTTGAAGTATTCGAGAACTATGGATGAATTCCTACCCATTCGAGTTCCATATACGCACAATCCCACGTTCACCAACTGTGATGAATTGAATAGACGATGAAGTGCTCTTCTTCCCATGTTTTTGGGCAAATGATGACAAACACAAGGCAAAGGGGGATGCTGAATCTAGTGTACACACAGCTTCTAGTGCCTCATACGTCGGTACAACAGTCGCACAGCTATAATCGTGCAGGTTCCAAATATTTACAATCTACAATCACAATAAAATCATCATGTGGCTAATATATTACGTTGTGTAACACAAAGACACACACACACACAAATAAAAAAAAAAAAAAAGAATATTAAAGAAGCACGGATAAACTAACTAGCTCTTAGAGCATATTAGACATACTACATTTATCCCAATGACCGTACACACAAAAACATCATCTAATTCAGCTCAGTGCAGTTATCGTCCCCAATATGCAGTCAGAGGAACTGGTAACATAGATAGAGCAAAACATTTTTTTTGTACCTTATCTCTTCCGGCAGTAAGCAAGTTCCACCCGTCTTCAGATATTGCCAGAGAAGTGACCGTTGATTGATGTTTTTCTAGTGTTGCAACACACTTTTTGCTGGTAAGATCCCACACCCGAACAGTGGCATCATCACCACCAGAGAAAAGCTGAAAATAATGAACAACTATTAAGCTCGTTTCACACTTAAATCTCCCCAGCTATAACTAAGCACTGAACAGCTCAAAAGATTAGAAATCATGTAGTAATACTTGTCTTTTCAGCTAAGAAAAACTCACAAGCAGACGATTCGGGTCAGGGTGGAAAATAATACTGGTTACCAACCCTTTATGCCCCTTGAAATAATGTGTGCAGAAGCCACCATCCACATCCCACACTTGCACTCGCTTATCAGCCCCTGCTGTTGCGAGCAACCCCCCTGATGCATGGCAAGCCATTCCCATTATCGGCCCTTCTTCGTGCCCCTATTTCAGAGCAACAAAACACACTTCATTCAGTAAAAAGTAACCTTCATATTTACCAAGTGCTCCAGAACCATGTAATTAAGCTCATACAAGTGAATTCAGAAGAAAATTATTCTTCTTAAGCAACAACTACTTACTGAAATTAACTAATGGCAAACATAAAAAAATTAAAATAAACCTTCCAGGAGCGCAGGCATTTGAGGGTTGAGATCTCCCAGACTCGAATTTGGCGACTGTGGCTGGCGGAGAAGATGAATTTGTCATCGGGACTGAGGAGAAGGGCAGTAACCGGCTGGGAATCGCCTTCAATGGTGGATTTGACGGCGGCATTAGAAGTTTCCACGATTTTGATGGTTTCGTCGCAAGCGCAGACGAGGAAGGAACCATCGGAGGAGACGGCGTAAGGCCCGCCCGTGTAAAATTGCTGCAGTGAACGAAAGCTCTTGTAGTTCTTCTTCAGTTGCACCGCCATGATTCCCAACGGCGATGGTTTTACAGAAGTGGGGTTTAGGGTTTTAGGCTGTCGGGTGGCGGAGCATATTACAAAATCGGTAACGAAGAGTCACGCGCTTCTTATATTACACATCGACAAAACCTCCATACGGAAAAAAATATTTTTAATATTTATTCCACTAAAAAATAAAAATAAAAAAATGACGTGTAATACACTAATCACTTGACCGGAAGACTTACGCAACATTTACATAAATAATAATAATAATAATAATATATTAATAATAATAATTATTATTATTATATACTAGTAACAGAACCCGTGCGTTGCACGGGTAACATTCGAAAAAAGAAGAGAATAATTTATTTAAATACATAATGATAAAAATTGCAATAAATTCAGAAAATTAAGTGGAAAAAACAACCAAGAAATTGAAATAGGAGTATTATTGCAAATCATCTATTACAATAATGATTTGTAAGTATCAACACATATTATATTGCATAGCAAATAATACGTGTTAGATAAGCAACACAAACATTATGAACAAATTTCAAAGGAAACAATGGATCAGTGAAAATGCAGTAATATTGATAATATAGAGAAGAATAGTAATATAATATTTATTAATAGATATTGTCTTTTTACCAAACGTTTTCAAATAATTATATTTTATATACCACCAAGTCAATGAAAATGAAAATGTAAATCAAGTTATAAATCTTAGTGTCACATGTATGAAGTTTTGATAAAAAAATAAATAAAAAAAACCAAAATATATTGAGATACCCGAATCAACATATAAAACACATTCGTAATAAATTATATGTAGTGGACGTAGTTACATTCTTAATCCATTTTATAAAACATATCACTGCAAACAAAACCAATTATAATCTTTTTAGTATAATGTGTCTCATAAATTCTAACACGGCCTCGTCACTTTGCAGTGGTGAAAAATGGCAGACTGTTGTTCACATGAAGGCAGGTTAGAAATGCAACACATTGACATGAGAGAGAATTAAGCAAATTGAAACTAAACTTATCTCATTTCATTGAGCTTACATGGTTAGACATCAAAAAACCCAAAAAACAGAATCTTCATGTAGTATTTAATTTCTCTTTTTGTCATCCAGAATCCTCAAGATAGAAGCAACCTTCTACGCATATTCATAAAACGTCTCCACAACTGGAGAAACAATAAAAATTAAAGAAAAGCAATATTAATACATTTGTTGTGAGTTTCTTAAAAGAATATTTTTCAGTTACTATGTATATATCAGATATTACAGAAAAAAACATAGAGCAAAAACTCGTAAATTCTAAATCTGTGCCGAGAATAATGAGTTAATGGCCAAGGTGTACGGAAATGATCTGTTATAGTAATACCAAAATAAAATAGCAATAACTTCAAACATTCCCCAAGAATACTTTTTGAAAGAGCTTGTCTCGTTGGACTTGTACTAAAATTCTGCAGAGGAGCTTCCAAATTCAAATATACTAAAATTATGATAATGCAAATCGGATCATCACAAAAGATGAAATTAAGGAGAAGTTCTGTTGTTAGAAAGATATGGGGCGGTTATGTACATAGTGAACGAAAAAAAGGGTGCTAAAATCTAACAAAATATGAACTTGAAGATAATTGATAATTTATACAAATAAACATATTACATATATAGTTTGTCCAGAACCAATGACAAAAGGCAATAACAAAAAGGAATCCATAACAAAAATTTGCCTGAAAGATTTCATAAAATTATGTTCCCGATCAAAATTCAGAAAAAAAAAAAAAAAAAAAAAAAAAAAAAAAAAAATCATCATACCATATTTTCACTTTTGCATAAGATTGTTCTTGGGGAGGCATGGCAATTTTTCGTCTCTTACATCAGGGTTCTTTTATGGGCTGCGCCATTCTTGTCCAATTTTTTTTTCTTCTACGTACTTTCTGAATCGATAGGTGTTAAAAAAAAGGTTCAAATTCTTAACGGTGCTGAACACATCTTGAAGCAGTTCAAGATTAATTTTGGGAGTCTATCGATCGGGACAAATAAGCTAAGACAGACTTCTTAGCTCTTTACTTTCGAAAGAAGTGCAAAACCTGCAATTGCAATCTCAATAAATTAGAGAAGAAATAAACTTATGAAGATCAAAGTTCTTATATGGGAGTATTGGATGAAATATCAATAAAAATCGCATCTACACAACAATAAAAAGAGCAACAAACAGAGTTGTATATTATATATATTATATGAACCCACACACACATCATAATACACAACAATAAATAAAGGTAGTAGTTTTAGGATAGTCAAAAATACCTATGTTTGTATCGATTCTGCAAAACATGGCAACAGGCTGTATAAATAAATTCAATAGAAACACGATAAAACACAATAAAAAAATAGCTGCTTGAAGTAAAACATCATATAGCATATGATTTTTTTGAAACGAACAAAAGAATAAAAACTGACTTCCTACTTGCGCTAAAAGTAATATAGTTTTGCATATTTCTGCTCGTTTGTAGCTCTTCATCCGAATTTATTGTTCAGTTCTGTAGCGGTTTTTGTGAGTGCTGTGTTGTTTTCTCGGATAGTGGCAGAACGTGTAACTGATATGCAGGGAAATAGGAAATCATCGTGTACCTGATAAAAAAATCAAGAAAATAAGAAAATAAATATATTGGATGGAAAAACAAAATTACAAAATAATTGATCGAATCAAATGGAAAAAAAAAACTGCTGAAATAATTTTCAAAAAAAAAAAAACTGCTGAAATAGTAATTGACAAATTTGGCCCTAGGTTTATTTTCACGGGATAGTAATTGACAAATTGTGTTGAAATAGTAATTGAAAAACTGTTGAAAAAAAAAATTACACGGGATTATTTTCCTTTTGAATTAAATCATTGATTAATAACATTCTAATTTTTCTTTTTCAGTTTCATTATTCAATCTTCACCAATTTCTGTAGGTTATATTTTTTTGGAATTTAGTGCAGTTTAAAGACTATTGAAATAGATTGACCCAATAAATAATGAAATAGATCCCATAATAAACAATATAGAAATAAAACTACTTTGCTTTAAACCATAGAAAAAATTAAAACTTCAGCATTAAACATATATATATATATATATATTTATTTTGATCCGTTTTGATGATATTTTTTTCCTTGATGGTTGCATAGAACAATAAATAATTAAATATACATATTCCGACCATATCTAAGTCATGCTCTTTCATTTCTTCTAACCAACTTGTTTCTATTGCTATATCTAATACAACATATGTATCGACTATCAACATATGGATCTTGAGACAGTATGAGATCGCGAATGCCTTGCAAGATGTGTGCGGCTACACAGCTGGTGCACTTCTTTTCATTAGATTATGGAATTAATATCGTTCTCAAAAGAGCCGTTGGAATGAAACTGAAGTTCAGCATATTAAAAAAGTACAATGGAATCAAGTTTCCCATAAACATGAAATAAAAAAAATTATAGAAAAATTACAGTGAACAAATTTCAGCAAAAACCATGGAATAAAATAAACAACAGTTGGAAAATCTATTATCTTTCATCCAATCTCACCCTTCATAATGAAATATACGTAACTTAATTAATATTCAATTCTTACAGGACTATCTTCTCATTCTTGCGGGACTATCTCCTCATTCTTTGCGGTTTTCTCCTTGGTGAATCAATAAGATAGAAAAACAAAATAAAATATGTTATCCTTCACATAGCTAGATTTAGCTACTCACTTTGAGAACTTAGATAAAAGTACCAACTCCAACATAGTCACTTGCAATTTATATTAATTTATGATGAAAAAAAAGATGCAAAGTTACAAAAGAGTAAATTTGTATTGAGAAATGTAGGTAAACCTTCCAATAGGATGAACATGAAAATGATAAAGAAATATCGCACAACAGTGAACAACATAAAGCTTGTTGAAGATACAAATAGAATTTGGCTCATGAGAAAACGTAATAAAAACGGAGCAGACACCAGATTTATGAAATCGAACCAAAAGGAGATGCAGTCATGGACCAAAGTAAAACATTCTAAACAAAAATTAATTTTGCAAAATCTTTTGATAAAACATAAAATCGTGTAAAATTTTGACAAAACATCTGCCAGTGAAAAGATTATTACTTATTTACATCGATCCTTCAACTTTTGCCAAAACAATTAAACCAAAACGAAAATTAGTTGTCTAAGAAGTTGTCGGACAAAAAGTAGCATATTATAAAAATAAATCAGTTTTGCAAAATCTTTTGGTACAACTTATTTATATTTTTGTCAAACGACTTCATGTTTTGCTAAAACATCGAAAGACGGTATTTACCAAATGAAGAAGCCGTAGGATTATGAAAAAAATAAAATTGAAATATTCTAAACAAACAGTAAACGATGTCAAAAAATCTGCCCGAATGAAAATCAGATTTATTTACATTTTTTTCTAACAACATCTTCACTGAAAAGATTGAACCAATGTATTAAAAAACAAAAAAAAAAAAAAACAAAAAAAAACAAAAAAAAAAAAAAAGAGTTGTGGCAAAAGGGGCCGGATGATAAAGAACAAAACTAAAACATTCTAAAGAGAGTACAAATTGCAAAATAGGTCACCTTTCATGAAGCCGTGGGATTATGAAGATGAAAACTCGAATGGGGAGAAACAAAGATTATGAAGTTTTAGATGATTAAGAAAGCGAGAGAAGAACGGAGAAGTGGAGAAAAACTGCTACAACGTGGGAAGAGGCCGTGAGAACTGCTATTACGTGGATTTGGATGTTAAAGAAAACTGTCGAAATAAGGAATTACTAAAGTGTCCCTAGGTTTAGGTTTAGGGTTATAGGTCAAAATATCTTCCTTTTATATATAAGATGGCCCCCGTCTCTTCTTGTAGTTCAAGTGCAGCAGATTGTTTCAGCAACGATGGCGGGGAAAACGACGACGTACCGCATAGGATACGCGCTCGCACCAAAGAAAATCCAGAGCTTCATTCAGCCATCTCTCGTCAATCTCGCCGAGGAACGAGGAATTGAACTAATCCCTATCCAGCCCACGAAACCCTTGATCGACCAGCTCCCCTTCGATTGTCTCATCCACAAATTGTCCGATCCAGAATGGATCAATCAACTCCGGCAATTCGTTTCACAACACCCAGATATCGTCGTTATCGACAATCCCGACGCAATCGACCGCATCCACAATCGAATCACCATGCTCGAATTCTTCAACGAGCTGAATATCGCTCACGAAGTTTCACTCGGGGTTCCGAAGCAGGTGTTTGTGGAAAGTCCCGAATCGCTGTTCGACAGCGTTGCGGTGAAGGGAATCAAGTTTCCCGTGATTGCGAAGCCTCTGTTGGCAAATGGCACGGCTGGATCTCACCAAATGTCTCTGGTTTTCAACGAGGAAGGTCTGAAAGAATTGAAGGTGAACTCTGCTTTTATATTGCAGGAGTTTGTGAACCATGGAGGAGTGATTTTCAAAGTCTACGTAGCCGGTCAGCACATTCAATGTGTCAAGAGGAAATCACTCCCGGATATTTCCGATGAGAAATTGGGTTCGCCGGTAAATTTGTTATCTTTTTCGCAGATATCGAATGTCACTGCTCAAGATCAGAGAGACGAAGGTGTTTCAAAGCTAATGGAGATTGCTGAGTTGCCCCCTTTGAGTTTTGTGAATGAAGTTGCTAGTAAAATGAGGCAGGCTTTGAAGTTGAATCTTTTCAACTTTGATATGATAAGGGATGGCAGTGCTGGAGATCAATATCTCGTGATTGATATAAATTACTTCCCAGGTTACGCGAAGATGCCCTCTTACGAGACTATTTTGACGGATTTCTTCCTTGACATTGTGCAGCACAAGCCGAGTGTGGTTTCTAATGATTCCGAGACAGTGTAAGCTGCATTGTCCCGGCGCTCACTCGAGGTAAAACTTATGATCGAGTTGTTGATTATAGCAATGCCTTTGTTGCCTTTGAGTAGTTCTTTTCGATTGACGACATGCCGAGCAAATTCAGTATTAGGGTTTTCAAGATATGATGTGAATGATCTTGATCACAAAATCTTGGTTCTTTTCTACTGTTTTAGAATTCAAGACTCGGTACTTGATAATGTTAAGAATAAAAATGTTGTGTTGATTGGCTATTATTTTTATTGTTTTTTTTTTTTTGAAAAAGAAATCGGGAATAGTCCCGGCGTTGCCATCACCTTGAACGACTTTGATTTTACAGACCAAATTGGTTAAGCCTTTCGACTACGATTTTGGCGAGATGAAGGCTGCCGAAAAGCTCCCACGCTTCACTTACACCAACATTCACTTCTCTCTCAACGCTAACTCTTCCAAACATTTTCCTTCTTCCTCTTCGTGTTTAAAATCCAAATTCAACTGTTATTGCTAAAAAAACAATGTCTTACAATTAGTATTACAAGGGGTTTGAGTTTGATACATATACGTCAGTCACAGCATGGCGAAATTAATTTCACAAAAATCAAAATTTATAATTTCTAAATAAGACCAATTTCGATCTTCGATTAGAATTAATAATGAGACCAATTTAAACTCTGAGAAATTTTGATTCAGCTCAACTTAATTAATCCGAAGCAGTGATGGAGCCAGGGCTTTGCTTTTCAAGATTGAGTAGAAACAAGAAAACGAAAATAAAAGCCTCAGCGAAAACAACCATATACATGCTAACAACAGTTAAATGTATAGTTGAAACTGTTAATGATATTTCACATTATTTTACGAGTTGTTACAACAAACAATGCAAGAATTTCTATGTGCGGTAATAAGTCAGACAAATTGACACCGAGATCCCTCGCCTGTAACCGATCTTTTATTCTGCACTGTCGGTAGAAGACAACCGGATTCTTTACATTTCGGCCACTTTGAAATCTTCCTTTCTTCGTTTCTCCACAGCTTTGCAGCCACGGATTTAAATCCACTCTTTGCATAAGTAACAAATAGTGTCACAAGTTCGCTGCAAGAAGTAAAACATATATAACTTTTATTACAATGACTGTATTTTTAGGAAATTAAAACAGATGATTACGAAATAGTGTTTCACTTACAGAGGTGAGCAAGGAGATCGACCGCCATTGACATAGTATACAAACAGGAATGAATCGTAATGGTGTCCGTTTATGTAATAAAAATTGTACAGCCTTCTTAAGCACTGGAAGGACATTTTCTTGTAAAAATGTATGGCTGGATTATTGTATGAGATCACATGTAGATAAACGGCACGACATGTATAAACATTTGAGGCATACTTCGTAACCTCGTTGATTAGTGAGCTGGCTGAAAATCCAACACCAGATAATTAATTATTCAGCATAAAAATTCTTTTAAATCAAAGTAAATGAATTCAAACAACTTGCCTATTCCCAGATTTCTGTAGGATTCTACGACACCCAATGTTAAGATGTATACTAATGTTTGGTCTGTTTTCGACAAGTCAAAGCTGAGCAGGTCTTCTATCTGCAAGAAAAAATGACATTAATTGAAAAAAACATATTGAAATTGTAATACGAATATACGATAAATTCGTGTTGGGCCCGCACCTAACAATTAATTGACTACTGAGTCAGTCAAGGCTCACCTCACTATCTTTTGCTGAAACAATTCTTGCAGTAACAAATCCGATAAGTTCATCACTCTGTTCATTTGGCCGACTGTGATCAACGGCTCCCCAGGAGACAATATCATGTCCATTGACAACATTGTGGAAGAACTCAGATTCATACCTGAAGAATAACAACTAATTACAACCATCTAAATCTTTTTTTTTTTTTTGGAACGAAAGGACAACATAATTCTGACCTTATGGGAAATAGATCTCCATGAATTTTCTCAAGAATCGCAAAGTCAGACGGGCGTATGGGCCTATAAGCTATAATTGGACGATAGGGAACTCTGAGATCTACCATCGAGGACTATTATTTTGAGTCAATCACCAGAAAATATTTGGAAACGGTGCAAGCTAATAGTTTCTTCCATTTATGCAACATCTAAAACAGCAGCCATGCATGCAGCCTCGGTAATCCTACTAAAGATTTTTATTAGCTCCGTTAATCCAGAAAAGAAAACAGAAATTGAGTTTCGTAAATTATGGTATCCCCAAATTAGCATTCAAAATCGAAATTGATCACATGAAGTTCTATACGAAGTGTCATATCTCGAGTTTCTTATCAAGCAACAGGCACTAAAGCCTACATGTATACATTTTTGTACTGGATTAACAACTGGAGACTCTGTTCTTCATGAAAATAAAATATTCAAATAAACCAATCACACAGAAGCACCTTTCTGAAATTGCAAATTTGAAAATCCAACAGCATACAGTTCTGAACAGGGAAATGAACCCATACACAAATCACGATGATAAGGATCAAGCAAGAACATACAGAGTTCATCAAATCCTCATCAAAGTCAACCAATCGAGCTGCCATGTTGCAATTAGAGATAATAGAAATCATCGTAACGGTCGCTAATTTCCAAAATAACAAAAGAATTAACGATGAATCAAATCAAATCGTTAACTTAAAAGGGGATAAATCAAATCGGATAATCGCAAACGAAAGCATAGAAAACCCGACCGAATTACAGAAATCAAAAGAATGAAAACTTCATAGAGAGAAAATCGTACCTTTAGCTCGATCGCATAGATGGAAGAAAATGAAATTAAGGAAGTGAAAGAGCGAACAGAAACGATTGCTTCAGTTTCCTTCGCCGGTAACGAATAATTGGAATCGATCGCTTTTGAGTTTCGTGCTTCCTTCGTCTTCCCCTTTGCGAAGAGCTTCTCTTCCGTCAAGTTCTGTTTAGAACAGAGTCGCGTTGTCAATTTTGGCGATTTTTGTTTCTAACTGTAGAGAATTTGAGTGAGTGAATCTCTTGGCGATTTTACTTTCAAGAATCTTCAATAATACTATTATTTATTTTTATTTTAGAGAAATTTCCACTAATTTCGATCTGAAAATTCTCAATTTTGAAGAATACGTGTTTTTTGCTTTCAATTTTGAATTCAAAATTCCGATTTTTCCTAAAGAAAATTGTGACAAAATTGAAATTAGTTATTGCCATTTGTGAAAATATAAATATACAACTAGGGATCTTATGTTATAATTTGTATTCATGATTTATGATGTCACACGTAGGGGTGTAAATGAGTCGAGCCGGCTCGTGAGCTTCCGGAGCTTGCTCGAAAAAAACTCGTACTTGAGTTCGAGCTAACGAGCCCGAGCTTTTCGAAGAGCCGAGCTCGAGCTTCATTTCAGTTATTCGACAGCTCGCAAGCCGGCTCGCGCGCTTTACCTTTTTCTATATTTTGTAATACATATTAATAATATATAATAATGGATATTATCAATAATAAATAAAAAATAATAATATTACTTTTCTAATTGAATGAAAATTTGGTTGTGCCGAGCTCGAGCTCGGGCTCGGGCTCGTTTGGTATACGAGCTCGAGGTCGAGCTCCTTAGAAACACAACGAGCTCGAGCTCGAGCTGAAAATTGTAGGCTCGTCGAGCTCGAGCTTGAGCTCGAGTCTTATATAGTTGTAGCGAGCTCGAGCTCGAGCTCGCGAAATAAGGCGAGCTCGGCTCGTTTACACCCCTAGTCACACGTATCTCAATCCACATCATATATACACATTAATATAATCTAAAAGTGTATACTAATTAAATAAATATTTGTACATAAACAATTAAATTCAATAAACTGTGTACATGTTATCTATCATATGATTACAGAGGGTTCAATTTGGCAAAAAGTAGATTTCTTCACAATCATTTTTCATATTCAGCTTCTGCTTGCTTGCCATGTTAAACGAAAGCTCCAGCCAAGAATCTATGGTTCAGTACTGCCTCTGCAATAGGCCTCTGCCGAAAATCACCATTTAGCATAGCCTGGAGAAATAACAGTCCACAAAATATACGTTAAAAAAACCCGGAAAATGGCGTATATTTCTCGATTTTTTACAACAAAAAGTAGTTATCGTGAAAGAATGTAGACCTGGAGTAACTCCCAACCGGCACCATCACCAAGATCAAGAAATTTAACCGCTTCAAGAAGACGATCATCAGCTAAACAATATCTGCCAGCAATGTGTCAAATGTCAAATTAATTTATAGACGCTTGCGAGTTTCAAGAAAACGAAAAAATAAAATAAAAAGAGACATTTGCGAGTTTCGAATGTCGTGAGTCAGAAATGAAGTTCAAACAACACAAAGCGAGGCAACTTACTCTCTCATGGCTTGGACATCGAGTTTGAAGGTATTCTCAAGAAGCCTCTGTTAATTCAAGACATTAATAATGATTAGATCTCTTACAATAACAACTACCAGTTACTTCATATACAAGATATTACACATTTAAATAATAAATTACGATGCACATTGATTAGACTCACTCGTAACGAGAGGCTGTCCATGACACCTGCTTCACAGAATGGAATGAAAGCCATATATGCAAAAAGAAGACCAGCTTCATATCTGTGAATGCGCCCAAGATACAAAAAGAAAATAAGGAGATAGACGAATAATCTTTCTAAACATAATCGATATGCTTAAAATTAAATCGAAAGACAAAAAAGGAAGATTAATAGTGTATATATACATGTCATCTGCTATTCCGAAAGCTCGTTTCTCCATAAGAGTGAAAGCACCAGCAACTGATGCCCTTCTCCAAAGTCCTTCAGACAATGTCCTCGTATCTCCCTCTATCTCAGAATACCTTCAAAGGCATCAAACTTGTCCATTAGTTGAGAAAGTTGGCTATTTTGTCCTTGTTTGTTTATCTTGTACACACGTACACTAAAGATAGACAGACCACCAGACCACCATACTGTTGCACGTACCTTACATCCACTGAAAATGCAAGATCTCGAAGCCTTGGAATCAAATAAGAAGCCTCTTTTTCCGCCATTGTACTGCCATTTTAAAGAATAAAGATTCATATAGTCAGACGGGAAACAGAAAAACAAAGAAAAAGTAATTTGTTTAACTCTGTCAGAGGTATGCATACTTGAGAACAACAGAAGCAGGTCCAAGACTTTGATGCAATCTGTCATGGTCGTGCATGTAAGCCAGGCCACGAATAGTGCCTTGAAGCAGTTTAGTCACGAAGTACCTTCTCCTCTTTACAGTTTCATCTTTCTCAAAAGGATTCCAATTTCTCTGCCCACCAAGATCACTAATCTTCGACATCTTTTCACTTGCCACTTTTGCATAGTCAGCAGCAGTGTACTTTCCGTCATTCCGGAATGCAAGCCACTTCAGACAACAGATTAATCTATAAATTTTCAAAAATAAAATACTGAGAGAGAAAAAAAAAAAAAAAAAAATTCCACATACAAGTGTACCTTGATCAATGATCATACATACCTGCTCACCAGTCTTTGTTTCGAATCCTCCAAGAAGTACCTGGATATTCTGGCAGGCTACAGCTTTCGAATTGCTCTGCAAAGAATAATGTGCAGTTCATATTCTCATAAGCAAGATTCCTAAATTCAAACAATTATTATTTTGTCAGAAAGCAATGTTCGGAAATGATATCAAGAATTTGACGGTACTTGAAGTGAAGCATGGGCGCTGAGCTCATTTGCAGCCATTGAGTCAGCTTCGAAGCCGCCAACTTGTTGCCCTGGATACACCTTCACCACATTACAAAAAGAACGAGTAATATTAGCAAAACGAAATAAACGCAAATATATCAAAGTACAAACGAATATACCGATTCATCACCTTAAAAATAACGGAGGTACCTCTAAGTGGGCCCTGAGCTATTCTTCCTTCATAAAGTCTGCAAAGTAGCTGCCACATATAATATAAGCAGCAAGCATAATGACAGCCAACCAAGTTGAGTATATATACATTGCATTATCGAAAATAGAGTCGATGAATTCACATTATACATACATTCAAAAAGGAAAAATGAAAACAAATAAATAAGAAACGCACCTGATATTTACACTTCCTTCTCCAACATCTTGAGCCCTAAATCTGCCGACATCTTCTGGTACAAATTCCATCCCCATTCCCGACTGAAACCCAGAGTAACTGCATAACCATCACACATCAATCAATTTTTTTTCTCTCTCTCTCTCTCCAAAATTAATTGTAATTTCGAGAAATAAAACAAACCTAGTAATGTTCATGAATCCATAGCTGCCAATTAGCCTCCCAACCTCGAAAGATTCGGAATTTGTGATGAGAGTGGCTCTACAGCATCTACCAATCTTTCGCCGGCGACGAGAATCCAAACCGAAACTGCGATTGAATTCTCTGAGGAAGCAAACATTGGACGAGAAAGATAGATAATCGGCTGATAACAGCATCATCATCCTCCTCTTTTCCTTTTGATCTTTACTTCTATCTTCAGCCAGGAATTAAAATTAAAAAAAAAAAAACGAGTTAATTGCACAGAACCCCCTGTGTAATGTCTGGTTGTCCAATAAGTCCTCGTTTTATAAGAATTAGCAATTACCCCCTATGCTGCATATATTTAGCCTACCGCCCCTGGTCGAGATTAATCTGTTGACTTAACAGAAATGACTAAACTATCCCTATTAAAATATACATTAAAATAAAAAGTACCTCCCACGCGCCACCCCATCTCGAAGAACATCGTCGGCGGTGGCGCTCCATTGCCGTCATTTCGAAAGCTTCCGTTGTCATTCGTGAGCCTGAGTGCGGGCTCTTTCTCTTCCGCCGGCGATCTCCCCATTCCTCGCTTTATCCGGTTTTGAGGTCCTCTTTTCGTTGCCTCCGTTGCCCACCCTATTTTTCGCCGGAGTAGTCGTCCGTCGGCTTCTCGTGGGTCATCAGATGATGGTTATTCTTGGTAAGGGTCTGTGTTAAGTTTCAGCCCTATAAAAAATGATCTGTTTGTGATCTGGGCCAAACACTTAATTAATTTCAGCCCAACTCGTGAAATCGGGCCCAATACAACATAAGCCCACTGATCCAGTCAAACTTCAATCTGGACCGTTTATTGTGGGGTTTTAATCTGAGCCCTACATTTGCCCCATTCTTCTACTCACCTCTCAACCCTAGCATCATTTCACTGCTGCACCGTTTCTCTCTCTTCTCCTTGTCCCCTTCTCTCTCTACAGTATATCGTCACTCATTGTCGTTTTACGGCGACACCATCGCAGGTCTAGCCGGACAATGGGCGTCCTTGCCGTCGCAGCACATTTAATGCTGAAGACCGTTGAAACTTCGTGTATAAATATTGTGGTGAGAGAGAGAGACAAGTGTGATTCACCTTTTATTCAAACCGTGACTTTTCTGACCTTAATCCTCTTCTGTGAGGGTTTCGGTAGTTTGAGTACAGAAATTTGGGTTTGTGGTGAGTGGAGAGGGTGAGTTACCTACTGAGTTGACTGTGCATGTGTTGGTGAGTCAACTCAGAGTGAGTCTTGGGGTCAGATCTAGGGTTCCAGATCAGTGGCTGCTTGGTGCTTGTTTTCAGTTGGTGTTACCACCAGACCTTAGATCGACTGTATGAACACTGGAAAAGGGAACAGAGCCGTTCTTATTCATTACATTTTTTTTTCTTTCCTATGTTTTGAACTGTTCTACGGATCTATAGCTGATTTTGGAAGAACCTGTACCTAACAGTTTGAACCAGCGTTCGTTCACAGCCCGAGGTGTTGGTTTTGTGTTGGTGGTGTTGCGGCTGTAGTGGTGGTGGTTCAAGTGTGGCCGGCGGCGGGATGAAGCAAAGGAAGAGGGTGAAACTGATGATTTGTTGCAAATTGGGGTTTTTCAAGAAATTTTAAAACTGTAATTTGGTACTAGAAGTTTAGATTATATATAATCAAGCCAAATTTAGTTTATGTTTATTTATATGAGTGCACCTATGTCATTTCAACATAAAAATTGGAGAAATAATCGCACAAGACGCGAGTGAAATCACGATCTGACCTTAGGGGCTTTATTAACTTTGACTATAGAACATAGGGGGGCAGATGCTAATATTTTGAACATAGGGACATTTTTAGCAATTAGACGTTACACAGGGGATTGTGTGCAATTAACTCTTAAAAAACATATAATGGTCTCAATTTTTATTTTCTATAACTTTATCAATTGGGCCCCAATCATTTTTGTAAATTCTTCTAATCAGGAAGGTGAGAATGGGCTTACTGCCACGTAGCGTCGTTACACACATGTTACCAGTTGCCCGTTTTAATTTCTACAAATATCTGATTTTTTTGAACAAGTTTTAATTAAAAAATGTTAATTATGCAACATATCAAACTTACGAAGATTTAATTTATTTGATTACTTGTTAATTTTGAAAATAAAAAAATTACTGTTACGGTGTTACCATATAAGTTGTAATGACAGGTCATCCAATTCAAATATATTATTGGTTAATACGAGAAAATCGAATAATAATTTTGAAATAATCCGAATATTAAAATCAAAAGGACTGCCAGTAAAAAAAAAAAACAACAATGGAGGTTTCTGGGGTTCCATTTTTGACCGGTTACTGCCAGTAAAAAAAAAAAACAATTATTTATAAATGACTTAAGAGTTAAGCCCTTCAGTGCTTTCTCTCTCACACACAAACGCACACCTCCAACGCACAGAATCTCACTGTCCTTACTTTATCTCTCTTAAATTCTGTGTTTCGATAGTCATGGAAGCAGGCGTAGGCGGCGGAGGAGGAGGAGGTATTGTATCAGCGGCGGCCGCATCGCCGCCGCCGTTTTTGAGCAAGACATACGATATGGTCGATGATCCGGCCACAGATGCGGTGGTTTCGTGGAGCAAGGGCAACAACAGCTTCGTCGTCTGGAACGTGCCCGAATTTTCCAGAGATCTCTTGCCCAAATATTTCAAGCACAACAATTTCTCCAGCTTCGTTCGTCAGTTGAATACTTATGTGTGTTTCCTCTTTTTCCTCTTTTTCTTTGCAATTTCATTGTAGAACTGCACTATTTGGTAAGAACAGTTCTAAATTTAATTTTGAGATTAGAATTTGAGATACTCAGCTAGGTTATTTTCCCTGATCAACATTTAATTTGGTAATTCTGTACGTTTCCCCTTTAATTTAGTAGTAATTTAGATTCTGAGTGAGGTTTCATACATATTCTTTGGTTTCTGCAAAGATATGGAGTTCATTCAATAATGGTCCGATGAAGTGTAGTTTTTTTCTGAAACTATATGTGTGTATATGATCTAAAATTTTTTGGAGAAAATTGCAGAAAACGCCAAATTGTTCTGCATAACTTAGGATTTAGTTCCCGATCGTTGTGTTTTTTGTGTGTATGTCGATCCTCAGTAATTCTTTTATAGTTTGCTTTTCCCTTTTGTCAATTAGGGCTTCAGGAAAGTTGATCCAGACCATTGGGAGTTTGCGAACGAGGGTTTTTTGAGAGGTCACAAACATTTATTGAAGAACATAAACAGGCGCAAACCCTCGCACGCACAAATCCAACAACAACAACAACCTGCCAAAACTCAGAATTCATCCGTTGGTTCTTGCATTGAAGTTGGCAGCTCTGGGATAGATGGAGAAGTCGAAAGCTTGAAAAGAGACAAGAATAATCTTATGCAGGAGCTTGTCAGGTTAAGACAACAGCAACAGTCAACCGACAATCAATTGCAGACCGTTGGTCAACGTGTTCATGTCATGGAGCAGCGCCAACAACAAATGATGTCATTCCTCGCAAAAGCAATGCAGAGCCCTGGTTTTATGTCACAGCTCGTACATCAGCAAAACGACAGTAACAGACAAATATCCGGTGGGAACAAGAAAAGGAGGTTACCCAATCAGGACGAAGAAAATATATCTCGCAAGTATAGTATTACATCACCCGATGGTCAAATTATCCAATACAAGCCTCTGATGAATGAAGCTGCGAAATCAATGCTGAGACAAATCTTGAACATGAACACTTCGAGTAGGTCCGACTCTAAGTTGAGCAACACTAGTGGTTTCTTGATTGATCAATTGCATCCTCCTTCCGATGTGTTAGATACTGGTAGTTCATCGAACAGAATGTCTGGTTTGACTCTATCGGAGGTTTTACCCAATTCAGCTGCCATAAGTGAGATCCAATCTTCCTCCGGTTTGGCGGTGCATGGTAATTCCCACGATACTCTGTTTCCGGAAGTGAACTCAGGATTGACTGACTTTGTTCTGCCACACGGGATTGCTCCAGAAAATAACATGGACCTTTGTGACGGGACGTTTAAGGGAGCAGAGTCTATAGGCTTAGATGAACCTTTGCGAGATTATGACATTGATATCTTGCTTGATGATATACAGAAGCTGCCAAGTATAAATGATGTTTTCTGGGAACAGTTTCTTTCGAGCACCGATGATAACACAGACAAGATAAATGGTAGTAGTGAAGATGAACAGAAGGAGCAAGAAAGTGAGTGGGATAAACTGAAGAATTTGAATAGTCTTACTGAACATATGGGGCTTCTTGCATCAGCATCAGAGAGTGGTTGACTGTATGTTATTAGCATCATGGGATTACAGAGCCACTTTGCAGAGGTTTAATAAATTCAGTCTCGGTTTACCAGATACATTTGACCTTTATTCATTACCGATACACGCCTGATGTATCAATAATACGTTACATGAGTACGGTAATGAAAAAGGTTTCATAGTGTATGTAAATAACTGAACAACATATATACGCGGGTTTCCGTTTTTCTAAATATATATTTTGTTTTTCCATATGTTCTGGATGTGGTTTCTTCAGGTTTACTCTTGTGGATTATGTTATTGATGCTTGAAAATTGTCGAAATTATTTGTTCGAGACTATGAGCCTAAAACATGAAGAAACGTTTAGATCGATAAAGTACAAACGAAGTCTAATTAACATTCACCAATAATCCATACAAGAGCAGGACCCTCCTCTGAAATGGTGAAACCGATACCTGTCTCTCAACACTATCTCCCTGTCGTAAAGCTTCGATACTAGTTTAATAACAGAGTGACAGTCTTCACAAACACGAAGATTCTTCACAATTCGAATCGGTTGAGACGGGCCGAGAGTAATAAGCCCAAAGGCAAGAGCTAGCCTCTCACTATGAAGATACAAAGCCTTCTCCTGCATATCCTCTTCTTTCACTAATTGCAGTAGCTGTGACTTGTCTGAAACATAACCAACATGTTTTAACCTAGCTGCAACCTCGTCAAGCTTCGAGTATATTTTCTTACACAGAGGATGTCTACTATCACCGACCAGAAACTCATGAACAACACCATTAACCTCTACTGAGCTACAGCCAGGTTCTTTCTTCAATCCGACGTCTCTCATACGCTTCCTCAACTCTGAAACTTTGTCCCATTTCCCCAAATTAGCATATATATTAGATAAAAGCACGTAAGCTCCATGGTTTTGAGGTTCGATCTCGAGTAAACTGTTGCACGCATATTCAGCTAGATCGACATTTCTATGAAGTTTACAAGCACCAAGAAGAGCCCCCCAAACAGAAGCACCAGGAGCCATAGGCATATTCTTTATCAAATCCACAGCATCCTCTAACAGACCCGCTCGACCAAGAATATCGACCATGCAGGCATAGTGCTCCACACCAGGGGCAATCTTGTAATTTTGGTCCATTTGAACGAAAAACTCTCGACCCTCTTCAACTAGCCCAGAGTGACTGCATGCGGCTAGTAAATTGGTGAAAGTAACGGAACTAGGCCTCACCTTAGCCTCCTGCATCTTCAAGAACAACTTTATTGCATCTCCACCACGCCCGTGCATGCCCAATCCAGCTATCATTGCACTCCATACAAAGACATCTCTTTTATCAACGGAGTTAAATATTTCAAGCGCCTTGTGTAGATCACCGCACTTTGAGTACATGTCGACTAGTGCAGTGACAAGGTGGCGATTTAACCTCATACCTTCCTTCTTCATGTACACGTGGATCCAGCTGCCAAATTCCGTTGCCCCCAATTGAGAACAAGCTGATAAGGTACTAACAAGTGTGACCTCATCGGGTTTAGATGCCTTGCTGAGCTGTAACTCGTTGAAAATAGCTATTGCCTCGTTGGGGTTACCACTTTGTTCATACGCAGAGATAAGAGCATTCCATGTGGCAATATCTTCTTTACTAGGCAGCTTGTCGAAAAGAACTCTAGCTGCATTAAAATCTCCCGACTTGGCGTATCCAGCTAGCATAGTAGTCCATGAAATTATATCCTTCTCCACCATCTTGTCGAAAAGTTTCTTCGCATCCTTCATACTCCCGCACTTGGTGTACATATCAAGAATTGCGTTACACAGAATCAGACTGAGTCTGATCCGATTTGTCTCTATATACGAATGCACCCATCTTCCGAACTTCACATCCGACTTCTTCCCACAAGCAGATAAAACACCCACCATTGTAACATCATTCGGTTTTAAACCTTCCTCCTCCATTCTGTGAAAACACTCCACCGCCTCATCAACATAACCGTTCTGAGCAAGACCATTGACCATCGTATTCCACGAAACAACATCCCTTTCAGACATACTCGAGAAAACCCGACGAGCCATGTCCAAACACCCACATTCCGAGTAGAAATAGATCAAACAGTTGCTCACGAATAAATCGGAACTAAAACCCTCCTTAATCACCATCCCATGAATCCCTTTTCCGAGCTGGAAATCATCAAGCTTGGCAGAGGCTTTGATGACAAAAGGGTAGGTGAATTTGTTGGGTTTTTCGCCACCCACATGAAGTAAGCGAATGAACATTAAAAGGCAGTTAATGGGTTGAGGACTGGAGGCAGATGCACGAATGAGGATGTTCCAAGAGTAGAGATTTGGTTGAGGAATTTGATCGAACACTTTGTAGGCGTAGTGGAGGCTGGATAATTCCGAAAGAGCATAGGATTGTACGAGTTTGCTGGCGGAGAATGGGTCAAAAAATAGGCCACAGCGAAGCATTTGAGCGTGAATTTGCTTGAGCTGCCGTGAATTTGAGCATTTTTCGATGAGTGTAACTGTGGGGTGGTTTGCAAAGTACCGGTCGTTATTGACAGTTACGAAATTCGTGAGCGGAACGCTCGGAGCCGCCATAAGATGGTTCGGTTCAGCCACACCGCACTTTCTAGTTTTGTCTTGGGACATAATTTATTATCTAGAAAAAATAAATTATTATTTTGTTAAAATATCTAAATAGAAAAATAAATATTTATGATTATGAATATCACAGGACGAAGAAACGTGTCGGTGTTATGTGGGCCCACACGTGTTGCCATGCGGTCCAATAAATTTCTCATCAAAAGCACATTTTTTGAGAAGCCTTATTCAGTATTTTAAACTGCACAGAGAATCAAAACCTCACCATACTTTCCTGCCTTTCGTAGAGAAATCTCATCTCCAAATTTGCTTCTCTCTCTCTAACACACACACACATAGCACACCAGTTTCCATTTTTTTTTTCATTCGAATCCAAATAGGTTTTGATCTTTCTCCCGAACCAAATAGACTCCGTTCCTATGTCGGTTAGTGATCTCTATTGCCCCCTGCATGTCGGTTTATTGAATTTTTTTTCTTCATCTTAATAGGTTTTGTATGAAATATACCGATGGCATATCGATCTATATCTTATTTTCCGATATGGCTGTTTAATTACAATTTGTTGATTTAATTTCATCTTGTGTTGCTAAAACGGAGCGCGGTGGAGAGATTTTGTTTGTTCGATTCCTCTTTAATTCGTTGAATTGCGACTCATGTTTTATTTAGTTCTTCTCTGCAGCATAATTTCCCAAATTTGTTTGTGTTTTTTCGTCCGCTGTCAATAGATTCAATAATGAGTTGATGTGGTGTGGTATTTCATTAGCATGGAGGACAAGTAGGCTGATTATGGAAACTGTGACTCCAGATCCATATTTTTTTTTTTTTTTTTTGTTCACAGTAATGCTGACAGCAATTATACAACAAGTAATTTGATCATAGAAAAGGATATGGAAATTTTTATTTTTCTATGAGAATGTTTCGGAGACATGATATACAGCTTTACCTTTTGTTGCTACTCACAAATCACAATACATTTATCTGCTTATTTTGGCATGACAGATCAGGACTGTGAAAGTAAGCAATGTGTCACTTGGTGCTACTGAACAAGACATCCAGGAGTTCTTTTCCTTCTCAGGGGTAATTGAATATGTTGAAATGAAGAGGTTCGATCACAATCTCTTTTTTCTCCTCTGATACATGGTTCCAATTATACATTCTCAGTATTGTGATTGTACATTACTCAAAAAAAGAAGTATTGTTATTGTACAATTTATATTTGCTCCATTTTATGTTTAGTGGGAACGAGCGATCTCAAACTGCACTTGTCACTTTCAAGGATCCGCAGGGTGCAGAGACTGCAGTTCTTCTTTCGGTATCCTTCTCAATCCCCTCAAGTCTTTCTATATGTCACCTTGTAGCATGAAATCACTTGACCAAGTATGGTATTTACAAGGAAACACTATAAAATGTGCTTTTTTTTAATTTCTCACAAGTGAGATCTGCTGTACACTTTCATGGATATGGTGTGTGATTGATATATCAGAAACTGTCTGGACTAGCTGCTGGGAAGTTATTTCTTCCATGATTCTTATTTGATTAATCAGTAGAGGTTTTCTGGGAGCCTAGCCTATTAAGATTTTTCCTTTCAAATATCCTTTAATTTTGTAGGTAAATAAGCAACTAATCCTTATTGAGAATAAAACTCATAATCAATTTCTCTGATCTAATGTTTTCTTTTATACTCTTGTTTCTCTTTGTTGTATCTTTTGATTGAATGTTGTTTGTTTATCTTCATTTTATTTTTGCTATTTTGGTTAACATACAGAAAGAGAAGTAAAAATAAAGTAGAAGAGTTTTACTTATTCCGACACCATTTCTGATTCTGAAATTCTTAGGCTTTTGCCCTTTCATTATTTTGCAGGGAGCTACAATTGTTGACCAGTCAGTTAATATTGCGCTTGAGCCAGATTATGTGCTTCCACGTGCCGCATCAGCACCATTTTTGGTATGAAAATAAATAAGACATAATATCATTTCTAATCCTTTTCTTGTAAAAATATTTCTGAAATGTTTTTCATTTTCTTCAGGCATCAGAAAGCATAAATGTTGGCGGTGTATCTGCTGTCCAAAAAGCAGAAGACGTTGTGAGCAGCATGCTAGCCAAGGGCTTCATATTGGGGAAAGATGCTGTTAACAAAGCAAAATCCTTCGACGAGAAGCACCAGTTCATATCCACTGCCACAGCCAAAGTAGCTTCACTGGACCAAAAGATTGGATTGACCGAGAAAATCAGTATCGGGGCAACCATAGTCAATGATACAGTGAAGGAAGTCGACCAGAAATTTCAGGTTTCTGAAAAGACCAAATCGGCTTTTGCCGCTGCTGAGCAGACTGTTAGTAGTGCAGGATCTGCCATCATGAAAAACAGGTATATTCTAACAGGTGCTTCATGGGTTACTGGTGCATTCAGTAGGGTGACTAAGGCTGCTGGGGAAGTTGGGCAGAAAACGATGGAGAAGATGGCTGAAGAAGAACATGGAAGAAATTTAGCTGATGGTTATGATCATGTCCAAAGCTCCGAATCCCCAAAAGCTGAGAAGAAACCCTCCTCTCCAAAGGGCTTGATTCTCTAAATTTGTTGGGCTGATAGTTTTTCTGTATATATATGTTTACGTTTTCGGGGTTGAATTCTTTTACTAGAAAGTAGCTTGTTATTTTCCATGTTTGGTCATTAGGCTTGAATAAGGGACATGAAATATTGCTGGATATTTACTGCCGTTTATAGTACTAGTCTTCCGTCTTGGCATCAGGATATAAACTCTTACAGTTATTGGCATCTTTGCTAGACAAGTTTCTTATCTTTGCACTGTAGATGCATGTAATTTATATTATTGGATGGTATGATCTATACTATAGTGTTGATTGAAAGAATATTATTCAAATTTTTACGAACCAAGAGAACCAGCTCTTTTATGCTAATATGAATATCTTTACGTAAATGAATCACGGCCTATTGAATTCATCGAAACAAGTTGAATTTCAGGCCTAAATTTGGTGCCATTAATGGAATTTAAATAAGAAACATCAGATCTAAGCTGTTCAGGATACATCCCGATACATTTTTCAACTTTTAATGCAAGGCGTGCAAGCCTTTGAAAAAATAACAGCGTGCGAACAAGTCGGATAACATTACACAGTTCAATAGGCCCACATCCAGAAAACGATAAAGACGCCTCACACAAAACGGTTCATGTTTTAAATTTGTCATCATCATCATCATCATCAGCTGCAAAGGAACTCGTCACATAGCCAAGGAATCATCACACTGTTTCTCCTGTTACATAGTGTAGGAACTTGTCTTCACTATAAAAGCTTCAATCCACCAGTTACATCATCAACTAGGTCGGCTGGTCCTGCACAAATATGAAAGATAACTAATAAATTTACAGGCAAAATGTACAGAGTATACTTATATGACTTCCACGCTGGTGAGTCAGTTTGGTTTATTTGTCCCACAAGATTTGCAATTTCCAACAGTGTGACTCAAAAAAAAAAAAAAAAAAAATATCGGCTTTAGGAAGAGAAGTTAATCATGTGTATAACATTTTTGCCATGTAAGTATAGGCAACAGAAATTAGAAACTTACCTAGGACGGCCATCACTGTCCTTGAATCTGCAATACAGGAACGAAGGAAATAAGTCATTAGCTAATGAATATGATCAAGAATATGCAGACAGTATTCAACAATTCGAGCATAAAGTCCTTATTGTGCTCATGCAGATAGAATCACACAGCCATTTAATTGATGCGGTACAAATTTGCAGACATCCTTTTATGACTGTTTATACTACTATTCTCACTCGGGTTTCCCTTAATACATGTAACAACTTCTTGATCAAAACCAAATTAAAGAAAGATCTCAAAATCAATTTCAGTAGATTTATGAACACAAAACATTGTCAGTTAGTAAACAAGTCTCGAGGAAGCAAAAAACTATGCACTCACTTGGAGCAATCTGTGTTCTGCCAGCATCAATTGTAACATGTGTTGGCAAATTTAGGGATTTTGCCCTTTCCTGTATGAGAAAAAAAGACAGAAAATATTAGATAGAAAAGACGTACTGGTGATAAAATTGTTTCAACTCCTCGAGAAGGTTTGCAAGAGAATTCAAGTTCAAAATAGCTGGTGCTGATCTTTCATATGTAGATGGAAATAACTCTATACATCAAACACACGTTCCATAAAAATACAAGCCAATTGTTTGAGATGCCAGCCTGACCTGTAGAACAAGCATATCATCTTCACTTTCGATTTTCACAACAACCTTAACCTGCCCGCACATCTCCCACCTGCATAAAAAGCACACTCGAATAAATATACAAATTGTTATATATGTTCAAGTAACTTGAGAACGATTTGCAATAGCTCCACGAAAGTACCTGTTCAAAGATTTCGGCGCCCGGTTTAGTATTTTCTTGTACAGCCCCAATGTCGCATGGCTACAACCAACAGAAATCATTCGGTTACGAGTCACAGTGAAAACAAAAATTTCCTACTCAATAGCCACCAAACAACGACATACATTACTACAAAATATAACTGCCCCACAGAAACCATTCAGCTAATATATCTATAGCAAGAAATCATAGAATGCACTTGAAGTTCAAATTGACTATTACCTGCACTGGGCAGCAATCTTCCCTTTCCCCATTTTTAGGTCATTCCTCACAACCAAAACCTGCACTCAATCATCACATCACACCCTCTGTTACACAAAAAATTCTCAACTCAAAACCTCATTTCTCTCTCCAATGAAATACACACGAATACAAAAAAACCTCAAGTAATACCATTTTGAAATCTTCGATAATTTCGGCAAGTTTTTCAACCTCAAGAGGCGGTTTACCCCGATTAATTTTTTTCCTCCCACCATCATTTATTTCAGCATCTTTTGATGATTTAGGAGCAGCACGAGACGAACGCCGCCCCCCAATAAGCCACCCCAGAGCCAAACAACCCGCCCCGATGAAAAACGCGCTAATCCATGTCATCTCTATCATACCCAAGCCCATAAGAGCATTCTGCACTGCATTCGCAACACCATTATTCATAACCAATTTATTATTATAATTATTTGCAGAATGCAGGAGGGGAAACGGAAATTTTGAAGAGAACTGGAGATTATTGCTCAGGATTAGAACACAATTTGCCGCATACACTGCCATGGTAGAGAGAGAGAGAGGTACCTTCGATAAGCTGCATCGGGAATCCTCTGTCTCGAGAGCAGAAATACGGCGTCGTATGATCTACGGCGGAAGATTTTAGCCTATAAAGAAGGACAGAAGACTGGAGATAGCACTGTTTTAAGGCCGTGTTTGGCCCTTTTTTAAAATTTCCCAAAATATTTGTTAAAATTTTCAATTTGGATTTTAAAAACCTTTAAAAAATAATAATAATAATAATAATAATAATGACCGGCAAAAGTGTTAATTAATTACAATTAACAGGTAATTAGAATTAGGAGAAGATATAATTAGCGGGCCTGCAGCCTTGGAATATTCGGGAGTGGAAAAAGCAATTAAAAAGAAAAAGAAAAATAAATAAATAAAAAGGAAAAGTATCTCTCAGACTCAGACTAGGGAGTCGCCCAAACAACACGCAAAAAAGCTCTTTCACACTACAAAGTCTTCTTCTTCTCCAAGATTTTTTCGCTTCAGTTTTAAGGTACTAATTCAAACCCCCGTATCTCGATCTAAACTTTTACTTTTTCCCTTCTGTTTTTTTTTTTTGATTTATCGTCAAACTTTGCGCAGCGTAAAGGTTTGTTGTGTTATTTTACTGAACGTCGAATTTGTACTGAGGTTCATCGAATTTGAATTTGAATTTGAATTTGATCGGGTCATATAATAGTTGAATTTGATCAGGTTATATGATGGTTGTGTTGTTTAATTTATGGATTTTTTTCTCCTATCATATTTTCGTGCAACTTTTTATTGTTTATGTGTTAGTCTGATACTTTCTCCAGGGGAATTTGTTGCAATTTTTTGTTTTCGATTGAAACGTGAACAGAATGAAGAAGTTTTGCTTGATTCTTTGATTTAGGGTTCCGCAACTGTTATGGCTGGAGGGTATTGGATTTTGAATTTGAACTGCTGACCTATTGATTGAAAAAAAAATCTAGGGTTTTTGGCTTCAGATTGTCAGATATTAGTCAGTACTAGTTAAAGTATTGGAGAATTGGTTTAAATTTTTGTGAGGACTTTGTAAGGTAACGATTTCTTACATTTTTGTAAAATTGTTTCAGGGGTGTCTGAAGCATTTGCTGAAAAGATGAGTGACAATTTGATGGATAAAGTTACTGCCTTTGGCGAGCGCTTGAAGATTGGGGGTTCTGAGGTGGGGCAAAAGATTACGGCTGGTATGACCTCGATGAGTTTCAAAATGAAGGAATTGTTTCAAGGCCCAAATCAGACAGACAAGATTGTTGAGGAAGCCACAGCTGAGACTCTCGACGAGCCTGACTGGGCCACAAATCTTGAACTATGTGATATGGTCAACACGGACAAGATCAACAGTGTTGAATTGATTAGGGGAATAAAGAAAAGAATCATGCTCAAGATCCCGAGAATTCAATACTTGGCTCTGGTGTTACTTGAAACTGTTGTGAAGAATTGCGAGAAGGCGTTCTCAGAGGTTGCAGCTGAGAGGGTACTGGATGAGATGGTGAAGCTGATTGACGACCCACAGACTGTGGTCAATAATCGGAACAAGGCTCTTATGTTGATCGAGTCATGGGGAGAGTCCTCAGATGAGTTGCGCTATTTGCCTGTTTATGAAGAAACATATAAGGTACTCTCGCAGTTTGTGTGGCTCAATTGCTTGTTTTCGCTGCTTCTTGTTCATTATAGCCTTCTTTTGTGTTTAATTGCAATTAAAGATTGAGCGATGCAATAATATATAAATTTCCTGGAGTTGTCCATTAAGTGCTTCAACTCCGTCATGCATGCGCGGGGCATGTCGAATATTAGATTCTATTTGCAAATGTTATGAATTGCATCAATTGTTTCGTGAATTTGCAATTGAATGACTTGAAATATTTGCTGATTATCTGCTACATGTTATATTAGCATGTCAGTATCATATGTAGGAAAGTAGCAGTTGGTTAATATAAATTGGGCTTCTGTGTTTTTTATGTTCTTTACAATTTTATCCTTCTCGTTTAGAGTTTGAAATCAAGAGGAGTACGCTTCCCTGGTCGTGATGATGAGAGTCTGGCTCCAATATTTACTCCGGCAAGATCTGTGGCAGCTTCAGAGCCAAATGCCACACTTGCACAACAACTCCATCACGAAATCCCCATTGCTCAAAGCTTTTCAGCTGAACAAACAAAGGAAGCATTTGATGTGGCAAGAAACAGTATTGAGCTTCTCAGCACTGTTTTAACCTCCTCCCCGCAGCAAGATGCTCTGCAGGTACTTTCATCGGTCGATGTTTTCTGTCTGCTGTCGAACTACCCATTTCTATTATTGTGTATTTGGAGTCCATTTAACTCTATGTTTGTTCGTTTATTTCCATTTGTGATTTCAGTTTTGGTACTATTTTAGCATACAACATTTTTGCCTTTGTCTCGACCAAATTAAAATTTAAAATATTTTCTAGGTTGATCATCATTGTATCTGTAGATACTCATGCTACCCTTCCTTGCAAAAAATGTGCATAATACATTTCATCTCATGTATTTGCCATCTTATTTTGTTGCTCAAAGTTGTTATCTTCACTGTTGATAAAGTTTACTGGTATTTCTACGTCAAGAGTTTTATCTCAGATCAAATGATAACCCGGTAGTTACTTTAGACTTCATTTTTCCGTTTTAATTTTTGTATCTAGGTTGTCTTACTTCTCATAGTTCTTGCATACTCTATTTCAATCCAGGATGATTTAACCATCACACTTTTTCAACAATGCCACGAGTCACAATACACCGTCCAAAGAATCATCGAAACAGCTGGCGACAACGAGGCCCTTCTCTTCGAAGCTCTCAACGTGAACGACGAGATTCAAAAAGTTCTATCGAAATACGAAGACATGAAGAAGCCACTGGTGGTCCCGCAGGAGCCGGAGCCAGCTATGATTCCTGTTGCAGTGGAGCCAGATGACTCGCCCAGAGTCGGTACAGAACATGCTCTCGTCAGAAAACCATCATCAGGTGCTACTCGACAAGGAGGCAACAACAACAACGATGAAATGATGGACGATCTTGATGAGATGATTTTTGGTAAGAAAGGCGGCGCCACATCATCATCTTCGTCAGGACAAGATGCAAAGAAACAGCAGCCACCTAAAGATGACCTCATCTCCTTTTAAGTAGATAGATAGATTAATCAATTGACCATTTGTTTATGGCATGCTGGTGTTGATATTTTTTTACTTCTGATATTTAGATCATCCTCAGACAATAAAACTGCGTCTTTTTTTCCTTTTTTTTTACTGTTTTAATTTGGAAATTCGGGTTATTCTTGATCTCGACGCACATGTATGCATGATATTCGTAATGGAACTGAACTGGATTTGTTGCCTTAGCATTCAGTATTCATGTCACAGATTTGGAGTTATATTTGGTGAAACGTTTGTGGATTGTGGTCTTGATTTTTACCCTTCTTGCTCTTTTCTTTTACTATTCTAAAAGCTAGGGATGTGCTAGGCTCGGTTCGGTTCGGTTTTTGGCTAAAACCGAACATGAACCGAATATATCAGTTTTTGTAAAATTAAAAACTGTGTATATTGGTTTTTTATCGGTTCGGTTTTTTTCGGTTTCGGTTTGGTTTCGGGTACAAACAAAAAAGTACAATTACAATTATTTCACAACTTATTAAAATATAATTACAATTATTCTCACATCTTATTAATGCAATGAAAATATAAAATCTTTAATCCCATAGAACTTAATGTAATTTAGAAATGAAAATACAAAATCTTTAATCCCATACGTAATTTAGAAAATGTAATTTAGAAAATGAAAATATAAAATCTGCTTCATTTTTTTTCCTACTTTCATCTAAAACATTATTAAAACCATGAACTCAAGTAAATTTTTAATTATTAAATAAATAAAATACAATGTCTCAATTTATGAACAAATGCTTAGAATGGAATAAGTAATTGAAAGATAGAAAATAAAAATTAGGGTAAAATAATACATATATTATATAAAATGAAGTCATTTTATAGTTTCGGTTTAGTTCGGTTTTTCGGTTCGGTTATTTACCTTTCCACCATACCGAACCGAATAATTCGGTATTTCAAAAATAAAAAACTGTACATGCGGTTTGCTATTCGGTACGGTTTGAAACGGCTCGATTTTTCGGTTTTTCGTTTTTTTTCTCACCCCTACTAAAAGCCTTTGCCAAAGTGTAGCTTTTAATCTAAAAAAAATAGAGAAATGATAAATTCTGGAAAGAAAATGATACATTATAAAAAGTATTTTGAGGAAAAAAAAGAAAAAAAGTTGCCTTCCTTCTAACGACAGTTGCTCTCCACTTGATCTAATCAGTGGACACTTCAATTTAGAGGTGATTTCTTGTTGAGGCGATTAAACCGCCGGAAAATGGCCGGAAGACACCACTCCTCTGCCTCCGCCGCCCCAAAATCTCAGCGATCTCCGCTCCTTCTATTCACTCTCTCTCTCATCTTCCTCTGTATTCTCTTCTACATTTTCGCCTCTTCTTCGTCTCCCTCTTCCACCACTCTCCGCCCTAGCACAATCCACGCGGCCTCAAACTCCGTAGTCGACTATTCTTTCGTTTCTTCACTCGACAATTTCCTGATCAACTCCAAATCCAAATCTTCCTCTACGGTTCCAGACGATACAGTTCGAGGCGATGTTACAGAACATGATGTGAAGATGCTCGACGATTTGATTTCACAAGTAGAGGAGAAACGGATTTTTGGAGACGAAAATTCGTTTTACTCACCAGTTAGGGTTTATGTGTACGATATGCCGTCGAAATTCACCTACGATTTACTCTGGCTGTTTCAGAGTACATATAGAGACACTACTAATCTCACTTCTAATGGCAGTCCTGTTCATCGATTAATCGAGCAAGTGAGTTTCCATTAAGCAGCGATTCATTAGCTGAATGATTTTTTTCATCAATTCCATTTCAATGAAATCATTTTGTGGATTCAAGAATACCTTTCAGTACTTTATTTATGATTATGCTTTTTGTTCATGCGGTAATGTTTTGGCTGCAGCATTCTATTGATTACTGGTTATGGGCGGATTTGATTGCGCCAGAGTCGCAGAGGTTACTGAAGAATGTGGTTAGAGTTAACAAACAGGAGGAGGCAGACTTGTTCTACATTCCATTTTTCACTACAATAAGCTTTTTCTTAATGGAGAAACAGCAATGCAAGGCGCTTTATAGGGTGTGAGTGCGTTACCATGGAGTCTTGTACTTTACATTTTTATGTTTGCTTATGCTTGATTGCAGCATTTTTAGCTACTGTGAGCATTTTAAAGTTTTTTAGTTGCTTCCGTGTTTGTTGTTGAAATGGAGTTGCATTGTCTGTGTGAACTTTTTCCTCCGAAGGTTTTGAAGGATAATGTTAAGAATGGTTGCCTGCTCTAGCTAGTTTATTTTTTTAGGACATTGCAAATGCTGGACGAGGATAGTTAATTGTACATGCTTTCTGTTATATGAGAACAACAAAAGAAGTAGACATTCTACATTTAATGCTTTTCATGTGGCATTAGGCCACCGTATGTCATGAAAAAGAAATTCAGTCGTCTTTTCTTGGTAACCGGAATTTGATTTGGTAGCATGTTTAGGTCAGGGCCTAATGAAAGAATTCTCTCCTTGTATTTCAATTATATTGTCTTGATTTGAAACTGATCTCAAAAGACTCACTAATATGTGTTACGTGTATGAGATTTAATATGTATGCTGTGTTTTCTTGATGTAGGAAGCCCTGAAGTGGGTTATGGACCAACCAGCTTGGAAGCGGTCTGAGGGTAGAGATCATATCTTACCAGTTCATCATCCTTGGTCTTTTAAATCTGTTCGGAAGTTTATGAAGAACGCAATCTGGCTCCTTCCAGACATGGACTCAACTGGGAATTGGTCAGTATTTACCTTTAGTTTCAGCAGTGAACCAAATTTAGTAGATTATTGCAGAAAGATAGCAGCTGATATATGGCTCTCTTGGTATTTCAGGTATAAACCTGGACAAGTTTACCTTGAGAAAGACGTGATACTCCCATATGTTGCCAATGTTGATTTGTGTGACTCCAAATGTTCAATAGATTCAAAGAGAACCACACTGCTATTTTTCCGTGGAAGGCTGAAAAGGAATGCTGTAAGATTTTTATTATAAATTAAAATGTGATGTTATATAGTTAAGCTAAGAGCCCATATTCATTCAGTACTTTAGAAGTTCACTGAGAAGGATATGGAAGCCGGGGGGGTGTATGGAGATATGTGATGGAAAATGAAAAAAAAGTGTTTTCTGATTTTGCTTCCAGGGTGGGAAAATTCGTGCTAAACTTGTGACGGAGCTTAACGGCGCCAAGGATGTGATCATAGAGGAGGGTACTGCCGGAAAGGAAGGAAAAGCTGCAGCTCAGATTGGCATGCGCAAGTAAAATTTAGCTGCATTATCACAATGGTTTTGAGCATTATGACCAACAGAGAAGGGAATTATTTGACTTACTTGCTTCATTCCTTGTTCAGGTCTATATTTTGCCTTAATCCAGCTGGTGATACTCCTTCATCTGCTAGGTTGTTTGACGCAATTGTCAGTGGGTGCATTCCTGTAATTGTTAGTGATGAACTGGAGCTTCCTTTTGAAGGAATACTTGATTATCGCAAGGTATATGCCTTCTCTTTGGTGGTTTCACTGTACAAATTGCTCACTATATCTCCTTGAAATGATAACAAATAGGTGATTTGAAAACGCGCACAAGAGTTTCAAATCTAGATTTGAATTTGTGGATATTAGAAAAACATGTTAAAGTTGGTAATATATGAGCTTTTAGATTTGTTGTTAACAACATATAGGTAAAGGCGTATAGCAATTTGTAAGTAGTGCTTCAGAAAAATAATGTCACTGTAATTAAAACTTACTCAGCAGCCTTTTGTGTGTGACTGAGACCATTGTTTCTGTGACAGATAGCTGTATTCGTTTCTTCTAGTGATGCCGTGCAGCCAGGGTGGCTCGTATCATTTTTAAGAAGCATTTCTCCCACTCAAATTAGAGAGAAGCAAATGAATTTAGTTAAGGTATGTGCATCGCCAATTTATGTATTACATAATCTTTGAAGATCATGTTTCGACCCATTTGTGATGGTCAAGTAGTCATAGATTCCCTTTCTATACTAATTAAAGAAAGTTTTTTTTTTATAATTTTATTTTGGGTTGACATATGATTAGCTATCATGTCCTTATTTCAGTACTCAAGGCACTTTTTATATTCCCATCCAGCACTGCCAATGGGTCCAGAAGACTTAGTTTGGAGAATGGTTCGTTACTCCATCTCTTATTTACTAATACCAGTAACTAGTTAGCACTTAGCATATGAAGTTTTCTCGTCGGGTTAGCTCGTAAATAGCAGTTCAAGAGTTGCTATACTGAATCCTGAAGTCTTGATGATGAAATTAAAATTGCCTTAAATAATGAAATTAGTGAGAATCCATCAATTCTCTGCTGCAAGTTTTTCTTGTTCTTCATATTGGTTGGGTGTAATATGAACAGATAGCAGGTAAATTGGTGAACATAAAGCTTCATTTAAGGAGATCGCAGCGTGTGGTGAAAGAATCTAGAAGCGTGTGCACTTGCGACTGCAGGCGTCCCAATAGTACTAACCCAATACCCTAGTCTTATTAATTGTTTTTTTTCATCCTTTCATTTATTTTTTGGTCAGTTTATGTAATTGTTTGTTCTTGTTATTACAAATTGAGAACTGTGTTGGACAATAATTAAAAGTAAAGAGAATATACTGGACCTAAAATGAAGATGCTTCCTCCATTTGTAATATGCATTTCTATTATTCATGTTGATTGTCAACTGACGACCAATAACAAGGAGAAATAATGTGGTGTAGTGAAAAATGATAGAGATAAGAAAATAGAAGATGGAACACTAGGAATATAATATATATTGATTATTCTAGTTGCTGCAAGTATACTGTTTTCGGTTGGCATGTGGAAGATGTAGTGGAGGCTCAGTTTCCCATGTTTATGAATTCGTATTCACATGAAGAAGATGCGTGTTTTTGTATTTATTGGGTAAATTGAAGCGAAAACGTGTTTTGACGAGCATGGGACGTGCGCTGCATTTCCTGATTCATTGATTGATTAATTGTCTGCCTGGCATTATTATTATTAACCATTAACCAATGTTTCCTCGCAACAAACAAATCACCGACTTTTCTTTCTTTTTCAATTTTATTTTATTTTCCCCTATTTTCATGGCTTCTAGTAGGACGGACTACTTATATTTGTTTTTTTTTTTTATTTTTTTTTATTATATAATTTATGTCAAATTAGAGAATGTATTGATTTTGGAATATTCCTACAAAAAACAACATTTCATACGCATTTTACTGTTTTTATGGAATATTTTTCACCACCGCTCACGATGTGATTTTAAAATGTTGTCTAAATTTATTGAAATATTTATTTAATGATTCTTTTTTATATTCCACCAATTTGGATTATTTGGCCCAAATATTTACTTAATAGTAACTTCTTTCTACTACCAGTTGGACTATTATTGGTCGGGACTAACATTTCCGTAAATGATGGGCAAGAAAAGATTAAAAAATAATAAATAAATAAACAAACGAGGAAGAAAGAGAAGAAAGTAGGTGAAAAAGACACAAGTAAAAAATTTTGTCCGAAAATCTTCAGTAATAAAAATGGTTGTCCAGCAAAGTTCCCTCTGTCTCTGCTATCTATATAAACACACACATACACGCACTCGTTTACGCGCATTCGGCCAGATTAAATAAATGGAAAGCCAATTAGTGCTGCAATCTTATACAATACAATAGAGATAGAGAGAGAGAGAGAGAGAGAGAGAGAGAGACTTCAAACAAACCAACTGGAACAGCCGGCGAGCACTTCTCCGTTACCTTTGTCTTCACCTGCTTCTTCAAGGTATCATTACTTGTCACCTTTGACCGTGTATACATATCTCTCTCTCTCTCTCTCTCTCTCTCTCTGTATAAATATATATATATACATCAAAATCTCTCACTTCCAATTTCACAGCACTAATCGTCGAGGGGATTCAGTCTTCTCAAATGAGCATTGTTTTGGGTATGTTTTCCCTCTTCTTCCTTTTCAGATTTTTTTTTTCTTTTTAAATCGTTTGACCTTTAAATCTGTATAAAATCTCGTGATCATCAATTCGATTCTATAATCTCTAGCAATAAATGTACATTCTGTGTGTATAGGGTACGACTTCTGAGCATCTTGTGCTGTATATTGCTAATCCTTTGACTTTACTTTGACTCTCATGATCTGTACATATGTTTCAGGATCAGATTCTTCTTATTAATACTATCTTGTGCTGTAAATAACAATCTGCTCATCTTATCGTCAATGCTAAATCCCTTTTGACTTTTGTTTGACTTTCATGATCTGCATTACTTAGAAGAAGTCCTACTGATTTTAAAACTTGTCATATGTTTCAGGATCAAGATTTTCTCACATTATATTTGAGTGTTAGAACTTCCAACACATTCAAATGGCATCCAAATCTTTCAAGGCAAGCAGATCAGATCTCTCTTCAGCATCGTCCGACGTGCTCGATTCGCAGAACGGGAAGCCGCCACTGCCGCCACACGTGACCTTCGCCCGCCGCACCTCCTCCGGCCGCTACACAAACTACTCCCGAGATGACCTGGACAGCGAACTCGGTAACAGCGAGTTCCTCAACTACACCGTCCACATGCCCTCCACTCCAGACAACCAGCCCAACAACAACAGCACTAACAACCCTAACGTCTCTCAGAAAGTCGAAGAGCAGTACGTGTCCAGCTCGCTCTTCACCGGCGGATTCAACAGCATGACGCGGGCCCACCTCATGGACAAGGTGATCGACTCCGACACCACCCACCCTCAAATGGCGGGGGCGAAAGGGTCTTCTTGCGCCATCAACGGCTGTGATGGAAAGGTGATGAGTGACGAGAGGGGGAACGATATCCTCCCCTGCGAGTGTGATTTCAAGATTTGCAGGGACTGTTACGTGGACGTGGTGAAAACAGGGGACGGGGTTTGCCCCGGGTGTAAGGAGCTCTACAAGAGTGCTGACGTGGACGAACTGACGGAAAACTGGCGGTCGTCTTTGCCTCAGCTTCCTCCGCCGCCTTCTTCCGGAATGTCGAGGAGGCTGTCTTTGATGAAATCGACCAAGTCGATGCTGGTGAGGAGTCAGACGGGTGATTTTGACCAGAACCGGTGGCTGTTTGAAACAAAGGGTACTTATGGATATGGGAATGCTATATGGCCAAAGGAGGGTGATTTTGATAATAGCAAAGATGGTAATAGTATTGAGCATTCTGACTTGGTCAACAAACCTTGGAGACCGCTCACTCGTAAATTAAAGATTCCCGCTGCCATCATCAGTCCATACCGGTAAATCTTGTTTTTTTTCCTCAGCAAATGAATAGTGAATACTGAATTAATGGTGAACATTGTATGTATCTGAACAAGGAGGTTATCTAACTGCAATGATGTTGTGTGATTGTCTGATATAATTTATTGTTGCAATTTCGGGGTATTTATGCTTATCATTGTACGTAAAAGTATGAAAATCTTTCATCGATTGATTGCAGGCTTCTAGTTGTTGTGCGATTGGTTGTTCTCGGGTTTTTCTTAACATGGAGAATCCAACATCCAAACACAGATGCAGTCTGGCTATGGGGGATGTCTGTAGTTTGTGAAATATGGTTTGCATTTTCTTGGATTCTCGACCAACTGCCAAAGCTCTGTCCTATAAATCGAGCCACCGATCTAAACGTACTGAAAGAAAAATTCGAAATGCCGACACCTGGCAACCCCACCGGAAAATCGGATCTCCCCGGAGTAGACATCTTTGTCTCCACAGCAGATCCGGAGAAAGAGCCGCCACTCGTCACAGCCAACACCATTCTGTCTATACTAGCGGCAGATTATCCGGTTGAAAAGCTCGCTTGCTATGTCTCTGATGATGGAGGAGCACTTTTGACATTTGAAGCCATGGCTGAAGCCGCCAGCTTCGCGAACCTGTGGGTCCCGTTTTGCCGTAAGCACGGAATCGAACCTAGGAATCCGGATAGTTACTTCAGCTTGAAGAAAGATCCTTATAAGAACAAAGTTCTGGGCGACTTTGTGAAAGACCGTAGGAGAGTGAAGCGTGAGTACGATGAGTTTAAGGTTCGGATTAACGGTCTGCCAGATTCTATTCGCCGGAGATCCGACGCTTATCATGCTAGAGAAGAGCTTAAAGCCATGAAGGAGCAGAGGCAGAAGAGAGACGACGAGCCATTGGAGATTATCAAGATCAAGAAAGCTACTTGGATGGCTGATGGGACCCACTGGCCCGGCACTTGGTTGACCACCGCTTCCGAACACTCCAAAGGCGATCATGCTGGAATTATACAGGTAATCTATATATATATATGTAATGTTTGTGTGGGTGTGTGTCTATATACAAGTCAGTGCAAAATTAAGTAACTGTATCTCTTTCTTATTAGGTGATGTTGAAGCCTCCAAGCGATGAGCCGCTTAATGGAACATCCGAAGATTCTCGAGTGGACCTAAACGACGTCGATATTCGTCTTCCGATGCTTGTTTACGTTTCCCGTGAGAAGCGGCCTGGTTATGATCACAACAAGAAAGCAGGGGCCATGAATGCTCTGGTTAGAGCTTCTGCAATTATGTCAAACGGTGCATTTATACTCAACCTCGATTGTGATCACTACATCTACAATTCCCAAGCCATGAGGGAAGGCATGTGCTTCATGATGGACAGAGGGGGCGACCGCCTCTGCTACGTTCAATTTCCCCAGAGATTCGAAGGCATCGACCCTTCCGATCGATATGCCAACAGAAACACTGTCTTCTTCGACGGGAACATGCGGGCCCTAGACGGGCTTCAAGGGCCCGTTTATGTGGGTACGGGTTGTCTGTTCAGACGGGTCGCCCTATACGGGTTTGACCCGCCCCGTTCGAAAGAACGGAGCTCCGGCTTCTGCTGCTTCGGCAGAAAACGTAAAAACCACTCTGCTATTGCTGCTGCTGAAGAGAATCGGGCTTTGAGAATGGGCGATTCGGACGATGAAGAAATGAATCTCTCACTCGCTCCGAAGATGTTCGGAAACTCGAATCAGCTAATCGATTCCATTCCAGTGGCCGAGTTTCAAGGCCGTCCGCTCGCCGACCACCCTTCTGTAAAAAATGGCCGCCCGCCTGGGGCCCTCACAATCCCCCGGGACCTTCTAGATGCTTCCACAGTGGCCGAAGCCATAAGCGTAATCTCGTGCTGGTACGAGGATAAAACCGAGTGGGGCCAGCGTGTGGGGTGGATTTACGGGTCAGTTACTGAAGATGTTGTGACGGGTTACCGAATGCACAACAGGGGTTGGAAATCGGTCTACTGCGTGACGAAACGTGACGCCTTCCGTGGGACAGCCCCGATCAATCTGACGGATAGGCTCCACCAGGTCCTACGGTGGGCCACCGGCTCGGTCGAGATTTTCTTCTCGCGCAACAACGCCATATTAGCGAGCTCGAAGATGAAGATTCTCCAGAGAGTCGCGTACCTCAACGTCGGAATATACCCGTTCACCTCTGTTTTCTTGATTGTCTACTGCTTTCTCCCCGCCCTCTCGTTATTCTCCGGGCAGTTCATAGTGCAAACTCTCGACGTAACTTTCTTGGTTTACCTACTCCTTATTACAATAACTCTATGTGGTTTAGCTGTGTTGGAAGTGAAATGGTCCGGAATCGAACTCGAGGAGTGGTGGAGGAACGAGCAGTTCTGGTTGATAGGTGGGACCAGCGCTCATTTAGCCGCCGTTTTTCAAGGGCTGCTAAAAGTGGTGGCTGGGGTGGAAATTTCGTTTACACTGACTTCGAAATCGGGCGGAGATGATGACGAGGACGAGTTTGCTGACCTATACATAGTGAAATGGACGTCTCTGATGATTCCGCCGATTGTGATTATGATGGTGAATCTGATTGCGATTGCGGTTGGTTTGAGTCGGACGATATACAGTGTGATTCCACAGTGGAGCAGATTGTTGGGGGGTGTGTTTTTCAGCTTTTGGGTTTTGGTGCATTTGTATCCGTTCGCAAAGGGGTTGATGGGGAGACGAGGGAGAACGCCGACGATCGTGTTTGTGTGGTCGGGGCTTATTGCGATTATTATTTCGCTGCTTTGGGTTGCTATTAATCCTCCTCAGGGGAGTAATCAGATTGGAGGCTCTTTCCAGTTTCCTTGATTTTATATGGTTAGGACAAATCTTTTTTGACTTTTTGTTTTGTTTTTTTGAAAAAAAAAAAGAGACGGAAAAACCTTAAATATATATATGTGTCTGGTCCTATTTTTTTGCAGACTTGAAATATTCAGACAATTCTTTTTTGAGTTTCTCATTGTTTATATATATAATGATATATACAAACTGCTTAGATATACATTTTGCCCGAGGGACCCACCATTTGTACTATTATTAGCGGCGTTGGCCTGAAGGCTGGTGGTTTTAACCCGGTTCAGGTGGCAGCGCCGCCGCTGTATGTAATTCCTCCAAAATTGTTCTCGAAAATAAGATTAAAAATATTTTGTATGGTGAATCAAACCAATTGCATCACATTGGATTCATAATCAATAACATTGAATAGTACCAACACTATATTTAATCCCTATACTCAGATTCAAAATAACTGATGTTTAAGGTTTCGGGCACGTGTATTAAGAAAATTAATAAATATGTAATAAGACTAAATTACTCCTCCATCTAATTATTTTTATGAGAACTAATGTTTGATTGAATTTATATAGAAAAAATAATTAATGCAACATTGAGATTCTAAAATCGAAAGTGAAATAACAACAACAAAATTCAAAGTGGTGAATAATATGAAATGGATGCGTATTCAACATTGAAAATCAATAAAATTTGACATTATATTGTTGTGAAATGATCATTGGCAGCAACAAAGAACGTCGGAAAAGCCTCGTTGTGGAATGCAGGTTCCGGAGTTGAACTTTCGATGTATGCATAATCCCAAACAAGCATCATCTCCGAATGAATCCGAACATACCGCGTAGCAAAATGGGTCTACTGCTTCCTTTCCTTCGCTAGCTGTTCAATTAATCCATCCACAATCTAAGCGACTATAAACAGTTAAACCTCTATAAATTATTATAGTCAGTAACAACAAAATAGTAACAACAAAATTCAATTAATCGTAAAAATATAATTAATGAAATAGTAATACCCGTGACAAGAGCAGAGGCAAAAGCCATGATGACGAAGAGACAAAGAAGAAGATATTTAATCAATTCCATTCGATCTTCTTATTGGTCAAAGCATGAATTAAAATCAAATAATTAATTAGGCCGGCGTGTGTGTGTTGAGAAATAGTGGTGATTTTTATATTCATATAATTTTAAATTATGTATATATATATGGTAAATGTCATCACTAATTACCTAATTTGTGTGAGTTGTAGTAACAATTAAATATGATTGGAGATAATCTAAATTACAACCGGAGATTCTGCAGACGATGATTATTGGATTATTAATGCAGCTAGTAGTCAATCACCACGTGTAAATTGCTTCCAAAATCCAGCTAATGTGGGGTGATTTTTGGAATCTTTAATGCAACTCTTTTCTATATATTTATTCACTGCTTTCTATATCAATTATTTCTGTATATGATTTCTGATATACTTATGGAAATGATTGCGGCTGAAAATCAAATCAAATCACATAAATTATATATATATATATATATATATATATATATATATATATATATATATTGAGAATAGGTGTGTATAATAAATAGTCATTTAATTTAATTTATGATATTTTGTTGGCTTAGCATGTGTCGAAATTGGAGCCACAAAACTCAACTAATTTCCTCGTTTTCCAGCTTGCTGGAATTCTACTGGTACACAAAACATTATTTTGCCAGCTATGCTGCATCGGGGGAAATACATCGGCAAATTTTTAAATACACAAAAATAAATTTATATATACAGATCAAAGGTCAAGACTCACTCGATGTAATCTTTACCGATTGTAGCATCTAAATCACCATTTTATTGATCATTATATTATTTTCAATACATAGTATCAAGTTAGATTACTAATTGCAAAATGATTTTATGCATACAAGGAAATTGTTGTAAATAATATATAATGTGGTTATTCCTATCTTAAGTCACTCGGAGTTTATAACTCCCCACTACGCCACTAGAGATTCTCAACTTACCCATTATCCCATAACTCCCTTCATGATCTATGTAGGGTATAACTTCCGTGTAACTCTCATGTAACTTCCGGTGGTTTGCACCTATATAAATGAGAATCTTCCCTCCCCTAACGATCACACAATTTTCTCTGTACGGATTGTTGTTCTTTGCATTCTTTCTTTCTCTCTTTGTCTTGTTATTTATATTCTTATGTATTTCCACAAACACAAACCAAAGAGCTAGATAAATAGGTCATTTTACAACATAAATAAAATATATATACATTATTGTGATTCGAATCAAACATAATGCATGGTTCCCAAGTCTCAATCATCTGACAGTGACACAGTTAATTTACTTGACTGGTTTGGTTTGTGTTTGCAGAATTTAGGAATAAACCTATCTTTGGATTATTACATACATACACACATATATACAGTTTTCATATTTTTTACATTAGATGAAAATAAAAACATGGAACATGGGCAACTGGACGACAGATTTAGCTACCGAATTTAACTAATTTAATTTTAATTCATTAATTAATTAATTCTGTTTTAATTAGCCGGATCCTAACTTTACGCCTCGTGGTATTTTTATATAAATATATATATAATTTTCTCTACCTCCTAAATTAATCCCATATTGAATTAAAAAAAAAAAAAAAAAGTTGGATCCATACTCAAAACTTGACTGATGAGTTAACAAAGAAGGGTAGGTGGTAGCTAAACGGGTCGGGTCGAGTCATCTCTCTCATAAAACGGATATGCCCAGCAGCTGGGGCTGGCTGCTTCAATACTTACTTGTTCCTTTTTCCCTCCTCCAATACTCCTACCTACCTCCCCTTCCCATCACCTTGTATTTATTGTATCTATCTTTCTCCTTTTTCCCCCAAATTCATCTCTCTCTCTCTCTCTCTTCTTTCTCTCTCTAGAAAAACTAGTTCATATTGCCATTGAAGAGGCCACCAGCAGCAAACTTAGTATACTGATCAGAATCACAGCGAGAAGATGTTGTCAGTGGCATCTGCGGAAACTCAGAATCCGGAGCTTTCTTCTCCGATCATAACACAGAAGCAATCTTCACCGGAAAAAAGCCATGTTTTTAAATCCAAGCTCCCAACTATCCCCATTTCTAACCACCTACCTCTCCACACCTACTGCTTCGAAAATTTCTCTCACTATCCTGACAGGAAATGCCTTTTGGTGGGGAACGGTACCGGAAAATCATACACCTACGCCGAAACGCATCTCATCTGCCGGAAAGTCGCCGCCGGTTTGTCCAACCTCGGAATCAAAAAAGGCGACGTCGTTTTGGTACTCCTCCAGAACTGCGCCGAGTTTGTGTTCACTTTCATGGGAGCTTCGATGATCGGAGCGGTTACTACTGCTGCGAATCCTTTCTGTACGGCTAATGAAATTTTTAAGCAATTTAGGGCTTCCAATTCGAGGATGATTATCACGCAGGCGCAGTACGTAGACAAGCTCCGCGAAGGAGGTGATGATTCCCCAAAATTCGGAGAGGATTTCTCAGTGATCACCGTCGACGATCCGCCGGAAGGATGCCTGCATTTCTCGGTGCTTTCCGAGGCGAACGAGAACGACGCGCCGGCGGCGGTGGAGATCGACTCCGACGACGCCGTTTCGCTACCGTTTTCATCCGGAACCACCGGGCTGCCGAAGGGCGTGATCCTGACGCACAAGAGCTTGATCACCAGCGTGGCTCAGCAAGTCGACGGCGAGAATCCGAATCTGTACTTGAAGCCGGACGACGTCGTTCTGTGCGTGCTGCCGTTGTTCCACATATACTCGTTGAACTCTGTGATGCTGTGTTCGTTGAGAGCCGGCGCGGCGGTTCTTCTGATGCAGAAGTTCGAGATAGGTTCGCTGCTGGAGCTGATACAGAGGCACCGCGTGTCGGTGGCGGCGGTGGTGCCGCCGCTGGTGCTGGCGTTGGCAAAGAATCCGATGGTGGACCAGTTCGACTTGAGCTCGATTCGAATGGTGCTGTCTGGGGCTGCGCCGCTGGGGAAAGAGCTGGAGGCGGCGTTGCTCAGCCGTTTGCCGCAGGCAGTATTTGGACAGGTTGGTAACACTAGTTTCTTAGTTTCAGAAACCAACCAACCAACCTAACTAAATTTCATGTCATTTTGGTGCCTCTATAAAGTCGTTATATGAACACTAATAGTAAATAAAATAAATAAATAGTATCTAAAGAAAAAAAGAATAGCACTTTTGCCTTTTCTTTCTTTTTCTAGAAAAAGGTACTTTTTTTTTTTGAAAACTAGAAAAAGGTACTTGATGACGGCTATAATATTATATTTATTTCTTTATTTAACATATAAAGAATTTTTAACAGGGTAAATTACAACAACCCATTAAAAAAAACCCCAAATGTTTGGGTAATTACTAATTACAACCCCTCAACTATAATTTTTTTTTACACGTCTACTCTTGTGGTGTTAAATTTAGAAGAATATTCTCGATTTTATACCCGTTTTACTTCACATTTGAAACAAAATAATCATAAGTTGTTATTTTGATTTGTAAATATCAGATTGTGGTGTATCAAAAACTGCATTTAGTCACAAGACGAGTACAAACTAGAGAACATTCACGGAATTTGGAAAATTATTTTGAATTTTTCACCACGAAAGTAGACGTGTAAGAAAATTCATAGTTGAGGAGTAGTTGAAATTATCCAAATATGGGGGATTTTTTTGTAATTTGAACACAACTCAGGGGTGGTTGTGATTTACCCTTTATATAATCATATTTTGGGTATAATTTTAAATAGATTAATTTGTGCTAAAAATCGTATAAAGTACACTACTCCAAATCCTTTATATTTTGGATATTAATTTTAATTCTTTTTTAATTTGTTTGTACTAAATGCCTAAATGGGCGACCGTTTATTTAAACCCACTATTTATGGAAAAGGGGCATGTTATATTGAGTTAATCTTTATATGTGACAATTAATGTGGTACATGTGATTGTGTAAGAGTCCACGAAGTCCAACAAAATTAACCTCACATAGTTGATGTATGGGCAATTTGCATTTTGACCCCACCAAACAAATACTAATGAAATTAATGAAAAAAAAAAACAGGGGTATGGGATGACGGAGGCAGGTCCAGTGCTGTCAATGTCACCGTCATTCGCAAAGCAGCCACTGCCAACAAAATCAGGGTCTTGTGGCAACGTTGTCCGCAATGCGGAACTCAAAGTCGTTGACCCTGAAACGGGCTTCTCTATTCCCCGTAACCAGCCCGGTGAGATTTGCATCCGCGGCCCGCAAATCATGAAAGGTACGACTATAATTTCATTCATTATTAATTATTCAAACTACGTACGTACCCTAATTAATACTACTTAATTACTAGGGTATTTGAATGATGCTGAGGCAACGGCGAGAACAATTGATGTGGAGGGTTGGCTCCACACCGGTGACATTGGCTATGTTGATGATGACGATGATGTTTTTATTGTTGACCGAGTCAAAGAACTCATCAAATTCAAAGGCTTTCAGGTATTCTTATTTTTTTAATTTCCTATTTAATTATTTATTATATATCAATTAATTAATTATATATGCATGTATAAATGAAATGAAGGTACCACCAGCTGAGCTAGAAGCTCTTCTTGTAAGCCACCCCAGTATCGCCGATGCTGCTGTTGTACCGTAAGTTCATGCAAATAATATATATATATATATATATATATATATATATGATTTTACGGTTATTCGACAGTAAAAATATAATATATGAAATTACGTACGCACAGGCAAAAAGATGAGGCCGCCGGTGAAGTTCCTGTGGCGTTTGTCGTTCGATCGAATGGATTTGAACTCACGGAAGAAGCTGTCAAAGATTTCATTTCAAAACAGGTTAATTTTAACATATTATTCGTAAAATTTTATATGCATAATATTTGGTACTGAGATTAAACATCGAAACGGAATACTTACAACGGTTTAAACGTACGTAACATACAGGTGGTGTTTTACAAGAGACTGCACAAAGTATATTTTGTACATGCCATTCCCAAGTCTCCTGCTGGTAAAATTCTAAGGAAAGATCTTAGAGCCAAACTGGCAGCAGCTTCCTAAAAGATACTATCAATTGTTAAATTAAATTAGTTTATTAGAGATTATATTTAGGTATTATTTAATTATCTTTTTCTTGCCTCATTGTTGTATTCTCAATTTTTTCCTTGTTATTCATCACTCGAAATTATTGTAATATGTGTATTGTATTCCATTCATCCATTCTTATTTAAATAATTGAATGTCAACGTTTATTATTTTTAATTATTATATTTATTATGTTCATGATTAATTTTTTTTTTTTAATGAAAATCACATATATGTTCAATACGTATCGATTAAAATCAAGAAAAAAAAGTAATTACTACATGTTCTCACTAGGGAAAAGAAAAGAATAATCTCACATTTTAAATGATCAATATGCAGCAAGTTTCTTTCTTTGTTGATGTTCTGCAACTTTATAATCCACCACTTCGCGGAACAGATTAGCGTCGAGCACACAGTCCTCACTACCATAAACCGCCGCCTGAACACTCGCCATTAATTTCGCAATTTCTCTCCCGGAAAATCCCTCGGTTTTTTCTGCAGCTTCCTTAATAATGTCATCGTTCAATCCCTTAATTTCTATCTTCTGCTGCTCTTTCTTGAACAAATGTGAAAACAAACCTGTTTTTCTCCCCCCAGCTTCTGCTATATACTTGTTCAAATAGAGCTTCACCAATTTAAACCGTTCATCTTCTCCAGGCAGAGGGAATTCAAGAACTTCATCTATTCGATCAGCCACTGCAGAATCAAGATCACCTGGCCGATTTGTGGCAAGAGCAAGGACTATATCCTTTGACTGATCACCCGTGCGGAATAAGAGTGCGTTGAGTGCACTCCTTTGAGCTTCACTCATATATGTTTTGTTCCGCCTGTATTTATATAAAAAAGAATACAGATGCATATTACTTTCACTGTGTGCAAAAAGCCATCTCATTCGAGTTTGTCGGGTGAAATTTTTTACTTACTCGCACAAGAATGCATCTGCTTCGTCGATGAAAAGAAGTAAACCCCTGTTCGATTTCTTAGCCCAATCGAACAATTGGTGTATCTTTGTAACTGCCTGAGAGCCGAGCGGTGCAACATCTCCTCCAGTCATCAATGCATAGTCAAGACCCTATTTTTCAATTTCCGAAATAATTTTCATTTGCTAATTATGATCACGTATAATCTATATGCAAACAGAAAAAAAATAACCCAACTATCAAATATCGAATTCTTACAGATTTACGGGCAAGCTCCCTAGCAGCCATGGTTTTTCCAGTTCCTGGTGGACCGTAAAAAAGCATGTTTCTAAACGGAGCCTGATGAGTTTTTGTATTAGCTGTTGCTTTAGCCAATTGCTCGATTCGTTTAAGAAGAGAAGGGTGCAAAATAACATCACCGAATCCAGCTCCAGAAGTTCTATTGCCACTACCGGAGAAGGTGCTAATGGCCCGTGAAAATAAGCCGGACCATGGATACTTCCCTCTGGAAGATTCTCTTATCAGAGATGGTTGTCCTAATATTCGGTCCACATAACCCCAAATTACTCTAGCCCCTTCTCTAAAATCCAAAATGAACATATGAATCAAGTGTTCAAAGTAGTACTGCATATGAAGACATATAAGAGCCACATGAATATGAGTTCTATGGTGACATAAATTTATTTTGCGCAATAACTTATGAAGAGATGGGATGTGATGAATGATCAAGATGATAAAACTTTAACGAATATTCACGAGACAATCATGATGGCTCAATGCAAATAATCAAATTACCATAATTTGGCATAAAACATGTTGACAATAAACAAAGATAAATAAGAAGCACATGCTTCAACATTGCAGCACCTTGTAGTGTAGACCCCTGCTGCAAGAGCTGTTACGCCTCCTACAGCTACAATCAGCTTATTTTGATCCGTTAAAATTGCTCGAAGACCCCCTGCATTTGATAAAAAAAAACCACATTGTCAACAGTGTAATGGAATATAATTAGCTATTCTGCACTAGATATGCTCATAACTCTACAACTAACACTGGGTCTTGAATTCAGCAAAAACTAGAAACTAGCAAAAAAAAAACTTTGTTATTCCAAAGATTTAAAAAAAAATTGATTGAAGAATACCTCCAATGTGATCAAAAGTAGTGTTAATAGCGGCAACCCATTTCTCTCGCTCTGCATTTGCACGTTCAACCAGCATTCTCTTATTAACATCCTCCGCAAGTTTTGCTTCATGGGCTCTTCCCTCTGCTTCTGCCAAAGCTCGCACTCTTATAGTTTCACGTTCAATTTCAGCCTTTGCTCTTTCTGTTTGGCGACGTTGTGCTTGAATTTGCTCCTCAGTTGCTCGCCTGGCAGACTCTTGCCTCATAGCTGATTCCTCTTGCATTTTAACAAGTTCTTGATTTCTCGTTCTATGATGTTCATTTTCTGCCTGCAAAAAAAACATTAATAAAAAATGAAGGACTTTTTATTCCTACAAGTACCGCACCTCCATAGGGACCAAGACGAACAACTACCTGCATCCTTTTCCTTGCTAATTCATCTTCGTAACGAGCCATCTGTGATTTTATCTGTGCCTGTTGTTGAGCTAGCTTTTTCTGTTCTTCATATACCACCTTTTGTTTCTCCTGATAAAATCAGAACAGTAATTTTTCATTGTTTGACATCAAAAAAAGACTATCATATCGTTTTTTACAGTCTTAAAATGTGTCATTGTTAAGCGGGATCTAGTGTTTAAAATGTGGAAACTAATGTTTAGTCTTTAAACACACTTCGTTAAATCCCTCACTAAATCAGATGTACTGGGTTAAAATGCAAATAGTAAAGATAAACCAACTATACAATTTCACATAATGATTCGGTTCAAGTTTGTGTCCTATTAAAAAAATGAAGTGAAATACAGCTCACGATCAATTGGACTTGCAACAAACTATCCAGACAAAATTACCCATCCACCACTTTCTCCTCCACTGTTATGTTCAGATCAAGAGAATGAAAAAGGACATAAATGAAGTCGAGTAAAATGAAACTTACAGCTTCAGCTTGAGCTTTCAATGCCTTGAATTCTGCTGCTTTTGAGGCTAATTCTTGCTGCCTGGTTTCTTCTTGCTTTTTCATCACTTCGAATACCTATTACCAAGAAATTGCTCCTCCATCAAAACATGTTGCGTCAAAAATACCAATCAAAATTCAAATACACATAAATCGTGCCTCAGAATGGATGAAATTATTTTCCCAGTTAATGTAATGATTAATGAAAAAACAGGTAGCAAAAAATACGAAATAAATCATCCATATTCCCGCAATAAAATACTCAATCCCAAATTTCAGAACCTGTTTAGCATAGGAAGAGCGATTAATCTCTCTCAACGCCTTGGCACCCCTCTCCAGCGCCTCCGGGTCAAACCCAGCAGAAGTCGTCCTTGGATTCTCATTATGAACCCGCGGTTCCGCCGGCTCCGGAGCTGCTTGCGGAGATTTTGAAGCCGCAGAAGAAGAGTTCGAGAATGGAGAAAAACCGGATGATCCATCTGCATAAGCACGATCCACACCGAAAGTTGCATAAGCCACGGCTGCTGCTAAAACCCCCGATGCACAATTTTTAGCCATTCTTTTCCCAAATTGATTCACTTAACCTAACCAAAGGAGGAATGTTGATAGGTTTTTCGAGCTCCAAATGTTATGAATTCGGGAATATCAGCATTCTGAAAACATTAGCTTGAGAGAAAAGAAAGGAGGGTTTTGATCAGGCGCCATTGAATATTTATTTCAGGAATACAAGCTTCAGGGTTTATGTAGGGTTTTCGGATTTTATGTAAGTTTCTTTTTTTATTTTAATTTTTAGTAAGCCAATTGATCCAAATAATAATTATTTTATGACAATGGAGTGAGTGCTCCATTTATTTTTTTAATCGATTTTTTTTTTCATAACTATTAAAAAAAAAATCATTGAATTTATTTGGATAATTCAGATTCATATTCTTGATTTGTTGTAAATCATCTACATATCATTTTAAAATCAATTTTAATTAGTATTTAATGGAGATAAATAAGTGCCATCTCCAAAATTGTTGGGCCAAAAACTAATTAATAAGGAAGACTGATTCCAAGGCCGAAATGGGCTACAGTAAGCGAGTCGGATCGAAGGGGTCGTCATCATATAAATCAACTGATTTTTATCTTTGATCCAACTACAAGATTATTCAAGAATGCAACTCCCAATTTGTTCATAGAATTTAAAATCTCATCCGCCTCAAATTCGTTACCGGCCGAACGATAAAAACAGACCGCTGCACTCAAAATAAACCTGTCGGGACCCACTGTACTGCACTCCCTCTCGAAGAAGCATATCCCTTCTTCCACATGCCCATAATCCAAATAACCCCTAAGCATTATCCGTTTGGACTCGATATCGGGTCTTAATCCAGTCGAGATAATTTTCCTGTATATCCTATCAGCTTCTCCGATTAATCCTGCTTTAGCAAAAGCTGATATCAAGAGGTTAAAATGCCCACAAGATAAAGAGATTCCATCCTTGTGCATTAACGTTATCTTTTCTTCTGCTTCGGAATATCTCGATTTCTCGGTACACGCTCTGATAACGGCAAGGTAGGTACGAGAATCAGGTGAACAGCCATTCTTCCGCATGCTTAGCAGAAGTTGTTCTGCTTCGTGGTGGAGCCCACTCCCAGCATATACGTTCATCATAATATTGTAGCTCATCTACACATTGTAACATTCATAAATAATAAACTTGAGTGTTGCATAAACGAGATATTTGAACTCATACTTCTACCATCTATCTTATGAATATATATACGTCTAGGATATTTTGATTAGAGTTGATGCAAGTTATTCCGGAATTTTTCGTATGTATATCCACTATCATTTAGTAGTCACCATTGACATACCTGCCCAGGTTTTATCCCTTCCTCTTGCATTTTACTGAATAAAGCCGACGCTTCGTGAACATTGCCTACAAAGTCAAGTAGAGTAAGAATCCTTTCGGAACAGAGAGCTTATATATATATATATATATATATATATATATATATATATATATATATATATATATATATATATATATATATATATATATATATATATATATATATATATATATATATATATATATATATATATATATATATAGAGAGAGAGAGAGAGAGAGAGAGAGAGAGAGCACCAGCTTTTCCATAGTGGCAAATCATGTTAGTGTACGTCTTCTCATCCAAAGCCACACCGGTGCGCTGAGCCAAGTTGAAGATCTCCACAGCTTTATCCAGGTTTCGGCCTCGTCCGTAGACACTGCAAAATCAAGAATCCCAATTCGATCAAATCTATGTTTTCGCACTTTGTTTAATTTACGCCTCTAAGAATAAAAATCAATGTATAACCTGATCATGGTATTATACGTCTGAATTGATGGAGAAATGTTCAAAGAAAGCATGCGCTCGTATATGCTGACAGCAAAACGAAGTTTCCCTGAGCCACTAAAAATGTTAGTTACTTTCCCCAGATTATATGGTCAATAAACGTGCATAACTCGGAAAAGATACAATATCAACCTGCTTCTAACATTGCCTTAATGCAAGTATTGTACGCCACAGTATCAAGCTCCAAATTCTCGCTAAAACTATTATGAATAACTTCCGCCGCCTCTTTACAATATTTACCTGCAAATGATCGCAATAAGTTTTTAAAAAGCCAAAAGTGATCTAAAATACAACGAAAGGTTAATATCTCTAATCTCGTACCATAGCTGGTCAAAGCTTTCACGAGTACGCTAATAGAAACAGGACCGAATTTATGTTCTTTCGTTGTCTGTTCTTTATAAAACAAGTAAGCGTCCTCTTCTCTACCACAGGCGATATACGCATCAATCATCGAACTATATATAACATTTTCATTTGTAGCAGAACCTTCCGCACCAGCAAAGACTTTCTTGGCTTGTTTTAAATTTTTTTGTTTCCCATATAGGATAATCATAGATGCCTTAGCAGCATCCTCTATTCCACAACCATGTTCTATCATTAACTCGTAAAGATATTCGGCGGTCAAAATGTCACCTGCAATAGGTGAATATTCATCAGTTTTTCAGACAGAATCGGAAATCAAGATTGTCTTCAACTAAAGAACTTACCCTCTTTGGAAAATTTGCTAATCATTTTGTTGGCTACTGACTCGCCATTTTTGGTCTTCAGCAAAAACACGAGTTTTTCTTTCATCTTTTTTTCATTTCGAGTTGCCAAAAAAAGTGTCAGAATCAGCTCAACTGCTACAAATCCAGACGGGTCCAAGGGCTCGAACCATTTCTCATATTGTCCGTTCATGGCCATTAAAAATATCTGAACAAACGGAACACTCAGAAATGTTCACTTGCACTTAACTCCTCTATCAGTTGTTCCACTTCTCTTACCATGCCTCCCTTGCAATAAACCTTCATGGCTGTCATGAAAAGCTCTTCATCGAACTCAATTCGATCTTTCCTTATCTGGGCAATAAAAGTTTTCGCCTTTTCAGACAAACCGAGTCTTATATAGAGATTGAGCATATCTTTACAAGAAAGTACATCAGGAATTCCAGTCTCGGAAAGAGCCTCAAATGCAACTTCTGCAGATGCAAGGTCCCCCTTTACTATATAGCATTTGAGCAACACGATGTAAGAAAACCTTGTGTAAGAAACATTATTGCTCTTCATTTTCTCCATTACATCCAAAGCTTTCTCAAAATTCCTAAAACTGAGATGGACTTGCGCCATTGTTGTATACGTCTTTTCATCACTAAGTTTGCCCGATCTCTCGATTTCTAAAAAGGTTTTCTGCGCGTCCTCGTAAAGACCCAATTTACCATATATTCGAATCATTAACCCATAGATAACTTCATCGGCAATAACACCATACCTCTCCATTTCAGTGAAAAGCGAACAAGCCTTTGAATGATCTGCAGTTCTGTAGTACAACGCCAGGAGTGAAGCACACGTGAAATTGCTCGGTACTATTCCAAGGAATTTCATATCTTCATAGAAATTAAGGGCTTTATTTACGTCACCGTTTTTGGAGCTCATATTGATCAAAAGGCTATAAGTCGACTCTTCAGGCACAAAACCTGCACTAATCATCTCATTAAACGTCTTCAAAGCTTCTTCAGCCATACCTCCTTTCACAAGTGAGCTAATCACAACTGTATACGTAAAATGATTTGGGGCGACCCCTTTATCAAGCATAGTCCTCCAAACGTATACAACGTCACCGTGAAGTGCTCTCTTTTGCAAAGACGAAAGCATGAAATTGAAAACAGCAGCTGAAGGCATTATCCCTCTCTCCAGTACGGCAGAATAAAACGAGAGCATAGCTTTGTGGCGACCCCATCGAGCGTACGAACACAACATGGTCCCACAAGCAACTTCGTCAGGTTCACACCCTGCTTCAAGCATCTCCAAGAAAGTATCTTCACCGAGCTTGATTTTTCCAGCTTGGCCGTACGCACGTAGAACGATTGTGTAGACTATAACGCTTGGTCGGTAGCTTAACTGTTATGGCATAAATCTAAATTACACGAAAAATTAATATCTATAACATAAACCTCATCTTGAATTGAAAACAGAAACAAGCTTCCAGTTAGCCCAAACTAGATCAATGGATATTATTTTCCCAATGAATATAGAAGTTCAATTTCGTCGAATGGCCACTAGAAAGTAAAATCAATTGTTGTAAGCATGAATTAAGCACAACATAATATAGAGAGAGAAGGGACCTGCAATTTCATCCAAGCAAAGAAATCTCTAACTTGGCGCCAACTCTTCTGCTCCTTCAACACCACACACATCTCTCTAAAAGTAAGCTTAGCAACAAACGAGCACATCACTTCCCTCATATCGTACTCCCCATCGCGCAAGGCGGAAGTGCTCCTCACCCGCTTAACAGCCGCCACCACGTGGCGGCCGTACAAATGCCCATTCCTATCGTCCTCCAGATACTGCACCATCTGCTCAGGGGTTCGTTTGATCCACTTGGGAGTCTGCGCGCGTGAGCCTTGGTTTCGCCTCAGTACGCTCAGGTACTGGGCTTTGGCTTTGATTATGCGGCGGGCGTTGTCGTCTGACAGTGGGTTCTTCTGGTTTTTGGACTTGGGTTTTGGTTTGTCGAGGTTTTTGGGATTGCCCGAGCTGAGTGTCCACGGGTCGGGTTTCAGGCAGCAGAGAATTGTGGGAGGTAGTGGTTTTTTAAGCTTACGGGTTTTCGGAGGCGGGTTGATGAACGGTGATGAGTAGAGAAACGAGGATTTTAGGGACTCCATTTTTTACAGAAGAAAAACTCCTGGAAGGAACACGACGATTTCTGATGTGTGAGATAATTTGTGGCGATGAAATTTGGCTCCATTTTCAAGTGAATTCGATGGATATGGGCTGAGGAAAACAAGCCGGATTATGATTTGGGCTTTTATGTATAGCCCAATTTTGCCGCAATACATAGCCCAATTTATATTCATACCAATTTCTGCAATTCGTCACTTGAATCAGTTTCTTCTTCGAATTCGATTGTCAGTGTTGATTGGATATTGTGATGAATTGGTACTAATTACTGAACGGCTGAACTCCGGTCGAAATAATGGCCGGTACCGGTGGCAGCGCCTCTTCAAACCTATCCCCAGCTCCCAAAATCCTGTTAGCGAAGCCGGGACTCATTAGCGCTGGCAAATTCAATCGAGGCGGCGGCAACGGCGGCGCAGACGAGGACTCCACCGCGCTCCGCTCACGTCTTCCGTCCGTCGGTTCCCTCAACCTCCTTTCAGAGTCCTGGGATTTCCAGAGAGATCGATTTTTACCAGTCCGTACTCTCTCTCTCTCTCTCTCTCTCTCTCTCTCTCTCTCTCTCTCTCTCTCTCTCTCTCTCTCTCTCTCTCTCTCTCTCTCTCTCTCTCTCTCTCTCTCTCTCTCTCTCTCTCTCTCTCTCTCTCTCTCTCTCTCTCTCTCTCTCTCACACACACACACACACACACACTCAAACAGCATAGAGATCAATTTTCTTCAATTTACGCTGTTTTTTTTTGTTTTTTAAGGGTTTGTAATTTCGTGCAGTTTTTAACGGATAACACCGATTTCACTGTCGTCGGTGTAATTGGTCCAACGGGGGTTGGAAAATCAACCATTCTGAATGAAATTTATTGTTATGATTCTTCTTCACCTGGTATGTATCTGTAAGATTGATCAAAAGTTCAGAATGGAGAATTTTTTTTTTTTAATAATGTGAATTAGAAGAAAGGCTGAATTTCGGATATTTTGGCAGGAATGCTACCTCCTTTTGGTGTAGAATCGGAGGAAACAAGGTCAATGGCTAAGCATTTAACGGTAGGGATTGAGCCCAGAATTTCCTCCGAAAGGATCATCCTTCTCGATACTCAGGTTGCGTATTTTATAGGGTCGTCGATTTTTTTGTGGTTTATTTATTGTGAATTTGGAATAAGTAACGAAACGAATTTGCTCTTTTTTTTTTTTATAAAATGCAGCCTGTATTTAGTCCTTCAGTTTTAGCAGAGATGATTAGGCCCGATGGCTCGTCTACAGTCTCGGTTATAAGTGGTGAGTCCTTATCGGCAGAGCTAGCTCACGAAATGATGACTATTCAGGTAACTGCTTTTTGCAAATTGAGACAAATGAATTGAAGTTCCATTTATATGCTTATATTTTCGTCTTTTTTTAGAACTGGTTCTAAGTATATACGGAAGCCATAAGAAAATCATTGACGGAGCTAACGTTTTTCGTCTGTGCTGCAAGGAATCATTCTAGCTTGGTGTCCTTCTTGCATCCATTTGTCACATAGTCATCGTGGCATCCGAAGGAGTTCATGATTCTAGCATGTGGCGTTTAATGTCAACGGTATAAACTCCATTGTTTTTTGTGCTACCATTTTGTCATTCGGTTGGCTTTCCTATTATTTTGTAAATCATTTTTAATTATCTTATGTCTATGTCGATGAGCTGTTAAGAGCATAAAGCACTTTCTTAGCAGCAGAAGCTTTTATTCTTATCTGCGCTATTCGAATGTTTTTGTTTCCATGAAATTGAACTGTTTATAGCATTTGTTTGTGCAAACATTTCATGCATTATTTTCTCGAGTGCTACTTTTCGGGTACGTAATACTCTTGCGATTTTCTGACACCAGGTGGATTTACTAAAACATGGAATACCTGATCCATCTTCTGCTACACTCTCCACTGTGAGCTTTGGCAAAGAAAACATTAATAAACCTCTGGAAAGTGGAGATGAGTACATTGCTTCTCCGATTTTCGTGCATACAAGGTGACTGACTTTGGCAAATCCAATCTACTGCTGTAATTAATTCTTTTATATTTACTCGCAGATGAAAAAATTATAATGCTGTACAATGTGCCTCGGCTATAAATTAGTAGGAAGATATCTTGTTGTGTGTTATATATGTATTCTCCTGTGTTATGTAGGCTTCGTGACAGAGACATTACGCCGTGCAACTTTGTACAAATGAAGAAAGTACTTTCACGGTGTTTTAAAGGCACTTCATTTGTAAGATCGAAAGGCCAAGATGCAACAAAAGATGGTCGATCTTCTGATGTGGCTTTTGAAGCTTGTAGTAATTCCGACATCGACCTGAAACTATTTCTTATTCCATCCCAAGGTAAAGACGACTCTTCAAAACCGCAGTACGAAAGCTATGCCTCTGCCCTCTGGAAACTAAGGGATCAGGTTTGCTCCTCTCTCTCTCTCTCTCTCTCTCTCTCTCTCTCTCTCTCTCTCTCTCAATAAGTTTTAGGATAACCTGAAGCATTAGTTTCCGAAAGGGTTGTGAAAGCCCAACTTTTACTAATTACCGATTAATCAATTTGCAGGTTTTATCGATGAACGCCCCTTCTTTTACTAGGACTGTTTCTGAGCGCGACTGGTTGAAGAATTCTGCCAAGATATGGGAACTTGTTAAGAATTCTCCAATTATCTCCGAGTATTGCAGGACACTTCAAAGTGCTGGATTATATAGGAAGTAGTTAACTTTAGTTATTTTTTCTTAGATTCTGAATAAGTTAATTTCCATTCAGACAGTGCATTGTCTATGTACAATTTTTGTTGCTATTTCTTCATATGTTTGCTTCTTCATTCCTCAAGAAATTCAACTGTATTAACTAACCTGCTTAAATAGTTGTCACTAGAAGTACATGAGAAAATCACAAGACAAACAAGAAGAAGACAAATAGCCAATCCTTTAATAATAACTGTATTATGAAAAATTAGACAGGACAACTAGGTGAACACAAGTATCTAGTTCGAGGGCTTGTAGAATCTGCGTTGCGCGTTTATTCTTTACTCCACCACCATGGAATCAACTGAGGCTTCTCCAGCTGGTTTTTGAGATTTTTTCTTGTTCTTACCTGTAAGAGAACGATGCCATGAGCAATTATTATCGTAAATAAGAAAGCACAAACATTTTCGAAAAAGGGTCAAATTGTACAAGTAAATAATCACTCACCTTTCTTCTTCAATTGCTTAAATTTTAATTTAGGACTCTTCTTCATCGGGAAATTAACTGGAGATTTACCGGACGACTTCTCTGAAATCCACAAAATGACGAGATTCCCATCAAACCAATTCACATGAAGTAACAGTAAAGCTTGAAAAACACCATTGATTTAATAACCATGACCAGGACAAACTATTAGCTAATTTCCTTCAAAAATCGGGAGGTTTTTTCACGACTTTCTGTATTGTGCACTAAGTCTCATGTGAATTTCAAATAAAAAGTTACATAACAGCAATTAAAAATCAATTGTGACAGGAACTTTTACCGAAAATGAATTAGCTAAATTTCCTCTCATTCTAGAACTAGAATGATCAACACTCTACAAAATCATCAACAATGCCTTACACGTTGAGCTTAAACGTAATTAGATTTAATAACTTAATTAACATAATCAAACACTAAACTAATGACAACATACCATCAGAAAAAGCCATCTCTACATCTTGCATAGTAATTAAGCCCTTCTCCACCGCCTCCTTTTGGTCCTGTTTTTACATAATCACAACGTTAAGAAAAATAATTAAATTTTGAGTGTTTATACAACTAAATATATATATATAGATATAGTTACAGACCCGGCGCCTCTTTTGCTGCAGCTTGCGCTTACGCTTCCCGGAGATGGATACAGGTTGGGTTCTCTGCCGCAGTTTCCCGCTGCCGGGTTCACCGTGAACCTTCCTCTTCTGAAGGGCGATGGCGGCTCGCCGCTTCTTCTGTACGACATTGAATGTGGCCATTTCTGCTACTTACACAGCTTTCGCAATTTCTCAAACCCTAATTTATATGTAGCTTTTCGAATGGGATCGTTAGATAGGGCTAATGTATATGGACCCGGCTTACTTATAAGGAAGTCTGAGCCGACTAAGCTTTGACTAACCGAATAAGCCGCCCGGTTCATACATTCATATTAATGTGAATTTGACAAATTAAATTTTATTTAATTTTCTTACAAATAAAACAATAAAATTGATATAAATTAAGTTTTAAATTCATTTTTTTTATACTTACATATATTTTTTTATTTTCTTACGAATAAAAGTTATAATTTTTCTTATACAAGTTTACATATTATTCCATTGTAAACAAAATAATCTCACAGCCTGTTGAAATTAATCAATTATACAACATCTTTTGACATCACAACAGTTCCAAAGTTGAGCGAAGGAAACTTACTCAAAAAAAATATTTCTCGACATTCTGGACGGACGACGAATTTATATGGGAAATGCAAATGTCATAACTTAAAACGAATCAAAATAAGACAGAGGATTGATTTGATGATGCAACAATCATATGTTTTAAGTAAGTACACACATTTTATTCAAGGGAAAATAACAGGGTGGGATTATCAATGAACTTTTACAGCTCCGAATTGAGCTCAAGTCTTTAACCAAGACGACTTAAACCTTCTTGGGTTGCCATGGTTGGTATCTTGTCCAGTCTCGTTGACCAGGGTTAAGGCTGTGTCCTTTGGAGTGATAAATGTATTCGTCTCCCTCCCCAGAAAAGTTCTCTTTGTGTTCAACCCCGTATCTTTTGGGCTTCAACAAGAGCAACTACATTTTCAAATGGGGGAACTTAGATTAGCATTCCAGAAAATATGTAAATACGACTCAGTCGATAGATAGGGTTATACTTATACACTAACCTCGTCTCCCGTGTGATCAGTAATGTAATGTAGCCAGCCATGCCATTCTGGTGGGACTTGAGAAGCATTGTAGCGATCCTTCGATGCATATTCCACCCACCTATGTCTCCCTTAAATTGAACAAAAAGGTCTATATCATGCATTGTTCGGTTATTGGACGAAGGCTTAACAATTATTACTTATAACTTAGAAATTCTGTGTATTATAAAAATAGAGCCATATATTGCACACGAAGACTAGCTTCAGTTCTAAGAAAGGAAATACAAAAACAAGAATGACAAATGATATATATGAATAAAAAATAGAGGAACCGTAAATCCATGAAAATCTGTACTAACCATATTGGGTATCTCCGAGCTTCTCATAGTACTTATTGCCGAATTTGTCAACTCCCACAACTGTTGCCCCTATGTTGTGGATCTTTGTTTGTCTAAATTAATTAAAGAAAACAAGAAATCAATTGATGGCAACCTCAGCATCATAAAAACTCAAAGTGTTACACCATCAAAACCATGCTAAGCCATAATGTCCAATAAGAAATCATCAAATCATAACCCAAAAAAACCTCAATAAACAGAGAAAACTCTATTTAACATAGAAAATAAGAGAAAAAAACGTATGAGAATAAGTTTACAACAAAAGGAAGAACCAAGCAAATAGAAAGGTGAAACGTTAAGTATCATTCATGTATATGCCAGTGGATTCACTTCAAACCAAGTCCAAAATTGAGCTAAAATATCGTAATTTTTCTATACATACTCAGTTATGTTTTTAACTCAAAGTGCTAACACCATGCTTCAAATCTTATCAAAGAAACAAAGCGTTCAAGCAATGTTTGTCATGATTCAAGAACTATGCTCGATTGACTCAATTCTTGAAAATCAATCTCAGTGTCAGTATCACATAGTTTGGTTCGTTTTCTTGCCTTAATAAAGATCTACAACTGTGCAAAACAAGTACATGTTCATAATAAAGCTCTACAACTAACGAGTAATTTCAACAACTCAGGATAAATTAGCTTATCATAATACAGTATTACCACTCTTTATTAAATTATATCTAATACTCTGCATATTAATTCAATATATCCAGAGAAAGTCGAAGAATTCTACTTACATGAGATTCCCATCCAGAAGTGCACCCCTGCATAATAGGGAATGAAGAACAAAAAAAATCAGAACAGTCAATCGAAATAATAGGGGGGAAAAAAGTTTAGAACATGGTGCACCATATAAATCATCCGATCATACATTCAACAACAATGTAATAAAACAAAAACAGTCGAGCTATAATACTATCCCTAATCAGCTAATCCTTTAAATTTACCGGGTTCACAAATCTCGCTGATTGAGAACCCTAGCAACTGAAATACAATTTCAAAAAAAGCGACCAAATTCACCTCAGCTGAAAAAAAACATACACATGGAAAAGGGATAAATTCGTGTAGAATACGAACTAATTAATCCAATAAAATTCAGATTCAAAATCTTAGATCTTCAAACACCAATTTCAAAAAAACTAATTGAATTTGTGAAAATGGAAGAACGAAAACATTATTTTTTTCTCACGGGTATCCTTCATTTCGGAGCTCGCGGAAGAAACCTCCGATGCCTTTTTCTCTGATCATTTTAATCGCGCCTCTCACCACCGCAGCCATTGATCTCTCTTCTCAATCTCGGATTCTCGATAGCTAAGCTTGCTCTTTGTGAATAGAACGAAACAACATAGCAATCTGAAAACACAGATGAAATTGGGCATACGGCCCAAATTAATGCATTTATTTGGGCCGTATTATAATTTTGACCCAGTAAACTTTTAATTAAAATTGGATCGTTAATCTATCTATATATAAAAGATACCCCCAAAATTATATACATTTATTTGTAATTTCGGCCTAAATAAACTTTTATTTATAATTGGCCCGTTAATCTATATAATCTATAAAAAATACTCTTAAAATTATATACATTTAAAATGTGCCTTGTTCCATATTATTTATGGACAAAACCGGACATCATTAATTGTAAAATTTATAGATTTGGTAAGCTCTTAAAGTTAAATCACAATGCCATAATTAAAAAATTCAAAACTTATCCGTATAAAATATGTCATAATATGGAAACTAATATGATAAAAATATAATTATTTATTTTAATATAATTTGTTACAGTAGTGTTTTTCTAATATTGTACATTTACAAAATTAAATATAAGTAGTTTTTGTTAAAAAAATGATATTTTTTCTAATAGTTTATAATTTTATTCTTTTGAATTTTCATATATAATATATTACAAGATACAATTAAAAAAAAATCATTGGTGTTGATTCATTATTAAGTTTGCACAAACATTACGTGATTAGTGGTACCAACATTATTCGTAATTTCTTAAAACTCTAATCCACGCATGATTTATACCTTAATTTAACTCCAATTTCATCAATTAACAAATTTTGATCGTCATCACCGATCTTCGACATTGATTTATATTTAAAATATCTTAAAAGAATAGTACGTAAGCATAAGAGATTATGTTTTGAATTTAACTTTATGTGTGTAAGTGTGACTTAAGTTTAAAACTATCACTAATATTTTTTATATAAAAAGAAGAGTACAAAACACATGCCTGCGCAAGTGACTTAGTTGAGAGAATGGAAGAGTGCGACGTCTAACAACCTAAATTCGATTCCCACGCCAATTTTTTTTGTGCCGAACTCGTCGACATGACTTTCACGATACAGTTTACACATATCTCGTAATTTTTAGTCCTTATAGAAAAGCCCATCTTGATTTTGGTTGAACTTGAAATTTAATATAGAAGGCTTTTAGGATAGGCCTATAAACCCATTATAATTGGTCTCAACATTCGTTATGGGCTCAACATTAGCTGTCAACGAGTTTTCATTAGTACTACAGAAAGGTGATTAGTGTGGCTAATTAGGCCTTTCATATTTTGATATTTTTAATTTAGTTTTGTACCTATTGAAATTATGGATTATTTTATATTCAAAATATTTCCATAAATCATAGTTACCACTTACCATAGACATTTTTAAAATTCAATTAGTTTTTTTTTTAAAAAAAAAAAATCCGAATTATTTTCAAGAAACATTATTAATCAAACATGTCTAAACAATTATATATATATATTTATCTTAATTTTAATTCATAATAAGTGAGCATAACAATTTTCCATAACCTGAAAGAACTAAAACAGAACAAAAGGTAATCTAAAGAGTCCTATAATTTTCACTGAAAGATAAACAAACCCTTCTCTCACTAAATAAAAGGAGAGGGAAGGGCCGAAATCTATATTCAAAGTTCATCACTTTCTCTCTCTAAAACCCCTCTGCTTCAATTTGAAGCTGTCCTTTATCTCTCTAATTCACCCCTCCATTCCTCTATATCTTTCTCTCTCGCAGTCACTCTAATTCACCACTCCATACTAGGGTTTCATTCAGTCCGTACCGTCGTACACTAGGGTTTTTGGGTAACCGAGATTAATTTCTGGGGGCTAGAGTTTACCTACAGTCTGTTGATCTCTGCCATGGACCCGGAGAAGCTACGGGATATGAGTCAGCCGATGGACGTCGCTTTGCTCGACGCCACAGTCGCCGCTTTTTATGGGACGGGATCTAAAGAAGAGGTCTGATGCAATTTTATTTTCGGCTATTTGGTTTCTTCGCTTTTGTTATTTTCCCTGGGTTTTTATATGCATTGTTTTTATGTTTCTATGCTGAGTTTGGCCTCTCCGAAATTTGATGTTGTTTCAGGCACAACTTACATAAGTAAATTTAGCATGCATATTTTTATAATTTCGACATTTATCGCTTTTCTTAATATCAGGATGAACTTTAACAACTCTAACAATCTTCATATGTTGCATCTTTCCTATAATTTTGTAGATATACCAGCATTGTGTCTGATTTTTGAGTCTAATGGTTTAATTTGTCATTGGGGACAGTGACCACTATTTTGAATGATAGAAAAAGAGTTCAGCTGGTCTTGTAGTGCTTCAGTGTTAATTGAAGCATTAGTTCATTGCTCTCAGTATTCGTTAAGCATTGTGAACGGGTTTTTCGTCCGTTCACTCAAATTCACCAGAATGCGAATATTTGAAAAGTTGTTGGAACACAACCGTTTTGTCTTCCTTTGTTTGTTACTTTTGCTTGATGGCTCTTATAATTATGCTGAAAATGACGTCTGCAAAAATACTTTATTTGTTGCTCTAATCTGCAAGAATTTGCAATGGTTATATGTGAAGACATTCTTTAGTATTTATTAGTTGCTTAAAGTGCTTAGGGATTGGATTACAGATGGATCTTGTGGAGTAAACTTGAAGGAATAAGAAGTATTTTTTTATTAGCTGAACTGATTTTATCATGGAACGACCTTTGCCAAATTTGGAATGACTGTAGTAGTAGTCAGCACGGAGGAATTTATATGATTGCTTGACTTGATTTGATATTTTCTAATGCATGCAGTGATTATCAAATTCATTCGATCTTGGACAAACTCTTTAAATGATTGGTATATGCTTTTGGTGTTTTGGGAAGTGTTTAGGGAGGACATACTGCGAATTATTTTTTGGAATTTATATTAGCAGAGTCAATATTAAAAATGATATAGAATAACATTTCCTTTTCTGATTGTGTCAGACTTCTTTCAAGTGCCTTTTCTTCACTTATCTGATTGTAGTTTATATTGAATGCCTAGCAATTTTCACCCAGAATGTGTAACATAAACAAAATATAGGAATTAACACCAGGTAGATAGAGATGATGAAACAAACAAAGAGAAATTCTTTAGTGGTACAATATTTATGTCACTGCTAATGAGATCTCAGAAATGATGTTGACTCTTGGATGTGTTCTAGTTGCTACATAGATCAATGTTTATGGGCTACTTATAGGTGATCAGTTGCACGATATTATAGCTATCAATTTCTTGCTCAGCTCTGAACTTATTACTTATTTCTTTTCTCTTTTGCCTTTTGCAACAGAGGAATGCTGCAGACCTTGTTCTGCGTGATTTGCAAAATAATCCAGACATGTGGCTTCAAGTGGTGCATGTTTTATCCAACACAAATAGCTTGAACACCAAATTTTTTGCTTTACAGGTCAGTTGTGGTCTTCACGGTTGTTGTTTTTGTTTTCTTCTTTTTATTTTTATAGTTCATAAATCTCTTCTCTGTTTTTTGAGTTGTTTGGAGAGACTGACTGACCACTTGCTGCCATTACAGGTCCTAGAAGGGGTTATTAAGTATAGATGGAATGCTTTGCCTGTTGAACAACGAGATGGCATGAAGAACTATATTTCTGAAGTTATAGTTAAGGTACTTAATCTTCTCCTTTTTTGGTAATGATTTTACTCATATTTTATCCTGCGGGGTTGCAGTTTTGGTTGGAGAATAGGTACCTGATCTTGGTATATTTTTATTAGCTTTCAAGCGATGAGATCTCTTTCCGGCGGGAGAGGCTGTATGTCAATAAACTAAACATTATATTGGTTCAGGTAATGCTGTCTAATCCTCCAGATGATGCTCATTAACAATACTAACTGTTGACTTTCTGTTGATCTTTTTTTAATTAAAGGACCTTTCTCATTGGATTTCTCCACACTAGTTACCTAGATTATGATTGTTTTCCGTGTATTCAGATCTTGAAGCATGAGTGGCCAGCCCGGTGGCGAAGTTTCATTCCTGATCTGGTTGCAGCAGCAAAAACAAGTGAAACAATTTGCGAGAATTGCATGGCAATTCTAAAAGTTAGTAATCTTTACCTCCCAATGAATGATTTAATCAACAACATATAGTTGACCTCACGATTTTATTTCTTAGCTTCTAAGTGAAGAGGTCTTCGATTTCTCAAGGGGTGAGATGACCCAACAGAAGATTAAAGAGCTAAAACAATCATTGAACAGGTAATGTATGATACATTTAATACTACCAAATGCATGTTTTATTCCCACTGCTTGTTTTGTTCCAGAATGCAAATGCATGTTCTTTTTTGAGTGACATTATTGGTATCATAATGCTGTGTGTGTAGAAGTTACTCAATGACATCACTTCAGATGTCGTACCTTTGAGATTTTTCCTCTTTCATTTTTTGAAGTATTGAGAAATTCCTTTTCTATTACAGTGAGTTCCAGCTTATTCACGAGTTATGCATATATGTATTGTCTGCATCTCAAAGAGCTGAGCTTATCAGAGCTACCCTGGGCACACTACATGCTTTCCTTTCCTGGATTCCTATGGGCTATATATTCGAATCACCTTTGGTTTGTATTCTTCATTCTTTTTATTTGCTTGTTAGATTAAATGATGCTTGTGATCTTATCTCTTGGTGCTTGTTTGGCAGCTTGAAACACTGCTGAAATTTTTTCCCATGGCGGCTTATCGTAATCTTACTCTTCAGTGCCTGACGGAGGTACATTCTCTAGTTCTGTTACTTTCAAGCTTCTTGATGATCTATTTGTATCAAAATTAAAGCTTGCTGTTACATGTGCAGGTTGCTGCTCTTACATTTGGGGAGTATTACGACTTGCAATTTGTAAAAATGTATATCATATTCATGGTGCAGTTGCAGGTAATTTAGATAATTTTTATTTCAGTTTTAGGGAGTACTCGGTTCAACTATGTCGACTGTATATGCTGATTCTGATGTCTTACTGTGTTAGAGCATCCTCCCACCCACTACCAACTTTTTAGAGGCTTATGCAAAGGGATCTAGTGAAGAGCAGGTGCTTCTTTGCTATTTCAAAATTTAATTATTCTTAATTTTTTATTTTATTTTGAAGTACCTTAATATCCTTCTATGGCTTTCTGCAGGCCTTTATTCAAAATTTGGCGTTGTTTTTCACATCATTTTACAAGGTAGTTCCCTTTCTTCCCTACAACAAAGTAAACGTAAGGAAGCTCTAGCAGTCTGAGTACTGCGGAAATGGATAAAAATTGCAAATATACTTCTATATTAATATGAAGATCAGTCACCCCTTCAGATTCATGTTTATGACGTAGATCTGTACGGATAAGCTTAAGATTTGTCATATTTGTTTTGTTTTAGAATGCTTGTTGGCAGTTTTTTTTTAAATATGTCAATTTTGTTAAACAGCTTATCGATAGTTGTATGAGAATCCAGTTGCTGACTTATTCTGAGGTTAAGTTCATTGAGTTTGCTTGCTTATTTTTCGTGTAAATTTATGCAATGTAGTTCAGGTGTTACTGCCAATGATCTTCAATTGCTATTTATATATCCGATCTAACATCGTCAACCAACCTCCAATTGCTAGATAACTAGAATGTCTCCGATCTAAAATCATCAGCCAGCGTGGCGTGTCCTATTGCTAGAACTTACAAAACTTACTATGGCCCTTTGTGTTTCTGAATGTTTATCTGATGGACTTTTGTTCCCTGGGTGCAGCCTCACATACGAGTACTAGAATCTTCGCAAGAGAACATAAATGCGCTACTACAGGGCCTTGAGTATCTCATTAACATATCTTATGTTGATGACACTGAAGTCTTTAAGGTATGATTATCATTTATCAATCATATGTATTTTAGTACAATGAATCTGATCACTTGACTTGCAGGTCTGCTTAGATTATTGGAACTCCCTAGTCTCGGAGCTGTTTGAAGCTCACCATAATTTGGACAATCCTGCAGCAAGTGCAAATATGATGGGACTGCAGGTTTCCACAGTTGAATCTATTCTCTCTTATCTTATCCAATCTCGAGAATCTTCTTTTCCCTTGTACAAGAATGGCAGTCTTTTATGTAGAAGTAGTCCTCTTGTTGATTATATCAAGTTAAACATTTTTCCTTTTGCTCTTGTGTTAAGACCTGAGCAACTCTATGTATCCTGTTGATGATTGAACTTGTCTGGACTCGAGATACAAATTTATAGGCTATGTTTGTTTAGGTTTTCAAATTCTTTTCATTCTTTCCCCAAAATAAAATTATCTTTTTGAAATATTTTCAAAAACTTTCCCCAAAAATAATTCAAACATGTCCCCACATATAATCATATGATGACATTTTGTGTTAGGATTGCAAACATGTCCCCATAAATTATAACCATGTTATTTTTTTGCTTTCCCTGGAAGAGGTCCTCAGCCTCCTTAAGGCATAAATTTTGTTTTATCTCTCAGTAGAGCGAAGGCTATTACTGATGCATACCTGGCCTTTTATTGAATAAGCAGATGCCGATGATTCCAGGTGTGGGTGATGGAGTTGGATCACAACTCATGCATAGACGCCAGCTTTATGCTGGTCCGATGTCGAAGTTGAGATCGCTGATGATATGCCGTATGGCAAAGCCTGAAGAAGTTCTCATTGTTGAGGATGAAAATGGAAATATAGTTCGTGAAACTATGAAGGATAATGATGTGCTTGTGCAGTATAAGGTGCTAAAGATTTTTAATACATATATTGCTTTGTTTCTCTTGGAGTTCTTATACTATGAGACTAATGTTGATAATGATCAATAATCAACACATTTGCAGATAATGAGGGAAACACTGATCTACTTGGCACATCTTGATCATGAGGATACTGAAAGACAGGTTTGTTTTATGATGCTCTGTTGCTCTGCACTCTGTGTTTCTGAAGGGATTCTGCATTGTGTGTGTATTACGATAAACAATTATGCGACATCATATTTCATTAGATGATGAAACATGATTAGCCTCTCGTTAGATCAGTATGCCTGGTTTCATGTGTTTCATGAGTTGTGTTTCTGTCCAAATTTATTTATAGTAATGCTCTTCAATTATGTTGCACATCTTATTGCTGCACGTCCGGAATGGGCTATAGTTAGGCAACTTATTACCATCCTATACTTTAGGTATGACTCTGGGAGACAGATTTCCTTTTTGCTCCGCTACCACAGTCAAATACATTGTAAACCATATCGTTCGACTTTTAAAAAATGCTTTTGAAACCGTAAGTGTGATAAATACCCAAAGCTACTTATTGAAGTCATTCTTGCTTATATATTCTCTTTTTGAAGACGAGTTCCCTATGTTATCTAGGTCTGCTTAATGGTCATTACAGTTTTAGTTGTGAACAAAGAACCTCTCAAATCTAATTCAGTATATAAAATTAATTCTTGAATTTGGATACAGATGCTGAAGAAACTGAGTAAACAATTAAATGGAGATGATTGGACATGGAACAACCTCAACACATTATGTTGGGCCATTGGTTCTATATCTGGGTCAATGGTGGAGGAGCAGGTATTGCAAGTTTGTTAAATGTTTTTTGTATGTAATTTCATAGACATCCTTCTGCAATTATAAAGTTATGTTCTGTGCCTGGTTCTTATTAGTTTAATGTCATTTTCTAATTCTGAAGTATATAGCACATTATTTGCCTTCTTTGATGCAATAAACGTGGAGTATAAAAGCGTTTCAGATTTTCATTTCAGATCCCTAGCAAGTCCGTAAAGTATAAATGACTGGAAGTGATTGTTAGTTTCATAAGTTTATTGATTTATGTGGTTGTATTTTTATAATTAAATTTGCATTTTGCATCTTGTCGTACAATTGTATATGTGTGATAAACCTTTGTACCATTATGTTGTTGTACCACCATTTGTTAGAAAATATAGGCCTCTGAATCTGATCCCTACTGTATGTATTCATAATTATTTGACCTTTTTGACAGGAAAACAGATTTTTAGTGATGGTCATTCGCGATTTGTTGAACCTATGTGAAATCACCAAAGGGAAGGACAATAAGGCAGTCATTGCCAGTAATATAATGTAAGGATTGTGAAACTTATTGTTTGGTCTTCATCAGATAGTCATACACATTCTGATGGTGCATGCCAGCCTTTTCTCTTATTGCTTTTCTTGCCATTTGTTGTTCTCTTTGTGAATATGAGGTGAGCCCTTATTTATCTATTTGTTGGCTGTGCAGGTATGTTGTCGGGCAATACCCTAGATTTTTGAGGGCCCACTGGAAGTTCTTAAAAACTGTTGTGAACAAATTGTTTGAGTTCATGCATGAAAGTCATCCAGGAGTTCAGGTGTGCTTATATAGAAGCTTTCTATACGATATGCTTACTCGGTAGATGAGAGCATTGGCTCAAATTAGAATGACAATGCTTGAACTGACATGAATGATGGACACATGTAACATATTAAGTCACCTTATTTTCCAATCATATTTTCAGTTTTATTTGTTCATCTTGCATTTTAGCTGTGATGTAATAAAATTATGCTTATATGCATTCTTTATAAGTATCTGTTCTGTCTGTTTATTTGTAGGACATGGCGTGCGATACATTCTTGAAAATCGTTCAGAAGTGCAAGCGTAAATTTGTTACTGTACAGGTTAGCGTTCTACTGAATACTGATAATGGTTATTGTAATGGTATGAGTAGGCAAATGATGCCCTTGAGAGAAATTAAATGCACCTGTAATCCCTCTTTTGCAGGTTGGAGAAAATGAACCATTTGTATCAGAACTTTTAACAACTCTTCCAGCAACTATTGCAGATCTTGAGCCTCACCAGATCCACTCCTTTTATGAATCTGTAGGTCATCTTTATATAACATGTGATATTTGGAGCTTTAACTGCCACTAAAATGTTGCTACTTTATCTCTATTAGGTTGGGAATATGATTCAAGCAGAACCTGATCCCCACAGGCGAGATGAGTATTTACGGAGATTGATGGAGCTTCCTAATCAGGTATGACTCTATCTCAATACTGCTGTGTGAGAAAAAGATCTCTCTATGTGCACCTCCTGCTTTCCTATGTCAGCACCTGTGTTCTATGTGACGTGGCTAATTCATTATTTACTACAGAAATGGGCTGAAATTATCGGGCAGGCACGTCAGAGTGTGGATTACTTGAAAGATCCGGATGTAATAAGGGCGGTGCTTAATATATTGCAGGTATGTTTTATGCGAGTGTGGAATATTAATAAGTTCTGCGACTTAATTCAGTTAAGCAGCAACAGTTTGATATAGCTTGTAAAGCATCCAACCTTTTCGTGTTTATGTTTCTGAATGGTGGAGTTTAGATTTACGCGGCGACGCACAGTAAAATTATTGAAGAGAGAACAATTCATTCATTTTGTCGGTTCCTTGATCATAAAGTCCGTGCGAGCTTTTGCTTTTATATTTGTTTGACACAATGGAAAACCCATTGTGGGATCCTTGAGGAGAAAACCATATGCTAGATTTGTATGCCAGTTCGAAGGCTGTAAGATTCTTACAGAAATAGATCCACTCATGGACAAAAAAGTGATAATATATAGAGATCCACTCATTCATCCTTTTTGCCTTCTCTACCACATTAGTTGACTGTGCTTGGGGATATATAAGGTGTATTAAATATACTTGAATACTAGGAGAGGAGATTTTCTGGTGTACATAATCTATCTTCAAGCAAGTCAAACATGATCACACTACTTTTGAGATATTGCAAGCTTTCTTTTGATTGAAGTCATGAGCTTTATTTTTTCGTAATGATTCTATTTTGTGTCCCGTGATTGACTGATAAATTGATTAGCTTTGAAGTTCCTTTTCTAGGAGGACCCTTAATTTAAGGTTATGACTTCATCTTCATTTTGTTGCTTATGTTGTTGCTCAAGTATGCCTTTGTTACTGCAGACAAATACTAGTGCTGCCAACTCTCTTGGAACATATTTCCTTCCACAGATTTCTCTCATCTTCTTGGACATGCTCAATGTGTACAGGTCCTTTTGGATTTTTTGTTTTCAGAATAACCTCCTACACATTGTTCATTAAGTTTTTATTTGACTTTTCATGATGATTAAGATTTTACTTGCATGACACAGAATGTATAGTGAACTTATTTCCACCAGTATTGCACAAGGAGGGCGCTATGCTTCGAGGACATCTATTGTAAAACTTCTACGGTTAGTCAAATATTTGCAGATATATATCCTTACCTTTCCACATATGATACCCACATCCAACACTTCTATTTTCAACAGTTCGGTCAAGAGGGAAACACTGAAGCTTATTGAGACCTTTCTGGACAAGGCTGAAGATCAACCACATATTGGCAAACAATTTGTGCCTCCAATGATGGACCCTGTGCTTGGTGACTATGCCCGGAATTTGCCCGATGCAAGAGAGTCCGAAGTTCTCTCTCTGTTTGCCACAATAATAAATAAGTATGCTTTGTTTTGAATTTTAATATAATGTTTATTGCATGTTTTGTTAGTATATTTGGATGTTCTAGAGTAGATGAGCATTGTCTTGGAAGTTATTCAAATTATTTTGCAGCGGTAGTGAGTTCTTATGGATATTTAGAGTGTGCAAGACTGATGCTGCTAGTTAAATCATTGTTTTTCTTGTTAATTTTTTTTGGTTTTAATTGTTATTTACTTCATGTAGGTACAAGGGGGCAATGATTGAAGATGTTTCTAGGATATTTGAAGCTGTTTTCCAGTGCACTCTAGAGGTTGGTAAAATCCTTTTATTGCATATCTAACCACGAATTCTTATATTCATCTGACTCATTATCGCTTCTCATGAAGTGTACTGCTATAGATTAAGTAGACTGGAACTGTTTATTTGTTGTTTACACCATCACATGTGCATAATCTGTAGATTATAAGCATATAAATTTGCACAACGTAAATGTGTGAAAACGCGATGTCGTAACTTGTGACTATATGCTTGCTGTTTAACTTTTAAGTCTTTCTTCCACATCTGGACATAAGTATTGTAGTCATCCATTTCTTTCCTGTACCACGAACACATATTATTCTTTTCTACTTGTAAACTCTAGATAAGTTTCTCTATATATACAAGAATAATTTACGTGCCTAAACTACTTGTTATGTCAGCACTCAACAATGGATATGAATTTTATCTCCAGGCCTTAGCCTAAGTGGTATTGGAGCCTCTCCCACAGTGGGGGTTGGCTTGAGTTTGGGGGTACAAACCTGTAGGGGTGTGTTGTAATGGCCATTTGAAAAATTAGGTATGACTTTCCCGGTGATGCATTATGTGGCAGGCCAACTAGGTTGACTATATCTTGCTGAATATTGATTTTTTTCCCTTTCATCGGGTTGTCTCTGCTGGGGGTTGTAAGGTGATGCTATATTTAGTCTATGTTTGGGTGAATTTTGATGCAGCCCCGCTGGAGACTGATTGTTTTATATAGGTGTTTCAAAATTTTTACCTTAGAACCTCAACTATTTGCAAACTTTAGGGAGCCAAATTTTGCTGGATTCCAGTATTGGAATTGCAATTATCTTGTCTACGTGAGCTCATTATTTTTTTCCATAACAGATGATAACAAAAAATTTTGAAGACTATCCTGAGCATCGACTCAAGTTCTTTTCATTACTTCAAGCCATTGCTACTCATTGTTTTCCTGCTTTGATCCACTTGTCCAGTGAGGTATGACTTTGTTGATAGAGACATATGAAGTCCCTTTTAACTTATCCTGAACTTTCAGCTCAAGGGTTTCAGTTCAGTTGAATCTCTTCTTCCACTATCTGTATGGTCTGACACTGTGGTTCGATTGGTATCATTCAGCAGCTGAAACTTGTCATGGATTCAATCATTTGGGCTTTCCGTCATACAGAGCGAAATATTGCAGAAACTGGTCTCAATCTTCTATTGGCAATGTTGAAAAATTTTCAGGTGTGGATCAATATCTATTTCAGTGTGTGCATATTGATTTGATGTTTTGTTGCTTATGGTTGCATGATTGGCTTGTCAGGCGTCCGAGTTTTGCAATCAGTTCTACAGGACTTATTTTTCGACAATAGAACAAGAGATATTTGCTGTTCTGACAGACACTTTCCACAAGCCGGGTTTTAAGTTGCATGTATTGGTGTTGCAGCATTTATTCTGCCTGGTAATTGAACATTCCCTTTATTTGCACTAGCATCCTACTGTCAGTTCTGATGGAATAATTGCTTGTGGTTTCTGATTACTTTGACTTTTTGTACTTTTTCTTTGTTCTATTTTGTTTCTCTGCCAGTTGCCTTGCTGATAGTGGCAATGTCTTTGTAACAATTACAGGTTGAATCTGTTGTCTTGAGTGAGCCCCTGTGGGATGTTGCAACAGTTCCCTATCCTTATCCAAACAATGGCATGTTCATCCGTGAGTACACAATTAAACTTTTGAGTACGTCTTTCCCCAACATGACAGCTACTGAGGTATTGAACCACTACTTACTACACATAGTTCAGATATATATTTCCCATGTGACCAGCGCTCTCAAAAAAATTGGGTCTTTTCAGGTGACCCAATTTGTAAATGGACTTTTTGAGTCAAGAGAGGACCTTGTCTCATTCAAAAACCACATAAGAGACTTTCTTGTGCAGTCTAAAGAATTCTCAGCTCAGGTATAATTTTACTATTGTTTACAGGTGTTGATTCATACCAAGCATGCCTCGTGATGGTTTTTCTTTTTGTAATGGTGGTTAAATCTTCTAGACTAGCTTTCTCTGTTTTTAAATTTTCCTTGGTTCGTTTAATATCTCTGATTCTAAACGGGGTAGATGGAAAGTCTGCTCCATTCTATTTTTCAACTCAATATGTGAATGTTGGATGGCTAGCCTTACATTTCTCTTGCCTTTTACTTGGATGTGTTTGACCCGTTGATTATTTCTTTGTATATTATTGTATCTAGCCTTACATTTCTCTTGCTTTTGACTATAACGGATATAAGATGTTTAGTGTTAGATGTCCATTCGGATTTTCAGGGCCATATCATGACCTAGAATTGCTTTTATTTCCATCGTGCAGGACAACAAAGATCTTTATGCTGAGGAAGCTGCTGCTCAAAGAGAAAGGGAGCGGCAGCGTATGCTGTCAATTCCAGGGCTGATTGCTCCCAGTGAGATACAAGATGAGATGGTCGACTCGTGAGTTTTATAAAAGAAATTCTGCCGAGGCCAATTTTGTGGATTTTTAACTCTAAAAATTAGGTTTTGAGCACCGTGAGTCCATCCTTGATTTTTTTTTTTTTTCCTTCTCTTTTATGGAGTTTTAATCTGTAATTTTTGCTCAATTTTTATCACCGTGTTGGGAGTTTTTTCTCTTGTGAAGTGGTGAAGTCGTTGAGGAACACAGGCTTTGCAACTGAAGAAACTAATGCTGGTTTTAGAGTATTTAGATTCTAATTTAGGAATATAGCATGTCACTTTACGGATAACCGAATCTCTGGTTGTGACTATTGTAATGGCAAGACGAGATTTGAACTGATTATCATTGAGCAAACGGCTATCTGGTGACTCGGAATAGGTCTAATGTATACAACATTGATGTTTTGTGCAGAAAATCCTCTATTTGTTGATTGCTAGGATTGTGCAAGTTCTTTTATAATATTTTAATGGTGGTTTGATTTCATCTCAGTTTCTCGCTTACGTGCAATTTTGTTGTACATCATGTTGTTCTAATTCAATCCTAATTTCTACATTTGAATAGATGAATATTTCCAAAACTACTGCATTTGTGTCACTAGACTCAAATATTAATTACTACGTCTGACACATTAAACATGGTTTTACAAATCTTTTGTTTAATAGAGTTTGTACTTCCTCTCAACAATCATATTAATAACAATGAAAATATGAAGAAATTGAGGCTGATTAAGACATGCAAATATCAGTCTTTCCATGAAGTACAAATATGCGATAAATAATTTCATGCAGGTTTTGCATAAAAGTACAAAATTTTCTTACAACCATAATCCGACCTGAGTGCCTGTCGAAAGAATGCAGCATCGAGTTGTTGTAACTTTGCTAACCAGAGACCAATGTTCTGCACAGGAAATTATGGTATGTGATATCTATGAGTCAACCGTTGAAGTAGGATTTGCTTCTGATGGTCTGACTACGTTTTCATTTGTTTCCATGTCCACAGTCATGTCTTCACCGACCTCGGCTTCTTCTACTTCAGCCATTATTTCGTCTCTGTCCCCTACACAAGGTTCTACTCCGTTTTCCACTATATTGTTCTGAGGCTGGGCCATCCCACTTCCGTCATAAGTTCCATTTGTATTTTGTTTGGTCACAATTGGATACGGATCAGTCGAGATTGTCAATGTAGATGTGACCAATAAAATCTGAAAAAAGAAAAATAATTATATCTAACTAAGATCCGTGTCTCACAAATGTGAATCTTAGCCCAAGTACCGCAGGAAATAATATACTTCTACACTTCTCACTTCTCGTGTTAAAAGTCGATATTCCCAAAGTAGCCATTGAGCGCCATAAAATCTATATTCCATGGATTCAAGCTCATAGATGCATGAAAAGCATAATTAAGAGAGCAACTACTAAAAATGCAAGTGGAATTCCTGAGACACTAAATACATATAGATAAAACTGTACACACATTAGCGGCAAATGTTCCACGACAAGATTAAAGCATGCAACACACAGCTAAATAAATACCTTTTCTAGAGCCAAAGAAAGCTTCGACAGCTTGGGATAAATACTTCTTGCAGACAAAAGTATCTGTTCAGTTAAGTGACACAAATATCGTTAAAATATATTCAGAAATCAAACAATTATATCTGGACAAGATAGATATATAAAGTATAAACGAAAAATTAATTAAATCGATCTTAAATAACGACTGGGAGAAAACATGAAAATGTAGCCCATGTCGAGGCAAAATATGAATAGTATCCTTATGAGAGAAAATCAACTGATGCTTCCTGAAGAGAAAAACACCAAGTAGGCCAAGAACTACATTTAACAGAAAATCCATATTATAATCACCTCACAGAGTCTTTGCAAAGTAAACGGAGGGCCATCATCAAAGCTACGAAGAGCTGCAAAACACAATGAGATAAAAAATTATATATGTTCTATAGATTTCATCCAAATCACCATAAACAATTTCCTATTCCAACTACTTGACCCCCATGCTCAGATGGTATTTTTTTTCGGGGTATTCACCCGGATCTAACTTCCTATGGTTATCCTTTAACCCTCAGAAAGGAAAGGGACAAACATAGAAATTGCGGAGCAAAGAAAAATGAGGAAAAAGATAAATAAATCTTGGTACGCAATTAGGAGTAGGTTTGTTACTTTAGAGTGCAGAACAACAAAAATAATTACTATTCAGGAACTACATGACAGAGAGAAAATAAGGAAGATATGTGACCAGGAAGTTGGGCGTACCATCGTCCAACCTTTTCACCAATTCCTCAAACGTCTCTTGTAATGAGGATCTCTGCTGCTCACCACTCATTTTAGCCTCTGGATATTCTGAAAGGACCTTCAACAAAGAAATAGCGAGATTCAATACAATAGGAACAGAAATTCACAGATGAAAAATAGAGACGATCTTATCCCACGCACTACTCACCATTCTCGGTTTAGAGGTGGCAATGAAAAATGAAATGCATAATTTGAAATTGATGTAAGTTCACAATGTGGTAAAGCCTAACCATACCTGCTTAAGCTGGTAGGACAGAATGCTTTTTAATTTTTCCCAATCTTGCCTGAGATGTACGAGCCGAGTGACAATTAATCAAACAATATTCAAAGACTAATTCTAAGTTAGCCGCATATAAGCATCTTTGCCACAAAAGAGAGAATAGAAAACTTGCTTGGGAAGATGCATCACCCAGTGAACAAAAAATTATCTTGTTCTATTTTTCCCCAGCAACATATTAAAATGAAAATACGAAACAGAAAAGAGATTAATGGTAATATGAATTGCTGAGAAGAAACTTCCATCAGAGAAATCATCATACCAAAATTTCCCAGTGGACGCACTTGTTTCCAATGTGCCTCTTACTTCTTCTTCTGAAAAAGCGGGTTTAGCTTCCAGTCCTCTGCGAACTCATACCAGCAAAGATTTAATCAAATAATCATCATATGGTAAAGAAGAAAAATGAAGTGTCTATCCATAACACCAATAAGCAAGTAGATGGGAGCAAATTGTCTTACGATCACAAACACCGACTTTTTTGTTTTTTACATAACTCATGATTCCTTTCCCTTTATCGTTACAACGTGATTACAGGATAATCCAACAACGTGATTACAGGATAATCCAGATACTACTCATCTAATATATCTACAATTAACGCACATTGACGGTTAACCAACAAATCTACTTTACCGGCAACAAATTTAAATTGGACTCAATGACTCATAGACTAGCTGCTCAGAAACAACATAACAACAAATTATGAAAAGAAGAAAAATAAACCCTAATTACTACACCGCATAATCTAAAACCGGCGGACCAATTAGCTCCAAACAGAGCGCAAACAAAGTGACAGAACGACTAATTCAATTTACGACAGTGACCGACAAATCGACTTCAACACTAGTCCAATCACTGCCACAACAAGTAGAAAAATTAACAAGTTCAGCTATTCTCTCCGTTTACATACTACATACTTGAAAAATCTCGCATGTGCTCTTTTATCGCATGTCCAATTCCATCACAATCAAAAATACAGTACAATGTTCATTGAAAAATTAAGAAAAAAAAAAAAAATCCAAAGCACAAGTTAGCTGTCATTACCCATGAGTCGGCAACTCGTAGGCTGGATTCTCGTGATTCTGCTCCACAACAGCATCCGTCGAAACAGAAGAATTATCCAAAACTTCGTTCGCTGTCGCCTCCATCTACAGATTTTTTGGTTCTCAATTTGGGGAAGAATCGGAGGAAAAAGCAGCCAATTGAAATTAAAAAAAAAAATAATAATAAAATAAATACAGTCGTTAAGAGTGACACGACGTTTTCCGATATTTATACGGCCTCTTTTGGCAAGGTCGAATTTTAATAATAATAATGGGAGCGTTTGAATATTTTTTCGTACAATTGATTGTTTGACCAATTGGGCTTTATTTATTCTAGCCCAATTTATATTTTAGCCTCTTTTTATTTGTCGTTTGTGGCCCACTAAAAAGCAAGCCCATACTCGATGCTCGCGCCGTGCTAAAGTGAGCCGAATGAAGGCACCACGGTTCGAGACTGCACCCGAAGCAAGCAGAGTCAACAAGACGAACGACTCGGATATACATACACCTATACATACGCATCTCGGTATATTATCAAAATCCTCCTCTTTTCTCGAATCAAACCGCGCCAATCAGACCCTGTAATTAGACCTGAATTCCCCTAATATGAAGTGCCCCTAATTTTTTTTGAATGGAAACCCTAACCCTAGCCCTAGCCCTACCCGCATCCCCAATTTCTCTACTTAGATCGTCACGCTTTTCTCTCTTATTTTCCGGTGGCTAGTTGATTGAATCCTGATTTTGTTTATCGTGGTCGTTAGATCAAGCAACTAGTGGGGTTTTGTGTAGTTTTCTGTGATCTGCCTATTTGTTTTGCCTTTTAAATTTTTTGCGTTCTGTAGTTATGGAATAGAATAAATTTGGCTTTAAGACGTTGATATTAGCTCATCTTGGATGAAAAAAACAGTAGGGTGAGCCAAAAAAAAAAAAAGATAAATTAAGAAATAGGATTTGTGTTATCTATGCACTTATACTTGTAATCTTCTTTATATATACACATTGTATTGGATATCTGCGTAGAGGGAGAGTGAAAGATATGGGTAGCTCAGAAACTGGAGGAGCGGTGGGTTGTGCTGTAGGGAGTATAGTTTGGGTTCGGAGACGAAATGGGTCTTGGTGGCCCGGAAAAATACTCGGGCCCGAAGAGCTGTCATCTGCTCATATAACTTCTCCACGCTCTGGGACTCCGGTCAAGCTTCTTGGGAGGGAAGATGCAAGTGTGTAAGTTCAGGAAAAAACATGATATTTCATTTCTGGTATTTATGAAACATGTATGGTAGTATGCCTTTTTGATTTGGTGGATTTCATGGAAATGTGCTCGTTGTCTTGATCCTTGGAACTTTTAAGGACGATTATCGATTGAATTAGTATTCAAGCTGAATACAAGGGAAACAAACTGATATTATCGATCGATTGGAAATATGAAATTTGAAGCAACAGTGTTCATGCTACAGTGTCTAGGATTTATTCTTACACTTCAGTGAATCAAAGCATTAGAAAATTATCAAAGCTTGAAGATATGTCGTGTTAGTTTCTTATTTTTAAGCTCAATGGCATGCATTTAATTCTAAATTTTGTTTTGTCTGAGAACTTCCTTATCCTATGTTTTCTATATTGTTAAACATTTCAAAGTTTCATAGAGCTTGTTAAGGGAGCTTTATACGAGGGGAGATCTTGAAATTCTTGTTTTCTCTTCATCTCTTTGATGGGCTAATCCTGTAAGTTTAATCTAAATGATCTAGCATTCTGGTTCATGTTTGACATCAAGTTAAAAAGGCCCACTCTATTTCCCCCATTTTTGTGGCGTTTTTTTTTAAGTAAAAAAATCAAACCCTGTTACAAATTGGGGAAGCTGGGGAAGGGCATGATTTGACCCTAGAGCTCTACTCTAATGGTAGAGGCTGGGTACCAACTTCCCATTTTGTGGCTTCGAATGCGATGACAATGATATTAGGTAAGGATTGTGAGGTTGGTTAAGAGCCTAAGGCTCATGCGGAATGATATGCATGGTATTGTTGTGATGCCAGATACAAGGGAAACTATGGAATGACCCTAACACATAGGGGATTGGTTAAGATGTCCGCACTGTTTTATTAAAAGAACATCATGCAAAATACAATGTTAAATCTAAAAGTTACTGCAGAGTCGCCAAAGAAATAGACTTTTTGTGAACTGCCCATAGTGGAGGGCCAGTTTGCTGCATCATGAAAATGACAATTCTTGAATTAAAGTTATGAAACCAGAACTTAAGTATAGCAGTTTAGTTCCTGATATATTGGAGTATTTTCTGTTCGAGCAATTTGAAGAACTTATTGTGCATGTAGGTTGCTGCCTGTTATCTACTGTATTAATTATTGTTAGATACTGGCATCCAAAGCATATGATGAATTATATATTGTATTTAATCAGCATTCAGTGACTTTTGGAGTCAGAGTTTGAGCAAATATACATGTTGCATGTTCTTGCCCCCTTACCAAGTTTGCATGTTTATATGATGTTTCTGGTGACATGTATACCAGGGACTGGTACAATTTGGAGAAGTCAAAACGCGTAAAGGTGTTCCGATGTGGGGAGTTTGACGACTGTATAGAAAGGGCCGAAGCTGCTCAAGGTATGCCTCCAAAGAAGAGAGAGAAATATGCACGCCGTGAAGATGCGATATTGCATGCGCTTGAACTGGAGAGGCAAATAGTGGAGAAGAAATATGGGAAATTGGCAAGTTCTTCTAATGGTAGGAGCAAAGTGTCACCAGATGCTGTCACTTCTTCAGAGTATCTGCAAAATGGAGGTAGTAATGAAAAAGATCCTAGATCTGATCAGCTGACAGAGAGGGTTGGACCATCTATTGCAGAGAAGAATGTGACAGACAAACAATTAAATGAAGAAATAGTTAGGGAGGGACACCAACTGAGCGGAGATGATGATAGTGCTGGTGTGCTACCCCGTATGAGAGGCTTGCAGGACTTTGGTATCCGTACTGCTTCACCAGCTAGTAATCCTACTCTCAATAAATTTAATTTTCTTAAGAATTTAATTGTGTTATCGTGCCCTAGGTCTTTCTAGTTTATGGTTCTTTTTTACGACAAAGTTATCTCGAAGACCAGAAGTATATTAGACTATATTAAAAGTGACATAAGCTGCAGAATTTCTAGTTAGAGGCAATGAGGTCGGCTATCTTGTTAACTCTGGTAATGATTCATTTTTTATCTCTATCAGGAGAGGAGCTTTCTGGAGCTGCATTTCGCACGAAAAAGAGTAGAAACGCTTACGTGCAATATGAGTCTGGAGATTATTTAAATGATAATCTAAATCTATCATCCCAAATGAAGATACCAGTTTCAAAGTTTGAAGAAAGTGACTGTCCAGCTGATATGGGTGAAGACCACATTTCTGGGTCGACAGAGGATACTGAAACTGATAGTTCTGAAACCGATTCTTTAGAATCAGATTCAGATGATGAGATGAATGCACTTTCTGGTGAGATTTTTTCCATCATTTATCTGTTTAGTCAGCCTTATCAAGTATACAGCTTGCATGCACCAATTGTTTTTATGTCATCTTGTTCTTTAGAACACATGCAAGATCATCCTACTCAAGTTGGGTGTTCATTTTCCTGTTCTGATTTGTAGATGCCTTGTATTGCTGAGTCTGGCATGCATGCTATGTCACATTTAAGTCTTATCTAATTTATTTAACTCGTTTGGGGGTCAACAGTCGAGGTCTTATCTGCTCTCCATCTAATATCCATGGTTGAGTACTTTTCTCACCACTTTGACTGGTTGCTTAATATTATTAATAATTTGTCTCATTATATAACCTACTATTATTGCTCGAGACAGATGGTTCCGCTTCTATAGAACTGCATCCTAAATATCCAAGTAGAATTGAGACACAAGAAGAGCATGGAAGCCTTAGCAGTAGCGATGACTTTGATGAGTTGGCGTTCGCTGATGGCTTGTCTCATCCTTTCCCACACGGCCTCGTATCAGCTAATGCAGGGGTCTCCAAATGGCAGCTGAAAGGAAAAAGAAATAACCGCATTCTTGGGAAAAGGTACCTTGACAGAACCGACACGGAAGTTTCTGGAGGATGTGTGAACAGCAAAAATACAAATTGGAGCAATAGTGGTTTGAGGGCTGATTTGATTCATAGTACTTTTACTAACCATGTGTCTGGATATGGACCAACAGGATTACACAGTTCCAAAGACATCGTCGATTCAGAGGGACTGCCCTGGAATAATCAGTCTGCCATGAGAGGATATTGGGAAGACTCGGAGGAGTATGTGGATCCTTTGTTTGTTGATATGCATCAATTTGGTGGTAGGACCATGCTTATGGATGTTGATTTGCAAGTTCAGGGCAATAATTATCGAAGGGATGTCCCTATGATCTCACTGATGAGTAAATTAAACGGACACGCCATAATAGGTCATCCAATCACAATTGAAGCTCTTGAAAATGGTTTGTCGGAAGACCTTCTTACTGCAAATGGTTATCTTTATACTCAACCGCTCGAGAATCCTGCTACACTTCCTTCTGTATGGAGAACCGGTCGTAGAACAGCAAACTTCCGTGTTCCACGCCCATTTCCCTCGTCAAAATTGAATGGTGAAAATAAGCAGCAAAGGGGAAATATGACGCAGAAGAGCTCCTATCAGAATCCGTTGGATAAGAAATTTTCAAGAAATTCACCCAAGAAAATTAATCCGTCCTCTAATCAAAAGATAAGAAAACTTTCGTCAATTGCATCTGATGAGCAGCACCATGGTGATCCGAGAAGTGATAGCAGCAGCTATCAAGTGGATGTGCTTATCAAAACGGAGAATACACCGACGGCTATTGCCTGCATACCTGTTAACTTGGTATTTAGCAGGTTGCACGAGGAATTAGTTGGCCGGCATCAGTAATAGCACATCCATGGGGTATCTATGGATTATATGCATGTAAATTGTTAGGTTATTAACCCTCACCACCTTGCCTCTCCTTTTTTTTTTTTTTAATTATATGAAGCTTTATTTGATTCTTGAGTTTTGTCCCGAAAAATCAAGATCTTGGGCTTCTTTTTGTACTTTAGAGAGATGACGATTATTGACTGCTGCAGAATGGGTTGAAAATGAAGCAGCCTATGATTATTTTAGCCTTTGTATACCCTAAAGAACAAGGTGCTGTGGTCTGCAGGAGATAGGAACAAATACTGTAGATTCTTATACTGGTGAATGTACATCTAACTTGTATTATTTTCAATGTTGATAGATTTTTTTTTTTTCTTTTTTTTTTTTAATATTTTTTTTATGATTGGTGTATGTCTAACTTGGGATTTGAAAACCTGTGTTGTGAAGAATGTTTAAATTATTTAACAGTTTGTTTGTCAGATCCCTTTTTGGTGAAATAACTGCTACTGTTCAGGTTGTTTATCACAAATTGGATAAGTCTCTCTCACAATCCTCGTTTTCACTGGAAGTGAATAAACGAACGTGATTAAAAGCAAGAGTACAAGTACTGTTGATAAGAAGATTCGAACTTGTATCAATCGACATAATCCATGTAGATATTTGAATTACCTAAGAAAGAGGTATGCATGTATGTTTTAGTCAGTTATGATTCTAATTTATATGAATCTATTTCATTAATGTAATGTAGAACATGATTCTTAACAAGTATAATAGTCAATACAGATTATATCTTTTTCAGTATTATTATATTACTATTATTTTTATATACTATATAATATGTATGCCAAAGATAATTTATTTATTTTCAGTTTAGTTTTTGAAAATGAACCAAAAAAGGGAAAGAAAAAAGAACAAACAATACAAAAAAAAAAAAAGAAAGAGGTAAAAAAAGGCGGCAGTGAATTTACCGCAGTAAATAAACATGCATTTACATAAAATGAAAATCTACCAAAAGTTTCAAACAATTCACGCACTCCCGCCCAAAACTCTACTCGGATACATTTACCGCAATACCCTTGTCACCCACTTATATTTGCTCACTAGATATTTTACCTGGAATTTTCCCTTTATTTAGGGTGCTCAGGAATTACAGATTTCAATTTCACCAACGGCGGATATGGACAACATCCAGTCGGAGAATTCGCCGTCAGCTCCGGCTCCGTCGCATACGAATGGGAACTCTGATCAGTCAACCCGAGACCTACACAGTAGCGATGAAACCAGTGGCAATATTGAGAATTCTCCGACAAACAATGGCTTTCCGGGGAAGAAATCGTCTAATCGGGATAATGAAATGCTGAGGAGCTCCGAAAATGACGGCCGCCGCCGTTCGTCGAGATTGGCTGATAATGCTGGAGGTGATGGTACCTGGAAGGAGGTAAACTACACCGAATTAGACTTGCTTTTGGAGAAATCTCCTCCGACGAAGAAGCATAAGAGTGGGAAAAAGGATTACTTCTTTATTGGTGAGCCGGTACACGAGGATGAGGCTCGGCGCCTCTGGCCTTGGCGGTATGACAAAACCGAGGTATATGCTGCTGCGGTAATGTGGCTTCACTTTTTGACTGTGGTGATTCTGCAAAATTTCGATAAATCGTGATATGCTGCAAAATTTATATTATGTGGTTGGGTGGAATCTGATGATATGTTAGTGATCAAACTTGGTAGTTTTCAACTTTCAAGCATGGGACAAGTAGTTATTTGGACTATGATCTTGAAAAATTGATAGGACTAGTGGAATTTTGGATAGCTTTAGATAAGCCTTAAGTATCTATAATTACTTAATTAGGGCCCATTAACACAGAATCATTGCAGAGTCAAAATTCGGTAATGCTTCATGCACATCTCCCTGTTTCTCTTACGTGACACTATTGTGAAAACAAAAGAAACACTCGCTGCCTTTTCACCAACTTATGACCGCTTTGATCAAATGATAATTACTTTTGTCAATGAAATAACATTGCAAACTTGCTCATGAAACCTCTAGTTGACTACAATTAACTTTACTCCTTATAGGTTCAAACTTTAGATCATTCTCAAAGATTTATGTGTTCCTTTTCTAGTATTATAATGATATTGTTGTCATTTTTTTTGTAGGCTCCACAAAATTATAGACGATCACTGTACTATGAGTAAGTAATGTCTAAATTTTTTGTTACGTTTTATGAGGTATTCTAGTTTTCTAGTTTATATCATTGAGGTTGTTGCAACTGTTTAGGACTGATGATGATGATGATGATGACGATGAGGATGATAATGACGACGATGATGTGATTGTTATGAACATAAAGTGCCACTATTCTAAAGCTGAAATACATAAGATTGTTTTTGATCTTGGTGATTGTGCATACGTCAAGGTAAGTTTTGCCAGTCTATATTCACTTATTTATTGTTTCACTCACACACCGACCCACAGAATGACCTTGTAAGCAACACATAGGCTACACCACAGTACAGTCTTAAGTCGGAAATATATAATATTACTACCATTTCATCTACTTCTGATCTTTTCCTTCGATATCTATAGGGTCCAGAGGGAGGTCCTAATTATGTTGGCAAAATTCTAGAATTTTTTGAGACGATAGATGGTGAAGACTATTTTAGGGTTCAGTGGTTTTTCAGAGCTGAAGATACGGTGACAATAATCATATTTTGTTCTCTTTTACTCTGCTTTTTTTTCATTTTTTTTTTCAAATTCTATATCTTTCTAATTGTGCATCTTCACAGGTAATAAAGGATGATGGGAGATCTCATGACAACAAACGGTTATTCTATTCTACTTTAATGAACGACAACTTATTAGACTCTATAGTTTCAAAAGTACAAGTTGTTCAAATAACACCCGATGTATGGCCGATGTCTCTACTTTTCTGCTTTAACTTATTATAAATAGCTATTTATCTCTTATATTATTAGTTTGGTATTGAACTTTATATTTGGAAGATGATGACCCTAATTATAATAATCCCTATACTTTCATTTGTTTTGCCCTGTAGTTGTTCTAATATGTTTCTAATGTTCATGGTCCCGTAGGTTAATTTGAAAGCAACATCTATTCCACCTTGTGACTTCTATTTTGATATGAAATACTCACTGGATTACTCGACATTCAATGCAATTACAGGTAAATTGTACTCATTGTTATCAATTTGTAAATGAGAGCTTGATTTTTGCCTTCTTTATTGTTTGTTATGCTCAATTTTATACTTCGCCCTCATGTCAACCATTTTTTTTGCTAAGCCCACCAGTAATGAAGTGTTTTCCAATCATTCGATTATTTGTATGCTATGAAATTGTTTAGAGTCAACCGTTCCACAATCTAAATCAAAGCCACATTGCAATGAAGTAGTTCTTTACTCCAACACCTTAAATATTCCTAAACAAACTATCTCCTTACATGTGTTCTAAATTAAATCTAGTGAGTATAAGTGTCAGTTGTCTGCCTCCTTCCTAATCTAACAAATTAAGTAATTTGTTATAATATTTAGTTTTTTACATTAGCTCTGTGAAGAAACATTCCTAATTTCTCTTATTCATATCAAAATCATAAGTTATTGAAAATGAAACTCTTCTCTTCCTAAAAGCTGCCTTAGTACAATCTAGTCTTAAACTAGTATAAATATTATAATTAACCATTTGACCCCCATTTATTTGATGATTTGGGAAATTCTAGATACTGTTTGGGTTGTCAATTATCACTATAGTTAATCTCCTTCTATCCACCAAGACAATCATGCAGATATTAGTAGTTTGTCCTCTCTTCCTCACCCTCCGACAATGTCAACCAAAAACAAACATGGAACCTGCAAAACTGGAACCATGCATACTGCAGATGAAATGTCTAACAAGGAAGTCTGTAAACCTGAGCTAGCATTGTTGGATATGTACTCTGGCTGTGGAGGAATGTCCACGGGACTGTGCCTTGGCACTAAAGTTTGTGATGTAGATCTCGTGACGGTAATATATCAAGCATTCAATTTAAATTTCACAAATGTCATCTTTTTTAAGAACTCCATGCATTGGTATTTGTGGTAAATAACTTCCTTTCACCTTTCAAAGAGATGGGCTGTTGACATGGATAGAGCAGCATGTGAAAGCTTGAAGCTAAATCATCCAGAGACCCAAGTGGGTATTCAATAGTCTGTTTGGTTTAAGCCTCCGAGTTTCTCAGAAGTATTTTATTTTTCAAGTATCTCATTGAACAGATTAGGCATGGATCTGCAGAGGATTTTCTTGATTTGTTGAAGGAATGGGACAGCTTGTGCAGACAATATGGGAGCCATGAAGAAAAAGAACTCGTGACAAGGCTAACTGGAGAAGCTGATGAAGACATACAATCAAAAGAGGATCACGAAAAATCCTGTGAATATGAAGTGGAAAAACTAGTAGATATACGTTTTAGTGCTATCACAAAATCAGGCAATCGGGGACTTAAGTTTAAGGTGATTGTTCTCATACGAGCTTGAAAACTTGTCTACATCCTTTGAAATAGACAAAAGCAGCATGCAGTGCATGAGTAAACATGGTTTGTGCCTAAACCATAAAACTTATACATTTGTTAACCTAGTCTCTGTAACACCAGAAGACACAAAGAAGATACTTTCAGGTGCCTTTTGCTCTTTAGAATACCTTCCCGAGAAGAGGGTTCCAATGATTTCTAGGGAAACGATGATAATTACAAGACATCCTAATGTGAGGATTTTAAAAGGAATTGCTGTTTTCTATCTGCTTTGTTCTTTTGCAAAAACAAGTTCAATTGACAGTTAACTATACTATTCCTAGTAGTACCATTCACCCTGAATCATCCAAAATGCTATCCTTTTCATTTATAGATGCTGTGAATGCTTCATCACTTTCATGCCAACTTTTACTTTCTTTCAGGTGCGCTGGCTTGGATATGACCCAACTGACGATACATGGGAGCCAATTGAGGCCTTGAGGTATGTTGTTTCAGATATAATCTTCACTCTTCAATTATGATATGAGAAATATCTCACAGATTTCTTCCGCTATTTGTTAGAAATTGCCAAGAGCGGATACGAGATTTCGTGCAACAGGGAATGAAAGAAAAAATCTTGCCACGTCCGGTAGGTTTGATCTGTTTATGTAGCGTACTTATGTGTTATATATTTGAAAAAGAAAATCAGCTCTCATAGTATATGTTTATGTTCAATACTGCAAGGCTGAAGACAGATGTGGATCATAGATTATTTATCAATTTTGTTCCTTTAAGAAATAGTTACCGCACCACAATAAGAAAGAAACACGCATGCCATAACTGAAAGATAGTGTAGGAAAGAGGGGTCATAAATCCATCCTCATTCCTACCTTTAATTGTATGAATGGTTTATGTTTCTTTCTTATGATTTTTGTGATACCTATTGTACACCTATGACTAAGTCTAAGAAAAAGGATTAATTATGGTTACTTGGGTAAAATATGATTGATTTCACAATTAATGCATTCAATACACAGTATAATCTTCATCTTCCTATCGTCATTTTAATACCATTCCCGTTAGTTTCTTCTTTTATGAAAATCGCCGATGAGCACATTGAAACTATCCATGTGGCTGAGAGCCCAGGCACAACGACGCAACTATCAGGAGCGAGAGAAAATTTCTCAATTCTGAAGATCTAGAATAGTTTTTTTTTTTAAGATTTTTATTAAATACTTTTAGACAGATATCTTTTAATGCTAATTTTTATCAATCAAATTATTAAATAATATATAAACAATTTACTAAAATAGTGACAATAAAAATGTTTATGATCTCCTTTTTTCCCTCTGGCACAGATAATGAAAAATTGGTAGGAAGTTTCAGAACAGAGTTGCCTGAGTCACTGAAAACATTGTCTCAATGAAACTATTCATGTTCAACTTGTGTTTTACAATACAATGACTACATGATTCCACTAAATTTCCCTCTACATGGTAACAACTTATTGCAGGGAGATGTTGCTGTAATTTGCGGTGGTCCTCCATGCCAAGGAATTAGTGGCTCCAACCGGTTTAGAAATGTTGATACTCCTCTTGATGATGAAAAAAATCGCCAAATTGTGATTTTCATGGATACAATTGACTTCTTAAAGCCAAAGTTTGTTCTAATGGAAAACGTAGTGGATATCTTGAGGTTTGCTAATGGCATTCTAGGAAGATATGCTGTAAGCCGTTTAGTTCGTATGCATTATCAAGCAAGGCTTGGGATTATGGCTGCTGGTTGCTATGGGCTTCCTCAATTTCGCTTACGTGTTTTCTTATGGGGTGCCCATCCTCATGAGGCAAGTATCTTAATCCTTACTTTGCACTTTTAATTTAATGACTGTCTTCTCTAGTTTATGATAGATTAAAATTTAAAATTGAATATGTTGGTGTTAATCAGTTAATTAATCGAACTGCGGCCATCCCTTAAGTCTACTTAGCATTCCTCAGATCATGTAAAATATGTCCTCTTTTCCTGTAAGTTATGCTATGACTAGTCACATGAAGCATCGCTGCATGATGGGCCTGTAGTAATATATTTTCTACATAATTGTACACGTATTATGTTTACTAACAATTACAAGTTTCCATGTCTTCTATTTAAAATGTTGTTTTTCTGGTAGGTATTGCCGCAGTTTCCCCTTCCTACACATGACGTGGTGATCCGGTATGGATTTCCTAATGATTTTGAGGTGCTTGACGATTTTCTTATGTGAATATGGTCATGTGGTAAATTTGTGGAGCTAATTTAGTTTAATCTTGCAGCGTAATGTTGTTGCATATGATGAAGGGCAGCATCGGGATCTAGAAAAAATCATTCTTCTTGGCGATGCTATTACTGATCTTCCTCCTGTATGTTAAATCTATTTAATTTGATCCAGTTCTTTAATATAAAGTTAAACTCATATTTCACTTCTACTTTAAGGTTGGAAATGATGAGAAACGTGACAAGATATCGTACCAAAATCCGCCTGAAACTGACTTTCAAAAGTATATCAGAGCAGCTAAACGTGGTAGGACATCTGATCTCACTTTCCTGGTCCAATAAAATCATCCCATCCGACATGTATGTTATGTGATATACGTGTCATGAATCTTGTTAGTTTACTGGAGAGGTTAAGTAAATCGACACGATTTACGAATCTTTAGAATATAATGTTGATCTCTACCAGGCTAGATGTGCGCTTAGTCTGTTTTTACTTGTTCTGGCTCATAGGGAAACTTAAAGTCACTTTTTTTCAGTTGAGTTGAGTTGGGAAGATTAGTGACTTTAGGTTCCCTTTGCTTATTGATTTGGTTTTCAAAGAGCAAATTAGCAGAACAAGAATATGATCCCAGTTACAGGCCAATGTGAACTTTGGACTGACTCTTTTTTTTTTTTTCTTTCTTTCAGATATGACAGGTTCACCTTCCGATGGCACATCTGTAGGCAGTAATCCTACTCTTTACGATCATTTACCTCGTACTTTGAATGATGATGACTATATGCGAGTGTGTAAAGTACCAAAAAGAAAGGTTAGTCCACAAAGACTCTGTGCAATATAATATGCTTCGTGGCGTTGATTATTTACTTTGCTAAACAGGGTGCTAATTTTAGAGACCTCCCAGGCGTTATTATTGGATCTGACAATGTAGTTCAACGAGCGGAAGAGCACGAGTTGATGCCATCAGGGAAGCCATGGGTAACAAGATGGATCAATTTTTATTCCTTGCCTTTTTTTTGGCTAAAATATATTTTCCTCCAATGCATTTCTAGCAATATAGCAGGTAGCTTTGCTTTCAAATTTAAAATGCAAGATATCTAAATCATCACCTTCTCTTTTTCTAGTTTCATCTATATTTATTAACTTCTTAAAAGCAGTATGTAACTATATCAACTGCTCTTGATATTCGTTTTTGCCATCATCAGGTGCCCGATTATGCCATTAATTTACGTGATGGAAGGACCAGACAGTGAGCTTACTTTTGAACTTGCACCAGTTTATGTATTCTTTATTTCTGTTTGCAAGCTAGTGAGGCTCCGTTTCTCTTACAACTGACAATTTACAGAGCATTTGGACGACTGTGGTGGGATGAGACTGTACCAACCGTATTTTGTTCTCCGGATCCACACATACGGGTCAGCATCCTTTGACTTTGTTTCTTTAGTTTGCTTTTGAAAGCAATAGCTAATTCTGTTATCGTTTTTCCTCCTTTCAGCCAGTTTTACACCCTGAACAAGACAGGGTCCTCACTATACGTGAATGTGCAAGGCTACAGGGCTTTCACGACCACTATATGTTCTTTGGAAACCTGAAAGAAAGGCAATTTTCTTGTGTGGACAAGTTTTGCCTTCGACCTGATGACTCTCGTATTTACGTTTTTGAATCTCTCTCTGTTTTTCAGATACAGTCAAGTGGGAAATGCAGTAGCTGTTTCAGTGGGACGCGCTCTAGGATATTCACTTGGTATGGCAGTGCAGAAACTGAGTGGAGAAAACGAACATCTCACGACTCTTCCCCCGAAATTCTCCCACTCTACAACTGTTGAGCTGCAATCTTTACTTCACAAGTTGAAAGAATAGTTAGTTAATTCATTTTTGTACTCTATATTTTTTACTGGGAGATGATGAACCTTTTCTCCCCAAAACCAATTCATAATTTGTGACACATAAGCGGCATAATTTTTTGATAAACCCGAGAAGTTATTGGGCATGCCAAACATTAAACAAAGTCCGACTAATCAAAACCCGAGAAGTTATGTGGCATGCCAAATATTAAACAAAGTCCAACTATTTAATAAGTCGTCGTTAAATATCCCCAACCAAATAAGCACTAATGTACAAATTGTTTGTTTGGTGACTTCTTGATACAAATTGAAAGCAATCACCCCAAATTTGAGCCAAGTTTCGTAAATTTCAGCCCAAATTTTATGAGTACGTAAAATAACTAGCCAAGTTTCTCCAATTGGGCCAAAGCCCATCTGCCCAATCAGGAACGCCAGCAGTTCGATTAAATATACTAAAATGCCCCTGCACAAACAGAGACTTATTTCGGCATAGCAATAAGCAAATCTCAACGGCTCTCTTCGGAAAAGTAGCCGTTAAAAAACCCTAATCGAAGTGAATCTATAATACCCTCAATCCGACTTTTTTCCAGAAAACAATTTACAATCACTCTCTCTCTCTCTCTCTCTCTCTCTCTCTCTCTCTCTCTCTCTCGTCACTGAAATCATCCCTCGCTATCTCAAGCTGCCATTTAAATTACTTGGTTGATTGTTTGTTTAGATCAGTTCAGTTTATATCAATTCAATTCTGAGTTGTTTATATAACCAATTCTTTGTTTTGCAGGATCTTTTTGTGCTTTATTTGATTTTCACTCCCTGTCAATCGCACATATAACAGTAGCATCTATTTCATACATATATAAAATTGCCTATCTTCTTTTTTGCTGTTGTGTTTTTTTGTGCTAACGTGATGGAAACAGGAATGACTCACTCCTCTGCGTCTTCAAACAAGACTCAATTGCGATGCCCACTTCAGGAACATCTCCTGCAAAGAAGAAATTCGCGAGAAAACGTATGTTATTTGTGATTTCTCAATTATTTGTGATTTCTTCATAATCTGTGCTTGTGTGTATATGCATATATGGTTTAGGGTTTCAGTGTATGGATGAACAGACACAAAAGTTTAAATTTTATTTTGCAATTATATCTCCATTATGCTTCTAGGGTTTGGATTTAGGTCTGGGAATTAATGAGTTCATACGCAAAGTATACAAACTATTGGGGTTTATAATACGGGCGTTGAACAGCTTAAAGTTCATAACGATTTAGTTTGCCCATTTGAGTATTAATCTATATTCTTGTTTTAGTTATTTCTTACATTTCTATTTTCTTTTTTTTTTGATTTGTCTACAGTTGGACCGGTTCATACCGAACAGATCAGCAATTGATTTTGATTATGCACATTACATGCTCACTGAAGGTAAGAAAGGTAAGGAAAATCCATCTGCCAACTCTTCTCCATCCAGAGAGGCGTACAGGAAACAGCTCGCCGAGACCTTCAACATGAACAGAACTCGAATTCTTGCTTTCAAGAATAAGCCACCTACTCCAGTGGAAGCCATTCCAAATGACTTTTCATCGGCCGCTCACCAAGTCAAAGCCGCTAAACCCCGTCGGCACATTCCCCAGGTTTGTGCCATTTTATATTCTCGATTATTTTTAATTAAGTGAAATATCGAAATTAATTACCAAATGATTGACATAATTGGATTTTTTTTTCTTTCTTTTATGCAGACTTCAGAGAGGACATTAGACGCCCCAGACATTATGGATGACTACTATTTGAATTTACTAGATTGGGGCAGCAGCAATGTTCTTTCGATTGCTCTTGGAAGCACTGTATATTTGTGGGATGCTTCCGATGGGAATACGTCGGAACTTGTTACCGTTGATGAAGAAAGTGGTCCTGTGACTAGTGTCAAATGGGCCCCTGATGGGAAGCACATTGCTGTTGGTCTAAACAACTCAGAGGTCCAGCTATGGGACTCCACAGCTAATAGACTGGTGAGTGCTCTCGCCTCTAATGTTTATGCATCGGTATTTTGGTTAATTCGCCAGCTAAACTATATTGCCTTCAATGTTAATGCATCGGCTATGATTTCACTTGCTTATTCAATTTGTCAATGCTGAACTGTATTGCCTTTAATGTTTATGCATCAGCAGCTATTTCGTGCTCTTGGTCAATTTGTCAATGCTAAACTATATTTTGTTTATAGGCTATGATTTCATGTGCTTTTTCAATTTGTAATGCTAAACTATATTGCCGTCAATGTTTATTATGAATCGGCTATTATTTCATGTGCTTGGTCAATGTGTCAATGCTAAATTATTTTGCGTTCCTGTTCAATTTTGTCAATGCTAACAAAACTACGTTGTTTCTGCAGCTGAGAACTTTGAGAGGCGGACATGCTTCACGAGTCGGTGCATTGGACTGGAACAATCACGTATTGACTACAGGTGGGATGGACGGTCAGATTGTAAACAATGACGTAAGAGTGAGGGCCCACATAGTTGAAACATATCGAGGGCATCAACAAGAAGTTTGTGGGCTTAAATGGTCAGCCTCTGGCCAGCAATTAGCCAGTGGCGGAAACGATAATCTCCTCCATATATGGGACAGATCTGTGGCTTCGTCGAATACTCCAACACAGTGGCTTCACAGGTTGGAAGACCACACGGCTGCTGTTAAAGCACTTGCATGGTGTCCTTTTCAGGGTAATTTGCTGGCCTCTGGTGGAGGTGGAGGCGACAGGTGCATAAAGTTCTGGAACACACACACTGGTGCGTGTTTGAATTCGGTGGACACGGGTTCGCAGGTGTGTGCTCTTTTGTGGAACAAAAACGAGCGTGAACTTTTGAGCTCACATGGTTTTACTCAGAATCAGCTCACCCTGTGGAAATATCCTTCAATGGTGAAGATAGCTGAGCTCACTGGCCATACTTCTAGAGTTCTTTTTATGGCTCAGGTAATTTTGGCATTAATGTAGAATTTGGAAATTGCAGATGTGGTTGTGTTATCTCGATTAAGTTTGTCTGATTTTCCTTTCTTGTTGTGATAATACTAGAGTCCAGATGGATGCACGGTTGCATCTGCAGCAGGGGATGAAACTCTGAGGTTTTGGAATGTTTTTGGGACACCGGAAGTTGCCAAGCCTGCGCCTAAGGCAGCTGCAGAGCCGTTTGCTCACTTGAATCGCATTAGATAAATAAATGGGACATTGGAGGACGTGACGTATGCATGATGTAGGCCTTTTCACATTCTCTATTCGCAAATGATTCATTGGCAAGGACCAAGGTAATTTAAGTGTGCAGAAGTTACAGATGATTTTCTAGCTTAGTAACTTTGTCTGAACCTTTTACCTTATTCGACAGGAAGCTTTCATCGGGGACGGAGCTCAGTTGGCTGTTACAAATTACATAATACTGTGGGCTTTTTCGCTGTTTTATTTTTTCCCCTTCACATTCTGCATATTGTCAACTGAGATTTCATGATTGATACAGACCTATAATTTTTTGAAGTGTAAACTTTGTAAATCAAAACTTAGTTCATAGATAGTGTTATCAGCAAGTCACAGATAGTGACAAGATATTACAGATTTTGTAGTCAGAGTTATTTTCGTAGATGAAGAAGAAAAATGGATCGAGGAAGCCGAGGCTGTGCGATAGCAAAATAACCTCGTCCCACATCGTAACATTAGTAATTCCCGTAGAAATTAACCGTCACAGTTACGTTGTGCTTTTCATTCAGACTTGCACAAGTTACCAACATAATGAATGCTATAAAGAATGCTAACCTGCAAATTTCACACACACCATTACAAACAAACCACTTTTGAGTTACGTTAGTCCAAATTAATCGATCGCGAATCTTTGTCCATTCACTAAAATGGAGCGAGTAGCAACCAAGTTTTTTAAGAAATATAATGATCAAGTGTTACAGATACACATATTTTGGATAATGCTGGGAGGGAAAAAAATCATAGCAGGATATATTTTTTTGTGTTTGGAATATAATTATTGAAGTCCATAGAGTAACAAAGCTCCAACACCAGCAAGACCAGCAACAAGGCCAATAATTACACCAATAGGAGGCAGCCCTCCTCCAATAGCCTTCCCTGTGTTCACATCATATCTTGCAAACCTCTTCTTTGGTGCTCTACACTGCGGGCATGCATACTCGTCCGCCTCCATTTTTTCCCAATCAAACCAAACAAATGTTAGACATTGTTCATGTTAGAATTAACATGCGTCGCGCGCGCGCGCGCGTGTGTGTGTGTGTGTGTGTGTGTGTGTGTCTCAGGGTTTGTGTGTGTGTGTCTACTACTAACAAATCAATTGAATTTGCAAAATGACCGAGAATCAAGAAGATGGATAATTTATTTTTTTACCAGGTCATCGAAGGACTTTGACAGGGTGTATATGTATCCACAGTCGAGGCATATGTGAGTAGCACGTGCCTGCGAGAAATAACAAAAGAAGACGGTTTTTTTTATCCCTTCCTCGAGCATGTAATTTACCAAATAAAATTAAAAAGTGAGAAATTAGACACTAATTACCTTCTGAGCGTCGGATAATTTTCTCCCAAAGGCGGGAGGAGCTGGACGCTTAGGTAGCCTTTTGACATCCACTTCTGCACCCCTGCATTATAAGTCGTAATCGACGAGGATACATAATTAAAATGCTTGGTTTCATTAGCAGATAATATTAATAATAATTAGTAATTAACAAAGAAATAAACCTGCTAACGACAAAGTAGACGGAGTCGGGCTTAGCATTAATGGCAGTTTTCGTAAATCCAAGCTTATCAGCTGGCCAAAGTTCATCTCCAAAGAAGCTGCTTGTGTAAATTACTTGGTCCCCAGCCTTAAGTCCTGCTCTTGCAGCATTCCCACCATTTTCCACACCCTATTGTACCAAATTAATTTCTCAATGATTACTACAATAACAATAATAATCAGAAAAAAATATAAATATTTGTAATAATAAAAGATAGATATAAATAAATAATACTTACAGTGATGAGCACACCACCACCTTGCTTTTGACCCAAAGTCAAGCCCAAAGGCTTATCAACTTCAACCTCAATATTCTTAGCAGTGCCAGCTCTTGCTGTGATCTCAAACCCTCTTTCTCTTACACTTTTTACATTACTGTTAATAATTATTCTCTCACTAACCAATGAATTGAAGACAACCCTTTTAGCATCTTGAATAGACAGCCCCTGAAAACTGGTTTTCTGCCCCCCCAAAAAACAATCAAGAAATTAACCAAAAGAAAAGATTGACAAAAAAAAAACATATATACTAAGAAAAAGAGAAGGATTGTTTTGTTACCTGAAACTGAGGAGTTAAGTAAGTTGAATTTTTTTTGGCAGAGATGTTTGTGCTGAATGCAGCAGCTGTGCATGATGAAGAAGCACCTGCAGCCATTGCTGATGACATTTCTTTCTCTCTTTCTCTCTTTCTCTCTTTCTCTCTCTAAGTGGGTGTTTGAGTGTGTGTTGTCAGTAGAGAGAGAGTGGTGTGGATAACTTGGGAGAACCACACGCCCCTTTTGAGTACATTAAAAGTGATGACTGACCAATAGAATTAGAACACATAACATACTTCTTGTCCTCAATATTATTATCCACCTTGGATTTTTACTATTATTCAACTTGGAATTTTATTCTGTACAGTTTTCTTTGAGTAAATTACACCTACACCCCTGAGTTATGCTAAAATAACTTTAAGGTCCCTATAGTACTGGTAATTACTACATAGAGCTAGCATTGTTTCAGGCAGTGGTGGAGACAACATTGAGCTAGAGGATAACATGACTCTCTCCTAACATTTCTTAAATCCTCATTATTTTATATAGCATTTATAAATTTTCATCTATGGTCGTATTAACGGCCCTGTGCGAAACAAATGCAGTGCATATTGGTCCCAAGAACATGAAATCTTGGCTCCTATAATTGTTTTAGGACTGTGGCAGTAATTACCAATTCCACAGGGACCCTAAAAATATTTTAGCATACCCCAGGGGTGTAGGTGTAATTTTCCTTTTTTTTTAAACTATCATAAATGACCAGTTTGTTGTTAATGCTACACCCGATGAAATACACCGGGTAATTATTAACCGTTGATCTGCACACAATCACACACACTCATGTGTATGTGTGCTTAATGGGAAATCACCACATCAACGGTTAATAATTACCCGGTGTATTTCACCATGTGTAACATAAAGACCAACCGGATGTTGTCAATTAAGAATTCTTTTTTGAATAAAATAAAATAAATTCTAAAACTCAAGAAAATTTTGTGAAAGCCCGAATTCCAGAAGTGGGCTTTTCTAACAAGAGAAAAATAGTTAGGGTTTGGTTACTATGTCCAAACTTCAAAGTACAGCCCAAATTAGAAGCACTTAAGCCCATAAACTAAGCCCATCAGTGTCAGTCCGAAAATCAGGAGACACGTGTCGACACAGAGATGAAGATGCCTCTTGGGCACAATCCACAGAAATTAAGTCCTCTTGGCAGGGACAAAACGGTCATTCTATCCCCAGCACGGTAGCACCCACTCGCAAAAATATTCGAAAGAATATACTAATAATAACAGCATTCGAACGGATAAAAAGAGGATAACGCCGTTAGAAGAATCCACGTAATCTAGCACAGATCCATATATATGATCTACTATTAAACTTTATAAAGAGTTGACTCAAAATCCAATCTCAAGTTATTATTTTATTACAGTCTGGATTTTTCAAGTTAATATTATACAACTTTGAAAATCTCCCAAACAACCCCTTTAAACACTCCGTTAACTCAAACGGTTACCGTCAAAAGACGGCCCAAAAAGTTCAGACGGAACCGGTTAGTCCGTAGTACGGGGTTGGTGCGGAAGCAAATGGAAGGAAAAAAAAAGAGACAGAGAGACGATTCTCTAAAGTCTTGTTTGGATTAAAATAAGTAAAAAACCACACACAATACACACACTAATGACACAGTCGCACACTTTCATACGCACATCCCACCCACTCACTATAAACAAGGGTCCCCCACTCTCTCTCTCTCTCTCTCTCTATTTCATTTCTCCTACTTTCTCTCTCTAAGACTTCCATTAATTTCTTACAGAATTCCTGATTTTTTTTTTTCCGGTAGTGAATTATAATTGTATGGCAGCTAATTTGCAGGTTCGGGGAGTGGCGAGCTTTGGGAAACGATTAGTTGGCCAGATCCGCTCTCGTGATTCCCTGCCCATTATTCCTCCACTCTCTCTCACTCTCAGGTGTGTGTATTTTTTTCTGTACGTATATGTGTGTGTGTGTGTGTATTTACGCCGCTAGTAAGTATGGCTTATTATCACTTGATATTTACCTCATTTGATGATCGTGTTTGTGATTTTGCCAATTTTGGCGATACAAAATATTAAATATTAAATACTCATCATTCCTACAATCTGGGGATTTTCCTTTCTGGAAGTATCACTCAGTCAAACCATATTCTAAATTATTGAATTATAAATAACTTAGTATTATTATTATCGATTGGATTGTTAAACCAATTCTGAGTTATGATTCAAAATAGTATGTGGAGTGATTTGGGGATTTAAGGCTCTACTTATATAGTTTTCCACTTGTCTAGATTCTTTCTATATAATTGATGCAATCTTAGCTATAATGATATATGCATTACAATCTCTAATCGAGGTAATCGAGGACTCCACTTTCTAAATTTGATCTTTAGAAGATAATTCGATTTTAAGGCCGACATTTATAATTCGTAGTGTGTGTCAATTGACTGTGACAAACGCCTTCGTATAGTTATCGAGTTCATTATATTTCCATCGGGATTTCTCTGAAATTTTACCAATCAAGTGATAATGTTAATGAGATTTGATTTCTCTTACTTGCTAAGTGCAGATGTAATATCGATTAATTATATTATTGATCATGTGACTGTTATCCCACTTGACTAAAATTACCCCACTTGGGCTGCCCACTAATTACTTGACATTGTACACCTACCATTCATATTCTCAACTTTGAGTATTCAATGTTTGTCTTGGCTCCAATCAATTACGTTTCTCTTTTATTTTGTCCGTGAAAAATATAAGAATTTTTTCGTCGTGTTTTTTAATTGTTATTTATAGAGTTTTGTGATTATTAATAATCAATGTTATATACATGTTGTATGCAGGGGTGTGCACAGCTCTGCCTATGACAAGAACCAAGAGGACCATGTCCAAGCAAACATGGTACCAGACCATGTGATGCCACCTCAGCCCGAGGTGTACTGGGCCCCACACCCTAAAACCGGGGTGTTTGGCCCTACAACGGGTTCGTCTGACGAGCATGAGGCTAGTGCTAGTGAAGACTCGGTGTTGGAACAGAAAACCTTTTTCCGCCCACTCGAGGACTTGGACAAGCCACCGGTCCAACCTTGAGAGTTTGCGTATATATAGAGAAGCCTGCCTTCTTATTATTATTAGTATTAATAAGTTGTGGAGTTTGTTGAAAAGGTTTCTCGGGTGTCTTTTATGTCTATTTAATCGACATTGCTCTTTGTTGTTTGTATTCTATTCCGAGCTTTGTTAAATTCACCTTAATGACTTTTAAATTAGTTGAAAATGAGAGTTGAGATTGTTGGATGTGTATTTGTTTCAATGTTCAATGAAGTTTTAAGGGCTTTGTTTGATACAATTTCTTGAAATGTCTATATGTACGTTGGGGGAATTTTATCCATAATATGTGCATCATTCATGACAACCGTCGTATAGACATTAGATGTTACGGCACGATTTCGATGTCCTTTTCCATCTTAGTCGAAGAGGTTGAATTTTCGATAAATCCAAATAATAAAAGTGGCCATATCTTTGGGAACATTAGATAAGATAAGATTGAGCTATGTGGACATCTAGTTGATTTTCTATTTTATTTTCCTTTATATTTTTTGTTGAGATTTCTCGTAAATTGGCTTTTTTAACTGAGAGACTAATCGGTTTAGTAATTTGAATCTTACTATTCAATACAATAAAACAGCTACATTTTATATGCAGTTTAATGGTTCTATTTACATAATGGGAAAGGACAACGGATATCTTACTTGTCTATAGCCTTTGTTCGATTTGTAGACTTGGCAGACGAGTAGCAAGATTCCACTGCATCAACAAGAATATTCAATGCCTTTGTTCGAGAGCGATCAAAGCAGACTTCAGCATTTCGCGTGCTTTTCTATCAGGTGAACATCCAGAAGCTTCCATTTCACTATATATTTTAGGGACCTGATGGCAAAAAAGAAAAAAACTTCAACAACAAAGGCTTCGAAAATTGATTTATGGAAATACGTACGTCTTATCTGAAATTGCACGACTAACGAGTAGTATCAGAGTGAAGACAGATAAGTAAGTACCTGATCGAATTTCTTGGCCCAGAGAAAAGCCTTCATTAGCGTACTGTAAGTAACCACATCTGGACTAATACCCTTCAAACATAAAAAAAAAAACACAATTTTTCAGGAAAAGATACTCGTACGATATATTTGGAAACCTTTTTTTTTTGTCGATCAAACTTACACTCTCGAGTATGTGGTGATAGACTGATAATGCTTCCGTATCGCGTCCAGCAATGGCAAAAGCATTAATCAAAACATTCAGCATTATTAGGTTCATTTCCATTCCTTCTGCTTCCATGAGCTGCAGCACTTTAACAACTTGTTCACACAATCCCTGAGTTTGCGAATACCAAACTGTAAATTAGACGAGCTAACAAACGGCATATAACTTGTGTATCATAAGTCATAACCAAATTCAGTCCTTCTGTTTTTTTTTTTTTTTTTTTTTTTTGTAGAATAGGAAAAAGAAAAAACCTGCTGAGCATAAGCATCTGCCAAAACACAGAACACGCTACGTGATAGCTCAACACCTTCCGATTTCAGAGCCATTACACAATCCTCGGCATTTTGGAATTTCCCATACTGACCATAAATATCGACTAAAACAGCATAAATGGCACCACTCTTTTGTTGCCCTCGAACTTTCATATTCTCGAAATTCTTCCTTATAACATCCCACTTCCCCTGCTCCCCCAAGGTTGAAATGATAGTCACGAAAATCTTCGGATCTGGATAAATTCCTTCTTCCTGCATCCTACCAAACAAACCGAGAGCGCCGCCACTATCCCCGTATTTACAATGCCACCGGATCAAAGAATTCCATGTATTAATATCAGGTTTTATACCATCTTTTTGCATTTTCTCGAACAACTCCAAAGCTTCTCCTAATTCCCCGTATCTCGCAAAAGTATCGATGATGCTACTATATATTCTCCTATCCATAGCCAACCCCATTTCTCTAATCTCTCCCATAACCGCCATTGCCTTCTTCCACATCCCATTATCCCTATAAATTTCGATAATCTTACTATACACATAAGAATTCGGGTAATAGCCTTTTCTCTTCATCTCAGCTATCACAAGCCAAGTATCGTTCAACCGACCCGAGCTAACATGGTAATCGATTAGAATCTCGAACGTCTTGCGGTTTCTATGCAAACCCAAATCGTCAATAGCTATTAAAACCTTTTCAGACAACTCTAACAGGCCTTTCTTCAAACAGCTGGTGAGCATGGCATTGAGCAACCTAATCTTCGGCTTGCACCCTGAAATCAACATCTCTTGTAAAATCGCATCGGCTTCCAGTGTTCTTCCAGCATCTGCAAGACGTGTTATCAAATAAGAATAAGAAATCGAATAGGGGCGAACCCCCAACGCCTCCATTTGAGATAGCAAAGCCATGGCATCGTCCACTTCTCCTTCTTCGCACATTTCGCATAGCATTTCATTGTATACATCAACCGAAAACTCCTTGCCTTCAGAATTTATATGCTCGGAACTCGTAGTTACTGAACAATTAATCGATTCTGAGTCCGTTTTTCTTGCGAATTTGCTTCTAATCGATTGTGGATAAATTAGATAAATAGGGTTTGAGTAATTTTCATTTAAATTGAAAGAAAACTGAAAAAAGAATGGAGGTTTGTGGAAGATTGCGCGCGGCTGTGGTGCAAATAGCATCATAAGCTGCATCTCGTGCTTTTGCCGCGGAAGAAAATCCTTGCCTTCGCGCGCAAATGGAAAAATGAAAAAATTTGTGCGTGTAATTTTGTTCCTCGCTCCCTAATCTTTGGGTTTCATGTTTGATTTGCTCTGCGGATTTATGCAGTGCCGGCCCATATCAAGGGCCTGTGGGCCTTCCCAAGGCCAAATTTTTTATTGCAATAGAAAAAGCCCAATTAGGGCCCAAATACGGCCCGATCAGAGAGTCATCGACACAATCCGTCTCTCTCTAGATATCTAAAATTTTCGTTGAATATTTGCAATTTGTGTGAATATATTTCCTGCTTGCCACAGTACACATGTAAGTCAAGAACTTCTATGTTATACATGGCATGCACAGGAGTGCTGGGATTCGCCACTCCACCATTAAACTCGAGCAGAAGATCGAAGGCACACCAAAAGGACACCAGTATTTCTTGTTGCTCAACTTCTACTTCCACAGATGAGCAAGGAACTGCTAGGAAATTCACCTACTCCAGAGCGTCACCAGCTGCGCGGTGGCCGCACTTGAAATCCACCGAAACCCAACACGTGTCGCAGAAGAAAATGGTGTATTCTGAGGTTAAAGATGAAATTGAAGAGGTAAGCGAAGATGGGGCTGTGAGTGTGGACGCTGATGGCGTAGAAGACAAACTGTTTGATAAAAGGCTTAGCAGAAACAAAGTGAAGAAAATGAGCAAGCTGGCGTTGAAGAGGGCCAAGGACTGGCGGCAGAGGGTGCAGTTTATAACGGACAGGATTTTGAATTTGAAATCGGAGGAGTTTGTGGCTGATGTTTTGGATGAGAAGATGGTGCAAATGACCCCAACTGATTTCTGCTTTGTGGTGAAATCTGTTGGTCAGTCCAGTTGGCAAAGGGCGTTGGAGATTTACGAGTGGTTAAATCTTCGAAACTGGTACGCTCCAAACGCACGAATGCTGGCTACAATATTGTCTGTGCTTGGAAAAGCCAATCAAGAATCTCTGGCTGTGGAGATTTTCACCCGGGCTGAACAATCTGTTGGCAATACTGTCCAAGTGTATAATGCAATGATGGGGGTTTACGCTAGAAACGGTCGGTTTCCCAAAGTTCAGGAGATGCTTGATTTGATGCGTGAACGCGGCTGTGAGCCGGACTTGGTTAGTTTCAATACGCTGATAAACGCACGAATGAAATCGGGTCCCTCAACACCGAATTTGGGTATCGAACTGTTGGATGAAGTGAGGAGATCGGGTATTCAACCCGACATAATTACTTACAACACTCTTATTAGCGGTTGTTCGCGTGAGTCTAATTTAGAGGAGGCTGTGAAAGTTTTTCATGACATGGAGGCACACAAATGTCAACCCGACTTATGGACTTATAACGCAATGATTTCAGTGTGTGGAAGATGTGGACTTTCCGGTGAGGCAGAACGTCTCTTTAAGGAGTTGGGTTCCAAGAATTTTTTGCCAGATGCAGTTACATACAATTCTCTACTTTATGCATTTGCAAGAGAAGGGAATGTCGAAAAGGTGGAAGAAATCTGTCAAGAAATGGTAAAGATGGGGTTTGCGAAGGATGAGATGACTTATAATACCATTATTTACATGCATGGGAAGCAAGGTAGGCATGACCTAGCTTTGCAAATTTACAGAGACATGAAATCTTTGGGCCGAAATCCTGATGCAGTGACATACACTGTTCTCATCGACTCGTTAGGGAAAGCAAGTAAGATGGCAGAAGCTGCGAATGTGATGTCGGAAATGCTAAATACAGGTACCAGACCTACTCTGCGTACTTACAGTGCTTTGATATGTGGCTATGCAAAAGCTGGAGAGAGAGAGGAGGCTGAAGAGATATTCGATTGCATGCGGCGGTCCGGAATTAAACCAGACAATCTTGCATATTCAGTCATGTTGGATGTTCATTTAAGGTCAAACAACTCAAAGAAGGCAATGTTGTTGTATGAAGAAATGGTTCGTAATGGTTTTACCCCAGATCGTGGCCTCTATGAAACACTGATCCGAGTGTTAGCTGGAGAAAACAATGAAGAATGTATCCAGAAAGTGGTCGAGGATTTAGAGGAAATGCATGGCTTAAGCCCGGAGATGATTTCTTCAGTACTTACAAAAGGTGGTAGCTTTGATTTCGCAGCGAAAAAACTGAGACTTGCAATTACGCAGGGTCGTACTTTTGACAGGGAGAACTTGATATCAATTTTGACTTCGTATAGTTTATCTGGACGGCATACTGAAGCAATAGAACTGTTGAATTTCATGCAGGAGCATGCATCTGGATCCCAACAGTTTATATCCGAAGCTTTAGTTGTTATTCGTTGCAAAGCTCATCAGCTAGATGCTGCTTTAGACGAATATTACAAAAATAACAACCTGCATACTTTTAATGGGAGCTATGCCATGTACGAATCTCTGATCATGTCATGTGGGGAGAATGAGTGCTTTGCTGAAGCTTCTCAAATATTTTCAGATATGAGATTCCATGCGATTGAACCTTCGGCAGAAATATATCAGACAATGGCTCTTATCTATTGCAAAATGGATCTACCCGAGACAGCTCATCATTTGTTTGAGCAGGCAGAAGTCAAAGGCCTTCCTCTTCATGACACCTCAATTTGTACTGCTCTTGTTGAAGCTTATGGAAAACTGAAGCAACTGGAAAAAGCAGAGAGTGTTGTTGGAAGGCTGCGACAGAGGTGCAAAATAGTGGACCGTAAAGTTTGGAACTCGTTGATTCAAGCTTATGCTTTAAGTGGTTGCTATGAGAAAGCAAGAGCTGCTTTCAATACGATGATGAGAGACGGGCCTTCACCCACAGTTGATACGATAAACTCTCTCCTGCAAGCTTTGATTGTTGATGGGAGATTAAGCGAACTCTATGCCTTGATTCAGGATCTACAGGATATGAGTTTCAAAATTAGCAAGAGCTCTATTATTTTGATGCTCGAAGCATTTGCTCGATCTGGCAACATATTTGAAGTGAAGAAAATATACCACGGAATGAAAGTTGCAGGGTATCTTCCTACCATGCATCTCTATAGGGTTATGATCGGGTTGCTATGCAGGGCAAAACAGGTAAGAGATGTTGAGGCCATGGTTTCTGAGATGGAGGAAATGGGATTCACTCCCGATCTCTCTATATATAATATGTTGCTCCAGTTGTATACGAAAATAGAGGATTATAAGAAGACAGTTCAAGTTTACCAGCGTATTCAAGAATCGGGACTTGAACCAGATGAGGAAACTTACAAAACTTTAATCTTAATGTACTGTAGAGACTGCAGGCCTGAAGAAGCTGTCTTATTGATGCGTGAAATGAGACAGCTTGGCTTGAACCCTGACTTGGATACCTACAAAAGCCTGATTGCAGCTTTTTGTAAAAAGCTGATGTTGGAAGAAGCGGAAGAGCTTTTTAACGGCTTACAAACAGAAGGACATAAACTAAACAGGTCATTTTATCATTTGATGATGAAAATGTACAGAAGCTCTGAGAATTACACAAAAGCAGAAAAACTGCTGGAGAGTATGAAAGAATCGGGAGTTGAACCAAATGCCGCTACAATGTACCTGCTTATGAGTTCTTATGGCAGCTCAGGGCATCCAGTGGAAGCTGAAAAAGTGCTTAACAGTTTAAAATCTAACGGCTCAAATGTTAGTACGTTAACATACAGTTCAGTAATCGATGCTTATCTCAAGAATGGTGATCTTGAAATAGGCATTCAGAAGCTTTTGGAGATGAAAAATGAAGGCTTGGATCCAGATCACAGGATATGGACTTGTTTTATTAGGGCTGCAAGTCTGTGCCACAGTTTCAGTGAAGCCACTATGCTGTTAAATGCCGTTGGAGATGCTGGTTTCGATATTCCGTTAAGGCAAATATTTTTTAGTTCTTCGCCTTTTCTTTTTATTTATTTATTACCTTTTTCTCGGACTAAAACAATGTCTCTTTCATAGGCTTTTGACAGAAAATTCTATGTCGCTGCTGTCAGAGATAGACTGCTATCTCAAGACACTAGAACCTGTAGAAGATAATGCAGCGTTTAACTTTGTTAATGCTTTGGAAGATATGCTGTGGGCGTACGAACGCCGGGCAACTGCCACGTGGATTTTCCAGCTGGCAGTTAAGAGAAACATTTATAATCACGATGTGTTCAGGTAACGACTAAATTCAGATCTTGATGGGGGAATAGCAATTATTTTTTCTCGTGTTTATATGCAGTGTTATGCTTTCAAATAATATTCTGGTTTATACATTCGCAAGCAATCCAAAGCGAAAATCAGTAATTGTGCTCTCAGTATGCCTCTTTCAACATTTTGAAATGGTGTAATTATGAATAAACATCTTCTAAACTATATATCTAAAAGTTTCTGCATTACAAATGAATTGAACAATTCAAGGATTTTTTAGGGAAAAATGTGCTACAGTACACGATTTTTTGTGATTTTGGTTGATTATCAAATATCAATGAAACATTTCTTAGATACACTTTTTTCTCGACTAATTTTAATACACATCTTCAATACTATGTATTCGAGTGCAAATAAATATAGAAAATTATTGAACATATAAATTTTTTTTTTAGTAAAAATGGTGTGCTATATAGTATACAGTACACGATTTTCTGAGATTTTGCTTGTTGATTCAAAATTTAGTGAAACAATTTTTAGGTGAACTATTTCTTGACTATTTATGATTAAACATTATTGTTAATACATATTTGAGTGCAAAACAATATTAAAAATTATTTTAACAAATTGTGTTTTTTTAGCAAAAAACATGTGCTATGTGTATAAGTACATTTTTTTTTGTGATTTTGGTTGACGATTCAAATATCAGTGAAACATTTTTTAGATACACTTTTTCTTCACTGATAATGAATACACATAATCAATACTAGGTATTTGTGTGCAGAAAAATATAAAAAAATATTTGAACATCTAACTGATTTTTTAGCAAAAAGCGTGTGCTTGTACATGCTTTTTTGTGATTTTGCTTGATGATTGGAAAATTAGTTAAACAATTTTTAGATGATCTATTTCTAAAGTAATTCTGAATAAACATCTTCTATACTATATATCCAAGTGTTACAAAATATTAAGAAAATATCTGAACATTTCAGCGATTTTTTTAGTAAAAAGCGTGTGCTATATAGTATACGATTTTCTGTGATTTTTATTGACGATGCAAAAATTAGTAAAACATTTTTTATGGACTATTTCGTGACTACTTATGAATAAACACTTTGTATGGAGGACATATGTGCGTGTTCTAAAGTTGCTTTACCACCGCATGCACTCTCTGATTTATGACTGTTAAATTGTATGAATCTTCTGATTAACAAAAAGATCCAGCAAAATTACTTGAAAGAGTTGGTGTTTTCAATATTCGTAAACTGATTATGCATGAACAACAGTACTTAATGAGTCATGACAGCTTCTTCTATGTTAGACTTTTGCAGTTTGCTTCAGTACCATTTAATTTTCCCTGCAGGGTGGCTGATAAGGATTGGGGGGCCGATTTTAGAAAATTATCCGCCGGTGCTGCTCTTGTCGGACTTACATTATGGCTTGACCATATGCAGGCAAATCCCTGTTTTCATTTTTTTAATGCTTTATCTCACTGTTCTTGAAATCTAGTTTGTGGTGAAAGAAGAAAATTGATCTTGAGTTTACTAATTACTAGTACATTACTTCAAATTAATTGCATTTTAAACTTTGTTTCCAACAGGATGCATCGCTGGAAGGCTTCCCCGAATCTCCAAAATCCGTAGTACTAATAACCGGTAACGCAGAATACAACAAGGTATCTCTAAACAGCACACTGAAGGCATATCTTTGGGAAATGGGATCCCCATTCTTGCCGTGTAAAACCCGAAGCGGAATCCTCGTTGCAAAAGCTCATTCATTGAGATTGTGGTTGAAGGACTCTCCTTTCTGCTTGGATCTCGAATTGAAAGACAACCCTATAATACCGGAGACTAATTCAATGCAGCTAATTGAAGGGTGCTACATCAGACGAGGGCTTGTTCCAGCTTTCAATGACATAAAAGAGAAGCTCGGGGGGCAAGTGAATCCTAGGAAGTTTGCAAGACTTGCGTTATTGTCGGACGAGAAGAGAGAGAAAGTTATTCAGGCTGATATAGATGGTAGAAAAGAGAAGTTGGCCAAGCTGGAGAAAATTGGAGCTATGAGAGAGAAAAGAATCAGCAGCAGGTTCAGTAAGAACAAGTTCATTAGCAGTGGTGTTGTTTCTGAAGCTGAAAGAGGAGTCTTGAATTAGCTTTTGGTTTGAAACTTCTGGTAAATTTTGAGAAAAAAACCAAAAGCTAAAACAGGTGGCAATTTCGTAAATCAGCATGTATTTAGAAGTGACATTTTTTTTTAATAATTATTTATAAAAAAAATTGTACAGATTATACAATTGAACCTCTATAAATTTATACAGTGGGACAAGAGAAATTCTATTAATTCAACGAATTATGAAGCTATTTAGTTAAGAATTTAACACATTCTCACCGAGTCGGGATCGACATAAACTATTATTTAAGTGAGATTATTAATTTATCGAGACAAATATATTGGTTGGAATTAACAATTGTCGCGATAAATTTATCATATTACATTCCTTTAAATGGATTTTGTTTTTGGGATGTTCTTATTTACCGATGACCAATACGTTTATTTGTTTTGAATTAAAATATAAATACTAAAAAAAGAAAAAAGGCTATTTATATTAACTATTAATAATAGCATTATTGAATTGGGCTAATTAGTCTGTTTAGTTAGGCCCAATTGTTTATTTGGACTTGAGATATTGGCCCACACAGAACAATCCATTTCGTCGAAACTAGGGTTTTAGAAATATAAAGCCGCGGACACTCAGTTCAGGGTGAAATTTAGCAGAGCCAGAAGTAGACGTGCTCCATCGTTTTGTTCTGCATACATCGCCGCCGCCGTAAGTCTAAACCCTAGGAGATTTGTTCCGTTGTTTCATTTTGCAGTCTCGTTTCATGAACTGAAAGCTTATTATATTTCCGAAGAAATAGTTAGTTATTTCTCTGTGATTTGATTTTTCATTTAACTTGGCTGATCAATGATGTGTGTTTTCTCTGTAAATTGTTTAATTTTTTGTTTCTGGATTCAATCTTTTTTCCATTCTGGCATTTTCAGCTACTCTAATGATTTTGTTACAAGTTGATTTTTCTGTGCTCGAGTTTTGTATTGTTTTGTAAGCGGCGATGAGGTTTCGTGATTTCGTTGCACAGGTGATAAATGACGAAGTATTATCGTTACAGATCTTGAGTAATAAATTATAGAAATGCGTGTATGTATTGTATGTGATAATATACGTATGCGAGTTGCGATTGTTACTGTTTAATGTGTTTGTAATTCAGTTATTTGGTGGAACGATTTGCTGATGAAAATGAAAATGTAGAAGGTGCTGATGTAGAATTTACTGGATTATAGTTTCGTGTATTTATGCAGCTTAATTTTTATTTTACAATTGATTGGATTGTCCTATGTTTGATGTATAAAAAAGTTGATTGTCTCCAAGCCATCTTTGTTTGATCAATTCTCGATTTATTTTTTCATCTCGGTTATAGTGGAGTTGATATCATCCTTTGATTGTGTTTACTCTAGGTAAACCATGGTGAAGCACAACAATGTTATTCCCAGTGGTCACTTTAGGAAGCACTGGCAGAACTATGTCAAATGTTGGTTCAACCAACCTGCCCGCAAGACCAGGAGAAGAGCAGGTAATAGTTTTTCAGAACTCTGTATTTTCCCTTTTGGTTGAATCAATTCAGAGCAAATTATGGTGCTCTAAATTATTTGATCAGCTATTTGAGCAGAATGTTTACGCTTAAGTGTCGATGTATTTTCTCAGCAAGACAGAAGAAAGCTGTGAAGATTTTCCCGAGGCCCACAGATGGACGCCTTCGCCCAGTTGTCCATTGTCAGACACTCAAGTACAACATGAAGGTCAGATCTGGAAAGGGATTTTCTCTTGAGGAGCTCAAGGTTAGCTACTTTTGTTAGACGGTATATGTGAAATGTAGTTTGATTCATCTGCAATTTTGAGTTTACGCATCGAACAATTGTAACCTTTATTTGTACACTAGCCAACCAATCATACATTTAATCAACTGTTGTTTTTTTACAAAATATGCTATACTTATTACAATGCTGCATTAGTTCGATTGCCTACAAATTTACAATATTTATGTTAGCTATAACTTTTTTCTTTCTGAAATGTGTGTTTGTATGAATCAGGCTGCAGGCATCCCAAAGAAATTAGCCCCAACTGTTGGTATCTCAGTCGACCATCGACGCAGAAACCGTTCTTTGGAGGGTTTCCAAACAAATGTTCAGAGGCTCAAGACATACAAGGCCCAGCTTGTTGTCTTCCCAAGACGCAATAACAAGTTTAAGGTATTATTATCAATAATCATTATTTTAATTATCAAAACCTTTAGTTTCTTGTTTCATATCTCTGACTGTACACGTGCAATATTTCGTTGCACAGGCTGGTGATTCTACTCCAGAGCAATTGGCAACAGCAACACAGGTGTCGGGACCTATATTGCCAATTGTACACGAGAAGCCATCTGTCGAGCTTGTGAAGGTCACAAGTGAGATGAAGTCATTCAAGGCTTATGACAAGCTTCGTTTGGAGAGGACAAATGCACGCCATGTGGGCGTTAGGGCCAAGAGGGCTGCCGAGGCTGAGAAGGAAGAGAAGAAGTGAGTGTTTTCTCCAGTGTCTGTATCTCGAAACTCTTGGATTTGGGTTTTTGCGTTTTATTTTGTTTTTGGGTCCTGAACTAAATTATCTGGATTTTGTTGAGTTTTTAGTATTAGCAGTTATATGTTATTTCAGTGTACGAATTTTCTGGGATACAGAAATATTTCAACATCTTCATTTGGACTATTTTGCTAAGCCCTTCTTTTCTTGTTACATATATATTTGCTTGCACAAGCGCATCTGAATCTACATCTGAATGCTTCAATTGGCTTAAAAAATTAGTTGGTGGCATTGTAAGTTATGGCCACCTTGGAAGTAACGTGAAATTATGAAAAAACTCTTCATGTTTGTGTAATTACAATTACCTCCTTATGAAAAAATCCTTTATGTTTGTATAATTACAATCACCCCCTTAAATGAGAATTTTCTTTCATATCCATCCTTGTGATGTTAAATTTAGTGGAATCTTCTAGTTTATGTCGAACATTCTCCAATTTGTATTCGTTTTGACCTGTTCGAGTTTCATATTTTGAGATAATATGATTATAAGATGTGTGCTTCTAAATATTAGATTGTGATGTTCGAGTTTCATATTTTGAGATAATATGATTATAAGATGTGTGCTTCTAAATATTAGATTGTGATGTATTAGAAACTGTACTTTTGCACAAAACGAGTACGAATTAGATAACATTTCACGAAATCTAGAAGATTTTGAACATGATTAGTTTTTTCATAATTTGCCCTTACTTAGGGCTGTCGATTAATTTACCCTAATATTGATTTATTTATTATCAGAGCACTTATCTATATTTCCAACTCAGCCCCTTGACTATTAAAATCAAGATAAGATGGTTAATAATGGTGGAGTCCTATTACTATCAGGTTAAAAGTAGACTACTAATTGTATTAGATTTATTTTTCCTAGTTTTCCTATTTATTAACACAACACAACACAACACATACATCCCTGCACAGGGAAAATAAATTAAATAAATAAATAAATAAAAATAAATTATTGAGCCTGTCGGAAACTGACAACCGTTAATCACAGACATTCCAATCAAGCAAGCAAGCACCTTCGAGAACTCAAACTCCTGTACGGCCTATGATTCTCGCCGTTGGAGAAACCCGTTAATGGCTGCGAATCTCGGATCCCTACGGCAAAGCTTCGTCGAACGAGGCAGAGAAAGATTGCTGTCGAGAAAATACAATTCCGACGTCGGATTCAATGATTCTTCTTACATCGTCCACGAGGGCTGTCTCCACTGGCTTTTCCGTGTCACGGTTGATCGGATTTCCAGGTGGTGGAATAATGTTACCGGAATTGCGTTCAGCGCTTACGAGATGGGAAGATCCGACCCGAGAAAAGTGGTGTTCGCCGCTAAAATGGGCGCTGCTCTCTCTCTTGTTTCTGTGCTCATTTTTTTCAAAGAGCCGTTGAGTTATATCAGCCAGTATTCCATCTGGGCTATTCTCACCGTTGTCGTTGTGTTTGAGTTTAGCATTGGTCAGTTTTTTTTTTTTTTATTATTTAATTTTTAATTCGGACCAATTTTTAATTACTATGTTTGATTGATTCAAATGTTTCATGGGCAGGGGCAACCTTAAACAAAGGGTTTAATCGTGCATTGGGGACCTTATCTGCTGGAGCACTAGCTTTGGGCATTGCAGAATTGTCTAAAATGGCTGGAGAAATGCAAGAACTTTTCATTGTCATCAGCATTTTTATTGCCGGTCTGATTCTTTTAGGCCTCTTTTGGTTGTGCAAATTAGCCATGATTAATTAAGTATTTGGACTTTGGTTCGTCTTTCGTGAACCCAATTATTTTCCGGGTCGACCCAAAAATATTATCTTAGGAACCAAACCAGCCCTTACTCAATTAGTGAATTGATGTGAGCTTATTTTCTTGAAATACGTATTTATGGCTTTTTTTTTTCTTTCAGGTTTTTTCGCTAGTTATTTGAAGTTATATCCGGCAATGAAGCAGTACGAGTACGGGTTTCGTGTGTTCCTATTGACATTCTGTATCGTACTAGTATCCGGCACTTCACATTTTGTCGAGACAGCTGTTTCTAGATTGCTGCTAATTGCCGTCGGTGCTGTCGTCTGTTTGCTCATAAATGTCTGCGTTTACCCCATTTGGGCCGGTGAAGATTTGCATAAACTAGTCGTAAAAAATTTCAAGGGAGTCGCCACTTCTTTGGAAGGTGAAAAGATTAAAACTTCATTACGTATTTATTATTTCGATACCTTTCACTTCAACTGACGATATTTTCTGTCCTTCGTATAGGATGTGTCAATATGTACTTACAATGTGTCGAATACACGAGAATCCCTTCGAAAATATTGCTGTATCAGGCTTCGGATGATCCTTTATACAAGGGATATAGAGCTGCAGTAGAGTCCACTAGCCAAGAGGAGTCTCTGGTATGCCTTCATATACATTATTAGGTACATTTTGAAAAGCTCGTCGAAATAAGCGAAACGGAATTTAGATTTATTTGTTTTATTTTTTTATTTTTCAATTTGCAGTTAGGTTTTGCTATTTGGGAACCTCCTCACGGGCGTTACAAAATGTTCAATTATCCTTGGAGCGAATATGTTAAAGTTAGTGGCGCTCTAAGGCATTGTGCTTTCATGGTTATGGCAATGCATGGAAGTATTCTTTCGGAAATACAGGTATAGATTGTTTTATACATTAGTATCTTTTGCTTCCGATCCACGTGAACTAGTTTCCCGATTAGTCATTCGATTGGTCAAGCTTGTTAAAATTAAAAAAAAAAATTAAAAAAATTGAGCCTTGGTTCGATATAATTTGTGTATATGAATGTATATAGTTCAACTTCCTTCCGGTAGCGAAGTTGTGAGTTAATTACTCGATTTTATGATACGTTTGTTGCAGGCATCATCTGAATTAAGGCAAGTGTTTAAGGATAGGATTCAGCGAGTCGGTACGGAAGGTGCTAAAGTGTTGAGACTGCTCGGAGAAAAAGTAGAAAAGATGGAAAAACTCTCCCCTTCAGATCTTCTCGAAGAGGTTCACAATGCTGCAGAGGATCTGCAAATGTTAATCGACCAAAAATCGTATCTATTGGTCAACGCACAGAGCTGGGAAAGTCAAAAGAGGCCCGAGAATAATCCGGACCCAGAATTATTACAAGAACTAAAGGACAACGAACACAAGCCTCCGCCACTCATGATAAACTCACTCAGCGAGTCGGTTAATTTCAAATCAGCTCAGACATTATCGAGAAACTACGACCCTCACAATCCAAACACGAGCATAAATATGTCGGTTTCGCAGCAGTGGGGCTCTGCGGAAGACGTGCTCAGACAGCAGACTATGTGGCCTTCGAGGCTGTCATTGATTGGAGAGAATATTCTAAACGAGCGTGAAGTGAGAACATATGAAAGTGCGAGTGCTTTGTCTCTTGCCACTTTTACTTCTTTGTTGATTGAATTCGTTGCCCGGCTCCAAAACCTGGTCCACTCGTTTGAGGAGCTCGGTGACAAAGCTAAGTTTACGGATCCTATCGATTCTAACGAATCGAAAGAGGTGGTCGATTTATTGGCTTGATTTTTTTCATTTTTTTAATTTTTTTTTGAAATCATCAAAATAATATGTTATAAATAATGTTTTCTTACAGCAGAAAGATTGGTTAGCTTTCTTTCTAGTTTAGGAGGTGTCTGAAATCAAATGTATTAGTTTTCTGTCTGGAGGATTTGTACAGATAAGACAATTATCTAATATTATTACACGAGGAAACTGTAGTTAGATATTATTATCCATCTCTATTATTGTAAATACAGTAACTTATTTATAAAAAAAAAAAAAAAAAATTTATGTTTTAAGAAGATTTTCACTTATCTTTATATTGGAGGACAAAGAATGCTAATTTATGTTAGGAATTAATTAGAATTCCTCCTTACCTGATATACGACGTCGTATAATGGGATTTCAAGAATAAAATACCCACAGTAGTAGTGTGTGAAAACATAACAGTTGTGTAGGAGATGTGGGCTGCTGTAATTCCACCGAATTGTGCTGCTTTGCAGACAAAACTATACAATCCCACAACAAGCAGCTGTAGAAGAAAGCTCTGTAATAACAAAGACTCAATTTTTAAATTTAATTTGCCCTTAAATCGAAGATGCATCCAACAATTTTCTGTCAGCTGCTCGTCATCTGCTAGCTCAGAAGATTCCTTTCTCCAGCAACATCAAGAACTAAGTAATGTTAGTCTTCAGACAATTCATTTATTTATCATCTTTCTTTGTCAGTTACAGTAGCTTCATTTTGTTCTTTTCTTACTTCTTGTTGCTTGCTGTCAAGAAGAATCAAGAAAAGAAAGGGTTTTTGCAGAAATGGAAGGTATTATATTCTCTCCTTTTTGCTTGTGACACAGACATTTGGTGAAAACCCATTTATGATTTTAATGATTATTTGATGTGGGCTTCTTTTTTTTTCTTTTTTTTTTTAAAAAAATTTAGGAAAGTTCTGCAGAAATGAGTGCAAAGCTAGCAAAGCTGGGACTAGCGGCTGTTCTTGCATATGGAATATTTGATGGTATCACATACACCAGTTTTTTTGTGCTTGCATTTCTTGGGTACGAAAAAAGCACCGGCAAGAATCCTGCGGCTAATCTTCAAGCTCTTGTCGGGGTAAGAACTCCGATATTTATGTCGTAAATCGTATGAGATTCAATCTGGCTTTTAAAGTGTTGAATGTGAGTACTTATACTAATTGAAGTCCCAAAGTGTTGCTACTTTGTTGATTGAAGTGGCGTCCAGAAGATTCTATTGAAATTGCACGTCCGTGATGATACATAGTTTCTTGAATTGAATGGCACTCAGTCATCTGATAGAAAACAGTGCAAAATAAATAAATAAATGTTGTTAAATTTAAATTCTCCATAATATGAATGGTGGTATACTTAATTATTTGAGGTGCATATTATGTAGATAGTAATACTGATGTGGACTGGGAACAATGTAACAAGACCGTTTCGAGTAGCAGGAGCAGCTGCTTTGGCGCCTGTGATCGACAAAGGATTACGGAGGATCCAGACCTACTTTAACTTCCCTACTCTTGTCTATGCATTTGCCCTTGTTGTCGGATTAGTGGCCGGATTATGTTCCACCGTTGTTGGATTGCTTATCCTATCCCGGTGGGGCAAATGATGTCCTGCTTTACCATCGTCTTGCTAGGTTGTGACGTGGCCATCGTGTAACTCGTTTTTTTTTTAAAGGTGTAAGCTATTGTTTCATTGTTTCAGCTTTTATGCATAAATTGGAAACCCCTAATGCATTTTAGAGTTTTGGACTCTCTCAATACATAATAAATACATACTAGTCTATCATTATAAAAAAATAAAAAATAAAGAATAAAAAAAAACGAAAAACGAGGACGACGAACTTTGATAGTCCCCGCTAGCAACCAATCATAACCGATAGAAGAAAGAATACTTCGTCAGCTTCCTTTACGTGCAAACCTACAATACCACCTCCCAAAAAAAAAAAAAAAAAGAAAAAAAAAATTAGCCATGGCTTCAAATCGCATGTCATCAAGAATTGAAACAGAAAACGAGGTAACACGTCGGATTCAAACATTATTATTAATCGTCCAATGAAAACAAGGTACACCTTTACAACAAGTTGCGAGCCACGTGAAGGCATTCGGCCTGCTGATACATCCCTCCAACTAGGCTGCAATGGAATTAAAAAAATTCCAAGTTGGCTTAGTTATCATGTAAACTGCAAAAGATTGGATTATGCAAACCAGTTAAATAAAGGAGGAAACCATCAATTCTCAATCCAAATGGTGGTCCTGCACAGTATTTGCAGATACCCAAACATATAATCTGTATAGCCTTGTGGAAAGCACACAGATTTGCTTTCTAATCCATTTATTTAATCTAAATCTACTATTTGTTTAAGCATGGGAGCAGCCCCAGCATCCTCGTCGAGAAACGGGGACCGGCTTTTGAAAAGTTTTAAATTTTTCCAATAATATAATACGATCATATTACGTGAATTGTTAATGCATTTCTCGATGTCAACATTTCTGAACTAGGAAGGTGTTAATCTTATATAAAAACTGCTACGTAATTAATTAATTCATTATTCTTCTATTTATAGTAAGTTCTCGTAATTCCATAGTAGAACTAGTACCACTTTCAGATTCAGGTATACCGAAGACCTTCTTGTTGGGGTAAGTTTTTTGTCTTATGTCTCCTTTTGGGCCATTTTAGTTCCATTGCATATCTTTCCAAATCAGAATTCTAATTCCTCTCATATAAACGAAAAACGAGAAACGAGATTCAATTACCTTCTACTTTCAGGATCTTAACCAGGACAAGTTGGATGGAGTCGTTGCAGGGAGAGATACAAGTAGAGAATCTTTCATTTACGGTGAGTTTTTAAATAATTGACACAGCATGTTTATAATACCTAACTTATTGTTCTTTGAAATATTAAAAAACCGGAGAACTTTTTTTTTTAAACAGAAACCGAAGGTGCTTGGTGAGAAAAAAAAGAATATTCCTTCTTACAGGCAAATGGAGATCCCGAAGAGCCCTAACAGAGCTATGGAGTTCCTCAGTAGATCTTGGAGCCCTGCTGATTTCCTGCAAACGTTTTCATCCAACGTGAGAAACTTCCACTTTGTGCAGTTTGTCAATCGCAATAAAGAAAATCACTTAAAAAAATGCTACTCAAACAAGCATTTCATATAACATTTCGTAGATTACTAACTCTTGCATATTTACGTTTCATAAAACAACAACGGTGAGGCCACCATGCCCCGATATATTTTAATTCCAATCAGCTTTTAGATAATCAAGAAAGCCAGGCGGTAATAGTTCTTGGATCTTGAGAATTATAAAATTCAGCTCAACAAGTCATTAATCGCTGAGCTTATAAGTTGGTCAATCAGTCCATTTAAAAGCTCAACTCACAATCAGATGTTATGTACTCCCACAGAACCTCTTCCTGCATAGCTACACTGATGAACAAGTCGATGAAAACATAACAACTGCAGACGCAACTCACATTCCTACCATAAATCAGGAAAACACAAAGGTAATAATAATAAATCACACATATTCGTTCACACTCTGAAGTTTCGAGAAGGAAAAAAAAATGACATTTTTATCTAAAAACTGCAGTGTGATCTAGTTAAGATGGACTTCAAACCCACAAAGTCATGGTTCGGGGGAAAATCCTTCACTAGCTTATTTAGGTCACAAAAGGAGAAGAAGAAAGAGGAGAGACGACTCCACACAGCAGAATTACACGCAGCCCTTTCGCTCACACAGCTTGCTGCAGCCATCGCTGGAATCAGCAGCAGCAGCAGCAGCATGTGCAGAAGCGAGTGTTCAAGCGAGGATATGGGCAACGTGATCTCTTCTGCTGCTGCACTAGTAACCAATGTGTGCGCTGAAGTGGCGGAATCTCTTGGGGCCCACAGGGCGAGGGTCAGAGCGGCTGTTGACTCCGGCATGGCAATTCAAACACCCATGGACATGATAGCTATCACAGCTACCGCAGCAACGTGTAAGCAACGATAATTAGATATACTTAATCCCTACTTAAGATATATACGTGCAAGTAACCCGATCTCGTTAATTACCAGGTTTAAGAGGTGCTTCTCTTCTGAAATCGAGAGCAACGGCAGTCCCCCTCTCTAGAGTTCAAGAGATGCTTAAAATAACAGCCGAGATATGCACAATTATGCCTTCAGGCACGACAGAAAAAAAAAATGACCCCATTTTTATATCGATTCAACTCATCTTTTTTTAACTGTATTTTAACTCATCTTTAACTTTCTGCAGGGCGAGAAGAATGCACGAGGGTGAGCGTATATCTTAAACACGACCATCTGATGTTCCGTTTCCGAAAGAAGTACTTAGGAGGAGCCCTGACATCTGCAAAAGAGTGTATGAACTTGTTTGCTTTTGTCATCATTCACCATATTACATGAAAAAGAATTAATGAAACACTGACGATGAGAAAGTTGGCTTATAATCCACAGATCAGGTGACCGACATTACGGAGGAGAGAGTGGAACATCAGGGGAGCTCTTTTCTTTGTTTGAATACTAAGAATGGAATTATAAAGCTGCTTTTCGAAGATGCGATCCAATCCAAAATATTGATATCGACGATTCTCAATCTCTTGGAAATGCGCAGCCCCTGTTGGGAAGGCAGTCACACCTATTAACCCTTTTACGCATCCAACATCTATTGTGTGTAATTTCGATACAACTTGTTTACGAGAAACACGATATATTTTGTTTCTTGAATAATAGCTAAGGGTGGCAATTAACTGCAATAACTGATCACATGCTGTAAATGTAAAAGTAGGCTCTTGTTTCGAACTATAAACCAATAACAAAAATGAACAATGAGTATAGTTGTTCAATGCACATTTAATCTTTCTCAGCTATTTAGCTTTTTATATGTATGATTTTGTACAACATTGCATTATAGTGCAGCTTCAAGTAATCTATTTGTCTTCAGACATTTTTATTGGATGTTTAGTGTTAATTCGTATTTAGCCAATTTCAAATTTTTCTCTGTATTTCTCTCAAACAAACAGGATTCACCACAACATATTTGAAAATTGCGAAATACGCAATCGAAAGAACATAAATTAATAATGATAACAGAAATTTGCGAAATATCTCAGGCGGCTAGCTATTACACACATTTTCCTTGCAAAAGTCGTTTTAGAGTTCATTGCAAATACCACCCCTGTGTTATCTCTAATTGTCAAATACCCCCCTGTGAAAAAAAACTCTCAAATACCCCCTTGTGTTATCGAAGTCAGAGCATCGAGACCCCTAGAGGCAAATCGTGTCACTCACTCGCGGATTGTGCGATTTTTAATAGTATTTTTAGGGTGAAATATCATAAATACCCCTTTATAAAATAACCTTGTTGGTTAAATTATGAATAACCTAAATTTATAGGACCAAATTGTAATTTCCAGAATTCAAAATAATAATTTGAAAAAATATTATATGTCATTAAAAAAAAAAGAAAAAAGAAAAAAAAAATCATTGTCTTCTTCCCGTTCCCCACCCCCCAAACCCCAACCCCGACCCCAAGTTCAGCACCATCACCTCCTCTTCTGCAATCCACATACCAGACCTGAATCCGCACAACCCGAGGCTAACCCCAGCCCCAATTACAGCAACGGCCTATCTACAACATCTCCAAACGATTTCTCTCGACGGCGACGAGTTTGACGGCCAAACCTGCTAGTCCAACAATTGCATATTTTTGTTCTTTTCTCTTCTCTTGCTCGCCTTGTGGCCGCCACCGCCGTCAAAATAGGACATTGTGTGAAGGTTTGAGGCACGTGTAAAATTTATTGATGGAAACTAAAATTTCAAAGATGTTGTGGGCGATAGATCTGGAGAAGATGGTGGTGGTGGTGAAGGAGGGGTGAGATGGTGGTGAGCAGCGTCGGAGCAGAAGCGGCGGCCGGGTGGAGAAACGGTGGATGAGTGTTGTGGCCTGTGAGTTGGGTGGGAGGGCAGGGGATCTGCTGGAGAAGAAGCTTTTCTTTATTTCTTCTTTTTTCTTTTCTTTATTTAATATAGAATGTAAAAAAAAAATAGAAAACATATAAAAACTTTTAATATTACAATTATATTTTATTTTGGTTTAAATATATTTTTTTTATTATTTACAAAATAAAAAAATATATAATACCTATAAAATTATAATATAATTTATTAATTGCTGAAAAACTCCTTAGGGTATTTTTGTCATTTTATCTTCAGTCAATGCCTAAAATCACAAAAGGTGCAGTGTGCTTCGAAAATATTAACACAATAGGGTATTTGTAAATTTTCTTTTCACAGGGGGTATTTGACAATTAGAGATAACACAGGGGTGGTATTTGCAATTAGCTCGTCGTTTTAAGCTGATTTTTGAAGGTGGGGATACGACGCCGTTTGACTTTAACTTCAACTCACAAGCATGTCGGTTTCCGACTCAGGACTCTAAGCTCGGGTCCGTTTTAATCGGATCTCGGGCAGGATAACACACTCCGTCTGGCCTCTTGGGCCCAAGTTTTGAAGCCCATCAAAGCTTTAAAAAGCCCATTTTCCAATATTATTCTTTATTTTTCCTTTTAAAAGTAGGGGACTTTACCCATCAATGGTACTTATTTATAAAGAGATCAATACAAAAAACTATTTTACCAATAAGTCCACACATGGTCCAGATTTGTGTAAAGGACTAAAATAACCCCTCATACTTTAATATGCTCCAATTTCATCCGTAACTTAATTTAACCTAAATTTGACCCCAAACTTCACAAATTATTCAATTTTGACCCAAAACTTTTTTTTTTCAAGTTTTTTTTTTTGAAAAACTTTTTTTTTTCCCGCCGGATTCCGGCGATGACCGGCGGTCAACGCCGGTCTCCGGCGTTGATTTTTTCAACTTTTTTTTTTCTTTCTTCCGGATTTTTTCGCCGGATTCCGGTGTTGACCGGCGGTCAACGCCGGTCTCCGGCGTTGACTTTTTTAAATTTTTTTTTTGTAACTTTTTTTTTCCGTTTAAACAGCAATATTGCTGTGATTGACAGTAATATTAACTATCTTACTGTTAAACACAGTAAAATTAACTAAACTATAGTTTAACACAGTAATATTGCTATATTAATCTCTAGCACATTAATATTAACACAACAAAACTCATTATTATTGTGTAATAAAGTAATATTACTATGTTGACCATTCAACAAAATGTAAACATAATAAAAAAGACCAAAAGAATTAATATTACTGTGAGTGACAGTAATATTACTATAGCAACAGTAATATTACCGTCAACCACAGTAATATTACAATAATAGACAGTAATATTATTACGTTAATCCGTGAATAACTCAAACAAACAAAAAATCCAAACAAAATAATAATATTGATGTGGTTGACACCAATATTACTATAACAACAGTAATATTACCGTCAACCACAGTAATATTATTGTGTTTACAGTAATATTACAATAATAGACAGTAATATTATTACGTTACTCCGTGAATAACTCAAACAAAACAAAACACCCAAAAAAATAATAATATTGATGTTGTTGACAGTAATATTATTGTGTTTACAGTTATTTTACTGTCAACGACAGTAATATAATTACGTTGACTTGTCAACAAATCAAACAAAATAAAAAAAAAAGAATAAAAAATAATAAATAACAATATTACATTAATTTACTGTCAACGGCAGCACAATTACATAAATGTAATGTCAACGGCAGTACAATTACGTCAATTAACTATCATTGACAGTATAATTACGTTAATTTACTGTCAGTTACAGCACAATTACGGTCAACGTTTAGCGGCAGACGTGGAAAAACAAAACAAACCAAAAAAAAAAAAAAACTTAAAAAAACACATAAAAAAATCAACGCCGGAAACCGGCGAAAAAATCCGGAAGAAAAGAAAAAAAAAAGTCCACGCCGGAATCCGGCGGCAAAATTTATTTTTTTGAAAAAAATAATGTTTGAGAAAAAAAAATTGGGTCAAAATTGAATAATTTGTAAAATTTGGGGTCAAATTGAGATTAAATTAAGTTAAAGGATGAAATTGGAGCATATTAAAATATGCTCCAAAAAAAGTCAAAATTGAAACCGGCGAAAAAAAAAAAAAGAAAAGTCAACACCGGAATCCGGCGGCAAAATTTTTTTTTTTGAAAAAAAAATGTTTGTGAAAAAAAAAATTGGGTCAAAATTGAATAATTTGTGAAATTTGGGGTCAAATTGAGATTAAATTAAGTTAAATGATGAAATCGGAGCATTAAATTAAGTTAAAGGATGAAATTGAAGCATATTAAAATATGCTCCAAAAAAAGTCAAAATTGAAACCGGCGAAAAAAAAAAAAAAAAAAAAGTCAACGCCGGAGACCGGCGTTGACTGTCGGTCAGCGCCGGAATCCGGCGGCAAATTTTTTTTTTTGAAAAAAAAAATGTTTGTGAAATTTTTTTTTTTTTTTGATCAAATTGAATAATTTGTGAAATTTGGGGTCAAATTGAGATTAAATTAAGTTAAATGATGAAATCGGAGCATATTAAAATATGCTTCCGAAAAAATACGGAAGAAAGAAAAAAAGAAAAAGTTGAAAAGTCAACGCCGGAATTCGGCGACAAAAAACTTTTTTTTGAAAAAAAAAATTGAAAAAGAAAAGTTTTGGGTCAAAATTGAATAATTTGTGAAATTTGGGGTCAAATTGAGGTTAAATTAAGTTAAAGATGAAATTGGAGCATGTTAAATTATGCTCCAAAGAAAAAGTCAAAATTGAATTTTTGTGGTCAAAATTGGATTTTTGTGGACAAAATTGGATTTTTGTGGACAAAATTGAAAAATAATGGGGTTACAATTAAGAATTGGGTATAGATGGTCAGGGTAATATTGGGATATACATGAATGTTTCCTTTAGTTATAATAAATATTAAAGGGATGGGCTTATTTGTGAAAGAGATATGTCTCCTAAACCTAGAATAATAAACATGCTTGGCTGGGGACTTATGCATAAGAACCCCTTAAAAATATTTCAGTAAATATCAAATATTTGAGTTAAAATAAAACCTGTAATTTACTTTTTGGAGAGATATATAAATACCATATTTACTGCGACCTGACCCCTACAATTCCATTTCATTCAAGCCAGCTCTACCGGTTTTCACATTTTCCCGTAAAAAGAAAACCCCCTTTATTTTATTAAATGCCTGCAAAGTATATGAAAGCAACCACACCATCCCCTGCAATTCATCCCTGAAATCGAAAATCTCGCATCTTAATCCGGCGATCAGATGACGAATTCGCCCGGGGAATCTCCGTCGGTCGACGGCGAGGTTTCGAGGTTGGTGGAGGAAGCGAAAGAGTTGCAGGAAACTGCCTCGTCCCTCATCTCCCGCACCTCACTCGAAGAAGACGCGCTCCGCCAGCGCGTCGCCTCACTGGATTCCCGCATCAAGTCCCTCCGTTCTTCTCTCCGGAGCTCCGGTAACTCAGATAAAGTATGCATATGTAGATGTATATACATGCATGCGATTATATCCGTGTATCCTCATTGTGCTTATTTTCTATTTTTTTTTTTAAATTGGAAGTTGGAAGAGGAATTAGTGAGAGCGAGATACATATTGAGTGAAGGAGATGCGGCGACATTTCTTCCGAGCAAATCTCATGGTTCTGGTTTTTCTGTTCGGTTCTCCTCTCTCTTTCAAATTATGCAGGACCCGTGAAAATGTATGTGAATGGTTGGTTTTCATGTTTCAGGGAGGTTTTTGAGGATGTTTTTGGGGCCTATTAATGTGAGGGCAAATCGGAAGGATGTGAAATTGAAAGTGAAAGAGGAATACAATAACGTCAGGGTATGTTTTCTCTATCCACTTGTGAAACCGATTTATAATCCGTTCTTAAGCCGTTTTAGTTTTTAGTTTGCTGGAATTTGGTCTCTAAGTTGATCGGATAGAAAGTGGTTTCTGTAACTTGAACTGCAATAATGTTATGATCTATCTAGCTTATGGAGTTTATCATATTTTGTCGTGAACAATGAATGCATATTATGTCTAATATGCATGAGATTTTTGTTTATCTAATTCTGCTAAGGCAATTCTCTAATTAGCTTGAGGCGCATTGGTGGAAATTCACGTACATATTTCCAGTTACTGAGCACATCTTGTACTGATGACAGGATAGAACAGCACTTTTGTTCCTCTGTTTGCCATCGCTGTTGCTTATGTTAAGGTCATGGATTTGGGGTGGATGTCTACCTGCTTTACCGGTGCAACTATACCAGGTACGTAGTATGTGGCAAGATTAACTTCCTCTGACTTTGTATCTTTTGGATATTATGCTTGTCTGCAGAAATAGATAGAACTTGTAGCATTGAACTAAAAAAAAATTCTTCCAGGCATGGTTGCTATATCTCTACACTGGTTTGGCTTTGAGAGAAAACATCTTGAGAGTTAACGGCAGTGATATACGCCCATGGTAATTGACAAGTCCTCAAACTTTGTTCATGATAGTACTCTCAAACCGAAAGTTTCTGCCTAAGTATATATCTCAGATCCAGATTTACCCTTTTTTTCCTTGGGCATTGTGTGCTGTTGACAAGGGGACGGTAGTTTAATATACTCGTGATTTTATATCTGCAGGTGGATTAAGCATCATTACTGTGCCATGGCTATGGCTCTCATTAGTCTAACTTGGGGGATTGAGAGGGGGCACGACTGTGCTCAGAAGCAGGTGTTCTATGCATGCACTTATTTTTATATAAGTGCACTAATCCATTCAACTGAAAAAGAATAATCACACCCATAACTTTCTTAGTGTCCTTTATGTTTGTCTCTTCTTCTCCTTTTCTTTTTTATGCTTGTATGATTGAAACTGAAAATGATCATTAAAGCGAGGTGTACAATTATTTCTGAAATGGGCAATAATGCAAGGAGTTGCCATGATGCTTCAAAATAGATATCAGAGGCAAAGACTTTATACACGTATTGCGCTTGGCAAGGTAATAGTTTTAGCTTCTTACAGTTATTGGATATACCAAGGGAGAAGTGACCGACACATTCTTGTTTTCGCTTCAGTTTTATTCTTTCATTATATTCTACCATTTCATGTAATGTTTCTGATTGTAGGCCAGAAGAATGGATGTTGTTTGGGGAGAAACTGCTGGAGTGGAGGGTCAGTTACTGCTGTTGTGTCCTATACTTTTTGTTTTGCAGGTATGCTGAGTTTGTACACTTTGCTTCCAATGAAAACACAAATTCAATTTTTTTATTTTATTTTAAATCGATACTCAATTCCTTTGTATGAGTTGATATTTGTAAGACCGTCCTTCTCAGCCGAACTTTTGGTAGACTGATTTATACACTAGTGAATTTTATAATATCCACTTTTTGTCTGGATGGCTATCATTTCAGCTTGATATTTTTCCTGGTATGCTTATCTAAACGACTCAAGTATCTTCATCTCTGTTTATAGGGTTTCGAAGCTTATGTTGGGTTGTTGTTGCTTAAAACTGCACTTGCTGGATCCAGTTTGGGTTGGCAGGTAAATTTATCATCTGAATAGGTAACCTGATGCATTTTCACTAGCGTTCGTCTTCAAATGCACACTTCAGTTTCTAAGTTCAAGTTTCCCTGTTTTTCTATCACAATTTATAATGGTAGCTTGTATACCTTACATTCCGAATTCAGGTAATTACATGTGGGATACTTCTCATAATCATGGCTGCTGGAAATTTTGTTAATACGGTGCAGACCCTCGTAACGAAATCTAGGGTTAAGGCAAAAATTAGGAAAGGTAAAAGCAGACAAGAACTGAACCAAGGATCTGATGATAAGAGCTTATGATTGCGATAAGACCACTCTCGTTGAATCTATTTGCTTTAATAATGTGCCATGACTTACTTGTGCAGTTTTCATTTTTATTTTGTCTTGCAGTAGGGTTTTCGACAATTATGCTTAAGCCGTTAGTTAGCCTTTTGTGCCTACAATAATCTTGGATTTTAGGACTTGGAAGTTAACTGTATCAGAATGTTATATATCCATTGCCTTATGTCCTAGTGTATGTGCATTCTTTAATTTTATACCTCGACAGGAAGTTCTATAATTACAATATTGCCCTTGTGCCATTGTAAATGTAGCCGTGGCAGCAAGTTTAGATGCTGTTTGCATTAGCTGCAGATAACTTGACCTATTGATACTGTCCAATTACGAAAGGACCAAATTGCCCCCAGTATACTGGAGTGGCCTTATGTTGTTTCTATCTGGGCTCTGTTGTTTCTATCTGGGCTCTGGTACATATTGGAGAATGAGATAAGAGATAACCCTTTGTATTTTTCAATCAAGAAAAAGAAAAAAAAAACATGATGACATCCATAACATAAAATGGCAATAATAAGGTGTCCGAACTGAGATCGGTTGAAGGGTCATTTAAGAATCCCCTTCGTACAAAACTGCCAACCTTCATACACGAAAAGACACGAAACAAAACCGAAACAGGAAACATTTAAAAGGGTGTCCAAAAAATGAAAGAGCCATAAACAGCAGACAAAAAATGAACAGTCCTGCTTGTAATCTCCCTCTTACCTGCAAACATTGTTGATAAATAAATTTACCTCTTCAAGTCAAATCATGAATTTTTGCAAATCACTGATCAATAAGAAGCCAATCCCAAGCCGCCACCTGTCAGTCTAATCTCAGGTCCCAATTCAGAACTTGGTTGGAACAGACCGAGCTTCAAAAGAAGCCTTTCGACTAATACACCAGCAGCATACGAGACCCCCGAGACCATCAACCCCATAATAAAAAATGTAGTGACTGATTTTACGTAAGCCTTGGGGGGCCTACGTACGTAGGCCTTACCGATGGCTAGCATAACTATGCATACAAGGGAAGCTGCGGCCATCATAGTAATCTTGAGCTGTTTGTCATCAGTTTTGCGGAATGAGAAGCCATAAACAACTGGAGCCACTAAGCCAAATACGAGGTACGATAATATTGCAACTACAATATGGAGTAGAAAGTTCTGTCTCCTTCCCAGGAGTTCTTTGTAGCGATCTCGTTCATCGTTTATTTGGTCTGATACTTGGTTGGAAACTTGCTCTATTCGGTCGGATCTAAGTTCCACAATCTGTAAAAGTTATGCATGTGAGATTGACGCAAGCTCATCTGTTAGCTGGAATTCTTGTAAGTTGTAACTAAACCAAACTTCGAAAGTAGATTTGTAACTTGTCCCTTTTTTTTGAAAGATTTTCTGTAGAAGGGTACATGCTAGGAAAGCTGTAATTTGCAAAAATCTTTGATAAAATGGCAGCTTATTATCACATATTCCGAAGCATATTCATCGTATTATGATATAATTTCTTTCACGTAGAGAAGACGAAAATATGAAATCATGGTACCGACGAAACCAATTTAATTTCTCTACTGCTCATATTGGTTTGTGAGTCAACGAATCTCTTCGTAAAACAGATGAATAGCATTGCAACTTACATTATGGAAAAGGATAAACAGCCCCCCAATGAGACTGGCCATTCCCAGAGCTAAGATATTCACTGTAAATAACACGGAACGAAAATCAGACCAAAAAAACGAAACAGAAAGAAGATCATGGTCCATGTTTGATTGAAAGCATATGGTTTCATATAGTGGAAATAAGCAGCCCTAATCTAGTTTATCTTTCCAATTATGCAGAGTTAGAAACCGAACATGGTTGAGGACACACAAGAATCATTAGTATCGGAAACCTAAACAAGTAAAGAATTACTACAAAATAATGTTGAAAGCGTACTTACATGTGTCAGCACCACCACCAGCTGCAGATGACACAACACTTAGGCTAGTAACGGACTCGGCTAGCCCGCCATATACTATGCTTTTAATCACTTCGATTTGAGTTTCGTTTCTCGCCTCAGTTCTTTCCCCACCAGCAACACTAATTTGTGGAGCAACACTAATTTGTGGAGCTGGTTCAGTTACATTTGAGGTTTCTGTCTGATAGATTGTACCTTGTACAGTTTGAGAGGACCCCGTTGTCTGTGCATCTATAGTTATCACGGTATCCTTGCCTGCATCAGATTTTTTATAATGATTAAATTGAGAAATATGGGAGACCCGAATTATACTATCTAAACTTCGACCAACGGGCTTTTGGCATGTCTATTTGCATTCTTTAATGCAGCCGCGTTATTGATATCTTTATGTTAACGGGTCTACCTTGTGAAAGTGGAGCGCCACTTAGAGATGAAATATTGTCAAAAATCAGCGACTCGCCAGTATGGACTTCAAATTTAGTTTTGGTAATTGTTTGTTGAGTCACTTCACTGGGATAGATATGACCTGTCAGTTTAAAGGCAATACACTTAAGAAACAAAGAGCATGCCTTGGAAAAAATAAATCACGACACAAACACCAACGAAAGAAAATTGTTGAAAATGACTATGAAGTAAGCCATATAAATGAAAGTCAGACACACACGCGAACATATCCCTGACAAAAATGAGAAAGACGAGATATTTATCTGGCATAACTTGCATTATATGAAAGTAGCTATTTCAAAGTAAAACTTCAAACCAGCACCTTCTGAGTGCATTGTCTGATGTGGTATTATTGGCTTTTCCTCTGGAATGTCAAATGTTGGAGATCCTTTTTTTGGGGAAACGAGCAACTTTAATCCGCCGTGCTGTGGATACGAGATGGCACCATCAGTAACTTGAGCCCTCACAGGAAGTGTTGTTATTGATAGATCACTTTGATGACCGACGTGGATTTCTTCGCTAGTTTTTGATTCTTTTTTATATCCGGTATACCCATCAAACTGTTCCATTATAGCATCTGTAACATGAGAGAGGCATATATTCAGGGTCGGAACTCTGTGGGGTAAGAAAATTTCCTTTTTTGTAGGGCATTAGCGAAATTACTCAAAAACCATACCTACTGTCTCTGTTGCTTTTATATCAAATTTATCTCCGGCACCAACTACTTTTCCATTTATTGAAGTTTTTTGCTCTGGAGAAGGTAAAATCTTATCTCCGCCTTGCCGAGTGCCATTTTTCCCAGCAGTCCCAGAAAGTCTTTCAGAAACATGAGCAGGTGAAGGATCTGTTTGTACAAATGATTGTTTACCACTTCGATCACCTACGGTCGATGATTTGATTCCAGCATCACTTCTTTGCACATTTGTCTGAATGCTACTTCCTGCTAAGGGACCATAACATCATTAGTCACAAACAGAACTCTTTGCAGTTATAAGGAAGGAAAGAAAGAAAGAAAGAAAGAAAGAAAGAAAGAGGAAAAGATACCTTGCTCAACTGCCGTTTCCTGCTGATTTGATGCAAACGTAAACCAGTTCTTTTTTATACGCGGTGCTTGCTCATTCTGGATATTTTCTTTTGTACTTTTCCTTCCAAATATTCCGAACAACTTGAACCCGTCCCCTGAATATTCGAAAGAAAGGTTATAGTTTTGGTTTTGTAGTCATGCTGTGAAACTATATAAACTACAAAAGCCAAACACAAAAGTTCTGTCCAAACAGAAAAAAAATTTACCACATGGAATAAAAAAGCTAAAGCATGATAAGCATCTGAATATATCAGGCCCTCTGCCGCGTTCATCTTCATCTACCGCTGGTATCTGAGCATCATTATCACCTATATCATCTGTGTAATGAACTTGATCTCTGGGTAATTGAGCTGTTATTCTGGTTCGCTTAAACTCTTCATCAGAAATTCGAATTCGGCGTTTTCTTTTGCGAAGAATAACCCTCTTTGTGATGCAAGAATTGCAATTAGGACAGTACAAATCATGTGTGTTTTGCTCATGTAATACCTTTTCAACATCAAAATCTGTTACTTCCAAATCATCCCCGTTTATCAGGTCATCCTCTGCACTTTGTATCTCTTTAGAAGAGTTTTCATAACTCGTGCCATGCTCTTTAACTGTGCCACGTTCTTTAACTGAAACTTGAGAAGGTTCTACCTCGTAGTTATTGATTATGACAGAAGTAGAATTATCCTGAACAATGAACACGGGAGATGAGATGTCGAATTCTTTAGGTGCAGGACCTTTCGCAGTTAGATTTTCTCCAGAATATGCAGACGTAGAATCAACACCTGAAATCATAGTTTTTAACATTTTACTTGCTAAACTTATATTAAATAGGTAATGTTGAACAGTAGACTGTGAACCTACATAACAACACGAGTCAATTGTTACAAGATTGAAAAAAATAAGAAACAAGAATAAAGTCGGTAACATGTTTTCTTTTACACAATACACGTGCCATCTTCCTATACCAGCTATCCTGAGTAGCAGAAAAGTCTAACCACATAAGTATCTATATTATGGTAAACTGTTCTCATCATTTTATAACGGTTATATACGGGTGAAACCTGGAAGGAGAGTACTATTCCTGATACTAATCTTTTATATAACAGAGCAAAAACTGTGATTTTACAAATGAAATTTAACCACGGTATCGCTTTCTACCAATAGCAGTATCTACTGACCTCCAGATACAAAATTTAAAGTTTTGACATTCATCGGCTTATGTAATTGTCCGCTATGATCCTGAATATGATCAACATGGACACTTCCATTCCCATATGTCCAAGTGCAGATTCGACACTTCCATATTCCTTCAGTCATAAAAGAGAGAAGTGATTGCAATTTTCATTGCAAATATTGCCTAACGTACACATACACACATATAAATAACTTATCGAAAGACTTCACCGAAATGGTCAAGGAAAGTTGATCTTTCCTTTAAGTTCATCAATCATCAAACTCCCTATGGGTTCACATAACTCATTCAAGCAAATTATATAATAAAACCTTATTCATCTATCTGCTCCTTCATTTTGAGTAGATTTGATGCTTCTTAGTTGCCATAGATGCAAACTTTTTACTGGCTAATACACTTAAGTAATAGTAAACTGAGACAATAGAGCCATTGATCAGTGAAAGTATGCACACCAAGAACACAACTGCACACGCACAGTACTCATAAGGAAAGGGATCAGAAAACACACATATGAAGAGAGTCAATTTTACAAGAAAAAAGATGTTGAAGGCAAATGATTTAACAGAACCACATTCCGAAATTTGGGTATATATATACACATAGAAGAAATTATGGGAGGAGAGAAAGAAGAGGGACCTTTTCTTTATTATACTTTACAGACAGGTAGGGTTAAAAAGTGGGCATGGAGTGGGGTTTTAGGCACACAAAATATTATGGTACTGTTCAACTTTATCGTTTTTGGAGACATAAAAATTATTAAGTAGCAATTAAACAGACTGATAAAATAATAGATCTTGACAAATCAGAAGCGTTTGAACTATTAGTACAACAAGTAGCTTACCTTCAACTTTGTCGTAGGAAACAAGATTCTCTGGTTTGTGCTCCCCATTTTCAAGATCCTCCTCCGTTTTCTTCTGCTCTCCCTCCTTTATTATGGCTTCTGATTCATTTTCAAGAACCGCCACGTCACGCTCCTCTGTTTTCGGCTCTTCAATTTCAGAAGTTATTAGCTCTTCAATTACAGCTATTTCTGGCGGAGTTTCGTGGCCGTTGCTGTTGGAAACTCCATCACTACTTGGTTGAACATCTTCAGTGGTTTTGCTGGCATCCTCGTTTCTTGATTTTCTTATTACCAGACTAGATTCCTCCTCCTCCTCTTCATGTTGTTCCACCTCTGCTTCCTCCCACTTCTGCTCTTCCTTTTCCATCTCCACACACACACACACACACACACACACACACACAGAGGTGGAGAGAGAGAGAGAGACAGACAGACAGACAGACAGAGAGACTGAGACTTTGTTTGTTTATAAATATGGACACTAAAAGCTGTCAAAAACATGTACAGCATTTGCGTGCAAATGTTGCAGAAAACCATAAAAATATTAGTTTAATTAGAGGATTATAATTTAATAATACAGCAGCTCAAGTAATAAAAGAGGAGGGAGGCTTATCTCTACAGAGTTGACAATATGAAATTCATAGCAATAAATGGTGTGGCTGGCAGGCAGTGTATAAAATCCCGAGATTCTTGCATCACGTCCACCAAAGTGCTATAAACACACAACTAATTTTACAAGGTTATTATGGTCAACAAGTCGAGGTTTTTATCCCTTGTCAAAAAAAAAAAAGTCGAGGTTTTTATCTATCTAAAGTCTTTTTGAACCAGTTCAAGATTAGAGTGAATGAATTCCTATGAACAAGTAAACTTATATTCTTGTTCTATTTTTGGGGGTCAATTATATTCTTTTTTTATAAGAAAAATGGTTTGTATAGAAATGTCCAGACCTATAAATTATTATTATTATTAATAATAACAAAATGTGCGTATTTATTGTCTTCACTCATAATTGTATGGGATAATGTGAACACACACACACACACACACACACACAAGAAAATAAGAATTGTGGACCCATATTCATGTGACAGTGATTTAATAATGAAAATTATTAAGAATTGCAAACATTAAATCGCACTACCTACCTAAAACGTGTAGATGGCAGATAGATGCTATATGAATTTAAGCTAATAGTTTAAATTTTTCGTTACACTACGAATTTTTTTTCCTTGAGTAGAAAAATAAAATCACCCAAAAACTTCGACCACGTTTTTTTTCAGATTGCTGAAAAGTCTCACTCATAGTACTCATGTCTTTGGCCCACAGCCAAATTTAATAATGTTATCTATTTGTACTTGGTAAATTTTAAGAGACGTTTTCTATTATTGTGATTATCTTGAGTGATGTATAGTTACTATCAACTTTTACAACTGCCTATCATAATTTTGGACGCTATAATTGTTGTGGGTCCCAATGCATTACTCAAATTGATATAACATCCAAATTTTATTATAGATCTACAACTTGTATTAGATTATTGAGTTGACTAATAAATGCTTAGAATATTGGTGGTAAGTAGTAATAGTATAATACTTTGGCAATGAAATTGTAAAGCTATTATTCTCTCTTTAATTTCTCGTAATAATTTTGGTTGTTAACGGGTGATATTCAATTTGAATTCACCCCATCTTATCCGAAGAATTTTATATTTCTGAGCTACTTACTACATAAGTCATAAATCATGTGAAACAGCGTGACATTCTATTATTATAGTATTATTCGGTCCAAACTTGCAATACTTAACTTTGAAGCACCATCCATATGTAGTATAACTTAATAAGAAACAACTCACTACATACATGTTATAGTTGGCCAAACATCAAAATTTGATTTTTTTTTAATTTAATTTTTAATTTATAAATATCAATAAAATGTGGTTGGTGGGTCAACTTCCTAATAATATTTTCTCCTTGACCTGTATTCAAGACCTGTCTTATCGATTAATTTTATTTTCTTTAATTTATATTACAATGATTTATTAGCTATGGACAATCACGTAATTTATATTTACCACTTCGTTGTGATATACTTTATTTCCTTCTCTTTGTTTTTTAGGTACTATTTAAGGTACATGCACAAAAGTTAATTTTTTTTATAAATAATATCATTTTAATAGAAAAAATCAAAACAGTAATTAAATATTTTTTTTCTCTCCAAGTAATTAAAATAATGATACAGGTAAAATAATAATTATGACTTGAAATCCGAAAACAACACATAAACACTACAATGAACGAGAACAATTTGACCCGCCCCACCCGAAATTCCCGGGTATTACCCGTCTCGAATTTTTTTGGACGGATATGGGATTGAATTTTTTTTTCCGGTTATGGGGATGGAGACAGGTTTGTAGGTACCCGCCCCGCATGACATTATTTATATATATTTTATTAATTATTATATTAAAATATAAATAATAAAATATTTAAATATTATTAAACCCGTAAATAGATTGTATTTTTATTTAAAAACAACTCGGAAATTTTGTGGGGCGGATACCCACTGCTACCCATGGAAATTTTACGGGGCGTGTGTAGAAATACTAACTCATAAAATCCGAAATTTTGACGAGACGGGGATGGAAATTTTCAGAGCGGGATGGGGACGGAGATTGCAAAACTCACCCCATACTCGCGACAGCATGAGAAATGGAAGGAGAATATAACTAAAGAAGTATTGACCAAGTCCAATTTGGGCTTCCCTCAGGCCAAGTCTTCATTTAATTGGCCATTGGGTTTTTCGTATTATTTTAAAGTCTTGGTTTAATTAGAAGGGTCTTTTTTGTCTTTTACGAAAGTCAGATCTACTAAATAAGCAAATGGGAAAATACAGAAAGAACGTGATTTGAATTTTTGACTTGGCTGTAATAATAATAATAAAAAATAAATAAATAAATAAAGACATCATCAGAGGACTGGTCTGGAAAGATTTTTCAGACGATTTTTTCAAATTTAATTATTGATCAGTTAAGGTAGCTTTCTTTAGATTAACATATCTATGATATGAATTAACTATTAAGTGAAAGGAAAAAAAATTCTCTATCTTTAAATTCTCTTTGATATACTACTAAACATAGTAACATACCTTTAAAATATGTGATTCAATTGGGACGATTTTGGATTATATAAGGAATGAAATTGGTACACTTTAAAGATGATGAGGGACTAAAGTGAAATGAAATGTATATTTGAGGCTCATTTGTAATAGGATTTGATTTTTTATTTTATCTTTTTTTTTAAGCTAAAAGTTGTAATAATAAGGATGGTAATGGAGATTTGGAGGTATATAAATCTTACCAAGCATTACATTACCTAAAATGAAAGGGCCAACAGCAGGGATAGCCGATGCTCAACGAACAACGACGCACCACCTTGTCATCCTTAATTTCGTCTGTCCTCTCCGACGAAAAAACTCACACACCTGTACATCTTTCACTCCATAACCTGAGTTATTAGTCATTAAAAATATTATTAATGAATGAAATGCAGAATTTGACCATGAATAATACGTAGACTGTTTTTTACCTTTCAGCCTGATTTCCTTGTCCAATGTGATTAATCAACAAGTCCAGATTCTAAGTTTATAGTTGTCACTACGTCGTCTCCCGAACTCCTGGAATTTGGAATCTGGATAAAAAAAATCTCGTTACTAATAATACTATAATAGTACTCAAATATTCTAGATTTTCTACTTGGATCTCATACTAAAATAGGAATTGTCAAACTGCATCGGTGCATCGCTTTGGAAAAATTAAGGCGACGTTTGGTTACTGGTAACGCCACAAAAAATTAAGGTTTCTGTTCACAAAGAAATAACTGAAGAGAATAAATTCCTGATGCTAGAATAACCGGTATCAGATACCCGTTCCAAGTCCATATTATATAACAAACTTTCAGTAAACTAACAGCTTCTGTTTTGTTTTGTGTGTCCTTTTGCGAACGAGCAGCTATCAACATCGAACCAGGATGTCACCATAAGAGGAAAAACCCGATAACTATATTACAACACCAAGGGATATCCAGGAAATATTCCTTGTCAGCATAGGAATCATAAAATCTATTTAAATCAGAGTTAAATCCAGCATATCAACAGCACACTGCATGCAAACTTCAAGCTGCAAAATATCAACTGCTCAAATATTGGGAAGTATGCTAATTACAGATGAGGATCGAGATGAAACGGAGATGTCGAAAAAGGACGTTGCCTCTCAAACCTTGTCATTCTATCAACTTTTGAGCCAGGCAGATCAGTTAGACTGGATTTTGATGTGTCTCGGTACCTTAGGTTCCATTGTCCACGGCCTTGCCCAACCCATCGGGTTTCTTCTACTAGGCAAAGCTCTTGATGCCTTTGGTAATCACATCGATGATACCGATGAAATGGTTAATGCTCTTAAAAAGGTAGGTACATTGCGTACTAAACTGCTCAAACTATTCAAGTTTATTTCTTCTGATTCTTCTCTGTTCTGAATATACAAGTAATAACGGAGTCTTATATCCTTTCTGCTTTGACCAGGTTATTCCATATGTCTGGTACATGGCTTTCGCTACATTTCCAGCTGGAATACTAGGTAACTTTCATGGCTATACTACAGTTCAATAAAGTAGACGAATAAACGAACTCTGTGATAAAACCTAAGGATGTCAACTTACAAGATGGTCAATGATCCAACCAAAGGGAGATGATCATTTTATGTGGGAATAAAACTAATACAGCAAATATTTCTCTTAAATAGAGTTGTTATTTTAAATGCAGAGGTAGGTTGTTGGATGTATGCAAGTGAAAGACAAGTAAGACGCTTAAGATTAAGATTTCTGAAAGCAGTCCTTAGCCAAGAGATTGGGGCCTTTGATACCGATTTAACGAGTGGAAAAATAATCAGTGGTATAAGCAGTCACATGTCAATCATTCAGGACGCAATTGGTGAGAAGGTAACTAACGCGAGTCGACTGCATGCGTCACTTATTCAAAATGAAACTGTTGTGATCTTAGCATATTTTGTTCAGAAAGCATTTCGCTACCTGCACCTGGCCTTCACCTAACTTGATTTCAACAAGAATCATCAACTTTATAACAAATTTCATATGCAGAAAAGGGTTCAACAAGACATGCTAGCACCACATAATTTTTCACAAATAAAATCAGAGAACAAACATAAATCAACAAAATATGATCTGATTTCGACTTACAATTATCTCTGGCTGACAGTTGGGACATTTCCTATCATGCTTTGCGACTTTTTTTTCCGGCGTCCTGATTGCTCTTATATGCTGCTGGGAAGTGTCACTTCTAGCATTGTTTGTTGTCCCCATGATTCTCATAATTGGTGCTACTTATACAACAAAAATGAATGCCCTTTCAGTAACAAGGATGGCATTCATGTCGGAGGCTACTGCAATGGTAGAACAGGTAAATAATCAATATCATCATCAATAATTCATTGGAATCCTTAAACACGTATGCTAACTTTCTGGAAATTTAAGTCAAATTTACATAGAGATATTCTTTCCCTGCCATATGACAGTCAATTTCCCACATCAAAACTGTGTTTGCATTCGTTGGAGAGAAATCAGCAATTAAATCATTCTCAGATTGTTTAGCAAAGCAGATAGGCATAAGCAAGAATGAGGCATTCATAAAGGGGTTTGGGACAGGTATGTTCCAGATTGTAACATTCTGTTCTTGGGCACTTATTGTATGGGTTGGAGCCGTTGTTGTGACAGCAGGGAGAGCGCGTGGAGGAGATGTTATTGCTGCAGTTATGAGCATTCTCTTTGGAGCTATGTAAGAAACAAAATACTTCCGTTATGCTATGACTATCACTACGTTTTATCCAGTGTTCATTCACAAATCACACCACATTAAAGCCATTTCCCCTTTACAATTCCAGATCACTCACATATGCTGCACCAGATATGCAAATCTTCAATCAAGCAAAAGCTGCAGGAAAGGAAGTCTTTGAGGTGATCAAAAGAAAGCCATTAATATACAGCAATAATGAGGCAAAGACACTGGACCAGATCAACGGCAGCATAGATATATACGATTTGCATTTTGCTTATCCATCCAGGAAAGGAACTTTAGTTCTTCAAGGTTTTTCATTGTCAATCCCAGCAGGAAAAGTAGTAGCGCTTGTTGGAAGCAGTGGGTGCGGCAAGAGCACCATCATGTCACTAATAACAAGATTTTACGACCCTGTAAAAGGTAGACCTAAGATGCAAATAAGCTATCTTTTATTTTTTTAATGCCTTCTCCGGTGCTATGCTTTCTATGCACTCCGTAAAGAGAACAAGACAGTTTATATTGTATGTCAATTAAAATACCTTCAAGGATACTCGGAAGCCTAACTGCGTCCACACCCCTCAGGTGAGATTCTCGTTGATAACCACAATATCAAGGATCTTGATCTAAAGTCTCTCAGGAGAAACATAGGACTAGTTTCACAGGAGCCATCACTATTTTCTGGAATCATCAAAGACAACATTAAGGCAGGAAACCCCAATGCAGATGATGATCAGATCCAGAAAGCAGCTCAAATGGCTAATGCGCACTCTTTCATATCCCAGTTTCCGGACCAATACTTGACTGAGGTCAGATAAGTTACAACTTTAAAACCTTTCAATATCATTTTATTTATGTGTAAATACATATAATAATATGCCATTGCATTCAAATTCGAGAATTTCATCTATGCTGAAGTAGCTTAATTGTTGCACTAGGTTGGACAAAGGGGCGTCCAATTATCAGGTGGTCAGAAACAGAGAATTGCAATAGCTCGAGCCATCCTAAAGAATCCTCCAATTCTCTTACTAGATGAAGCCACCAGTGCCCTTGACACAGAATCAGAAAAGATAGTTCAAACAGCCATTGAGGCAGCAATGCAGGGGAGGACAGTCATCTTAATTGCCCACAGATTATCCACCATTGTAAATGCAGATATGATCGCTGTTGTAGAAAATGGAATAGTTGCAGAGACGGGAACACATGATTACTTGCTAACCAACAACAAGTTTTACAATAACTTGTTTGAAATACAGAATATCAATCAAGAAAGTGATACAAGGTTCATAGCAGACTAAAGTTGCTTATTATTGCTTAGTAATAATAAACTGAAATAACAGTTTTAACTGGTCATGTTACAGGGTAGAGGATTCAATAGAAGGCGGACCAAGTATACAGACACGGATTTCATCTCAGCTCCTGGACCAATCTGATGAAACTATGGAAGAAAACAGAATTCCACAAACCCCTCACAAGAAAGAGGAACTGAAGGAAAGAACTGAAAATTCTATATTCTTCAGGATCTGGTTTGGCTTAAAGAAGAGAGAGGTTGTAAAGATTGCCATCGGCTCTTCTGCAGCAGCTTTTGCAGGGATCTCTAAACCTGTTTTTGGATTCTTCATCATAACTATAGGAGTGGCATACTACAAAAACGATCCAGAGCAGAAAGTAGGAGTATACTCATTAATTTTTTCGGCGGTAGGATTTCTCTCATTGATTGCCCACACTTTGCAGCATTACTTATTTGGAGTAATTGGAGAGAAGGCAATGACAAACCTAAGGCAAGCTTTATATTCAGGTATGATATTCCTTCCCAATCTAGATCGTGTATAACTACTCCATCAGTGTGAGAACTTTAACAACAACCACTTGCATCATAAGGAGCAATTATATCTTGCAGATATACTACGAAATGAATTGGCTTGGTTTGAGAAGCCTGAAAACAGTGTGGGATCTGTTACATCACGGGTTATCAATGAGACATCCACAGTCAAGACCGTTATTTCCGACCGTATGTCTGTTATTGTTCAATGCATCTCCTCCATATTGATTGCAACAATAGTCAGCATCAAAGTCAACTGGAGAATGGGTTTAGTCGCTTGGGCTGTGATGCCCTGCCACTTCATCGGTGGGCTAATTCAAGCTAAGTCGGCAAAAGGATTTTCAAGTGGTAATAATGCTGCTTATTCAGAACTGGTTGCCCTTGCTTCTGAATCAGCATCCAACATAAGAACCATTGCCTCTTTTTGCCAGGAAGAGCATGTAAGTGAAAAGGCAAAGATTATTTTGGAGAAGCCACTGACGAAAAGCAGGATACAAAGTGTCAAATATGGAATCATTCAAGGTGTATCCCTCTGTTTATGGAATATTGCTCATGCTGTAGCATTATGGTATACAACTATCCTCGTCGAGAGAAGACAAGCCAGCTTTGAGGATGGAATAAGATCATACCAGATATTCTCTCTCACAGTACCATCAATTACAGAACTGTGGACGCTTATACCTACTGTTTTCTCTGCCATCAGCATACTTACACCTGTATTTGAAACTCTTGATCGACAGACTGAGATTGAGCCAGACGAACCAAGGAAATCACCATACGAGAGCATTAAGGGGGAGATAGAATTTCGAAATGTCCATTTTTCATATCCCTCAAGAGCAGAAGTGACTGTACTTGACAACTTCAACTTGAAAATTGAACCTGGATCAAAGGTTGCTCTTGTTGGACCAAGTGGAGCCGGGAAGTCTTCAGTTCTAGCACTGCTGCTCCGGTTTTACGATGTCAAAGAAGGAGTACTACTAATTGACGGGGAGGATATTAGAAGTTATAATCTGAGGAAGTTGAGAACACAAATTGGCTTGGTGCAGCAGGAGCCACTTCTCTTCAGTTGCTCAATTAGAGATAATATATGCTATGGGAATGAAGGGGCTTCTGAAGCAGAAATCATACAGGCATCAATGGATGCAAACATACATGAAGTGATAAGCAATCTGCCTAGAGGATATGACACATCGGTAGGGGAAAAAGGATGCCAACTTTCAGGTGGCCAGAAGCAAAGGATAGCTATTGCTAGGGCTCTACTGAAAAATCCAGCAATAATGCTTCTCGATGAAGCTACAAGTGCACTTGACGCCGAATCCGAAAGAGCTATCATCTATGCTCTGAAAGGACTAAAACAGAGAACGACACATGTCACAGTCGCACACAGGCTGTCAACTGTAATAGACTCAGATACCATATTTGTTATGGATAAGGGGAAAGTAGTTCAAATGGGTACACATGCAAGTCTAGCAGCAGCTAGTGACGGAGTTTACTCAAGACTTTCCAGGCTCCAGAATTTCCCAGAAAATTGATGAGTCTACATATACATACAGCAAGCAACTAAATTAAAGTAGGAGTGTTTTTTCTTCATTGTATTGACCTTGAAGCCTCCATGTTATGTCAGTTGTAACAACTTATAAGCTTGGATTTATATGAACTATAGTGATAGTGTTATAGATAGATGTAAGGTACCTGGAATAAGTAAGAAGTTTAAGTTTACATACCAAAATTCAAGAGCAGGCCATTGTATTGACCTTGAAGCCTCCATGTTATGTCAGTTGTAACAACTTATAAGCTTGGGTTTATATGAACTATAGTGATATGTTATACATAGATGTAAGGTACCTGGAATAAGTAAGAAGTTTAAGTTTACATACCAAAATTCAAGAGCATGCCGTCCAAGGTTTTGGGCTTCTCCAACTCTCTCCTCATGTGCAATCCCAAGATCAATAAATCAGAACTGAAATGAGACAAACAAGACAAAACACATCAGAACCTGACACTGAAGATGCCTATCGAGAGTCCTATTTTGTATAAAATAGCAGGACTGCCAAACTGAGGTATTGCATGACCCCATATATTAAATACACCGTGAGTTTTAGAATGTCAGACTTGTGATACATAAAGCTCCAATTATGCCAATATCTGCAAAACGGTTTTGCGACTCGCAATAATCAGCAGTCAAGGTAAAATTTCACAATGAGATGGAAAACACTTAGCGTAGTATAAATTCTTCACTATTTCTCTAGACTCTTTCATTGTGCCCATTTAACATGTGCAGTAGAAACAAGTATAATATATTTCGATAGATAACTGCTAGTAAGACAAACTTTCTAGATGAATTCCTCCATAATACAAGGTCCAACAAAGGATTCACGGACAGAGAATAGAAGGTCCATTCAAGAAATTGCCAATCATCTTTACTTATCGACTTCATGTGACTCTCTTTTGTTAGTTTTAGGCCATTAGATCTCCTAATCACCCTAGCTTTATCAGTATCAGAGCATATCGCAAGAGCTCCAGTAGTAACGAAAGGTTTTCAACCAATGACATGACATACACAAAATCGTACACCAAACAGATCACAACCAGTGAATCAGCTACATAAAGGATGAAACATGAAAACAAAATTACTTCCAGAAAAAGCAAATAAATAGTACTGTTCACTTCCGGGGGAAACGAGACTACACAAAAATCATAAAATAGCAGTTGATTTACGCTCACTCGCCGAACAAACAATCAGATAGTTTCCCCAACAAAGCAAATATTTATCGCAGAATGAAAAACAACAGAATTGAACAAATATTGCAAATTACGTACAAATCGAAGCGAACGGAGCGAGAACGAAATGTTGCTGCAAATTCAAAACCTCGAGCGTAATTCTCATCTGCAAAATGTACATTCCAATCCTGCGACTATGAACGCATATATACAAACAGAAAGTTGGAGAATATTACGTAAACACCAAAACAGAAAAGAAACGACACTTGTTGTGTCGTACTATCATAGTTTATGCGAACAAGAAGAATACAGAGAATATACCTCCATGGAGAGCTTTGGTATTGAAAATTATTTGTTTTTATTTGGGTTCCAAAATTTTCAAATTTGAGAAAATGAATGAAATATTCGGAGTGGTGGAATTCCACGTATAGGGCTTTACATTTATGGTAAATTCCAATTTTCCTTGTACTTTGGCTTGATATCACTTCACCCCTTCTACTCTCAATTGCATCGGTTTGACCCTGTACTTGAAAAATTGTCTCAATGTGGCCATCGTGGTTAGTTTTTAGACATTTGATTTTAAGACGGTCTGATCTAAGTCTAAAAATTACAAAAAAACCACCCATCTCAGTTTAAATAATTATTAAAAAAAATTAAAATTTTAAAATTAAATTGTGGTTGTCGTCGTGGACTATGCTTTCTTGTTATCTTGAAAAAAAAATTATTTTTTAATTTTTCTTTTTGTTTTTTAATAATTATTTAAACTGTGAGGGGTGGTGTTTATGTAATTTCAGAGCTGAAACCATACGGTGTTAAGCTTAAATGTCTGACAACTAACAGCGAGGGTCACATTGAGACAATTTTTCAAGTACACGGGGTAAATCAATACAATCGAGTCTAGAAGGCGGTAAAGTAATATCGAGCCAAAGTACAAGGGGGAAAGTGGAATTTACCTACTTTTATTATATAGTTGATGAAAATTAGTTTTCTCCAACTTTAAACCCTAACATTTCAGTAAATGTGTTCTTTCGTTGTCGGAGTTCGATAATCTCTCGTTTTTTTTTTTTCAGAATGCACAGTTGGGTATTGTGATTCGACAATATTTAGTTTTGTTGTTAGAGATATGTTTATTATCACCAATCAATATTTTGTTTATAGGAAGATACGAGTGTTTTTATATTTTGGCTGTAATGAATTCATTTACATGGGCACTGTATAATTTTGTAAGTTGTTCTAATCGTATGATTGTTCTTTAATATTTGTATACGTAAAACAAAGACATTATACGAACAAAGACATTCGTTGGATGTCTTCAGCTGTCCGAACAACGGGAGAAACGGCCCGGTCTACTATATCTCACACTTGTGTATGAACTCTTAGCATTACATTGAACAAATACAAATACTTCAAAATATGTAAATACATACTAATATCAAGCAAATTTGAGTTACACATGAATTTAATCACTTCTATATTCAAGCTACTAGTACAACAAGAATTGACAACCAGATTATTCAATAAATAGCCAGCAAATGTTGTTAGCTTTTACCATATTATGTACAGAGTTCCACTGGTTCTGTGTTCTACACAAATGCTGTCTAAAAAAAAGACATGAACCGTATTTGCATGTCTTAAAAACTACCGCCACCAATAAGCCCGAAACTGTAATGACACAGCTGATATAAATGCAAATTAATTCATCTAAAAAAAAAAAAAAAACTATCAAGAACAATCTATACAAGCTAAATTTAACTTAAAACGGCAATGTTACAAACACAAATTGTTAGTTCTCGATTTTTCCCTTGCCAGCCATATGAGCATTACTCTTTGAAAGTAGCAGATTTTTCATTTCTTTATAAGTCTTGAGTTCTTCAAGGGCGTCAGAGGTTTTACGAGGGTTGAAAAATTCAGAGGCAGCTCCAATTTCACCCTCCATTTCGATTTTGGAGGATTGAGAAGAATTATAACAGCTAGAATCTTGACGAAGAGGAGGAGCTGTTCGGAGCATGTGGACAAGGGCACCTACAGCTGCATCCTGAGATTTCTTCGCTGTTGAAGATGTCTGTGAAGAAACTTCTGAACTGTTTCTCGCATCCAGATTTGGACTGCATTGAAAACGAGAAAGAAAAAAAAACGGAAACTAAATTGTGGTGAGCAAATGCTTTTTTAGATCACTTGATATAGAAAGGGAGGGAATTTGAGGTGAACAGAACAATGATATTTAAATCACCATTATTTAATATGTATAGTAAGTTCATAGGAAACAAAAGTAAATTCTGGAAAAATGGCTAAAAACTATTGGACTGGGATATAAAAGCCAATATCACAGTTATTTATACTCATGTTTCACGAGCTGAGATATATCTTATAGAAAAATAGGTGGGGAATCCTAAAGCAGATTGGAAATATCGTCGTTTAGCAAAAAGTATCAATACAGTAAAAATGCAGGCTAAATTAGACTATTTTCTATATTTTATGAGACTCACAGTGAAGCCAATCTGAAGAGGTTTCGTGATAATATATCGTCGTTTATAGTTTTGGCAATTCAGGTTAAACTTTGACTGAGATTCTGTTAACATCACGAACTTCAAAACTACACTATCTCCAGAAATCAAGGGAAAAAAAAACAGACAACTACGAAAATGTTTGAGCTATTGCAGTGTTCTAAAATGGGAGAATCTTTAAGACCTTGATCGAGAAAATTCATGAAATCCTAGAACATCTCGTTCTTGTGACACAAAATAGTTATTCCAGATAGATGATGAGTGGGTATTATGTAATGCATCACTATTTTAGCATCAATGTTGCACCAGGGACTCTTAAAATCGGAACAAAATCAATATATCGAACAAAAAGTGATGCAAGCATAATAGGTAGAGATAACTACTTCAACAAATATCATTCCAGTGAAGTTATATTCGGAGCCCTAGAAAGTAAAAACGATAGTTGGATTTCCAGTGTCCCACTTCAAATGTACGGTTAAAACCAGAAAGTGAACTACACAATAATACAAGACGACGTCACGTTTTTCTTTATGTACAGTTAATATGGGAAATTTTAATTCCAAGCATTTCTTACCTCATTTGCATATCAGGAGGGTCCACATCATCCACAATAAAAGGACACGAAAAATCACAATCGCCAAAGTCATCCTGAAAAGACAATCTGCTGGAGCTCCTCGAGAATCCTACACGTGGAGAACTACTCGAAGACAGCAAACTCGAAAACCGCCCCGAATCCTCTTTGGCATCTCGTGACACCTATAGAAACACACACACACACGTAAATAAATACTCAACAAGTAGAAACCACGATGAACTCCTAGAAAAAAAAAGGCATGATATATAGATATATATACCTTCTGGCCAAGACTTATCGGAGTATTTCTCATGGATCTTATTCCAGACGAGGACTCATGTGACGAAGGATCATACTTCGTGTTTCTAGGCGATAGAGGCGGAAGAGAATGATGCCTACTTGGATCAGATAAATTAGGAGAAAGATATTTAGGACTTCTGCTCATCATCGGATGAGGAATACTCACCGGACGGCTCTGAATATTCCCACCGGAGAAATACGTAGGCGGAGATGGAGAAGGAGAAGAAGACAACGGTGGAGAAAGCAAATCCTCCGATGAAGTTTTTTGAAAAGATGTGAGCCGTTGATTCTGATTCTTATTAATGTATGCGTCAGTAGGTGAGTGTGAATACTCGTACGGCGAGCGATATAAAGGTGGAGAGCCACTGAGTGGTTGATTATGATTATGTAGCAAAGAAACATCCCTATGAAGACCACCACTTGTCCAGCTGTGCCTTCTTGAAGGAGCTGAGTGATGATTTTCTCTTATCGAAAATGCCCTCATAGGATCGGTAAGAGGGCTGCCCACATAATCAGTAATGATCTCCAAAGGACAAGATACGAAAGCATCGAGATTAAAATCGGATAAATCTTCGCGATAAATTACTGATACAGAGAGACGGCCTTGTTGAGCTTCGACAGGGACAAAACTGTACTTCTTCATTGAATGTTCCTCATCTCTTGAAAACGGAGAACTAAACGAGCAGACTTTGTAATTAATATCGAAATTACAGCTCTGCTTTAAGGAGCTTTTTTTCCGAAAGGCTTTGTAAGCTGGGAGGAGCCTCAGCATTGAGTAAACTGAGCGAAGCAATATGATTGACTTTTTATACGTCTTCTTGTAATCGCTAGTTTGAGGGGGCGTTGACCTTTGACTTTGAGACTCGTGCTGAACTATCCATCTTTCTACGACTGTCTCTGTGAAGACATCGTTCGACAACATAGTGTGTGAAGAGTTTGGTGATTCTCTGACGAGTATAATATCGATTATCATTGGTTCCATTAAAGTTCTATTCCAAAAACTCAGGCTATCCATGGCTGAGGGGCGATCGCCTTATGCTAAATGAACCATTTATCACTCTTTTTTATTTGTCCGCTTCGACTAGATGGGCGGTTTGCTGGAACCCTCGAGTCTAATATAATGTGCAGGCTTTTTAAGAGAAACTGGTTGAGGATTTGCTCAAACCTTCCATTTTCACCCTGGGAAGGATAATTGTGCAAATCCATTTTCTTTATTTTTTTTAACCAAATCTCAGCCCTGGGTTCCCACCTTCAAGTATACCATGAAATTATGGATCCAAAATTTGAGAGATCGACTCAAAAAACTCAGTGGCAAATCTATAGTAATGGTTTTTCCCAGAGGCGAGTTACCTAATGCATGCCTCTATATATATATGTGTATGTACACCTGAAATAAACGCCAGAAAAATAAATAAATAAATAAAGCATATAATTAATTGAACAGAAAAACAATTAAAATTAAAAATTGAACACTAGGGCTAATCATTGATATACAGCTGAATGTTGCATGATGTGGTTTTACAGTCATGCAGCAGAAAATATATCGATTCTGGAGAAATACACAAACAGCATCAAAAAGTTTCTAGATTCGAGATTCAAAAACATTCCGGCTTGTCGAGAATTTAAAAATTAAAAAATTAAAAATTAAAAAATTACAGAACGGATCGAGAATCTCGATTAAGAACAGCCCATAACTATTCCCACTCACAATTTCAAGTTCGACCAACTGATTGAACAGGAAAGTAAGGGAAAAAGAAAACTCCGATAATCACTAAAAAAATGACAGTATATCGAGATTCAGCAGTGTAAATGGTGATTTTGAAATGACGAACTGAAAATGATTTAATCAAATACAATACAACTTACTTGAGACAACATGATTTCTGGAATTATAGCCGAGTCTCGAGATCAAAATTTGGCAGAGATTTTAGAGAGAGAAAGAGAGGAGAGAGAGAGAGAGAGAGAGAGAGATTGCGTAGACTACTTGCAGTGAGAGAGAGAGAGAGAGAGAGAGAGAGAGAGAGTGACAAAAGCTGTTTTTATGGTTTATATATACATTTTATATTTATAAACATATATATATTATTTCACATAAAGTTTGGTATATTATTAATTATTTCTTTTTGTTGAATTACTAATTAATTAAGTATATTCTTATCGGGAAATATAAATAATTTCCAAAATGTGAAAAAGCTTGATGTCAAAAAAAAAAAGTGAAATAGCTTCCCTTTTTTTTCTCTTTTTTTTTTTCAATGTTCATTTGTAGCTAAGAATCATTTGATGTTGATTCGAACATATCTTTATGACCCATATGCAACAATAATTATTATTTTATTTTTTAAAATATATAATATTCTTTAAATTGATAATTCAGTTGTAACTTGTAACGCGTCCATGATGTAATTTTATCGACTTTTATATTTATATTTATATTTATATTTTTAACATAATTCAGTTGCATAATGTTAATTGCTTTGAAGCTTTTATAATACATGACGTGAAGTTGTAGAAATGATTAGTTGTTATTCTCATAATTTGTGCTTGTGTTTTATTTCTATTTTAAAATTTCCTATTTCAGCCTTCAAAAAACATTACAGCACACATCGATTGTGGCAAGTGGGCCCAATGCTGACCGAATCAGAATAAATGATGGAAATTAAAACTTAGAAGCAAATTACAAAATTACTACAATGTAGGGATGAAGAATTCATGCCCCTCCTTAAATTAAAATATTAATTTAATTTTATTTAAAATTAGACACTAAAAAAAATAAAAAAATGATACGTACTGCAAATAAATGATTTATTGTAATGTAAAAAAAAAGTCGCACCCACGATTAAAAATAAAATAAATGTGATGGCACAACACGACAAAGATAACATGCTTAGTAGACCCCACCCCCATCATAAACTAATAATGAATTAATGATGTAGATAGACACTAAACAAAAGGAAAGCACAAGTCACGATTGAGATTACCACTAATTACACGTATTAATTTATGGGCTTACTTATGATATTTGGGCCTATAGACTTATGTATTGTTTCTTATGGGCCGGGTAGATTTTATTGTGATCTTTCTCGGGCCTGCTAAATGGCCCATACTTTAATTCGGGCTTTCTTATTGACAAAATTTGCGAAGATTCTAGAATTGCGAAAAAGTCAAGTTCAAATTTCATAGCAATGAAATAGTCTATAGTCCACATTATGTATGTTTGGTAAATGAAATGTTATACGTAAGAACATTTGAAATAATCAATCTTCGACGAATTCTTCATTTCTTGTCGTGGAAGTATAAATTGTTGAAGAAGAAAAAAATTAAAAATTCAATTTCGTCAATTCAAACAAGATACTCGTATAAAAACACGTAATTCTTACGACGTTTTCTACTATATATAGTTATTCATGGTATTATTGCACCCAATCTCTGCCTTTCTACTACATATTTATCGTATTACAAAACATGGATACCGATCGAACAATTTCCCGACCGGGTAAGGCGGCACCACCACCGGAAAGCCATGAAATGCTACAGAAGAGAAATGAAGAGTTGGAGAAAGAACTGAGGCACAGCCTTGAAAGGGAGGAGAAAATGAAAAAGGAGCTGCAAAGTATACGGGAGCGGCTGCTGGTGGCAGAAGAGGCGGAGGAGCGGCTGTGCTGGCAGATGGGGGAGCTGGAGGCGGAGGGGGTAGATCATGCAAGAGAATATAGGGCCCACATAATGTCCTTAACAGAAAAAATTACAGTTGCTAAAAAGTAAAAACTTATCCAACAATAGATGCATGTAATCGATAATATGCTTGTTTTTATCAATATGTTCGCCATCTCCATTTTATTATCATCTACAAATTTGATTACGAACCAATTATTCGTATTTCATTTAATCACGTACATAAATTATAGGCCAGTCGATTGAAAGATTTTCTTGCCTTACCACACAAACATAACTCGGAAATGTGGTGAAGAGACGTACCCAGAGTAGCAAAACGAGATTTGACGGAGAAGTTTGACGTCAACGAAATGTCACTCGAAAGAAACTTAAGAAAGGCTAATGCATCCCCCACACAGATTAGACAACTCAGTTTCCAAAAGCTTATTCAGGGCTTCTTTAGTTCGCCTATAAATCCAAGCTTCAGCATTCTGGTCCCAATCGAACCTAGAGGGTCCACTGCAAAATAAATTGAGATTTCATGAATTAAATAAACACAGAGCAAGTTCAATGCAATTACAGATTGAATTAAAATTAGTATAATGAATGAGATTTATAGGTGAAGGAGAGTAACACTTGGAATTAAATCTTTTCCTGATTAACTATCAGTCTATCGACTCTACTTCCAGATTAATATGCCATAATTCTTAATGGAGAAACTATCACGGACCCTTATCAAGATACAAACGTCTAGATTTTCTTGCTGTCGAACTTTTGATCATACATTTGATAAAATTTACAAACTTTAATGTAGTACAGACAAAGAATTATCAATTTGAAATTGAGAATCGAATAATAACTCACTCAAAAGTGAGATTATTGGAACTTGAATCTACAAACAGTTTCCATCTCAAAATGGTGATTTAGTTCACATAGCCCAATAGGAACATTTGGAGGGCATTCATGTTTGAACTAAAATACCTCGTAGATGGACCTACTTTGAGGAATTCTACAATTACAGAAAAAAAAAAATCGAGATGCTAATATTTTTTCCTGCAACGTATTTCCAACCAAAGAATATAGGACAAAGCAGTATATACTCAAGAATTCATACCTCGGTATCAAGCCACCATTTATAAAAAATAGTGAGCACGCAGAACATAAATACAGACTAAGCTTAATAAATTAATACCTCACTGGAGATGACATCCAAATCTGCCTATTCGGTGTTTGCTTGTTTATCACGTAAGTTCCCAAACTACCAAGCTTCAAGGTTAATACCTCATTCTGAAACAAAATGAACACAGTTGTATCAGAAACCGACAGACACAAAACAGCTGGAAAAGATTAACGATTCAGCACCAATTCAATCTCACCCCGTAGTCAACGTCGAACCCATCAATCTCCACAGAGTCGCCATATTCCTATAAGACAACAAAACCACTTAAACAATAAGTACACCATTTTCATTTTAGTGAAATGAACGACGTCGAGAGTGTACGTGTGCTCCTCAACAAGAAACGATAATAAACACGATGAAGATTTCGCGGAAACATGGTTATAATGTGCAAGAAAACAACAATGAAAGATGCAGCAAAGTGATAGCACTAAGTTGCCACCTTATACAAAATTTTATAAAAGATTTATAATACGAATATAAACATCAAGTTCTAGGTTGTTTCCGAGGGTAGTTATTTTCAATAATCTCAAATTCGTGCAGAATTATTACCTCGAGCTTCTCAAGGAGATCGTGGATGGTGGAATTAGCCAACCTGTTGAACTCATCTTCCTGCAGCCTAGAGCTGTATAAAAGTACATGATCCAAAACACTCAGCAAATTTAATCACACTGATTTCTCAACATAAACAAGCTTAAAAGCTTATATATTTCTTATAATCGTAATCAAACAAATTTAGAGAGAGAAAAAATTGGATGACACCAAACAACCAATTCAATCAAGCACACTACCAATTCATTATAGAATGGTCGATATTTTTTTTTAAGGAACAAGGCTCACCTGTAATCAATTGCGGCAGGTCCGTGAGACTCCCCAATCAGAGAAGAAAGACGGCGACAAAAGATGCTACTACGTGAGAAGTTAGGGTTTGGGGAAGGAAAATAATTGGGGGAAATCAGAGGGTTTGGAGAATTATTGCTGAGTGAAAACAGCGAACAACTCCGGCTTGTTTGAACAGAAGAACACGACGATGAAGATGGTCGGGGTTTCAGAGCTCTTAGCAACGTTCTTCTCAGTGCATGAGTGGTGGTCATCTTCTCAGTTCAAATGGTTTTTTTTAAGCGGGCCGGGTTTATTGCTCAGAAACGGGTAGCATATGGCCCGTCAAATCCGGCGATCTTTTCGAATCGGCGGCGAGTGAATGTTGGCGTGAAGCAAAATGACGAAAAGACGGTGGTGGAAAGAGTGAAGAAGTACTGCTGTTCAGACGGGCCGCTGAGATCGGCCCGATGGGCTCAGTCTGTACGGCCCGTATTTATATATTGGCCGGTCCATCTGTCTGGTGCAGGGCTATTTTATGGCCCATTGACTTTTTTATACTATTTGACCACTCTACAGTCTACTTTGACATTTACTTTATTAATTACATTTACTTTTTCATAAATATAAATAATAGAGTCATCGAGAAGAAATGATTCGAATCTTACCACACTATATTTAATAATGTGAAAGTGGCCCCAGTAATTATAAATTGGGACCTATTGATTGAATGATTTGGGTCCATATATTTAAGGGTAAATTACGGTTACACTCTTGAGATATGCTAAAATAAGTTTAAGGTCCATGTATTATTCGTAATTACAATCACTCTTTGAAACATTGTAGAAGCCCTAACAGAATAATGTATTGGATAAGTTTTTCCATTAAAGTTCTAACGGACTATTAGTTTCAGGTAGTGGTGGAGACAATATAGAGTTAGTAGGTGACACGACTCTCCTCACATTTATTAAATCCTTATTACTTTATATAAGATTTATATATTTTCGTCTATAGAAGTGTTTAACAGCCCTGCGAAAAACAAATATAGTGTATATCAGTCCCGGAACATGAAATATTGGCTCCGATAATTGTTTCAAATGGGTGGTTGTAATTACCAATACTATAGGAACTTTAACGTTAGTTTAGTATATTTCAAGAATGTAGATGTAATTTACCCTATATTTAAAGTGGGGCAACTATTTTTATGAACGCATTCGATGGCGATGAGAAAGTGTACAAAGTCGTCTACAAATATCCGAAACACGTTTCCACTTGCACAAGATTTTAATGAACTTTAATTATTCATAAATTTTTTTAAAGAAAAAGTTGAAATTGAAAAGGAATTTGAATACCGAATACGAATAATTTTCAATAAAAGTGTGAAAATGAATTACAACCTCACGCACGAAAAGACGCCACGAATCTAAAACGATGGAGCAGATACATTGAACCTAGACACATACATTTTTTTGCTATAAAAGACTACGCATGCAACATTTCTTTCCAGAATCAAAGGAAAAGAACTCATCAGCAAACCCCACAACTTCTGCATCTAGCTACTTATATATATATTTTTTGGTAATAAAATGGCTCCGAGCATTGGAATTGCCTCCGCAGCGGTGGCGGCGCCGCAGCAAAGGAAGGGCGGCGATGAGGCGGCACTGCGGCGGAGGAACGAGGAGTTGGAGAGGGAGCTGAAGAAAAGTTTGGAGAGGGAGGAGAGAATGAAGGAGGAGCTGATGAGGGTGTGGGAGCGGCTGAGTGTGGCGGAGGAGGCTGAGGAGCGGCTGTGCTGCCAGCTCGGCGAGCTGGAGGCGGAGGCAGTCAGCCAGGCCCGGGAATACAGGGCCCGAATTATGGAGTTGATGGAACAGCTGTCCGGTGCTGAGAAACTCCTCCGGAGTGCTACGTCGTCGTTTTCCAGCACCATGTCCCAATAACACCTTCAATTACCGAATTTTTTTGCCTCTTTTAAGGAGATTTTGTATAATTGAATCAGAATCTGTATCTATAATTTGGTGTTTGTACTGGCAAATCCTCCATTTGCATTGAATGGAGGAACAAGTTTTAGGCTTTTTTTGTAGTGTATAATGAAATTGAGTTTTTGTTGAATATAATTAAGGCATTTGATATATTTTTTTTATTTTTCTCCACCTTAAATTAAATTACTCCGAATTTAAATTCAGAACATGAATGATTGATCCTATACATCATCGCGTCCATCCTAACTCGAACAATAAAATTTTAAATCTCTGGTAATTCAATGGATTGTGAAAATTGGAAGATAATATACGACTTATGTATGTAGATTGTGGATTCCCATTTGATTTAATTATTTGAAAAATAAGTTATTCAAAATTCCGGAAATTCCTATTTTCGAATTTTATTTCCAAAATTTTCGAGCCCGGGATTAGTCACAAATTATGTCAAATACGATTGTATCAAACTAGTACAATTGGGGGTATAATTGCAGAAATTTTAATCGAATATACCATGAATGACATAAGGAAAAATCATATTCCTCGATGAATCTTGAGTGCAAGTATAATAACACAGCATTCTATCATAAAACATAGCAATAAAAGAAAATTTCCAATTGCGTTATACGCAGGAGGACCTGTTTCCTAGCAACTGATCAACGGATGATTTCAACGAGAGCTTTTCCGCTTCTCTTTCAACTCTGGGTCCCTATCAATATTAGAAACAGTCGCAACTTTGAGATTTTCAAGAAATCATAAAGACGGTACTTATGATTAGAGAATGATATTAATTTACCTCTCTATATGATCGAGAATGAGCAATCTTGGTCCAGGTGGTATATTCACGTCTCTGAGAGCACTACAGAAAAAAAAGGAAGGTCATAGTAATTAGTAAGCAAACACTCAGATTTTTAGTTTTTGGCAAGTTTTAATTTATTTATAACTCAGGGCACACTTACCTATCGGTTAGCAAAGGTAAAGTGGTGTCTGTCAACAAGCCTTTCTTAAAATTCTTCTCGTAATTCTGTAGGCCGAGATTGCTTAATAATGATCGTCCCTTGGCATAATACATATCCTCAACTGGTGGTTGTGAGAACTTCTGTCCCAACTGCATTGACCATGTGTTATCAGGACAAGAGGCACTTCAAGTTACTAATACAGCAATTTCATTAATATTTCAAGGGTCGTAATATTATGCGTCAACATTTCAAAAAAAAAAAAAGAAAAAGAAAAAGAAGTTTCGTATAATGCAAGTCAATTCACCTGGAAAATTCCACCTTGAACAAGTGCAAAGAAAAGGCCAGAGGTAAGAGCATTTGTTGCTTGATTTGGGCCGCCCATACCACTTACCAACGAAAACAAGGCCCCAGAACCGAAAGCTGCAACCATGCTGTAATTGCCGCAACCAGGAAATTAACATTAACATGACATTTAAACATTATTGAAATGCTGGGTTGAGATTTTCAATCATGGACGACATATATTAGGCATAATGCATCCAGCAAGATAAATTTTAGCTTGAAGTTTGTAATATTTTAGTACATCACAAGCATTAGTTTGCTGGTTCAATTATTTAGCTTCCCTTGATTTCACAATCTTAACTATTTCCTTAATCCACACCATCGGAAAAGAATAATATTTATAGATGCAAACACAAGTTTTGAATGTGTCGAAAGGGTTTAAATCACATACTTCTAAGTAGATTTATTTTCACAACTAGCTCTGCAAATATTTTTCAGAATTTAGAAAATCCATCTGCATTCTTCCCACCATGACTACGGGAGTAGCTCTCACTATTAAAAAGTAAGTAGAAAGCTGAAGGAGTTATTGCAGTTTGGCATCATCGTTCTTTGCGATAAGGTGCTCTTTAACCAATACTGTGATATTTCCATAGCTATTTCAATAAATGTCTATGAAGTTTCACAAAAGTAATATTATAAATACTGAAGTTTCAAGAAGAGAAAATATCAGAACGAGACATGCTCCCAACATTTATCATCAGACATGTGCACAAACGTCTAAATTTTTTTTTAAGGGGATGGAGATGAATCTTAGAAGCAGACGGAAGAGGCTTAAACGCTACGTAATAACAGACTACATATTAACAGGGAAATAGGGAAATAATACATCTTAATTTGCACACAAAAATAAGTTATGATTGGTCTACATGTAATGCCTTGAAACACGAGGTAAACATGGCTAGAATCGAAAAAATTGTCCATTTTATTTTTGTTTCTATTTTTACTGTGCAACACCTATACAAACAGAGACGCGGCGTAAAGATAGGTAATTCATTCTAGCAAATCCATACCTAGACTGAACATCTTCCTTGCCTCTCAATCTTTTCATGACACATGAAATACCGGCATTGACACCTGTCATAACAGCGAAGTTGCGTGCTTGTATCAACGGACCTCCAGCAAGAGCCTGCACAGCAAAAACACAGTATACGCACGCCTTCATAACCTTTCTCACAAATTGCATCAAAGTATTAAGCAAATACCTTCTCAACCGAAAGTCCAATTACTATAATTCACTTAAGCCTTATGAATGCAAAATTTTTTGGCTAAAATTAGTTTAATTGTTTCACTTACTTATCAATTTTCAATTGAACATAACTAGCTAACTGCTCAACACACATTCTGAAAACACGCTGTCGATTACATAATCAGCCAAAAAGTATAAATTAAACCCTATTTTTAAGTGATTAATCGAGCTATGGACTAATTTTAACCTACTGAAAGAAGAAAAAGGGGCAAAATATTTAGCATCGTGACATATCCACTATAAACAACCGAATAAAACCAATGGAAATACCTACACAAACAAATAAGAAATTCAGTAAACAGAAATTAGTTGACCTGAGCTTGCTTGAGCGAAGCCATAGCGTCCGGGTTAAAGTTGGCCGCGTTCGGCGGCGGCGTGATCAACGAGGACGCGTCGCCAGTGAGAGTCCCCATGAAAGCGCCAATAGCGGCTCCCTGGGCAGCGCTGGTGGTGGTGACGACGGCCGCCTCCACCGGCAACGATTGCTTAGCCAGCCAGCCCCTAAACTTAGTCTCCACCTCCTTCAGCTTGAACTGCACCAAGGCAAGTGGATTCTGCTGAGGTTGCCCCATCATACCGCCGGCCTTCGTTGGAATTTCCGCCGCCATTACTCCTTGTTTTGGTTTTGGCTGTGGAGTGTGGAGTTAGAACTTTGGTCCCATGGAGGTTTCGGCTTTTAGAGGGGTGGAATTGGATAACAGTGTGGCAAACATTTCGGCAAATTTCATTTTCACCCCTCAAACCTTTGGGCTGTGTTTGGAAAACATTTCATTCGCTTTTTTCATCTCATATATATTTGGAAAGTATTTTGCATTAGTTTTATTTATTCACAATTTAATAATCCTCAATTCTTATATACAAAAAATAAAATAAAATAAATCCTCAATTCTTATATACAAAAAATAAAATAAAATAAATCCTCAATTCTTATGCACATACATTATTTCACATTTCATTTGCTATAGTAAAAATAACTTTTGTTATAAATTATAATCTAATAAAAATTAAAAAGTGAATACTACTTTATTCACTTTTAAATTAAAAAGTGAATACTACTTTATTTTAAATTATTTTTGCTTTTCTTTTATTCATAGATGATTTAAAAGGGCCAAACAGTCCCTAATTGGGGAGAAAAGTAAACTGCAATTTCAAACTTTTCCAGGGATAAGAATGTAAAACCGAATTCAAATTGAGGGAAAGGAGCTAATATCACAGACGCCCCTGTGTTATTTCTAATTGGCAAAAAAATCCTCATGTTCTAAAGAATTAGTAATAACCCACATATATTTGTTTTACAAACCAAACCGCCCCTTATTTAAAATTTGATTGTTGACTTATACGAAATAACTAAATTATCCCTACAGAATTTTAAATATTATTTCATTTTTATTTCCGTCGCCGATCCTTCGGATTCTCCACCTGGTTTTTGCTGTAAAAAATCACAATTAAGAAGAGTGGGGCCTGGGAAGATGGCTTTTTTGAAAACGTGAAGGACTGAAATGAAAATTGTGAAAACTTCACTTGGGGTCTGAAACTTATGGGGTGAATTTGTAATTTTTTTAAAATTTCTAACGAATGGGTACTTAGGTGTTTCAGGCCAAAAAGTGCACCCCACTCGCATGTATGGCGAGTGTACCTCACGATAAGTTGTCAAGGGCCTCTATGCCTTTGACTAATTTTTATAGGGGGATTGTTGCTAATGTTTTAAACATAGGGGTGTTTAAAGGAAATTAGAGATTTCACAGGGTACTTTCTGCAAAAAAATCCCGGAGGGAAAGTACCAAATTCATTTTTATTCATCCGCCATTGGAAGAAGGTGCTCCCCCTTGCCATAACTAGGGTTTTAGATTAGTTTCTCGTAACCCTTAGCTAGAACTTAAAATGGGCGACGACTCCAGAGAACAATCTCCGGATTGGCTCCGTTCTTTTCAGGTGTTGTTTATCGTTCTATTTACTACAGATTTTTACCATAATTATGCAATTTATTTCCGGGCATGCAGTTAAATCTTATAGTTTCAATTTATCTTTCTTAATTCTATCGATTTAAGAATGCTACGTTCGTAGCTGCATCAATTGAAGTATTGAACCATTTTTTTTCTTAAGTATGCTGTAAATTTTTTGTAATGTTGTATATATGAAAAAACCCACAGTTTATTGTAAAGTTGTGGGTTATTATTGTTTTAATTGGCTTAACTTAACCATGTTTAATTCCCAGCTGATTAATGATTTTAAGATTGCCATGGATGTTTATGGAATGTTGATGCAGCCTGGGGTTTCCCTGTGTAATTTAAAAATGTACATCCTAAGTTTAGTTGATTGAAGTTTTTGGATGCTTAAGTGTGGATTTTGTTGGTTTAACAGCCGCCAACTCTATCGACTATAGAATTGTCATCTGGGTCAGACACACCATTGGATTATAGCCCAGTAAGTGATGATGAGGATGGTATAAACCTCAGTAAATTGTTCAAGAAAGAAGAAACTCAGGCCTCGAGCATTAATGATAACGATGATGGAAAAGTATCTGTAGTTGAGAAGTCCGTCGAAGATAAGTCTTCCAGGAAAAGTGATAAAGTAAAGCGGACGCCAGAGAAGAAAAGGAAGAATGTGGACGACAGCATGAGAGAAGGTATTTGTTTGTATTATTACTAATGTATTAGATATCATGCACTTCGAATTATTCGGAAGTTCATGTTTCTCAATGATGCAGGAAAGAGGGGAAAAGGAAAAGAAGCCAATAGAAGAAATAAACCTGAAAAGCATGATAAATCTAATGTAAGGAGCTTCTTCTTCTCATCTTTTTTGTCAATCAGTTGATATACAATTATGAATTTCCGTGAAGGTCTATAAGCTTAGGCTTCATCCTCGTTTGGGACTAAAGTTCTTACTTCTCAGGCCATGTCTAGCTTATAGCGTCTCTATGGTTGCAAAAACTGCTACGACATAATTTGCATTTTTGTCCTAAAATTATATCCACTATTTGAGAATTTATTATGTTACTGGTTAAATCTTAGTAATTTGGAGATACGTGACGTGATACATTGCAAACGAGATAAATTTGACCTTTGTATATTGAAGAGTCATTGTGCTATAGGATTCAAGATTTTATTTCCTCTCCTTTTCATGATGCTGCTTCCTATAGTCATATTTGCTTGAGCAAAATGCTGTAATGCCTAATGCAAAAATATGTGATCCTTGAATAGGACCAGAATCATTCCTTTTGGTCACTGTCGTCAGATTCGGAGTCTTCTGGAGATGCCCCAACCCATAAAAAGGATAAAGCCATAAAGAGAGAAATATCTCCAAATAAAGATCTCGCTACAGAAAATGAAAAAGAAATTGATAATCTTCTTCTCAACCATGATGGTGAATCTCCAAAGAATCAAGCCTCAAAAGCGAATTCTCCCATGAAGAAGCAGGAAAAAGAGGATGGGAAAACCTCAAAGAAGAACATTACTAGCCGTATAAATGGAGGTAAGGAGCCTACATTTTGGTCTTGATGTTTTATCAAACACCCTGCAACTCATTAATGCATCTTCAAAATTTTAAACCGTGTTGATCGTCTATTTAATTATTTTCACTCATTTTCATTATCCAGAAGATGATACTAAAAACAACATCGTGAAGGAAGATAACTCCGGAAAGCATGCTGGGCCTCAGGTCAGAAGCTTTAGTAGCCAAGCAGAGTTTACAGCTAATCATGGTTAAGTATCATAAATCAATAATGGTAATCTACTAATGCAGGCATCCTCTTCAAAGTTGCCATTGTTGCTCTCAGATAAAGTTCAACGTTCAAAGGTTAGCCAACAATGACATTTCATGAATGATTGCCTTGAATCATTTGTAAAGTCAAAATTTGAACCACTTTTGGGTTTTCATCAGAACTCAACATAATCTTACTTCGGCCCACATTACATCCGGACTTTGCCGACATTTCCATTCATCTACTACCTCTAGGAACAATGTTACTTTTAATTCTTCGAGAAATTTAAAGTTCCTATATGCTGTCAGATATTTATCTATTTATTTTAACTTCTACATTTTGGGACGATCAACAGATTGACATTTTGTGTGCTTCTGTTCTGCAGGCACTTGTGGAGTGTGAAGGTGATTTTATAGATTTGAGTGGTGATGTTGGTTCTGTTGGACGGGTGGTAATTTCAGATGATCCATCAAAAAATCATGAGATGTTCTTGGATTTAAAAGGCAAGCTTCTTTGAATTTTTCAGTTGCTTTACTTTATTTCATACTGATCTGCAAAATGTGAATTTATTCGAGTATTGATAGTAGAATGCTAACTAACCTCTCTAGTTGGCTATGAAAGGTTAGTTGTCCGCTTTTATATAGGATCAGCTATTACCAAAATAATCAAAGTTTATTCACTAATTGTCTTTGATGACAACATGTAATTCCCATTTTAGAATCACATTGTATAGTAGGATTGCGTTCAGGATTTAATTTTTGGCATCTGACCAGATTGGCTACTGCACATGTTTTATTTGCTTCTCACGTGATCTGATCCATACGAATTTTTCATTTTTGTTTTCGCCAGGAACCATATATAAAACAACCATAGTTCCATCAAGGACATTCTGTGTGGTAATCCATCTATTGTTGACTCCTTTTCCCCACTCACTGATACTTTCCTATGAGTATGAATAAACCTGTCACTGGCTGTTTTAAGATATCTTTTATTTTCAGGTAAGCTTTGGCCAATCAGAAGCAAAGGTTTGTCTAGCTGCCTCAAGATATTAATATATGTTTGTTATTACTTGCCTTCCTATCGAGGCCAGTAATATATGGATCATTTTTTTTTCCTTAATGTACAATTAATATCTAAGTTTTATGATACTTGATCAGATAGAGGCTATTATGAATGACTATATTCAGTTGAAACCGCAATCTAATGTTTATGAGGCAGAGACTATGGTTGAAGGTTAGGAATTTATTTGAGGTTTTATTGTTTTATATACTTGATATTCCATAGATAAAGTTTTTTGTTTAAGTTTGATTGCTCAAAAGATATAGGCCATATCTTAGTTATTCTCTTCTGCATGACTAGGAACACTGGAAGGATTTTCATTTGGTTCAGAAGATGAAGCTGACAAACCCGTTGCTCGAGCCGATCATGGAGAGGGGGGTGAAGAACAATTGGACGGAAAAACCAAAAGAAAGCCTGACAAAACATCAGTATGTTTATTATTCATTTCTTTCTTTTTAGTCAATTACTAAACATTTTATTATGAGTCTTTGATTGATATAAATCTTGATTCAGGGTCCAGCAAGGAAAAAGGGAAAGCCCACAGGAGGAGGTAAGCCAGCCAAGAAAGTGAAAAAGAAACCTCAAGTTTCTAAAAAAGGCAAAGCCAAGAAATGAACGAGAAACAAAATTTCACGACAGTGCTACTTTTTATACTAATTTCTTTTATTATTATTTCTCCCCAACAGAAGCACTTCAATAGTCACCAGTTTCTATTGCTGGTATGATAGTGAGTAGGAACAGGAATATCAATCGACAAAAGTTGCCCAGTCTGTGTTTCTTGTAATAGTTAGCTTTTATCGAAACAAAAAACTCCGAGTACTCTTTACGCCTTTCGCAGGAATACAAATTTACAGTATGTTAAATCAATCGTGTCCAAATCTTATTCTTCAACATGTTCTTGGAACTGAACATCCTTTATAGGTTGATTGCTCTGTGATCTCCTGTCGTGCCACTTGGAAAGAACAAGGCCGTGAGATGTATCAGGTATGCCAATAACATAGAGTAAAGAGGAGAACAACTATCGATACTGGGAAGGGTATTAGTGTGGTTGAAGACGAAACTGCCCTTGCAGTCTTTCCATTCCGGTTTACTCCGGCTGTTGGAGCCTGTAATCCACCATCTATTCTCCTCATCCTGTATCAGGAAAAAAAAATCATTCACATCTATTTTTCTGACCTGAATTTGAACGCAGGATTAAAGCGCATTGGAAAAATCTCAAGAGATTACATTACCCGCTATTGGGGCAGAATATGATGTCATAATCGGAGGCCTTGCATGTGAAAGTGCTGGTTCCATCGTCAAATGCATAGCTATAAGCTCGTGGACATGCTCTCTTGAATATTCCGGAATAGAAAGACGGCCTACAAGTCGTAGGGTTGGCAAACTCCCCACTGCAGCAGTATTGGTCTAGCCCGAATGCTTCGCACGCACTCTTGCACGCCACTACTCCCCCTTCCCCTTCATCACTCCCTATCACTTGAAGTTCTTTAGGGCAACCTGTTTTTTTATTTCATTCCAGTATATTACGACATGTTATCTATATAAATATATTTCATATTTTCCTCTTTACTTACCCATGTTAATATCTGCTATACAGCCAGTGGCATTGCATCCACCAACAACTCCTCTTGGTCCAGCAACTAGCGGCAGATTATAGCCATCGACGATGCTAACATCGTAGAAATCTTTCTGGTCTCCAATTCCAAGGGTTATCTCAAAGAGGGATGCCGGTGGTTTCGCACCAGTGCCGCCACATTCGAGCCTCCCACCACAGTCTCCGGTTATGCACGAGCCAACACCCATTGCATCGAAGGAACAACCGGTCCTAGCCCAGATCCTACCGGACCACCCTGGTAGAGTGGGGATTGATATGCTTTGGCCGGCATCGAGTTGGAACCCTGTTGCAGAAAGTGGTGGTGTTCCTGCACCAGATAACGTGCCTGGCCATATTGTGTAAGGGCAATTGTTAGTGATGGTAAATGTGCAAGCTAAAGAGGTGGTGGTAAAGAATGAAAAGACAATAAGAGAAATCAAAGATGCCATGAGTAAGGGGAAGTTTTAGGCACGTTACGTACATATATGAACATATACCTTGGTAAGAGGTATACGTTGCTTCTGCGAAAAACCATCGTCAGCCAGCCGCAAGATTGTGCATCTGGGTTTAGTATTTCTTGCATTTTTGGTTGGCCTCGATTACAAGAAATTCCTTTCTTTCAGTTAGCAGTTGCAGAATTATGCCGATCGAAAGTGGGATTTGAGATATTAAATAACTCTTTGAAGTTAATTGGCATCCTAAAGATTCCAAGTACAAATTTATTCTTCACATCCATTTTTAAGGCATCCATCCATTCATATTATATTTAATACATTGAACTAGGAATTCAATTTGTCTCCAAGAATAGGTGCTGGTTGGTAGAATAAATATATCTCCTTGTCCGAATAAAAAAAAAAAAAACCGTTTTTTATTGGCTGGAGCTGTGAGTTAGTTATGGCGAAAAATTGACTTTTCATGGGCTTTAGCCCATTAACTTGGGCTAACTATTTTGGATCTAATTATCTGTTGGGCCAACATAGGCACGTGTATAACAAAATTGGGTCCAAGCCCATCAATATGCAGTTGGCTTTGGCTCTTTATGTCTGTCGGTATTAGCGTCATTTATTATATATTTTCTTGGTTTTTTTTTTGTCGTACCTCTTATTTATGACTCTCTCTCTCTCTCTCTCTCTCTCTCTCTCTCTCTTCTTTATTATTTATTTATTTATTTATTTATTATTATATTGGTTTCTTGGTATGGTGGAGAGGTTGGTTTCCTTCCACCACCTACTCCATGACAACCAACAAGCAAAATCTTCTCCAACGTTAAATACATTTTATAATCCTCAACAACTTAATAAATTCATCCCACATGCCGGTTAAAAAAACTTCAGTCCACATTAAAAAAAGAAAAGAAAAAAACAAAAAACAAAAAAGTTGAGACTCAGTCCAGAAAAATATAGTTGAACAAATTGTCTAGATTTTCTTTATACATTGCACGGCCACCTGCAAATAATACTATACTTCTCCCAACCACGTGAGGCCATAACGGTCATTTGGATAAAATGGGGATCATTTAATTCAGCACATGGTAGATCATTCACATCTAAAAGACAAAACATTTAGTGTATATTATTACAGTCAAACATGATATTTGTATATATATATATATACAATGTCCAGAGGTCTGGTAATCACACAGAATCATCAGTAGATCTCATTTAAAATTAAGACCTTTCAAAGGGGTCTGAATCAGAGAAAATAAATTGTGGATAATGACCAACTTCCAAGAAACACTGAATAATCACCATTAAAGCTAACTGACGAGATCAACAAATTAAGAACTCACTGAGTCTACAAATTAAGAACTCTGTCTCTACGGATTCGACGACGGTTTGAAATGTTTGAAACTACTGCCCATGGCCATTCCCCAGCTGCAACTAATGGAAGAACAACAATCTTTTTTCCTGCACAACAAAAAAACGAAAATATATCTTTAGAAACTTCTCCAGATCAGAAAACAAATTAACATTACTGAAAGCCGGAAACATTGATCAATACTCAATAGAATAAACTATATTTATATTCGAAAACTCTCCTGAATCGCATACGCTTCAGCTCCTGCAAGAATGTCATAAAATTTAGAAACACAGATTACACGGAAAATCACAGTGAAAGCATTAACACTATAAAGAAGGGAAGCAAACCAAACATATAATTAATAGAGGTCTTCATCCCTGACCTGCAACACAATACAAATAAAGGAGAATGTTTAATCAGTGATAGTGTTTCACATAAAATCAAGGTCTTATTGATCCTCCTCCTGACCTGATGAACGAGACATTTCTCTATCGTGTGAGGGAAGCCGCCTCTCGGAAAATTATAGTTACTTCCTAGCTAAGACGAATGTTACAAATCAAATAAACTACTTAATGAATTATCATACATTTTCTCCCAAATGAATCACAATAATAAATAAAGATCACAAATCACAAAAAGAAAAATAAAACAGTTTAAGGAGAGATCGAACATTAAATAGCAAAAAGGCTAAGCATTCTAATTCCCTGTTCATAGTTCAAGCTGCAAACAGCTATCAAATGCAATTCGAGCTTCATAATAAGTTCACAGGATATAGCGTCATAAAATTCCTAAGAGTTTAAGTCTCTCGCAACATAGGTACAGCTACAACTCAAATAAAGGAAAGTTAAACATATAGTTTTCCTACATAAAAGTCTGCCATTGAGGTACTCAATGAATTCCTTTAAGTCTTTAAACTCGTCCATGAGAAAGTAAGAAAAAAAGAGAAAAAAAAGAAAGACGAAGACGGATGTGAAATTAGCAGTTATAATATCTAGCTCATATCCATGCCATCACCAATCGGGCTGCAGATGGGACCCACAGAAGTAAATGACCTCTCAAATGGCGAGGGATTATACTGAGCATCCCTTCTGCGCTTAAAAGCACAGCTCTCTGTGGGGCAATTCTCAGAGTCGAGCTTCCTCCGAACACCCCTCACAGCTTGTTGCTCAACTGGCGTTAGAGGGAAAACCTGTTTGCTGACTCTGCAGAGGGAGCTATGGTTATCATACAAAATTCTCTGGTTACAGTTTTTGTCGCAAATGTGCGTCAGCCCTGTTATCTTGCAGCGATACATGTTCCCGATTACATTTTCGTTTTCGCATTTCCAATCACACTTGTGAACTGGGTTAGGCCCATCTTGGCCAAGAATAGTTGACAGATAAATAACATTGGTAGAAAGAGCTACCATAGATTTGCCAAATACCTCCATTGATTTTAGGTTCGGTAAAGTATCAACCCTTCAAAGAATCACCACACTCCCAATCAGATGCTCTGCAGACCCAAAACAAGAGGGAAGTATTAGGTTTTGAACTTTGAAGGGAAAAACTCGTTTCGAAGGGAACTGAGAAACTATGGATAATTTTCGATTTGGTATAAAGCTTCTCCAATTAAAACCAATTGAAACCTTCTGAATTGCAATTTTGAACAACGAAACGTTAATCCGTGAAGTTTCGAGAATTTTTTTTCCCACTCATCATCCAATTCACCCCTTTCCATGGTTTCCTCTGACACAAACTCATGAAATAATAAAATATAGAGACAGAATTTTCTCAAGCTACAGAGATCTGTAAAGCAAAACGTCAATACAATAATTGAATTAATCCTTGATTTTATGATAACCACAAACTGCACGCAGTAGATACACGAAACATACTGGAAACGTCCTGTTGATAACCTTCTGACCTAATTTTTTTCTTTTTTACAGAAAATAAATCAATAAAGCTTTTTCACTCGATTACACTATTTTAGGGATACACACTTCCATTTCAAACATCAATCTAAATCATACGCACAAGAAAAAAGACCAGATCCGTACAAAAAAGTTAGCTGCTAAGAATCCTCCATGCAAAAATCACGCACAGCAGAAACACCTTTCTCCATATAAACCGAATTAATTAAGAGTATTTCAACAAATTGAAAGAAAACCAGAGAACTTACGGAGAAAAAATAGACCAACCAGCAACCCCTGCTTTCTCTCTCTAGCTTCGCTCTCGCTCTTTCTCTCACACACACTCGCACACACTATACTGAATAATCAAAAGAAGGGACAATTATGGGGATAGAGGTGGGGGTATTTATAGAGAAAACAAAAAAGCCATCCAATTTTCATGTACTATACGTTGGGGAAAAATAATTTATTATTTTCCTTTCAGATAAAGTTAAAATTGCATATTACTCTCTCAAGTAATAATACATTTTATTTTTGTCCACTAACTTATTAGAAATTTGACTATAAATGCTTTATGAGTAAAATATCCAATCAAAATTAATTAAAGTGAATGCTAGACGTATGAAAACTCAAAATTAATTGAAATAAATGCATAGATTTAAGAAAAAAGTGACATTAACATAAGTTTTGGGGGCATAGCATTATTTTTTCTATTATAAGGGATAAAAAATTAATATAATATCAACTGAGGGGTAAAGTGCAAATTGGCGCTGCATCATGTTTAAGTGAAATGCGGATGAAATGCAGATGAAATGCAGATGAAATTCTCATAGCTTGAATATTGGTCGCGGGAGTTAATGTGAATCCAAGCGAGTGCGAGTGAGACGGAGGTGCATTCACGTGACCCCCCACACCCACTTTTTATGTTTCCATATAGAGTAATAAATATATATACTCAACTACTATTTTATTATTTAGAAAATTATACAATTAGAGAAGAAAATCTTGACATTAGTCACGTATTAAGGAAAAAAATATTTTGTTTCTAACTCGGACTTAATGCGATAACGTGAACAAATCTAATTAAGATAGTTATATTCTGCACCCGGTGATTGTTAACTGTAATAATCATTCACTAATTACTCATGTATACACATGAGTGTGTGTGATTATGTGCAAAAATCAAAGATTAATAAGCACCAATAAATTCCCATTTAATTCTATAATGCTTCATCAATAATTCAAGATATCTTACTATAAATGTGTTGCATTGATTAGGAAAAAAGAGATTCTTGAACCCTTGGAAAAGGATTATACTGTGTACATTTAATTATCTGGATTTCGAGATATTTATGTGTGTATATAATTTACTAATTATTTACAAGTTTTGTTTTAGATCAATAAAACTAATTATTTACAAGCTACCTATTTAACACCCAATAGAAATGGGCCACGTAGCCAGCGCGTTTCCATTGACGTGGAAATGTTTTTGTTCACAAAAAGCAGTCGCCAAACTTAATGGGCCTATATTATTGGACCGCCATATCCGATTTTTCAGTTAAGAAAATAGAAAAACTAACCCTAATGGCCCAATTCTCTGGGCCTAAACTCGGGAAGAGGTGACCAGTGCACCACCACCACCGCCGCCCTCCGCCCACCGCAGAGGCGCACACAGTCGCGATTTTAAACTTCGATCCGAGCGTAGAAGCGTTTGAGGTTTCGGTTTTTCCTTTGATTATTTGCCCACCGCACACCAGCCTTGTCCAATTTCAACCGGCGATAGAGGCGGCAGTAGCTGAAATCCCGGCCGATATTTATGGTAAATGTTTCAGTATTAGTTTTTGTATGATAAACACGAAACTCAAAGAATGAAAATCAAGTATGGATTTTTCAATTGGGTGAATCTATGTTCGTCTGTAAAATGTGCAGCAATTTGCTGTTTTTGTAAATTGCTGTTCTCTCTTGAATTTGATTTTATATATTTATCCTAATTTGTGTGCAATCAAGATAGCGTATTGGGAATTTTTATTTTAGTTTAGCTTCGATCGTTTAATTCAGTGTTACAGAATGATATTTGTTTTCGTTCGTATGTGACATTTAAACATTTGATGATTAAACTCGTGAAGGTGAAACGCGATGGTAGGATTTAAGAACAGATACATGGTGATGGAGGTGTTTCTGGATCCGAACAAAGACAATTCATTGCATGATCCGATTATTATCACACAATTAAATTTATCAAACGCCATCAAGGAAAGCATTCTCACAAACTTCGGTGAATGTGGTCTAGCCTCGTCGATGCATTCGTTTCAAGGTGAGATTATTACTTTGCGAGCTTCTATTTCTGTATATGTTAGTTGCATGCGACTAATCGTCTTTAAATCCGCCTTTTTTTTTTTTGTTTCTTTCCCTGCAGTTAAGTATGTGAATCCAATTACGAAAATCTGCATTTTTAGAACTTCAAGAGAGGAGTATCAGAAAGTTTGGGCTGCTATTACTATGGTTAAGAGTATAGGAAACTGTCCTGTGGTTTTCAACCTTCTTGACCTTAGTGGTAAGTTGTATAAAACTCCATTCGTTCTTTATCTCTGGTTTACCACCATATGCTTTATTGATTTGATAGTTTCGTGTGATGGTGCAATCGCTTTTTTCTGCATTTTTTCATGCTTTAGATAATGGTATCGTTCCATACATTGCAGAAAAAAAATGTTGTACATGTTGTTAATGTTATGTTTAGAGAGATTTTCATAAACACCACTGACACGATTGGATCTTCAGATGATTGAGACGCCTCTTTGTAGCGAAAACAAACGACTTGTGAAAACAATTTTTTAACCCTTGAATGCCGAACGCCAACACTTTGTAATTTTACGTGAAAATAGTTTCCCATAATCTTATTTCTTTTGTATGTGGTTGGCATTCTTTCATTTAATTAGTATGCGATCATGAATATTTGGCCGGTTATTTGCAGTGTTTATAAATTATAGTGGTGCTATTTTAACTTGCTTATATGTTTTACTAAGAAACTAATATTTCTTTTTTCTAATTTTAATTTCTATTAGGGAGTATAAGGGCCTGCAAAATTGCTGCTTTGAAGTGTGATGAGTCGAAATACGAACAGTACAAAATATTAGCTGGGGACCGTCTCTCACCAGATACTAACCAACGAATGCAGAACTGTCTTGAGAAGATCAAAACCTTGGAGAATTAATAGGATTTTTGTGTATTTTAATGGATCTAAAAATATTTCATATTAGATGCAATGAGAGAGAGAACAGGAATTTTGTTGAATGAAGCATGTATGTATTCGGAGGTGAATATTATTTCTTCCATTTCCATTCGTGTAAATACGTAACTTACTTTGTAAACATATCTAGATTCTACTGCTTTCGATTTTTCGATTTTCTCTAAATCAACCTGATCCTAGAAAAAAACATTAGTATGCAGTACTTGCCTCAAGGCCGACCGAAAACCCATTGTAACTAAATTATATACAAAAAAACAGTTAGCTGCTCAATCAGGCAAATGGAACAATTTGTAGCTTGTTCAATCAGCAAAGAACAGTAAATGAAATATCATGAACAATCAACACTGATATCATACATACAAGAGGCCAAAAAAAAACAAAAACAAACAATTACATCTATTACAAGCATCGGAGAACTAATGAAGAGACATACACTAAATTAAACAGGAGCTAGAGTTTCAATGAATTGAAAAGTGCTATGAGAACCGAATTGAACACATTGCGCCTTGTAAAATTGCTCCTCGGTAAAATCGACAAGCTCTTTCACACTCTTCTCTCCAATCTGATAACCAATAACTTTGCCCGGCTCACAAAGCACCAACATACTATCTACTTCACTCTCTCCCCGAATAAAACTCAGCACGGAAAGCGGCTCAGAACCTCTCTCAAGATTAATACGATACTTCAACAGCCATTGAGAACAGTTGCTTTGCAGTTCGAACACCATCACCAAATTCTCTTCGGAGAAGTGAGCCATATAATGCAGAGAGCCGTTCGATTCTACATAGTTGTTTTGGAAATTCTTTATTCCAGCATCTTCGGGAAGTTCAACAAGTTCCGGATGTTTGCAAATGGAACTTTCTAGAAGATCGAAATAGATTCCGTCCCAATGAATCCCGCCTTCCCAATATACCCCGTGATTGAAATCAACATCTCGTGGAACCAAAAACGGCTCTCCACAAAGCTGCCACGTGTCGGTTCCTGATTCGTACACCTCAATCTGACAGTAACGATACCAGCCCCGCAAGAAACTAGGTGGTCTTCTCTTTCGAGTAGCTCTCACACAAACAATGTGGTAATAAGGCGATTTCAAAGGGTCGAATGCTAAGTTGAGACCGATTACGAATGTGAATCTTTCATGAGTGTTGAGTGGAATCTTTTTCGACTGCTTGGTTGTGGGATTGTAAATATGGCAATATTCCAATGGTTCGTCGATGGTAGAAGAATTAACGAGCAAAAACAGGCCGTTGGAAAAGCTCCATATAGTTGGATCAATAAGAGATGGAGAGAAATGGTATCGCACCGATTTCTGAGGTTGGAGTTTGCTTTGGAGGTATAAGTACTCCGGCGAGTCTCCAAGGCAGCGGAGGAGGAAGGAAGATTCCAGTTTGGAGAGACGGTGGCGGTGCTGGCTGTGCCGCCGAGAAAAATGACGGCCGGAGATTATGAAAAACCATTTCTTGGAAACGAGTTTGAATCTGATTAGGGTTTTTGCCGGCAGATAGAGGAGGATCTCTATCAACAAGTCCTCATTGTCGGTTATCGTCATCTGCAATCGACGATTATAAATAAAAAAAATTAAAAAAAAATCGGGTTTATGTAGAACAGTTCCAACAGCTTCAAAGAAAGAAGAAAAATGTGGATACAGATCACTGCAGTAAGAAGTTGAGTTATTATATAGCAACTGACAGATCAAAGAGGAACGATAGCCACTCATTTGTGATTTGAAATATAGTTTTATAACCAGAAAAGGTTCAAATACAGAGAGGATGATGCGATCTCTTGTGTATCATAAATATTTCCTACGAAACGTAAGATCTATTCTTTAATATTTGTCTCTTCATTATAAAAACCCTAGCACAAGACGACTATTTAAAGATATAAAACCCTAGAATCCTAATCTAACTAGGAAACATAATTACCTATACTAATTAAATACTAAATAATCTCCTAACTAATCTCCTAACTCACGGCCATATATATATCTAAATATACTAATCTATAAACTATTAATTAAAATAATACTTCAATAATATATTAAATAATAAAATAATAACTAACGAATAAATATACGATATATTAAATATATATCGTATCAAACCACCCCTCTTGAAATGAACCTTGTCCTCAAGGTTCGAATATTTGCAGCTCTCTCTTTTTTGCGCTTCCATCTATGCTTGATGCCATCCAATTTCTTCAAAAATAATTTGTTCTCATGTAGGATGCTGAGAACACGAATCTCAATCAATTGATCGACTACTTCATCACATGTCTCCACCATCGTTGACTCTTTAACGTATTGTTTGTTATGGTCAAACAATTCATTAAACATCATCGAGGAAATATTTGACACTTTTAGTGATACCTCAATCTTCTCAATAGCAATGTTAGATTTCTTAATCTCCTTGAAAATCGTCAATAATCCTTCGTCTTCTTTGTTTTGAAGATCATTGAAATCTCCCAATATCCATCGTAGCTCTTCGTTCTCCTCCCTTGTTAATTCCTCGTCTTCGTCCCAAATTACCTCAAGTGAATCCGATAATTCTTCTTTCGGCTCGTCGTCCCACTTTATCTCAGTTGATTCCGATTCTTCTTCTTTCGGCTCTTCGTCCCACTTTATCTCAGTGGAATTCGATTCTTCTTCTTCCGGCGAACTCACAAAAATCTGGGGTTCTTCGAAAAAATCATCGTCGTCCTCTTCCTCTTCCTCCGGCGATAGGCTCGGCAACGGCGGTGGTGATGGTAGCAGTGGCGTTGGCGGTGATGGGCGGCGGTCCCTTCGGCTTTTGTGTTGGCGTTGACGTCGTCCGTGACTTTGTTCGAGCAATTTCTGAAAGTCAATCCGTAATCTCTCTACGGATTTCTCCAATCGCTCCAACCGTCTTGTTTCTGACATCATGATTTTCACAAAGTTTTGATGTGATCTCAACTTTGCTCCAGCGTAGCTTTGATGTAATCGCTGCCTTGCTAACGAAGCGTTGGTGTTATCGCAACTTCGCTCTGATACCAATTGATGCGATCTCTTGTGTATCATAAATATTTCCTACGAAACGTAAGATCTATTCTTTAATATTTGTCTCTTCATTATAAAAACCCTAGCACAAGACGACTATTTAAAGATATAAAACCCTAGAATCCTAATCTAACTAGGAAACATAATTACCTATACTAATTAAATACTAAATAATCTCCTAACTAATCTCCTAACTCACGGCCATATATATATCTAAATATACTAATCTATAAACTATTAATTAAAATAATACTTCAATAATATATTAAATAATAAAATAATAACTAACGAATAAATATACGATATATTAAATATATATCGTATCAAGGATGTAATTAGTGGATAGTTCAGAGACACGTTAATTTTTTGGTTTGTTTAATCCAAGATGGATTAAATTATCTACTTCAATCACGAATCGAACGTTGACAAAGATCCCATTTTTTTGACATTTTTTTTGTATGCAGAGTTGGTGTAAACAATTAAGAAATTGAAGTACCCAAAATCAAAAGTAAGGATAAATTAAAAGAAAAAAACAAATTGGACTCGTACAATACACGTAATCAAACGAATTCGAACACAGATCTTAATTCCCACCAAACCTACCAAAACCTAATGTAGGATACACACTCCAACTGATACAACCTAGGTGTGTTTGTGTGTGTGTGTGTGTGTGTGGGTTTAAACAGCTTACATTCAGGCTGCCGTCGATGGAGATAATCGAACGCCGGTGGGTTGATAAAAGTTCGCCGTTGAGGTGGCGTCCACTTTCCGGCAGAAGGAGCGGTTACTCTTCAACTTTTTAAAACATAAATAAGAATATATATATATATATATATACACTATATATAGACGGAAAAAATATAATTACACCTTACATTATCATAATTTTCACACACATATATCTTCATGGCCACATATATTGTGTTTCCATATTTGCCCTTTCTATTTCAGTATGACAATTTCTTTATTAAGAAAGTAAAATATAACAAATAAAATAAAGTCTTTGTGGTCCAGTTTACTTACTATTTCCTTTGGGCCTAAGCCTAGAGGATTCTATTCAGATACTGAATTCAACTCAATTATTGAACTTACACTAACAAAAAAAAAATTAAATAAAACAATCTATTACATTACATTACAACTAACTGAAAGCTATAAATTATACAACATTGGTAAAATTATACAAGCCAGTCAAGAAAGAAGCATCATACATTTGCACTATTACAATTAAATTATGCATCAACACTAGATTTGGAAATAGCTGCCCTCCAAACTTTTAATGGTAAACAACAAACTAGAGTCATTGAACAAGATCTTCCAACTAAATAAATACCTGAGAGAGAAAAGGAGAGAGAGAGAGAGAGAGAAAGTTAAAGAGAAAAAAGTCGAGTCATTCACGAGGGCGAGCCAGCCAAAGTGAGCTAAGTGCTCTAAGACGAGAGAAATAGTCGCTGATAGCTAGCAGAGCACGAGCTGATTGTCGAGTTGTTAATATTCGATGCATTTGCTGCAGAGTCTGCTGCCTCAAATTATCAGCCTGCAATAAAAAATTTAAAAAATAATAATAGTCATAACCCGTATTAATGTCAAAAGTCAAAAGAGCATCCTCCATTCGTCTTAAAAAAAATCAATACCGCTCAGCTACCATTTTATTTGACTTGCAAAATGCTAGATTAATCTTTGTATGGCGATGATGACCATTTCAAAAATAAGTGCCTCGTTTGGTTGATAAGATTAGCCATGATTAATTAAATAATTGGACTTTATTGGACGTTTGGTTTGACTCATAACTTTTCTGGCCGGCCCGTAATTGGAAAAAATTGGCTCTAATCTCCCATGGTCCAACAATATAGTTGGGTTTTCATAAGATCGTGTTATGTCAGCTAATCTTATGTTAGGAACCAAACGAGGCCTTAGTATAATGAAGCACGAGCAGGGGTAGATAAGGTAATAACCTGACGAATGAAGCCCTCGAGAGTACCCAACTTGCCCATAGCCATAGCCATTTGGCCCATGTAGTTGGCCACATTACCAGACGAACCAGATGGACCAAGAGAACCAGCTAATGTTTCAGCCAAAGACTGTTGCAAAGCTTCCATACCTTGTGACAGAGCATCTTCCGCTTGTTGAGATGACTGTTGCAAATTGTTGATAGCCAATAACTGCTGCTCAGTCAACGGCTCTAACTGATTTATAAGAAGCTACAACCACAAAATTTCAAAAAATTAAAAAAATTAGAAGTTAAAAATTTTAAATTACAGAAAAAGTATATGAAGTGGCGGATTTGATTTTTTTTACCTTGAGAAGTTCGGACGAACGAAAGCCACCAAGCCAGAGGAAGCATCTTTCGGCAGGTGTTTTCCACATGCCCGATAATATGTGAAAGACGTCGGCTTTTGCAGCGTCAGCTTTTATCCTAAAAATGTCTTCGTAATGTGCGATAATGCCGTCGACAATGATACGAAGTTCACCATCGCCTGCATGTGAATTGACAGCTCCTCTAAGCTCGTTGATTCGCCGATTGTGCTCCTCAAGCCACCTTGCATATTCAACGTCAAAGGCCAAAGCACCTAGAAATATGGGATTTTACCAGTGGATATTTTTCATGGAAGTCTAAGTTGCTGAAATTTAATTTTTCGGTAAAAAAAATAAAGGAAGGTACAATTTAGTTTCAAGTTGGCCCAAATTTACATGCAAACCCCGTTTTCACAAGATTTGATAGAAGAAAAATAAGATGATTATACCATTTCCACCAGCTGATTGAGATTGGTCTCCTGAACTTGAAATAAATATACCCTTCATCAAAGAAAAGTGGGTTCGTTAAACTCGAAGATAAGGAAGACTTGAACAGGAGCTGTGTGGTTGTAAAGACTTGAACAGGAGCTGTGTGGTTGTAAAAAGAGATGGATTATTTAAAAAAAATTAAAAAATAGTCTAAAATAGAACCTGCTGCCTAGCTCGTTGGAGCTCTTGTTCAAGTTGTGTCAACTTCATTCTGCTACTTTCTAACTGTTGAACATAGGCCTATATCCCAAATATTGGAAAAAAAGAAACAAATCAATGTTGAAGTTGGCACATGAAATACATTAATCGCGTTAGAATAGCAGCTCGCAAGAATCATACAGTAATGTGTAGGTTAATCTTACGGGTTTATCCTAAAGAACATCCCCTTTCACAGAACAAGCAAATGCATATTGTTGATTAAAGCATCCTCGGATATTTTATTATATTACAAATGTATCATTACAACATTCTCAGACCCTCAACAAAATGATTGCCTAAGAAATTAATAACTGTTGGGAATTAGAAGATATTTGACGAGACTGCAAAATGTTTTGCCCATCCCAATCCACATTTCATAAAGTCAAGCCCCTGTTTCGGTTGAGCACAACCCACACATATTTTTTCCTTAGCAAATTAATTTTCTGAAATTAATTAGGTTTGGTAGGTTACGGAATCTTTTTCTGGCGAAATATACAGAACCCCATTTAGTTTTTGGATCTTATTGCAACCATTAAACGTGCAATTCCATTCCCCAATGTACCCATCGTCACTACCATGTAGAAACCAACAAATATTGTTTGTCATAAAAGCACTATTCAATAACCACACACCTACCAAACAAGAAGATCAGTTCTATTAGCATCACATGTCACATAGATGAAGCAACTAAGATTTTCTATAGATCTTAAGCCTGATTATCGCGCCAACATTAATTATTAAAAGTAAGTAAAACTCCTCTTTAACTGAGCTAAATATCCACAACCCCACCGCATATTAATTCAACAATTATCGGGAATCTACCAAGAGATGCAACTTAATAACGGTGACAAAGGTAACAAAAAGGTAATGTTATACGTTGGCATTATTGAAAATTGATGGGCACAATAGGGAACCTACTTTTTTCCTCAAGCGGCTTTTCCGCGCAGCTTCACGATTTTGAGCAAGCCTGCGTAAAGTCTGCAAACGGTAGTTGAAATCAAATATAATATAAATAAATACAAAAATTAGTGCTCATACAATTAAAAGTTCAAAAACCTTTTGATCTCTGGGCTTATCACTACCATCAGAAGCAATCATACCCTGTAACTGATTGTTCTGAAACTGCACAAGAAACACATGAATTTATATGCTAAGTATCGAGCAATTACAATCGAAAAGCTAGCATCTAGAGCATATATGTATGTATGTATAGTTTTGAATATTACCCTCATATTCTTATCCTCTGTATCAGCATCGGTAGAAGTATCTGTCCTAGGACTACCTTCTGCCATTTTATAGGCTCACAATCACCAAGATTATTGCTTCAAACACCAACAATTAAATGCATTCACTCTACTGAGGAAGGGGATAATCAGAAGTCAATGTCACTGAAACCGCAGGAAATTACTCTGTAGAAAAAGAAAAGAAAAAAAAAAAGAGGCATCACACAAGTGTTAGATAGTAATAAAGCATTCTAGCAGAATTTTACCGGAGTTTAAGAACTGTTCTTGACCGTGTTTTAGTATTTCCAGATCGTATTTTTCTTTCTTACGGAAATACTTATCCTTCAGTGCAGCAAGGCGTTTAAAATTCAATAATTCAGCTTTTAAGGCCAAAATATATTCAGTATCCTAAAATCGATCAAGACCGTGAAGAACAGCTGCGAGTAACCTAAATTTCCAACATAGTCTTGCATTGTATATTATTACCCCTTTCATCTTCACACTATATTCTACTAATACACTAGAGAGTTAAAAGATAAAATAACACTAGAAATAATTGATTAATAGATAAAAAAAAAAAATTATACGTATATACAAACGCCTAATATATATGTATTGATAAACTGATAATAGAATAGATCTCACTCCCCATGGACGAATTCAATCACAAAATTATCTTCTTCTAAACACAAAATTCCATGCTTAATCGAATTCAGATGTTTAATTAACTAGAAAACTATCTCTTTTGATCCAACAAAAATCTGAACACATTCCAGCAGAAATTTCTGAAAACGGGAAGGCATACATACACGCATACGAAAAATGCTAAATTCAAACTTTACCTCTAATTCCCATCGAAATTCAAAGTATACCTCGACAGAAATTGCTGCTTTCCTCAATAAAATGAAAAAAAAAAAAGAAAAAAAAACGGAAGAACGAGAAGAGAAGAAAGGAAAGTGTGGTTGAGAGATTACACACTACCAGTTTTGACTTCGAGTCTCGTTTCTCTTTGATGATTTATCTCCTTTTATTAGGGGTTTGAAGTTTCGATGAGGCTTTTTTAATGGGGTTTTTACATCAATAAAAAGAGAAAAAGGGGTAACAAAGAAAGTAGCAGAGAGAGAGAGAGAGAGATGAGAGAGATGAGATTTCCTGGTGTGAAAGCTTGAGAGCAAGAGAGTCATCGACTGAAATAGTTTTACCTTGCTCTTCATTTTAATATTACTTTCTCTCTCTTCATTATTATTTATTTATTTATTTTCTCTCTTTATTTCTTGT